TGCGTAGCTCATCCGGGGGATTCACTGTTAAAGCCGAGCATCATAACGGCGACTCTCACGCCAAACATGTACAACGCTCCTGCAGAAGTGGTGGCTCCAGGAAGTGGAGAAAATCCTGGATATACCGAGAGCATTTTGGCTTCAATTCATATGACAAAAGGCGGAGCGAAGTTGTTCACAGTAAATACAGTTTATGGTTTTTACCTGTAATTCATGTCCAGTACTGTCTAAAATCAAGCTTGAATGTTTACAAGCATCTAAACCAGGGGTCGGCAACCTTAAACACTCAAAGAGCCACTTGGACCAGTTTCCCACAGAAAAGAAAACACAGGGAGCCACAAAACCTCTTTGACATCTAAAATGAAGATAACATTGCATATATCTTTTTTTTTAAAACCTTTATACAAAGTATATAAAAAACTGTAGCGAGTTGCATTTATGAAATAAATGAACTATTTCGGCGAGTGTCTGTCTTCTTCTGTAGTTAAACCGCAAGATGTCAAAATCTACCCGGATACAGCAATGCTGCTTTTTGATTGGCTGTTCAGTAGATATACTTTATTTGATTGGCTTGTGCGTGGCACGCAGCTTCTGAACTCTCGGAGGAACTCGGTTGATTTCCCCCAGTTCCAAAGTTGAAGAAGTGCAACTTGGTGGACATCACCGTGTTCATTTAAATGCGTGAGAAATACAATCTGTGGTGTGTGAGCATGTGAACGAGTGGGAATGCGTGTGTCATACGCTGAATGCTTGAGACTTGAGAGCCCTGTGCTCACGCATCATCGATGTACTCCCGAGCCATGCAAAACGGTCTTTGCAAATGTTGCACTGAACGCCTTCCTTGTCAGTCTTGGTAAAGTTTTCCCACACTACTGATGTTTTAGGTCGGGATTTGGGTTGGGTTGTGTCCATGTTTTTCTCAGCCGCTGCCTCGGCCATGGCTGTTTCTTTTCTGTGCGTCCTGCTGATGTTTACACGCCGGTGTCCATGGACATGGACATATATAAAGACCCGACGAATCGATCACAGAATTTGTTGGCAACGGATTTTTTCGTCACGACGAATCTACTTAATCGATTCGTTGTTGCAGCCTTAATGGTTTATTTAATGTTACAAGAGCATTATAATCTTTGAATTTAGAATTACAAAAAATAATAATAATAATAAAATAAAATAAAATGCAATTAAGTATTTATTATTTATTTTCCAAATCCACTGGGAGCCGCAGCTTAGGGAAGAAAGAGCCGCATGTGGCTCCAGAGCCGCGGGTTGCCGACCCCTGATCTAAACCATCCCATAAAACATCCCTATTCTGTATTCTACACTCATCCAGCTGCAGAGGGCGTCCACTGATGAGTCTAGTTCTGTTGGAGATGTCCATTAGTCGTCTTTCTATCTCTGATGTGGGGAGACTTTTGTGTCGAGCAATAGGTTTATATCATCTTTACACTGGAATATGGACCATTATTTTCAACTGCCACCATGTATTTAAACACTAAAACGTGTTAATCCCTCACAACAAGCTGGTTCAGGTTTCATGTGAAGGTCTTCCTCTGTGGTGCCAGAGTGTCCTGGCTTTCTCCCACTGGATGGTGGACAGAGATTTGTAGCTGAATCTACTTCAAAATCAAAAGACCTACAAAAAAGTTTAGTGTGCAACAGTTCTTTGGTGTTGTAGTTAGCACTTCAACCTTTAAGGTATCATGACTCTGGGTTAAAACCCCAGAAAAGGGGGTTTCCATAATGATGCAGAAATAAAGTCTTTACCCTTGAGTCTGAGCTGTGCTTTTGAGCAACCATGACCGAATGGTAAAATTAAAAACCTAAACGGGCATGTACAGGAAGATTGGCCTGTACTGTGATGATAAAAGCCTTTGCCGCCTTTGACCAAAAAGATTGGGCGTCCAAATCCTGATCAGATCCCTTCCAGGTGTAATGGATATTCAATGTTTCTTCGCACTTGAGTCAAAGCTTTCCTATGATTAACCACCACTAGGTGGTGAAATGGCATATTCACAAGAACAGTAAGAACAGCTACATCGTCCTGTAGTCCAATGGTTAAGGCTACCACCTTTGAGCAAAAGGTTGGGGGTCCAAACCCCGATTGAACCGCTCCATAAGGCTTTCCTCACACTATAGTCTGAGCTGCGTCAATTCAAGTTAAAGAGGAGGTATTATGGTTTTCCATATTTACGACACAAAAATGCAAAGTCACAATGTTTAGTGTCCATACTAAATGAATGCAAATTTTCAAATTGCAGTAAATGTTTGTTGTAATAATCCTAGAAAATAGAGGAAAACTGCTCCAACTGTTTCTTCACTGAGTATCCATCCACTTCATTATAGCTTCAGGACCTAGTGTTGATTGTAAATGCAGCCTGTTTATCGCCCATCTGTTCAGGAATTGTTTTGATTTCTACAAAGTAAATGAAAAATTAAAAGTGGCTCAGCGATATGGAAATCATCAATTAAATCTTTGTTTGCTCATGAAGTAGTATGTGGATAGATTATTGCTGTCTTTCCTTATTCTCATTGAACAAAAAGAGCTGAATTCACAAACCAAGAATCAAGCATCACAACCACAAGTAAAATAATCTAGTATTCAAAATTTTGTCAGAAGCATTAAAAAGAGGACATTTGTCGGCTTGTATTTGTAGAAAACTCTGTTATTTGTTCAGGAGGTAATGTCTGTGATGTCCCCTGAAATGATGTTTTCAGCTGTGTCTCTTCCATTACTTCATGCTGAATCATTTACAGCAGTGGGCTGATACAACTCTGTCTTTTTTCAGCCTGCTGAGATAAAGATACACTATTCCTCCTCCTCACCTGTCCATGTGGTGGTTTATAGACCGTTTGTTAAAGTGGATTGTCCCTCTGTGATCCTTTGTCCTTTGTGCACCTTGCTGTTTGCCTTTATTCTGTCTCCCCTGGAGTTAAGCCACTTTGAGGTCGTTTTGCATGATTCTCGGACGGAGCTTCTTTGTTGTTTTTTGGCTGCTTTGGTACTTTTTTGAATCTCTTTTTGTGTCTGTGGTTGTTGTTGTGCCTTTTTTGTGTCTTTTGGACTTTTTAATGGTTGTTTTGCACCATATGGTGGTTGTTTTGGTTTCTTGATGTCTTAAACTGTCTTTCTCCTGGTAATTTCTCAAAAATCTTTAGGCAGTCTTCCCCCCTAAAGTTCTCAGGATATGACAACAAATAGGCCTATATGCTGCTGTAGCTGTCATTTTAGGTTTCCCAGGTATCAAAACTGGCCATGAACCATTTCCAAAGCTATAAGAAAGTTATTAGATTAATATTAATGTTAGATGGAAGTGGCCGTGTTCACTGGATTGATATGCAGTGGAAAAGAAAATGCAGCTGCAGAAAAAGGTCTGAAGCAGGCTCATTACATGCTCAAAGATTTCATCATACATCCAATCCCCTGAGGAAAGCTAAGAAAAAGATCAGTTCTCTGGTCATAAAACTGGTTTTCAGAGATGCCGTATTTGGATCCTACTGTGTAAGAATTCTCTTCCATCTGGTCAAACCTCTCTTTGTGGACCAGTGAGATAGTCCTTTTCCTCTACAAGAGTGTCCACTGCAAAGAACCCAGTCACTGCATCACCTGAGCCTGAAGGAAAACTCAATGCTTATCTTTAAAACTTTTATCTAAACTAAAACTTTTTTCTGTTTTATCTCAAAAACAGATAAAAAAACCTTTCATCTGTTCAGGTTTTTATCTTTATCTCTATTTATCTTTGGTTGTTTTTTTCTTCTTTGCACTTTATTGTTTGTCTCTGTGCTGGTAAATTGCATCTCCGTGTGGCCTTTTCAATCAACAGTCACTCTAAACAAAGGCTCTGTTTAGGACTCAAGTCACAGGTACACTTTGACTTCAGTGAGTTAGGCTTTTATTCCAACTTTTACCCTTTTGTTTCAAACGTCAATGCAACGTGAATGTGGAAACTAAGTGCAAGTCACGGTGATTTCATAACCCAGTGCTCTCTGCAGATACTGGCATTGACATGAAAAGGTTTGATGTGAAGAAGACTTCAGAGTAGTGTGTTTTCTGTGTAAGCTCACATTTGAGCGACATCCTGAAAAGGACTGTGGAGTTTGTTCGTTTCAGACTTTCATTGTCTTCTAAATGCTTCAGTGTTTTTTAAGTCGTGACTTTCCGAACAAAACAGTAGGTCAGACAGCTCAGCATCTCTTTTCTCATTTGCTTACATGAATTCCTCAGATCGGACTGGCCCCTTTTTTCTTTTTTTTTTTTTTTTCAAAAACCTGTTTTTTGTAAGGATGCATGCCTCCTCCAATCTGAGTTTGACCTTCTTACACACACCATGAGGCTTCTTTTTATCTCTTGAATTTCAAACTGTTACGGGCGTTTGGTTGTTTGATTAAAAAAAAAAAACATTTTCATTTAACATTTTTATTCTGCATGTTTTTTTCCCACTCTGTTACACATGGGAAATATTTTAATCCCAGCACTTAACTGAGTCTTTTGAAGCTGTTCAGCAGGAACCAGTGATTATTTTATCAGCAAATGCAATTAAGAAATTATAATGACTTGATTAAAACATACATCAGCTGTTTTCACTCATGCACAAAGTGAATAAAACATCCTAAAAATGTCAGGGGAAGCTGAATTTGTGAATGCAAACAGCTTAAACTTTCATCCCAAATTTGCCCAGGCTTTTACAACCTAGCCAGGTATATTCTGGAAAATGTACCTTAAGTGAAAAGACAGGGGTACTAATGTTTATATCATGCAACTGGTCTGAACCTACTGGAGTAGCATGTAAGAGGATAAATAATTACATGCGTGGAAATTAAACATTATTTTCAAGACAGGAACAGTGAAGTTGTCTGCACATCTGTCTGTTTACATGTAGCAATAACACTGAAAGTCTCTGTTGCATTTATTGCCATCATGTTGATAGCGTTACACTGTGGCTTTCACTTCGGGACGCTGTTTGTAAAGTTGTAGGCGATGAAAATAACAGCAGATTCAATTTAAAATTGGATGTCAACATTTAATATTTGGATTTAAAGAGTTACCGTTCAACATTTGCATTAAACATTTTTATACTTTTACATTTTGATTGAATATATTGACCAAAAATTTGAAAATATTTTTGCCATTGATGTATAGGGTGGCAAAAGAGAGACAGTCATTGTAGCGAGTAGACCCACGACCCACACAAGAGAAGATCCACTCAAGATCAACCGGCCCCCTCAGGGGAGACATGCAGCAAAAGACATGAACAAAGTCGAATCAGCAACCACTGCAACAAGAACAAAAGCCTCCATATATGAATGAGTGCTTAAACCACTTGGTAAATTCTATATACAACCTAGAGACTTAAATATCTAAATTGTAATATGATATCAAACATCTAGATTTATGTTAATTGTTCTTTTTAACATTTTAAAATAATATTAACTATTCAAATTTTTATTTAACATTTTCCTTTTTATTTAGATCAAATATTTATCATTTAGATTCAATATTCAATATTACAAGTGAAATACCCCTTTGACATTCACATATGCATATTTAACATTTAGATTTCACATTCAACATTTATATGTATGATAAACATTTGGATTTAACTTTTAACATTAAAACTGCATAAATATTTCCATATTTAGTTCTTAACATTCAGATGTAATATTTTTCAATATCCTTTACATTTTACATCAGGTTTATACCTAACATCAACATTTACATATGTATTTTACATTTGACATAATTTGGAGTTATAGTCAATTTCTATAACTCTGCAATGGTTCATTTATTAACTTTTGACACATAACATTTACAACTTGATTTAACATTTTATTCTAATATTCAGCTTTTAGATTTACAGTACATCTATCATTGATATGGAGCATTTGACATTTAGATTCATATTTAGCACTTAAAATTTTAAGGGGAAATTGTCTTAAACTTAAGTTTCATACATAGTACAATTGAAAAGGTTCTCAAATATTGATCTTATTCTAATGAATGAGCAACTTTGGAAATTTTAGGGACAGACCTCCTGGAAAATTAAGAACTTTTCAGAAGTACAGCTTGTGAAAGAGGCTACTGTGTCCTGTTGGAGATAAATTACAGAATAATTCTGTCTCCAGTTTTAGTTCAGTGACAAACACAGAGCTTGAGAGCAACAGGCGGACACACGAGAACATTTTTATTGACCTCACACTGCTTTGTAATCAGGGCCTATTTATGTTCTGTTATCACCAAGGCACAAACATAATCCATGTAAGGAGCTGAGAGTATAAAAGACTTAATTAGTTGTAATTAATTTTTAATAATAGAGGGATAATCCTACCTTTTTCCCTGTATTTTAATAGCAGAAACAAAATTTGTGTTGTTCAAGACATTTATAAACTCTCCCGCTGAGAAAAGCTGAAAGGAGACAGCAGTTAAGCCCTAGAAAACTGTCTGGACTTCCTTATTCGAAGCACGAGGCATGGCCTCACAGCTTCTGTGAACTAGGAACAGTTCATTTCAGTTCAAGACTTAATGGATATTCCTCTTTTTGAAGTTGCAGGTCAGGTTTTAATTCAAAGTTATAACAGTAGTTAAGGTTTCCCTTTTCTAGCATAAAACATGAACTTTCAAAGATATACTCGGTCGACTTCCATCAATAATTCAGTTACGATCCACAGTAACGGGATTCCCTCGTGTGTCCCCTCATTTTTAGCAGTTGTATGTTTTTCCAGATGTAAAATGTAAAAGTTCAAACATGCAGTAAATATAACAGATGTGTCCAAGTGTACATTTCCACAGCACATACACTATAGATAAATGTCCAGTTAAAATACACACTAAGAGCTTCATTACATGCTAAATTGCAGCATCAAAAAGAGCAGTGTCACATGTCTACAGTTTAATCACTGCCTGCGACTGCCTGCGACCTCACTTCTATTTTTTCCACTGTTGAATAATTTTCTCTGATGTACCAAACAAGTCGAATGTGCATGCAGTGACCTGTCAAACAGTCAGACAGTTTTACAGCCACAACACGCCCACAACATCAAAAACTGTGGTCAAAGCAGCACAGAGTATGAGTTAGCGTCACATATCTTCACAAAGATCATGAGCGTCCAACTGTGCAACGTTACTGCCACATTATTCATCACAGTAAAATAATTATAATAATAATTATATAAAATAAAACATTTCACGGTGACATCGTGACTCATTCGAAATAAAACCGTTTGTAAATGATCCAAACTCTGCAGAACCGTGTAACTCATTTTACTGTGCATAGTGAGAATAACACATTAGATTAAAAACATTCATTTGCAACCCTTAGGTGTGCAAGATGTGCAACATTTAATTTTAGCAGAATTATAAAGCCATTACATGTAATTTCACAAAGCTGGCGCACAATCAACATCAGAGGGCGTCAAGTCACCCATTGTGCTTTTTAATAATCAGTCGTATTTGTTTTGTTTTGTTTTTTCTTGATAAGTGGTTGACTCAGTCTGATCTTTTGTCCCATGCTGAATCTGAAATTAACACATTACAATGCAAAGTGTGCTGTTGTGTTTTAGGCTGAAAAGTCACGTAAGAATATTCACCTGTCCAGAGTTAATATCTCACAACATCATGTTTGAATGAACGGTTTTTATGTGAAGAATAACAGCAGATAGATTAGGGAACCGGGGGAGAGAGTGGCGAGAGACTTTCAGGAAAGGGGAATAGAGCCTGACCCAAGACCATTACAATTCTCTCATCACAGACTCTGGCGGACCAGCTCTGATCAAATGTATTAGCTAAATTAAATTCAGTTTGCAGCAGCACAGCAGATAGACTGGAAAATAAGAATCACCAATGTTTTTTAGTCTTGGCACAAACACGATAGACCGACCATCACATACAGAAAACAGTGATGACTGAGGGCAGTGAAATTAGCGATGAATCTCTCTGCTCCATGATACAGTCTGTAGAGTATGCAAGCTCTGAGGGAAGGCATGCGTGTTAAAGACATCCACATAATCCAGCATGGACATAAGACTGGCAGAGACCAGTTTTTTAAATCTACAGAACAAGCAGACATTAATGCATACAGGTTTGTTTTAGACAAGTTTTACACCGTTTTAGTGAATAACTCAAGTTCAGTCACGACTACTTTTGTCACAAGCATGCGATAGTAATATTTGGCAGTATGGCTCTGTTCTGAGAGCTCCCTGCCCCTCCATGTGCTTATGTGGAGTACCAAAGCCTGCAATAGAGAGAGCACGCCTCCCCTCTTCTTTGTGTGCATGCATGAAAGCCAAGTTGTCTGGTTGTAGTCATGCATTTTCTTAAAGCAGCCAACAGTAGCAGGTGCTTATCTGCTGAATACTTTCAGTCATAGTCACAGATGGCAGGATGCAGTGTCTGTTTCAGTGTACAGCCACAGTGACAGGCAGCATGTTTTGCAGCAGGTCCCTTGAGGACTGAGAGTGTGATGGGTGGGCACTGTCTGGTGCCGTCCTCAGGCTCATGCTGCCGTCTGCCAGCGCAGGAGCGACTCTGAAACCCCTGTGGATCGGCTTGATTGCAACAATGAATTTCCTTTTGAATGTTTCACTCAATACGATGTAGATAAACGGGTTGATGCAGCTGTTTGCATAGCCTAGACTGATTGCTATGTTGTAAGCATACATAAAGGCGAAGGTAGGTCTCTGTACACCAAGGTGGATTAGTTGTAAGATATAATATGGGGCCCAGCAGGTGAAGAAGGCCAAGCATATTGCCACTGCCATACGGGTCACCTTCCTTGTCCTCACCCTCAGGCTGCGCTGAGGAAGAGGAGCGACTGTAGCCGACATATTTTGGAGAATCTTAAAGAAGACCCCACAGATGACCACCCAAGGGAGAGCAAAGGCAAGGAAGAACTGATAGAGAGTGAACCAGTATGTGTCAGTGGCTGGATCTGGCAGCAGGACGGCACAGCCAACTGAGCCATCCTTGAGGCGCATAAGTCCTGTGTACATCCACACTGGAATGATGGACACCAGAGAGAAGACCCACACAAGAGCGACTGCCGCCCCAGCCACACAGGGGGTCCGGATGTGCTTGAAGCGGATAGGATGCACAGTAGCCAGGTAGCGATCCAGAGTCATCACAGTCAGGATGTAGGTGCTCACAATCTGGCTGTTGGAGTCCAGCGCAGTGATGACGGTGCACATGGTGGCGCCGAAGCACCAGGAGCCGTTTCCCACAAGCTGGTGGATAAGGAAAGGCATGCCAAGGAGAAACAGTAGGTCTGCAATGGATAAACTGAGGATGAATATGTCCGGTACTGTTTGCTGAGAGCACAGCTTGGTTTTCTTCACAATGGTGTAGATGACAATAGAGTTTCCACAGAGTCCAAAGAAACAAATGATACCAAAGATGCTTGGCATGAGCACATTGTTGTACTGGGGCTCATGATCTGGCAAAAGGAGAAAACAGAAGAGTCAATGTTAGTTACAGGTAACACAGTGGATCCTACTCAATGCGATTTTGACTATAAATGTATTTTGTTTTAATTTTTGTTTGAGTCTTCTGGATCATAATTATCAACTGACTGACTGAAAAACATTTCATCAAGTGTTAAAGGGATATTCCGGCGTAAAATTAATTCAGGCTCAAACACACTGTAACACAGAGTTAGAAACCCCCTTGAGAAATGAATGTTGCTGACCGCTTGCTTCTCTAGTTATACCAACTTTAGTAACGACCACTGGATAGCAATACACAGCGGTCTGAGGAGCCTTAAACAAACCTCAACCAAAACGCCACTCTATAGACACAAATAATGCTCAGAACAGCACCTAACTTCATCAACAGTACATATAGGGTCCCAGCCACAGCACTAGCCACTAAACATCTTTTTAGCTTTGCCTAATTTCTTACTTAAGAGACTAAATACAACTCACCTACTCTCTTCCAGCAGCCGCTTGTTTGAAGCGAGACCTCAGGCCAGTCCATTACGGACTACAGTGGGGTGACGCAGCTCAAGGAAGAACATTTATGATTTGACCCTAAAGTAATTTTAGGCCATAATTTCCCTTGAAGATCCTAAGCACATATCAATGTGACTTTCGGGATGAACACAACATCGTAAGTGATGTTGCCCAGGTTGTGAAGGACATTACAGAAGTAGCAGATAAAAAGAAAGCATTGATTAGCCTTTTTATTGATCTGTCAAAAGGACTTCATCCTTTTCCTGCTTCTCAAAAGGTTACACAATATTGTTTTTGACAGCATATGTACAACTGATTCAAAAGATTCATCAGAGAGACAACAGTTGTTTAAACTAAGGAGGTACTTTTCTAAAACCTTTAAAAATGGTGTTCCACAGGGCTCAACCTTAGGTCCTATTTGATGTACAATTCATATAAATATGCACCTTTTCAAAAGCTTTTTATCAAAGAGGCAACTGTGATTTAAACTTTGATGCTACTTTTCAACATTTTAACAATGACAAGTGGGGTTCGAAAGCTTGTTTTTAGGTACTGTTTTATGTACTATTTACTATTTACATGAAAATGCACCTTTTTAAGAGTTATTAATCAGGAGGGCAACAGTTATTTAAATTTGGGAGCATTTTTTCTATATTTTAAATATGACATGTGGTATTCCACAAGGCTTGATTTTAGGTCCTGTTAATTTATTAGATTGTCTCTTCTTTATCAAACTTCCATGCAGGCATCCATGTGTATGCCAATGACACTTTTTTGCAAATGCACCACCCCTTTAACAATCTGCACGTCACCCTTAATGACCTCTGACTTATTTTAATGGTTCAAAACCAAAGTCCACAAGCAACAGAACAGGATATTTATAAATGCTCGAAATACGGAGAAAATCACAGGCTGCTGATATTAGGTTATTGGATTAAAGTTTAGCTTTTGTATAACCATATTAACAGAAATTAATACATTTTTTTATGTTTTAGGTTGAGGTGGCAGTCCTCTTGTCAATCAGTCTATGGTGATGTTGTTTTCCACAACACTGAAATGTATTCATCCTGTCCGTTACTCTGTATTGAGTTTCATTTTTGGTGATGCAGTAAGAACACATGATTATATTTCATGTAGCAGTGTTGTGTGATCTTCTCTCCAAGTGACACAAAAAATCATAGGCATCTCTTTTGGCATCTACCCTCTTATCTGACAGAACTCTGACATTTCTTGGATGGATTTTTCCAGACATGTTCCCAAAAGAAGCTGCATTTCGACATCCCTCAAAAAAGGTCAGAACTGCAAAAGTGCTTTTTCATATTCTGTACCTGACTCCTGGAAAAAAGATTACAAAAACCAGCACTTTAAACCAACACTTGTACCTTTTGCACATTTTGGAAAGTTAGTTTTAAACCTAACCTCTCTCTGTAGTTGTTTTTCATTTACATATTTCACAATCAAAACTATTGAATTTGCTCATGGGTTTTAGTGAAATGTGAGTTTTGGCTCATAAATATCTTCTGTTGTAGATTTTAATGGTCTAATAGTCCCTGTTTATTATATCTTAACTTGCTTTGTTGTTTGCATTGTGCTTGCATCGATGAATGACTTTGCATCTCTGTAAATAAGTGCTTACTGCCTCTCAGTAAATTTCAAGTAAACACTAAGGTTAATCAATTAATTTTATCCTGATCTACTTCAAATTATTTAAAAATTTAGCAGTTATTGCTCCTATGATTATTCTACAATAAGGTTCATGAGTACCACCGTACTTTTTAATTCAGAAAAGGATTCAAATGTATGTTTTCATTATTCAAAAGAAAGAGAAACAAACTTCTTACCTTCCTCTAAATCCTCAGGTGAACTGAAAAATGGAAAGGATGAATTTGAGGTATAGTCCATCCTGATAGCCCCTGGTGATCCTTCTTTTCACTTGTCACTCATTTGTATTACATTAACTTATAATAATAATAATAATAATAATAATAATAAAGATCAAATTACTGCTCCAGCTCCAAGAAATCAAGAGGAAGCGTCAAATTAGTTTGACAAATCCACAAAAATATTTCCCACAAAAAGAAACTAAAGATATTCTAGAAGAGACGCAGCTCCTCGCGCATGTTATCCAGAGGACGTTCTCACTGCGCGCGACAACCAAAAGCCCCCAAAGGCACAACAGCGAGTCGACGTGACAACCTCGTCATTGCATTTTTGCATTAGAGTGAAAACAGACCCAGGTTTCTCCGTTTATCGCTATTGATAAAATCAAAAACAAATAAACCCACTTTTCAGTCACATATACCGCTCTATTATAAGTTCACGCTTGTCTCAATGGCAATCCCTCATATTATGGTCCATCGCAGGAGCTGTTTTTCATTAGCTCCTCTTTCCGCTAGATGTCAGCATTGTCAATATTTTAACACCGTTGGCTCCAGAATTGAAAGCAGATGTTTCAAAAATGAAAACAAAGACCACCAAATACTTGACACAAAATGGGTTCACCAGCAGAGCAAGGAAACAACAAATACTCCCCAAGCTGTCACAACATGGAAGGAGACGAAGTGATGGTATAAGAGCAACTTTGGTGAAATCAGACTCTAGAACATGGTCTAAACATATATAGCTACATAGAGATAGCTGTTGTGACTGTCAATGCTATAATGACTTTTTGATTTGCAAAAGAATAAAAAAAACAGACAAGGAGCAAGTTATTGAAATTTATGTATTGGATATACTTCAAATAACTATTCCTTATCATATATGGATATGACAATCACACGTATACAATGTATATACATATAATGTCCACTTGAGGTTGTGTTTACCATGTACAAATACATACAGCATATTTGTGTTAACTGATTAATGTAATATTTTTATCATCATACCGTTATTATACAGTGATACCACCTCTTTTATTGTCCTCTGTTATGTATACACACACACACACACACACACACACACACACACACACACACACACACACACACACACACACACACACACACACACACATATATATATATATATATATATATATATCATACATACTGTATTGAACAATGGCATTCTATAACGTACATACTGTAACAAACCATGTTACAAAAATGTATATTTCCCTGTTTTCCTTGTTTTCACATTACTTATTGCAAATCTACATTGAATCTTTGACTATCACAACTTGACATTGCATATTATTGTCTACTTTATACGTTATATCACAATTTATGCCACCTTTGGGTGAGCTCATACCCTTTTACTTTATTTCATATCATTCTCTTAAACCTGACACTTAAAGCAAAGCATGTTCAGCTGCCTTGTATAAGTACTGATCCTAGTTTAGCATTTTATTTCTATTCATATTCATCATATTTATTTATCTTATTCTTACAGCAACCTTGCTTGCTTATCATGCCTTGTGTTCCTGTGTTGCTGCAGCTGAAATTCCACTCTGGAACTATAAAGTATTATTATTTCACCTTTATGATCAAGCATGGAGAGACCTCTGCCTCACAGAATAAAGCCCTCTAATAATAGGCAGACCTATTAGCATTTGGCTACTCATAATAATCATGAAGGATAATTGAAGCCAGTTGTAGCCACTGGACCAGTTGTGTGGTGGGTTTGGCAGAGCAGAGGAGCAGACTGACGGGGAGGAGCTCCAGTCGCAGCAGCAGCAGCAGCAGCAGGCAGACCCTCCCAGCACTGGAAGGAAACGGAAACAAGCGTCGTAAACCTTATGCTAGCAGCTACATTTAGGCTCCGAGGACGGGGTGTAAGCGACATCACACACAGTTTGCTGCCTCCTAAGAGGAAACAGGGAGTGGATAACTACACGACAGGGTTTTTTTGTTACTGTGGTAGCTTTGAAACGGAATATCTCGAGTGGTGAGTTCTATTTAAGCTCTTGCTTTATCTAAAACTTGTATTTTCTTTTCACGACGCAGGGCTAGTCAAGTTCAGTAACGTTAGCTGCACTGAGCTAGCATCAACAGCTTGCGCTGTGAAAAAAAGGTGTTTTCTTCCTTTTTACCAACGTGAAGCTAGCTTGCAGGCCTCGGGTAGTTTTTAAAACCTGGTCCTTGTTATTGGTTGAAGACTTGTTTCTATTGTTGTAACTGTAGATACGCCCGATGTGGTCAATTTTAAGGGTTAAGTTTGAAAATCACACGGCAGCGCAGTTATTGTTACCCGACCGTTAGCCGGTGTTTCGGTTTATAATGTGACCCTGTCAACTGGAGACTGTCGGCCGGATGCGTGTTTGGTAGTCGCAGTAAAAGCAGATGTTGAAAACGAAGCAAATTTGGTTGCCCATTCTCATTAACAACACTTGGATGACGCCTCTCTTCAGCACAGTTGTCAGATTGTAACTTAAAAAACGTAGAAACATCGGCGGGGACAGCTTACGTACCTTATTTTTGTTTGTAAGTCAACAGCATACGCTACAAGTCGCCAAATAACAGGGTCACAAGTTACACCGAAACACCAGCGATGCTAGCAGGAGCGTTCTAGAGCATTGGACTGTTAGCTGGAACGGATTCGACGCACAGAAGCTCGCGGAGAACCGTTAAAATCACATTCAAATGGTTCAAACGGCCATTTAAAACTTTTCCTCGTCGAAATTATACTATGAGGAAATCAAATAAAGGCTTTGAATTAAAGAGGATAACTGTTGCTGTCTTCTTCTTTTTGGGTTTCAGCTTCTCTTTCTAGTACTTGTGCTACATAAACGTTACTTATGATCCAAATTATGTGCTTAGTTGTCTTTCGTAACGTTTTAAAGGCCATGGATTTAACTGTTGACAGCTTTATGATTGTAAACAATGGCTGCAGTCACAGTATAGGACTAACCCCGCCGTTACTGTCAAATGACTTTTCTAGACGAGGTCTGCTGCAGCTTGTGCTCTAGCTTTTCAAATTTACAAGGATTATTCAACGAGGAAACTAAATCCAAACGTTTACATTTGCATTTTGCCTCTGTTTATAGTTGTATTTTTCTGCTGACTGTCAGATTTAATGGCTTTATTCGCCGCTGAGCTCTATTAGTGTGAACCCCTCAGATCTACTCGGTGGCACTCGAGCAAACAACTTAATGAGATAACGTAGCTTTATCCATTTAACTCAGCAACTGTTGCTCCAGCCAGTGTATCACTGTCGGCTCTGCTTAATAAGGCTGCTGGCTTATCTGTGTTTGGGCCAGGTGCTTGGCTGTCAAATGTGTCTGGAGCGGTTGCCATTAATTGTAGTGAACTTTGCACCCACAGTCTCATTTCCTTTTATGAACGTCGTCTTGAGATAGGCCTGGGCGATTTGCCAAAAAAAATGATCACGATATATTTTGTCATATCGTCCGATCTCGATTATTATCACGAGTTTTAATAACTGCCTGTTTTAAAGCATCTGTGCTAAACACTCAAGAAACTAGAGATTAGTTCAACATTTTATTAACATACAAAGTAAATAACAAATTGAATAAGATACATTCTAACTCAACAGTAAATGCGGTGAATTAGTTTACAGTTCTGAGGGTTTTTGCAGGTATACAAGACCCCAAATCGCCCCCTCAGAGATAATGAAGATGCCTTAAAATGTAAACATAAATGATATGATTGATTGCAGTTTTGGTCTGGTGGCTGCACCGCTAGTTGTGGCTAAACTGCTCATGCTACTCTCGTGCCGTCAGCAGTGACAGGCTGTGCAGACTCCGCTCGGGAAGTACTTCTTCAAATGATTAAACACATCTGTTGTGTTGCCAGTTTTTGAGGGTACCGATCTCCGACATACCTTACACATTGGCTTAACTGCTTGATGTCACTTTGGAGATACCCGAACCTCAGCCACTCAACCGACGTTGAATAACTTCTCAACAATAACATCTTCGGTGGGTGACTCAAAGTCACGGCTGACATCTATTTTGCTGCCCTCAGCTCCGCGTTTAGCTCCACGCTCGGTCATTCGGTTTACTTCTCCGACAACTTACAAAAGTGAGCAAGAAAAGCTTGACTCTGATAGGCTGTTGTGACGCACACTTCCGCTATGTTTGATCGAGTAAATATGCTCACAGCTGATCACCGTGATCGAAGTAGCAGGTCATCATAAGTCTTGACCTCACTTTTGAATATGACTTTATCCAAGTGTAATAATATGTTATATTGTTAGATTAAAAAAGATGAGATATTACCAAGATTTCCTCCAAGTGAACACATTGGAGCAATCAAGTTATTAAGGTTCAAGCTTAATGTGATGTGTCTTAAGTTTCTATTCGGCTTGTTCTCATCTATTTATAATTTTTAAACTGTATCCTAACTCACTTAGCATCCATTCTCTTCTACTTGTGAACTAGTTGCTCTATGCTACATGTCTGATCGAGTGCCACATTGTTTCTTATTTGCAGGCACCTCACTGTAACCTTTATGTGAGGTCAAAGCCTTAAAGGAGCGGGTCACAGACGGGAGGAGAGACTCGGGAGAAAAAACAGCATCTGGCCGCAGAAGCCTGGATACGTGTTTTTATTTTTTATTCATCCCCCGAAACACAACTACAGCCGAGCAGTTTATCAGCACGCAACAACAACAACAAACATGGAGGCCATTGCCAAATATGATTTCAGAGCCACCGCCGATGATGAGCTTAGTTTCAAGCGTGGAGAAATCCTGAAGGTAAGAGAGGACTATTCAAATTTTTAAGGTTGAGACTTGCCTGCATTACTCATAATTATGCAATGCCAGGGTTTATTTCCTGTGTAGTTAATCATAATCTAGCCTGTGTTAAATCAAAGGGAGAGCAACAGGAGAGAGTGTTTAAGGTGAATGATATAGATAATAATCTGGTTATAGCTACAGCGTCATCTGTATGTCGTACTGTGATCAATATCTTTATCATAAAAACTCGATATTGTGCATGTAGATGGTAGTCCTCACTGTAAACATGGTAATTACATCAGCATAACATCAGCATAACAACAAGGCTGCCTTAGATACTGCTGTTTGTTGTTTGATTGTGACTGCAGAAGGCCCAGATGATAAAAGAGGCTAAAGATGTGGCTTTTTGTTCCATTATAAACTATCTAAAGTGCTCTCTGTGAAACCCAGCTCCCCGCCATGAGAGGCTTATTCAAAGCCTTGTGCTCTCTGGTTGCCTGAAAAACATTTGTGTCACTCACGACCTTGATGAGATAGCCAAGATATTAGGAAGTACATACAGCAATTTTCTGGGAAGCGATTCTCTTTGGATTTAAACGCAATCACCATAATCCCTCTGTTTGTGGTCATGACAGGAAGAGGCGACAGTGCAGGGAAAATTATACACAAACCTTCATATCTCCTTTTTGTTTGCAAAAACGTTTGGGTTTAACATCCCTTCTATCATGTGTGACTTTGAGAACTTCTGTTTCTTTACTGTGGCTTTCAGGTCAGTCTTTATTTTACCAAAATAAATGCCTACAGTGAAGATAGTTCCCAGAAACTGTTTGCACAAGCTGCAGGCTGATAACAGAATGAATAGCCTCTTTGTAAAAGATACATTTTTAAAGGATCACACAGTTCTGTGTATTTTCAGTGTAACCTGTCGCCCTGTTTTTGATCATAACAGTAAACTGTTTTTACGGGCAACATCTTGCTTGCCATACATGCCGGTTGATTGAAACTGATAGGGTGTTACTGATGGTGCACATCTTTTATGTGCCTGATAATAGTCAGTTCATTGGCTACCTGATTTAATTATACTCATAACATTAAAATGAATACGCTTTATTATTGTGGCCAGGGTAAGGGCTATTAATTCCGACTGTAGAATGGATCAAGGTTGATATCAACAGAAGAGTGCCTGTCATGTAGCAATGTTGTTTTTTTAGATTTTTGGCTAGAAGTTGTTTCAGCTTATCCCATGTGTGGGAATTAAAAGTGACAAGGGGCATGTGCCGGAGCTCCAAATGTCTTGTTGTAAAACAAACTACACGATTCATGATTAAAATCACTGAGTCTGTTGTCACAGACTTTCCTATGCAGCTTTATTGAGGCTGTGTCTGAATTATAGTGTTTACCTTGGTTCTAGCAATTCCTAAAGATGGCCAAAACCTTCGTTCTCTACCAAAGTGTTGACTTCAACCACTTTCTTTTTCATTATTTTAGGCATTTTTGCTCTTTTAAGGATATTCATCCTTCCTCTTGATGTCCAGGCTTTGTCTTGGCACGGCAGTATTTTCCTCTCTTGCTTTGGTGAACATACTATGTTCCATTGCATGTTCAGTTTTCAGATGTTGTGCCAAACTGGTAGTGTAACTGAGTGGTCTGGGTTTGCCTCGCAGTAGATGCTTGATTAGAAATTAATAAGTTGGACTTTGATTGATGCAGAAATTTAAGCCATGGCTTTGATTTTTTTGCACAGACACACGGACAGCCAGCCAGACTATGACAGCAGCAACTGCATTATGGCAGCTTAGAAACTCTTCAGGGACAGCTCTACTACCACAGCTGTTGTAAATAGTAAAGGTCCTTACACACCGGGGTCGACGCGAATATAGAACGCGAAATTACGAAATATTCGGAGGTGACTTTTGACGTGCCTGACTATACACATCAAGCCCGATGTGATTTTGCAACTCTCTGGGGGGAAAAGACGCATCCCGGGGAAGACCTTTCCCAGGGAAAGCCCCCCCTCCTTCGCCTCTGATTGGCTAGAAAAGCTGGAAATGTCATCACACGCTCAGGCCAAACGGTCAGCACTTATCCTTCCCCTACCATCCTACAGCATCCCGGGTGGAAGCGAGAGGACAAAAATGGAGTCTACTTCAAGTGATGGCGAATTGGTCCTCCTTTTGTTTTCTCAAAAGAAAAAGAAACATAGCACGTGGATGCATCCAATATTACAAAAAAGAAGAGAACTTTGTGAGTTTCACTGCTTGGTTCAGGAGACGGCTTTCTGTCATGATAGCATGTACTGAGTCGGGGCCAGTACCAGATAAGCATGTGAAACTATGGTAACAACCGTTAGCGTACGTTAGCACAGATGAAAGTTAAAACAAAGACGATTAGCAAACTGTTAAAGCACACAAAACATCGTCATATGAGAAATCCGAGGCTATGACTCTCCATAAGTTGTCCTTCAGGTCGTTATCTTTGTATTGTGTGTGTAGACGATCATAAACAATCAGCCGGTCGGCCATGTTAGATATACCGGTGAATCTGACGTGGCAACAACACGAAATCTGATTGGTCAGAAGTGGACACACAGTATACGAAACTTACGAAAAATCGACCATGATCCGAAAAAATAAATGCTGCAAAATCGCAGGACGGGAAAACGTTGCTGATGTGAACGCTTGTATTGACAGGATATGAGTTCGATAATCACACGACAAAAACGGTCCCGGTGTGAAAGGACCTTAAGGTTCAGATTATCAGATTTAATTGCCAATACCTGATAAATTAAAGATTCCCCAGATTATCTCTGAGCTATCTTTTAGAAAATCAAACATATCAAACAACATCCTTTAGGTATCTACCGTCTTGACTTTATAGAGCCAATAATTAATCTTTTTAGGTAAAAAATATCAAGCTGGTTAATGGATAACAGAACCAGACTCTACAACTATTGCAAACCAGAAGTGAGCCGTTAACAAACATCCTCTGAATACTTTTACTGTAAGAGTATTTCCCCTAAACCCCGATGATAGAAAGACCCTCAACTCAAGAGGGTCTTTCTATCAGTGTGTTCATGTACCTTCTGCTGTCATATAATGTTACGTGTAAATGTTGTATAAGAGTCTGTCCTGGATGAGTTGGCTGTTCTATCAGAGCATGAGTGCTGTTTTTTTTTTTTTTCCAGTGAAAAAGAGATTGAATTTAGAAAAGACTTCTTATCTCAGCGGGAGGGCCCAGAGAGGGGGGTAGCTTAGGAAAGACTGAGCTTAATATGAGTTCTTATTAAATTTGCATATGAGGAAAAAAAGTGCTGTACTTCCCCTCTCATTTCAACGGTGAGCTGTCGGGTTTGTAAAATGTCAACTTTTGAGGAGATGGCAAAGTTCCTGCCATGATGAAAATGACAAACCTCGCATTATTATTTTTTTCTCCGGTTGATACCTTTTTGCAAAAATGGATTTAGGTGGTTGAGACTGAACTGACAGTATTCTGGGATATAACTTGTCTGGTATCTCAAGACTTGCAGCTTAATTTTTGAAAGCTTATATATAACTTCTCAGTTCCTCATGTGCTGAGCATGACATTGCTCTCAATTCCTTTTAGTGAGATGCTCTAAAGGCGTTTTCTACCTATCTTTTTAGAGGCACTCTCTCTTCCTGAGTTTCTGCACATGGAGAAATCATGAGGCTGGGGTTAAGAGAGTTCATTTGACATTAATGAGCAAATTTTATTTTTAAACTTTGTTGTTCACTCTCAGTCTCATAAAGTTCTTCTTTGATGCAATTTAATATGGTCATTGTTGTTGAAATTTAAACTATGTTGAAAAATACACTAAATGCTAGGGCTGGGTGATATTCTTAGCTTTCTGCTTTGATACCAGCACAGTACCTGGAAGCTTATTCAGACAATGTGTTAACAAAATAATTTACTCAGGGCAGAAACTGTTTCAAATAATATATGTGTGCAAGATATATAAAAAAAACATACGATAGAAGACTGACTATAACTGGCCTTTTAGAGTACATGTTAAAACATTTGTGTGACTGAAACTGCACCATATTAAAAATCTTGAAGTCAGACTGAAATATGTGGATGAATGTGGTTGGGGGTCGATTTTTTTCTGTTGTTGATGGTCCTGTTTTCTTTTGGATATCATGAAAAAGGTTTAATATTAATTTCGACGTATTTTGTAAATGTCAAAAAAACTCCTCACAGGAGCTTTAATGTGTGGAGGACAAGCAGTGAGGGGCTGAAGAACATTTTACTCATGTGGTGAGATAGAAATTTGGTTATCGCCTACATAGAAAGGGTAATTGACACGATGACTAGAGGTAATCTGTCCGGGTAAAATAATAAGTGAGAAGGAAAAAAAACAGCCCCAAGAAAGTCTATTTTATAGATGTCAACAAATGCCTTCAATCAAAACTGAAATTTTCATACAGCATCATATACAGGAGTTGATAGTTAACCAGTTACAGTTAGAGTACATCTGCCTCCCATAGTCTTGTGACATCTAGCCAATCAGATAGTGCTGTGGGTGGGACATTTTCTTAGACAGCCCTAATCTGGCCTTGGTGTTTTACGCATGCTTCACAGTTCTCATTCTTGGCTTTGACCTGGAAGATGAACAGCAAAAAAAAAAAACGTAGAAGGTAGAAAACAAAACCTCAACAGAAGAAGATAGAGGGAAATAAACAAGACAAATCTTTCATACTTTCTTAAGGCACACAGCTGTAAATTTGTCACTGTTCTCACCCTCCAGCCTACAACCAGTATCTTGCTGACTTTTCGTAACACATCAACTTGAAGGTCCTCCAGTAGCTAGCTGGGAGGGAGCACATCACCACCTACTGCAGTGGAGGTGGACCTGCCTGTGTCAATAAATCAATTCTCACCCACTGCTTGTTTACCGGGACAAGGAGGACAGTAGTCCAACTACATTGCCTAATGGAGCTGTTCCCGTAGCTGGGCTTAACTGTGCATGTAAGAGCAGTGATTACTGCACAGACGTGGACGTCATGTCAGTCAGTGTCACAAAGTACCATTTCAGCAGCAGTTCCCGCCTGTGAAGCCAGTGTCTTAATAATGATGCTAATATATGAATATTGTAACCTCAGTTTTCTCTCCTTCCTCAAGTTTAAAGGTTTCTCTGTCAGGTTAACTTTTAAGTACAAGACTTTAAACGCTGCAGGAAAATTCTCTCCAGTTTATTTTTGGACAGAGAATGAAACATGAAATAAAAAGGAAAGCCTGCTTAAGTGTCGCCCCCAGGCCAGTCCACCATTCATGTGAAGCATTTGTCAGCTGCTCTGCTCAAAGACCAGCTCACTTTTTTTTAATACTGAATGAATCGCCTCGACGTTTGTCTGATACCATCCCCCTCTTCATTTCTTTCATCTTCCTCTGTCCTGTGTTCCTCTTTTTGTGTTTCCCCACAGTGCTCATACATTAGTCTGAAGTCTGAGTGTTTCCCCTTAGGTTACGCATGCAGAACAGGACAGAACAAGCTCCTGTCTTTCACTGACACACGCTGGTACTGAGGTGAACCCACAGAGGACCTTTTTTTTTTAGATAAAATACTACATGTGGTGTATCAGTAAGGTTTAAAACGTGAAAACTGCACTTCACTATGAGCTCTAGCTGAGGTTTTTGTCATATATCAATGCAGCATCATTAGTTTTAATTGTTTAAGTCATTATAAGAAGCCAATACATATCACAACTTATTCCGCATATCAATAGAATCCCCCAATTGAGAAAATCCCCAAATCAGGAGGGGGATTTCCACTCCATTTTAAGAAATGAAATTGGGGCCCTGGTTAGCTGTGCCAGCTGCTTCTGTAGCTACTTAACACTCTTCTTCTTCTTCTTCTTTTCATGCTTCTGCACCACTCTCAAGAAGTGCTTCAGAAAAATCAACTCACCTCAGGCTCTCTCTCTCTCTCTCTCCTGCTTCACTACCTCACTCTGCACTTTGCACCCTTTGCCTTTTTGACCAGCTTGATATTTTATTATATAACAGTTGTTTGAACGTCAATAACACAAAGCCAAAGCCCTCTCTTGACTTGACAACATCACACAGAAAGAGAAAAACACCCAGAAGAAAACGGTTTTAACAGCCTGACAACTTGGTTTTAGTGCGAGTCCGTCTGCATTATGGCTCCGTGGCATGTTAAACAAAAGCCGTAATACATGTAAATGAACAAGTTTGTGAGGTGGACTGTGCTCACAGAGGCTCTTTTGCTCCCATCAGCAGTGCTATCTATCCTCTGATACTAATACTAAACAGCTCTGCTCTGTGGACAAAGAGTCCCTCTCATGAGAGAGAAAGACCCTCTTAAGGCTTTGCTCGTATGAAGCATCCTTAACCTCTCACCAGTTTCAGTATCACTGGGAGATGGTGGCTAAAGACATTGCATTAAGTCCTACTTTTATCCATGGTTTTCCTCCCTTTAACTCTTTAACACTTTTTGTCAGTAGTTTGGTGTTTTTCTAAACATTCAAATGAACTTGAGTTGTTAAACCCAATAGATTTGAATGTAAATGAAATGTAACCGGTGTGGTTTGGTTTTCCTGGTGACTCAACATGGCATGTACTTGAAATTGTCACAGCTATGATCTACCCCAGCTGTGCATTAAGCATCTTAACATGCTTGAGCTCATATGAGGAAGCTCTGGCTTAACGCCACAGTAACGTACTCCTCCTTGAGTCACTTGCATCCAAGTACGCATGTAATCCAGCGTGTTTTTAAACCGTATTTTAGGGGACTGTGTCAAAATCCTCAGTTGTCCTTAAATGTGCTGACTGTTATCATGAGTCAAAATGAGCAGTGAGGTTGGACGATTACATAAAGAACAAGCCTGTTGCCCCTGCGTTGAGTAAGATGGATGAAACAGCATGACACAGGATGAATAACCAACCAATTGGCCAACTTATGAACTAACTACAGAAATAGACAGGATAGCTTCTGTCCATCTTCCCCATCTCCACCCTCCACATAACGGTCATTTCTTCCTTCAGACAACCAGCATGGTTATTTATAAAACAGGTTTCAGCAACAAGGAAACTCAAAGTGTTTGTTTTACAAAACGAAAGCAAAAGGATAATTTATAGAATGCCACGACTGTTTTTAAACGCAGGCTTTGAAATTTCCGGACCATACACTTTCTGGGAGTTAGTTTGAGGAGTCTAAAATGTATTATAAGGAGTATAAAAACAGAATATGACTATGTGTCAGAACGGCTCAACCAAAACCCATGAGGCTCAATACAGTCAATGAATTTGGAATCTGTCGCGCCTCCACATCTCTCTGCTGTTCATGCCTGCTTGTGTCGGGCTTTGTGAAAAATTTCTTCAAAATGGTGCTCCTTTTAGTTTCCAGTTTTTAAATAGTCAGCCCTGCCACAAGAGTCAACTTACATGCATATGTTTCACACAGAGACCTACAACAAATCCTCTTGTACTCATACTCTTAACCTAGTGGTTCTCAATCCAGTCCTCGAGCCTCCACTGTCTTGCATGTTTTGGATGTTTCCAACACACCTGATTCAAATGATCAGCTCGTTATTAAGCCATTACAGAGCTTGATAACGAGCTGATCATTTGAATCAGGTGTGTTAGAGCAGGGAAACATCCAAAACATGCAGGACAGGGGAGGCTCGAGGACTGGACTTGAGAACCACTGTCTTAACATAACAGGAAGTCCAATATTTTGATTCCAATTTTTCAACACAACTCAACTTTATTTGTGAAGCAAACAACCACAGCTGAACAAAGTGCTGTACATAAATAGACGAAACAATGCAGACCTAGAAAAACAATTAAAACAATGGATAAAAAAAGCAGATATTAAAAAGTAAAATATAGTTTCAATGTTTTTAAAAATTAATTTAAAAACATAAAAACAAACCATAAAACACTAAAACATGAGCAGAGTGTTATGCAGGGTTGAAAGCCAATGAATAAAAATGGGTTTTAAGACAAGTTTTAAAAATGGACAGTGTGGGGGCTTGTCTGATTTGGAGGGGTAGCTCGTTCCATAATTTTGGGGCCGCAACAGAAAAAGATCTATCCCCTCTGAGCCTCAGTTTGGACCTCGGTACCTCCAGCAGCAGCTGATCAGCTGACCTGAGGCACCGAGCAGGGGTGTAGGGTCGGAGAAGCCCAGAGAAGTAAGATGGAGCCAGACCATTTAAAGATTTAAAAACAAATGAGAGAATCTTAAAATGAACTCTAAAATGCACGGGTAACCAGTGGATTGAAGCCAGGATGGGAGATGGCAGTTAAGAGCCGGGCGGCTGCGTTTTGTACTCACTGGCGACGTGAGAGGGAAGACTGGCTGACTCAAATTTTTGATCATCAGATTTACTCGGCAATAATTTAAATGAACTTGTCCTCAAGATTTTGACCAATCAGGTTCGATGTCACAGCTGTGGCATAGACATTTTGCACAACCTCAATGGCTCATCAAAGTTTGATGTCTCGCCATGAAACAGGAAGTTGTTCTTACTTCTCTGTGCAGCATTCAGTCTGTTTAATATTTTTCATATATATATATATATATATATATATATATATATATATATATATATAAATATATGAGTTCAAGGTCCACCCCTCAACACATGCATGTGCCCACTTCTCACCTCTGTCATAGAAATAGATGTTACTGACTTTAACATTCAGTCTCTGATCACAGGTTTGGTGATGTTTCCAGTCTCAAAGTGCACATGCAAATTTCCAGAATCAGTGAGCACCAAGCCAGCTGAATAACTAGAACCTCTTTAATTTCATCTCACAGTATTATAGCGAGAAAGAAATGACTCCCAACATTTTGTCGAGAAAACGATCTTGCTTATATTTTGTGTCTTACGGCCATGATTTGTTCCTCCGCTCAGGGAAGCTGTTGCTCGGCTCAGCTACTTCCAAGGGTTTGTGCGTCTTAACACAATAAGTGTAATTTCTTGGAAGAGAGGAAGCTCATTTTGTCGAATGGCAGCTAGACATGTGCTAATCAAGTTCCACAATCGCCTGCCAGCTGTGTCACTGTGACTCACACAGCTGGGTGAGCAGATCTGACTCCCTTCTAATTTAGCAGTCGTGGCTCATACACCGATTTAAGTTCGGTTATATTGTAACAGGAGCATGGTATAAAACACAGCCGCTATGTTGCAGTCTACTGATAGAGCCATTTGGTGTTTGCTGCAGCACATCAGATCTTTTAATTACGCTTTCTCCTCTGTGTAATGCTTTTGCTCCTTATCAGTAAATGGCACACAGAGCTGTAGCAGCTACCTTCCTGTTTTATCTTTACAGGCAGCGTGGAGTTGTTCAACAGTTTTTTAACTCCTTGTTTTATCTGAAGAGAGCGCCGTTCTGGTTGTCTGAGCTGGATACCGAACTTTAACAAATGTGAAAGCACTAAAGCGTGGGGCTTGCATGTAAAATATCTTCCAGCACAAATGTGTGTGTGAGTGTGTGGGCCCATGAAAAATTTGCATAATGCAGAGTTGTTCGGTTTCACAATGTGATTTCCCATCACACAGAGACAGAAAAGGGGAAACAGTCTCTGGAGCTTAAGACCGTCTTTCTTCAAAGCTAACTGTAACACGTCCACTTTTGAGTGGAGCCCCGTTTTGAAATTCTTTGAAGTTCGTATTAAAGAGTGAGATCCAAACACACACACACACATTTTTTCTGTAGAGGATAGTTACTTGAGCTGATAGAAGATTAAGTTGTTGAAGTGAAGAATCCGTTGTCAGAGGTTTTAGATCTTTGAGGATGTTTTTGAAGCACTCACACTGTGAAATCAATACAAGTAAATCAACATTCATCCCATAAACAGCTGTCTCTTGGCTCAAATAAATAAACACATGTCATCCTGATATCTGCAGGAATCAATGCTATCAATCACAGCATTGTTGATCAGCTGTTTCCAAAGCTCAGCCTCCTCATATGCTTCCAATGTTCAGTGTCATAAAGCAGATCTGGAGGCAAAGCAGCAGGCAGTGTGTGGGCCACAGTAGAGACTGGTCATTGCCCTGAGCACTGTACACTTGTTCTCATTTCCTCCTTAAATAAATAAAGATTAACAGCCGTGCGGCTAGCTTACAGAATTAGCTGTCATCAACAGATCTTTCAACTCTGCCCATGCAGCAAGATCGAAGATCGGTCCTTCACCTCCGAGCTACTTCTGCAAACTGCTGTCCACACAGACAAAGCATTGGCAATTTCAACTCAATTAAAGACACACTGCTCTGTCAATATTACACTTATGGAAAAGTGTGCCATGTCGTTTTAGCATAAAGTTAGCCCAAGGATTGAATGTAAAACAGGGAAGTGCTTTAATATTCCTTTTGGAGGCAGGAAGTGGAAGTGGAAGGCGTGAATAGTTGGTGGTAGTACACTGAGAAAAAGCATTTACAATTTATGAAATACCAGAAAACTGTGGAGAAACTAATCATTTACAAAAATAATAAATGGCCAGAAGAGACAAGAGTACTTATTTAAACAAGGTATTATTCAAAAGAACAAATTTTCAGTTTTTCCTTGCACACTAAATCAACTTTAAACAGGATTTGCATCATGTTATAAAACACACACACCACATTGTTACCGTGACATGATGCATTATGATGGGATACAATAAGACACAATGCAATAGAACATTATTCAATAATAAAACGATACCGTGCAATGTGATACAATACTGCAGTATGACATGACGCAGTATATTATGTTATGACATGTTGGTATCTGATGCAATATGGCGCAGTATGACAGTATGATATGGTACAATTTGAACTGATAGGATGAAATGATGTGATTTGATGGGATACAATAAGATACAGTATGGTGGGTGCAATATTATATAATATGATAGAGTACTGTAGGATATGGCATAATGCAATATGAAATGATACAAAACAATACCACACAGCCAAGATGATACAGTGTGATGTGATAGCGTACGATACATACAGTACAATATATTAAGATGAGACATGATGGGATGTGATAAGATTCTGAGCAATATGATACAATATAATATTACATAGGGCTGGGACGATGTGATGTCTCCCAATTCGATTCTTTTATGATTTTGTTTGATGCCGATTCGATTGAAATTGCGATTCTACGATATTGTTGATTTTCTCGATTTTTAAGTCTGCAGTTTCAACACCAGTGAAACAGTTGAACGATTATGATTGTCTACTGACTATTCCAGGAACCATATTTCCTCAAAAAATACACATCACATTTAAGTAAGTTTTTAAAATTTATTCTTGAATTTGAAAAAGACAACCAATTTTTGAACAAAAAAATCGATTTGAAAATGGTAAAACAAAAAATCGCGATACTTATGTAAACAGATTTCTTTCTTCCACCCCTAAAATTACATGAAATGATAGGATACAATACAACTTGATACACTAAAATACAACACAATTTGAAAGGACATCATTCAGTTTGATATGAGATTAAAATGCAGTACAATACAATACCATTCAATATGAAACACTATGCTGTTTTTGAAGGGAATACTGCGCGTCAGATTGAAATGTTGCATAAGTGTAGCTGTCTGCACGGTGTTATTACAGGGTCTGATCTATGTATACAGCCTTGAAAAATAATTTTCACATGGTTATGAACATTTATTTCCACACTGATTTAGTGAATCTGTCAAAAGACGCCCGACTTTGATATCAGATTAGCATATTAAATATTTCAAGGCAACTTCCAGAGAGTTTAACCAAAGGCCCCCACCCATCCCCTGATTAACGACTCCCTCATCGTCTATAAGTGCTCTGGGTATTGATTCTCCCTCCCTGTCCATTTAAGCAGCGGAGAAAGGAGAGGGAAGAGAGTATCAGCACGGTCTTGTGATGCCTGAATGTCTTGAAATCCAAACCTCACTTGAAAGACTCGTAAGCCGTCATTACAGTCTGATCCTAAATCCCAGATCCAAATCCCACAGTTTGATTTTTCCTTTCCTTACCAGACGCTTAAAGTTGGAGCTGGCAGCAGTTTTCTGCAGATTACTTGGCCACGCAGTTGACTTATGTGGAGCTGAAGGGTCAATAAATCGCTGCTATGCTGCTCATTGTGCAGTTTTTGTTACAGCTGAAATTACCCAGCTTACACTTGCCAGAGGCCCTGTAGGATCTCACTGGAGTCCAACAGAGAGAGTGTGTGTGTTCAGTTCACTTTCGCATAAGAGCAGAGCATTTTCTAATTAAGCTCTGGATCTCTGGAGAGAAAGTTTAGATAAGTACATTCTGACTCACTTCTTTCTCTTTTTGTTTCCGATTCAAGTACCGTGACCCTGTTAATGTAAGAAAGTTTTCTTTCAGCTTTACAATGAAATGTAGCTGAAGGACATCCAACATAATAGTCTTCCTCTGGATGCTGAGCACAACATGTACGTTTGACGAACTATCACTTCAAATTATAAATAGCTATGACAGTTTTTTGTCCACCTCCTGCTCTTGGTGTTTTATACAACACTAAGGTTTCAAGCATATCTCCTGAGTACAAAACACATCTAAAAAGCTTTTTTTTCTCCTTCCAAATGGGTACCTTCTGATGTAAGTGTAGATAGCTAGCTGTAGCGTCATCTGACAGCATCAAAATGTGTTCATATCAGTTAATATACCAAGGGCTCCATTCAGTTGGTCAGAAGGTATGCATGCTGCATTGCTTTTGCATTGAAATACCAATACTGATGTGTGAAATTTAGGTGTGTTTATTGCAAATGCCTGTGCTGCAAGGTTGAGGTTGTTAAAAACCCCGCAGGTGTTGCTTCTGTGGTCAGCAAAACCACTTGACGATGATGACCTCTCGTCACATTTTTGATAGATTTCTTTTTTAATCACAGAAACAGAATTGTGTTAAAAAGACGAGAACTGGGGAGGAAATGTTTGTGGCTTTGCTTTTTAGCAGCTCCAATACAAGCTTTCTGCTATGTACATTACCAATGCAAGAGCATGTGGAAAATGCAAATATTGCCTTAGCTTAGTAATGGAGGAAAGTGTGTTTGCAGGAGCCTTTCTTCCTTTTCATAGTGGGGCTTTTATGTGTGTTTGAAGCATCTGTTCCAAGTCAACATGAAGCAGCAGGCCCAGAGGGCTGACATTGCGCTCTGCAGCCTAATAGCTGCCCAACTGGGCATGGTATAATATGTAAGCAGCAGGACCCAGGGGCTAGCAAAGGCTGGCCTCTGTGGTCTGATCCTACAGAAGAGCTGCTGTAGTTCACACTGCTGGAAAAGTTAATGCAGGCTCTGATAGAAAAGTGTAAGAACATACAGGACAAATTCAGAGACCTGCTGCTAGTGTCTTGGTGCCAGATACCGCTGCACAGCTTGAAAGGTCAAGTTGAGTTCATCACTTATTAGATCGGGGCTGTTTCGTACCTGATCTTACAAGATTGGGGCTAATAATGTTAGATTTCAGAGCAATGTGATAAGAACATAAGAGACATCCCAAATTTTTGTTCAGATTACATCTTTAAAAAATCAATTATTGGTGTGAATATTTCAGCTGGTCAACATTTAAGTTTTATTAAACATTTGCTAAAGGGACTTGTGCAAAGTTTTGTCTTGTAGCCTGTAATATTTCAAGTCCTTCATTTTGATGGAAAGTCCATCTCTATTTATTAGAAGTGGGAATCACCTGCAGCCCCAGGATACGATATTATCACAGTACTTGGGCCACGATACGATATGTTATGTTATTGCGATTTTTAATTTTTTTTCAACCGTAAAGTATATTTGGCATTTGTCTTTCCTTTATGTTTCTCTTATTTACGCTTTTTAAAGACGCTGTATTTTATTTTCATGTAGCACATCTTGCAAACCATATACATATTTGTTGTACTAACTTTCTCCTTCTCGATGACGTCACCTCTGCCAACCTCACTGGAAAAACATTATATTTTATTTTTCCATAGATTTGACTTCATATTAGCAATTAATTTGAAAAATCAATACTTTGTCTATGAGGCGATATAATTAATCACCAGACAAAATATTGTGATACTTTGCTATATTGATTTTTTTCTACCATCCCTACTAATTATCAGTGCATATGGGTTCCAAATCTTGTTTACTGGTCTCATTGGCTTCTTATAACTGGTATCCATATCAAGCTGGAAATCAAAGATCAGTCAACCCCTGATGTATCGGTATCAGCCAAAAAGAATTAGAAAATAAAGGTACGTCAGGTTTCAGCAAACCTAATATGTGCTGCCCCAGCTTAATCATGTTCAATATTAATATTTTCAAATCAAAGTCTTTGTTTGAACAAAGCTGAATCTAGTTCTTGTTCTGATTCTGTTATAATGAAGACAATCATTCGTCTATTTGTAACTACCAACTTTGAAAGTGTTTACCTACTTGTACATGAAATAGTCAACTGTTGCACAGTTTCTGCATTGACTCTGCTGTTTTAATTAGGCTTTTTGGTGCTTTTCTCTCTCCTTATCATTAAAAGATGACTGGTGTGCACATGCCTTAAGGCTGTAGGCACCATGGGCGAACTCTAATTTGGTAATCCAGCACAAAGAAACTGTGCGGCTCATTAGATCGGCCACCTAAAGCAAGAAATAGGACGGCTCAGGTTTTTTTTATTAGACTGATGTTCACTCAGACTAGGTCAGTGTCATGCCACATTCCTGAAAACACCATCAAGATTATGATTAAACTTTCACAAGCATGATGTGGCAAATTTCTCTTTTTGTAATTTTCTTCAGTATGTCTCCAGTATTCACTGTAAAATTGTTGGAGGAGGCTAAAGGAGGAGGAGGAAAAGTGGTTTCAGGGGCACTGCAGATGCAGGTTATCTTATGGGAGCAGCATGGGAATGAAAAGACAACCTTCCCTTTCATTAAACTGATGGTGCATCACACATAAGGACATTTATCTTGCTGGCTTTGGCAGATGGAGGACAGTGCACTCCACAGAATAAAACATAGCTAGTTTGGCTGCCCTGAAAAAAGAGATGCCCTCATTTAATGTAATTTGCCCTGAGGAGTTTTCCTAAGCTGATCACAAGGAGCATGATTCTTCAAAGTACTCCTCTGTCTTCTTCCTTTGCTCTCTCTGCCGCTCTCTCATGCTTTTGCTATTCATCTCTCTCGACCGGGCTTCTGTCACGGTTTTGTGCCTTGTTTCTGGGCTCTTCTTCTCCTGCTCCCTCTGCCTCTTTTCTCACCACTCTTCCTCGGAGTGTTGAGTCACCGAGCTGTAATTAGGTCTCTCTCCCTCTCATCTCCACACCACTCCCAGCTGATGTGCCATAAAGTCACTGACAGCTGTATTTAACCAAAAGTCTTCTTTGACTCTCCTCACTCACTCACTCGGCTTCAGTTTCCACTCCACTCAAACTCCTACATGGGGGGAAAGTAAAAAAAAAATAAATAAAGTAATCACTGAGCATTTTTAATCCATTATGAACACAGGACTCCTAATGAGAGCTGGGTGATACAGCAGAATATAGAAATGATGTTTGTCTCTTCTCAGCATTGGTTGTGCAACTTTGAATACTTTGTAATTACAGTATTCTTACCTGCGTAGTGCAAAGTCATTGTTTACAGTGATTGTCATCATCGATTAATGTTTTCTTGTTGTGGCTTGAAAAGGTATTTTGATATAAATGATGACGTCGTAGGCCAAAGAAACCAAAAATCTGATAAGTTTCATTTTAAAATATTTATGCAAGATATTGCAAATGCATACACTCATTCAAAACGGCTGTCTTCTCTTGTGTGTGCTGGCTGCATAGCTGCTGTCAGCTTTGCCTCTCCTGTGAGTTTTATCTTAAATAAGAACATAAAAACCTTTTATTTTTAAAATTTCAGAAATCATCAGGATCACTCCCTTACAGGAAATGCTCAAGAGGCATGTAATCTCCGGTAGATTATGAGTTATACAGGTGAAAAAATAAACAAACAAATCCTTATTTATTTGGCATGCAGTCTGCCATACCTACACAGGAGTGGTTTCGAGTAAAACAGCCTCATTTCCACTAAAAAGGGGTCCTTAATTCCCATTTAAAACATTGGCATAGATACACACATAGTGACAAAGAGTGGGAAGGTAAGAGATCTCCATGGATTACATCTCCTGTTACCTGTTGTTATTTGTTAAGTAAAATTAAGCACTCAGAGTCTACAAGAATTCTGACTGTTTTGTTTGCTTCTTCACGTATCAGGATGTGTCATAACAGTAAGTCTACTTTGGAAAAACAGATGCTTAATAAGTACCACGATGCTAGCCACAAAAAGAGAGTTTGCATAAGAGCAAGTATTTCCCAAACATTGACGCTATTTGATAATAGTAGAATTTATGAGAGAGACCCGAATAAAGAGACGCGCAAGCGACCTCTTTCACCTCTAACTGTCCTGGAAAAAAAAATCAGAATAAAAGCACGAGATGAAAACTAAAGGAGTCGCTCCACAGATTGGGCTTTCATTTTGGACAGCATTGTGGATGTGCAGTGCATTCATGTTGTTTATTTCATGCTTGTAACATAAATATATAGCAGATGCAGAGCCAAAATAGCCTTCGACTTTAATTGTTTTGTTTATTTCTGGTTGAGATCTGTAAACAGTTAGTAGTTTGTCTTTCATTATCTGGATTTTTGAAGCATTAGATGGACGTGAAGCACGCTGCTCATGAGACCCAGGACCTGAAAAGGGGCTGCTTGCTGAGCTGCGGCTCAAATTTGCTCAGCTTTTATCAAAGGCTTGTTGACTTCACTTGTTAATACGGAGAATACTGATTACAAAAACTCTCACTAAAGCAGTTACATGTTGATAATCAATGTTTCACAAACCCTGTTTGGCAGGCATGTCTGATGAGGGGGCTGCTGGCTGAGCTGCCACAAACACCTTAGTAGTTAGTTAATGTCATGTTTCCATTTTAGTGATCAGATTTCTCATCTCGGAGAATAAGAGGGTGTAGTTACACCTTCACTCTCCTTCCCACTCATTTCAAATCGTCGAGCATCTACTTTCACTTGCAGCTCCATCAGAGCTTTGCAGTGCAGGGTGGACGTGTACTCCAGCTCCGACTTTCTGTGCATGCAAACCTGCAGATGATCTTTGAGGTTTTTGCAGTTTCTGCAGTGCTCGGATGACATTGCAGTCCCCTTCCAGTGTCATTTCAACAAGTCCCCCTTATTAGACCAGAGTGACACATCTAACACTAGACACCATTAATGTGGGATTTAGTGTTAATTCAACAAAATTGACATCAGACAGATAAACACCCCCCTCCTCCTTATTACTATATAACAACAACAGTTGTTTCCAAAGGCCTGCCAAAGCTGTCACATCTGTTTACCGAACGACACATTTTGCCTCTTCTTCAGCTCGACTGATTATTAAGGGCTCTGCCAAAATAAACTGCACGGAGAATTCAAGCTGTGATAAACATTATCATCATGTAAGAGATGATCCTCTGAGTCACATTGATGATGAGAGAGTGGGGGATGTGGATTAACACCAATATTATTCTTACACATCAGTTATCACACGTTGGCTGCTCATTAGATTTTACCACCCATCTAAATTAGACAGATTCATCATCCTAACAGGATATGAGTTTTTTGGTAAATTGTCATCTGACGTGTTATTCTGTTTGGCTGACCTGTTGTCTCTACTGGGACTAGCATAATTTAAATGATGGTGCAGACTCAATGTGGTGTGTTGTATCATTTCTTTTCAGTGGTTTGATTTTTTTTTTTCAGCATTTCCTCTCCTTGCCCTCCTCCTTACATAAACCTTTTACTTACGTACTGTAGCTATTTTGATAAGCGCACAATATAGATCCAGGAAATGTAAAGTTACCACCACCTACAAGAGCGGTGGTGGTATTACTTTATTTTCTCAAGTTTAAGAACTTGGGCTGGTAGTGCTAACGTGTATATGTGATTTAGGTTTGGCTCCATAGGCGAGACTCTGTGTGTGGTATTCTCCTTAAGCATTGTTTTAATTACAAAAGTGTTACAAGCATTAACTTCCTGGAATCCTATGTAATCTCTGTCTCTGTTTTCTTTCTGCATCGAGCGGCTCTTACTGTCTCACGGATCCCACCCCGCAGCCTCCCTGCTGGGTGCAAAGGAGGTCAGACTCATTTTGACAGCTTTTAGGGGTTGTTTTGCCAAACAAAGCAAAAAAAAAGTGGACACGTCTGGGTCTTTATGTCACGCAACCCACCCCTTCACATGCCCAAACCTGCTGGGATTTTCCGTTTATCTCTATATCTGTCGGTCTCGAGCGGCACAGTCGAAACACTTTAAGGGTATTTAGAGTTAATCCACTAATACACAACCTTGCTTTTTTTTTGTAAGACTTGATCCGAAGGTCCTTGATGCACACTGTCCTAGATACTGAACAGCTCAGAGGTGAATCAGTTCATCCCCTCTGTGAGATCTGGTGCCACAACAGGGGTCACTCCTGCTGCCAGTATGTAAAAATACCACACATCAGATTCCAGCCCTGCAGGACAGCCAAAGTGTTGGCACTAACAGACACACAAACACATAGATCATGAGCTCCATCATCTCAGGGTACCTTCACCATCATGCTGTTGTGTTTGAGGCGGCTTCTTTCTGACCTGCTATTACATTTCTTAATGTACAATCTCATATCTTACTTCATCAGCGTATGCACATAAACTGAAGAGGAGTGTGTTCTCCTGAATATGTTGTCTAATACTGTGACGAATGATTGATTTTTCAGTGTGTGCTGCTTCGGATCTGTAGGTTGTTGGTTTATGATATTATTACATTATGTGGGGTGTGAAATGTGGTACAAAAAAAAGAGTGAGCGTTAGTAGGCAGCTGTGATACGACAGGAAAAAGTTGTTTGCGTAATCTTGTGTTTATCTAATATAAAAAAATTCAATCAATAGCAGCAAACCTCGAAATGTTATATTCGTTATTTTTGGTATAAGGTATTGGCAAAAATCCACTTTTGTACAAAGTTGTACACATTGTAGGGATTTGACGTATTTGCAGACATATTCCAAGAAATGACATAATGATAGAGCTGCAGCTAAAACTTCAAATAAAATAAAAATTCTTTTTTTCTCAAAAGTCATCTTAAACTGAACTTGTATAACTTGAATTTAACCTTTTTCCACGATATACATCGAAGTATTTGCCCTCCTTTTTTTGTATGGAGTTTACGCAGCAGACACAAGAGTCTGTCAGTGTTAGAGTACAAAACAAGTCTTAGCCCTTAAAAACATTATCACGCTGAGATGCTCCTGACTCTGCTTGTTAACCATTTGTAACATTTGGATTTAAGAGAGTGTTTACATGTTTACTCTTTTCAGACATGGATCATACAGAGTCATGCGTAAAACTATGAGAGTGGAAATCATACTGCAGCAGGTTCAGCCTGTTTTTGTACTAGGGCTGTCAAAATTGCTCCAAACAGTGTCTGCCTAAAATCCAAAGAATTTCCAAACAGAGCTTCTAAAGTTCGTTGAAGTCCAGACCACTCTCTCCGAGTTTGGCTCCGAACATGCCGCCATCTCTCTCTGCATGTGCCATGGTCGGTTTTTGTCGAGTTCCACTGCATGTGCAGCTCCTGTGACCTGTCCCTGACCCTGTTGTTACAGTGCGCTCTTTCGCAAAGGAGCTGCTGTTTTTATTTATTTATTTATTTTCCCCCACTCATTTTTTTTTTCCTGCTGTCTATTTAATATTTGAATATTAATTTTCACACTCAAATCAAAGTTTGAGTTCAGGGTTAAGCAGTTGATGATTTTGTCCTCTCTTTTCACAAAGTTTGACTCTAAATCTCATGAGAAAGTGGCACGCATGAAAGTGTCAGACATTTGTAAAATGAAATGGACCAGATTCTCTAATATTAGGCCTGGGCAATTTGGCAAAAAAACTGATCACGATATATTTTGTTGTATCGTCCGATCTCGATTATTATACGCATCTGTTCTAAAAACGAAAGAAACTAGAGATTGTTTCAACAATTTATTAACAAACAAAGTAAATAACAAAGACTAAGATACACTTAAAAAAATATAAAAACCATTTTAATTCAACAGTACAACAAATGTAGATAAATACTAGATAATACAGTGAATTAGATTACAGTCCTGAGTGTTTTTTGCAGGTATGCAAGACCCAAAATAAACAAATCGCCCCCTCAGAGATAATGAAGATGCCTTAAAATGTAAACGTTAGATGATTTAGAGGTAGATAATACGATTGATCGCTGCTTTGGTCTGGTTGCTGCTCAAGCAAAGAGATCTGGAGCCGGTTGAACTGATATTAAAGTTATGATATCTTAATTCTGGCATAAAGAAATTGTGATGATATTCTTGCCATATCACCTACCCCTAGAAAAACACAGTAGCTATTTGCAATGCTTGTGAAGTACAGGTGACACAAGGAGAAGAACAACAGTGAAGATGTGATTGTGCATCTCAAGAGCTGTCATCCTGAACAGTGTCAAGAGTTTCTCAGCTTCCATTTCAGCCATTTGGCTTAAAAAAAAAACACATAGCAGAGACCACCCAAAGGTAAAGAAGCTTAACAACAAAGAAGTCATTGAATTGATCACGCTGGATAAACAGCCTTTGAGCATGATGGGATAGGTGATGAAGGTCTCTGCGGGTTAATGATGTACTTGGATAGACAGCAGTATCAGTAGCTACCAGACGCTCATTAAAACATGGGTGTCCTTTCAGCTTGCTTTTCTCACCAGTTCCCGGGTTAAACTTTGCCCTTACATGATACACAGCTGTAAGTGATAAATTTGTGTGATCTGATCCAGATAACGAAACGCTGTTTAATGCTGTCGTGGTTTTTCTGTGTGGTGCGTAAACAGACGACAGACGGGGGCTCTATCCGTTTCATTAAACTCTGCGGCAGACCAAACAGGTTCTGATGAAGCTCGAGCTCGTCTGACTTTCTATCAGGCTGACCTGCCACTCCCTCAGATTAACTCACACTGCGGGGTAATCCCTGCTCCTGATTTATTGCAATCCCGTGTCGACTGCGTGGATGTGAGGTTTATTTAGCATCTGGTTTTCTCTGCCTCTCTACTATCACTCTTACTCTCCTTCATCTTCTGTTGGGAAACACTAAGGAAGGTCAAACCTGTGTGCACTTTATGTAATAACCACTTCTCTTTATGCACATACTCAGAGTTATACGGAGGATTTTCTGAGCGACAATCGGTTTGGAGCAGCAATAAAACTGGAAAGAATTGCAATTTAATCCCCCCATATTCATCACTTGACACCCAGCCAAATCAACGCAAAGCGACAGCAGGAATCTGCGTCTTTGTGGTGTAAACATCGAACATGGCTTAAATACAACTATAGAATGGGCATGTGAGGACACAGCAGTGTATACTGACACCAACCTCTATTATTATGTCTTTATAATCATACCTATGCGTCCAATAGACAACCCCCCCCAGTATCTCTTCTCAATTTCTCTCCATCAGCTTAAACAAATCAGCAGAATAAAGACCTCATATCTTGGAACAATGATGTGAAATTCATCAGCCTGGTTTATCAGATGGATTTACTCATGATATTGTATAATGGTTTTACAGACACGCACTGGATTAGAAGTTTTGGACATGGCTCCCTTATGAATGACAGCTCCCCGTGCTTAGTGTCACACATGGACTCGTGAGTGGAGCCGCTGTAATATTTTAGTGTGTGACAGAGGGAGACAAGAGGGAGGAGGGGGGTCTACTGTGGCAGCTGTGGAGCAGATAATCCCTGGCCTGGACCTGAGCCTCTCAAATGGAAACTCCTACAACTATTGTGGCTCAATCAGATTAAAAAGACAAAAAAAAAAAGATCTGCAGAGAGAAAGAGAGGGAGAGAGAGGGGGAATAGCACAATGTTGGCTCTGCTTTGAGCGCAGACACAGAGCTCAGTCAGTCACAATGCTGTGGTTGTCTCCTCTCTGTTTGGTTTAAAAAAAAAAACTGCAAGCCAAGCAAATATTTTATTTCTGCTTTTTGTCATGGACTGCCATTCTTTCAGTTTTCACAGCAACCACACAAACCCACTCGTGTTCAGGTCAGATGTCGCCTCAAAGGCTGGTTCAAACCAACAGTTTTCCAGCCTTTCATACAGTACACTTCTGTTTTTTAATTCTAGATTTTTTAAATAGTCACTCTTTAAATATACTGGCTAGAGAGATGTTTCACAAAGTTTGAACAAATGTCTCTTTATCTCAGGAAAACTGGATTTAAAGCTCCTGTGAGGTGTTTCTAGTCAGTGAAAATTAATAGTGATGTCTCTTTATGATGTCTCTACAAAAGCAAAGTAGACGATCAGCGATGTTATCTCAAAGTTTATGTTGTCATTTTTAATGCTTGTTGCAGTTCCAAGGGGGTAGGTTTGTAGCTTATTAAAGAAGAATTTTTTTAATGTTTTCACCAGAAAAAAATTGCCATAAGTGATGTCAATATCAGCGAGACATAAAATGTGTGTCTTTATTTTTAGAGTGTGCCAGAGGCAGCTTAATAGAAAATATTTGAATATGCCAGTATGAACAGTCTGACTTAGGATCCTCAACCTTTCAACCTAGTCTCCATAACATTGGAATAATGAATAATTTTCCCCGAAACTAGGGTTACAAATAGTACAGAATTTCATCATCTACAGTACTACAGAATAACATTGACATATATAGAGAATCTGTCCCATAGTATGATGACTCACAATCATGTCATCATCTGCTGTTAGGAGGGGTGAGACTATCCAGTTTTCCATCACTACACAGTTCCAAAAACTAGCATCCATAAGTGCTCATGGCAAGGATGGTTCACACAGTTTGAGAAACTGAAATCTTTTCTCAGGAAACAACGAAACATTTCACTTTCTAAACTCCGGAAACTGGTCTCCTTGTTTCTGTGTGACGAGTGTCGTCAATTTAAAATGAGAGGGTTCTTTTATAGGACAATATAAAAATCTGATATATTAGGTTTTTGCACCATCTCTATTTAAACACGGAGTCACTTCAGTATCATCCTCTAACCGTGTTTTCGGTACTAAGGAACATCGCTCATAGAATCAAACTCTGTGTCAATCCACATTTTTATAGTGTCTGAATTTTTTCGGAATAGGATTGTGTCATTTTGGGGAAATGAAAATTGGCCTTTCGTACAGTTGCGCAATGACTTCTTTTACAGTAATGTCACACTGCGAATAAACCCAGATGATAGAGAAAATGAACGGCATTAAACTATATGAAATGTTTAACAGCCTGGTCTGTGTGCGCTTGTCTTTTCAGCCAAATTCACAGTCTGGTACAGACGGCAATGAAAAGCATAGGAGTTAAAAAAAACACCCATCCCTCCAAGCAGTCTATATGCAGTCTGTTCTTAGACTAGCAGAAAATAGCATCTGATCCGACCCACATTCTTCACTCAGAGTTTCAGCCTTTACCCTCAGGGTGAAGATCCAGGCCAGGCTCAGCCACTATAAACATTCATTTCTCTCCATGTCCATGTAGATTCTCAACAACAGGTAATACAGGATGTGCCAAGGGGTCGTTTAATATGTCAGTGTGCAGCAACTGTTGGTGGGTTTATTTATTATATAGCTGTGAAGCTGTATTGCAGCCGTGTTTTTTTTTATCAAATATTGTTGGGTCTGTACCATTTCTATAGTATGTGTTCATGCACAACAGAGTCTACAACATTAAAGTAAACCATATCTTTTAATACGCTGTCATAGTCCTGATTGGTGTCCTCTTTCTGCACTGTCTGCAGCTTCTAAATGATGATGCTATTGTATTTAATACTACGATAAAGTATTAGGGCCACATTAAGAAAAGAAAAAGGAAGACTACGAGATTAAGTAATAAATTTAGAATATAAAGACTTTATTCTAACTTCACCCTTGTAAGTAATTACGTTCCTATAACTTTATTCTCGTAAGCAACTACTTTAATATGACTTTATTCTTGTAAGTAATGATTTTATTACGACTTTATTCTCATGAGCAATTGCTTTATTACGACTTTATTCTAGTTAATAATGACTTCATTCTCGTACGGTAATGACTTTAATCTTGAAGTCTTTTTTTTCTTAATGTGGCCCTAATACGCTGTCGTATAATACAGTATCTTCTATAGGCATTAAAATCAAAAATGTTGTCAGTCTTTTCACTGATAATCTGTGTGATCTTCATCGCTATAAAGAGTAGTGTTTTCTACACATGAAAGATACTTGGACAGGCCACTCAGGTATACAGATTCCAACCATTTTCTTCATTTAATCAATCGTTTACATTTGCCACCATTGTGTGCACACTCTGCACCAAGTACATATGCTGGCTTTCTGTCGCCCCAACTCCATAAGTAACATTTTAGCTGAAACATCAGAGAGGAATCATTGTTTATATCTGTCTGTTTCATAACTGGTCAAAAACTACTCACTGGGGCTTTAACGTCACCTAGCAGATACTGCAAGTGTGAGTTTGTAAGCACAGTGATCATCTACAGCTGCACTGTTCCTACAAGTGGAGTAGATGACAAACTCTTGAGGCTGGTACTACATGTGGGCTCTCAGCCGGGTCAGTCAGCTTTTGAAGGCAGCAGCTCTTAAAGGTTGGTTTGGTGTGTCAACATCCAGCCTGGGGGCTGCAGGCTGAGGCCCTTTGTTTGTGTCTTGGATCAGAAAACGCCACATTGGCTGACATCAACACAGTCACTCTGTGTGGTTCCCTGCGATGCTCTGAACTCACTATTGTACAACAATATCTGTAAGTCCACATTGTTACACACCCACATACATTCGCACCTACTCCCCCTACTCCTGATCATGACCTACTCATGTTTTCAGTCCAAGGCCACTCCCTGATCCTGGTCTTGTGCGGGGTTAGCAGCTGGGGAAGGGCAGTGACAGCTGGCATTCTGCAGGCTCACTGAAGCAAGCAGACTCGGGCCACTTGCACTACATGGGGGCCAATCTAACAGCTGTCAGGGGCTGGGTCAGAGGGAAATTATGCATTAGAGCCGTGAGGAAGATGCGGAAGAAGGAGTGGGAGTAACAATGTGATCAGAAAAATAGAAGGATGGAGAGAAATGTTTGAATCTAAAATGCACGGAGGCATCTGAGCCGTGTTTTTGTCTGATGTTATCTCCCCTGTGACGCCCCATTAAGGATTGTGTGGCTGCCTTTGCCAATTTTTTCATCCTTTCTATGAATTATTCAGATGAGCTGCGATCAAAGACGGTGAAAGGAATTGCTTTTAGCAGCATTGACTCATGTAAATTTTCAGAGTTTAACTGAGTCATTCTTCAGTGCCGGGATGAGAGGGGCGAGACCAAAGCTTGTCCCGCCGCTTTACTTTAAGCTCCTCCAAGAAGTGACAGCTTGTTCTCTGACATTTTGGGTCTATCCTAAGAGAAGCTTCTTTATGCAACAACACTTAATGGGAGGTGACATAACGAAAAGCTGTTGCTCAGTTTTCCTCTGAAATACACAGGAGAGTGTTGTAATGAATGTGAAACAGGGATGTATTTTAAATTTACCTCATAATGTTCAAGAGGATAATTCCCAACACTGTCTTCAAACCTGCAAACATGAAGTGGCGTCACATTTCCTGAAAGAGTCTATTTTTAAATGTAACAGTGGAGTGAATAATGAATGAAAAGACACTCACGGGCATCATTTTTGAAGACGAGTCAGCTGCTGCAGCACCAAGGTTAATTTCCTTTAGCGGGGTCTGACTCTAATAAGCACAAAGTGGCACATAAATATTGAGTCTGACTCACATTGGTTGCGGTGCAGGTGTGTCGTGCAGGTGGTGCATCACACTTTGTGAGGCATGAACACCCTCGCAGCTGTCTCTGTGTGAGATCTGCATCTTTGAAGCAGTTTACCTCAGTGGCACAGACACATTATCTGCTCTCTCTCGCTCGTTTGACTCTATCTAGTAAAGCTTTTGAAATTGTTAACATGTACTTGCCGGCTGCTCTTCTCGGCTGTGTCCTTATATTTACCCAGCGGTTATCTAACATGCAGTACGAGTGCGTCCCTCAGTCACAGGAAATTAAAGGAAATGGCTTAAAGCTAAATTTAGGAGCTTGCTTTCCATTGTTGACATTTTATATGACTCTAACCTGAACCATTTCCTCTCTCTCTCTTTATTTTTGAACACCAGGTATTAAATGAAGAGTGTGATCAGAACTGGTACAAGGCAGAGCTAAATGGAAAAGACGGCTTCATCCCCAAGAATTACATAGAGATGAAAGCCCATCCGTAAGTATTCTACACCCCTGTTTTTCTTATCTAATGTTTTGAAATATACATGTGTGCACTGCATACTGCTGTGTCTCATGGTGTACTTACATCCCTTGGAAAAGCTGAAAGAATACCAGAGATTTGTACAAGTGTTAATTCTTTAAGTAAATGCCTTAATGTGTTCAACAAACAAAAAATATAAAGGTGGGAGCAATGAATCACCTTTTATGTATGATGTCCTCACTATGAGTGCATTTGTAACATGACAATCCGTTTATTACAAGGTAGAAACAGAGAAAGTAGAAGCTGATAAAAAACAGTAAGATTAATAGATAGCAAAAAAAAAAATGTGGGTCTGTAATTCAGTTATTATATGGAAAAGGGATTCATTGCAAATTAACCAAATATTATGGTAACACTGTATTTGACACCTATAACTTGTTATAAATGTATGTATAATGCGTTATAATAACGTATCGCACTTAAAAACACTCATAAATGATCATAATGCTTTATAGCAATAATCATAACACATTAAAAAGCATTTTATCATGACTTATAAGGTCAGGTATAACAGTTGGATTGCATTATCCATGTGGGTATTGTCAGTGAGTTTTAAACAGTTATAACACATTATAATACCTGACCTTGTAAGTCATGATAAAATGCTTTATAATGTGTTATGATTATTTCTATAAAGTATTATGATCATTTATGAGTGTTTATAGCTATAGTTATACAGTCCTATAACATGGTTATTACGCATTATACATATATTTGTAACACATTATAGAGAGAGGCGTCAAAAAAAGTGTTACCTCGATTATATATCTTTTGTAAATGTACCTTTACGGCAGATTTAAGTTATTTGTATTCCTGCAACATTTATCTTTTTATTTTTTTTTGTAAGTGATGTTTGAGTTACAGCACTTCATTGGTAAGTATACTTACCACAATGGATGCTGATCAGCTCGGCCTCGTTAATGAGAAAACACTATTAGAGCGTACAATGCAGAGCACTTCTCTGAGTGTGTTGCATCTGCAAATGGTGCAAAATCACTTTCCCTTTCCGAAACAAATGTCTCTCTCTGATGGCAAAGTAAAGTGCAGAAAACTTCTGTGTAGAGCGTACTCTCAAAGAGATGAGTGTTCGGGTCAGAGTCTCTCAAAATCACCAACATTTTGTGGCTGAGTCGGCCTCATCCGCTGAAAACGATAGCGAACTAAGAATCCTGTTTCTGCCGGCAGTTCAGAAATGGGGCAAAGCTGACCGGCATCAACTGTGGCTACTGCACTTCCTTGTGACATTTAACTCTTTCAGCCCCACTTCAAAAATACTAAAATATATCCGTTTAAGGCTGTCTTTTTAGGCTTGCTTTCCACAATATTACTGCTGCATCACTTCCTGATTTCATAAACTACAGGTCTGGCTGGGGGTCATGATCACACAAGTTAAACCCTCATTCAATAAGTGGCTTGATTGCTGTTCCTTGCAGTAATTTTGACAGCCCTAAAAAAACATAAATCACATAAAAATACAACACAAATATGTGTAATGGTTGAAAACAGACGAAGAATAGGTTGAAAGCTGAGTCAAAGAGAGCGCACTTGCAGTAGTAACCAAGATCCTTATGTTGAACTCTTCAAGAGTTATTAGCTCATAGATGGGGAGGAATGAAGTTCACTTTTTTGTTGAGCTCTTACCTTTTGCAAGCCAATTCTGTAATTAAACAAATGAAATTAAGGAATTGAAGAACCCCGGTTGGAACCTCGCAGCCATTCGTCTGAAAACACAGAGAGGAAAAAAAAGCCAAAAGCGATGGCAAACAGAGCCGTTAAGAACTGCTAGTGTCAGGAAGAAAATGCTTTAATGCTCGTTTCTAACCCTCCTCAGGCTTTGTGCCGTAATTGCGGGGGAAAAATTTGCAGTTGCATGAAGCCAGTGCACCTAATGAAAGGTTTTCAGCTACAAAGTTGTTGTTGAGTGAAAAAGACGCTGTCTGAAGTGAGAGTTAGAAGTGTATCATACCTCTGAGGAAAAACCTTTATTCTTTCAAAACGTCGCCATTTAGGCAGAAGCAGGGTGAAAAGGCTTTAAACCTGACATTCTTTAATGGTAGGCTTTTTATTTGTCTTCATTCTTTATCTGAAAATATTCAAACATATAAAGAGCATTTGCCTTCAGTTGCCCGCCTGTACTGCAGCCATATTAACTGTCAGCTGCTGCTCAGGTTGAATAGGTTTGAAGTGTCACTCTTATTAGACTCGATTGTATGTGACGTTCAAGTGTGTGTGGGCTGAAACCACTTTAGAGAGCGCCCGGCAGGATCCTTAGAGGACATTACCTCTGGACCTGCGTTCAGTGCCAGATTAGCTCTCTCTTTATTAACGTCCTCGAGGCCTCTTACTCGTAATTGAATATTGACCTTGTTGCATCATTGCTCGGTCGCTATCAGATGTACCTTTTTTTTTTAGGCAGGAGGGAGGTCATTGTGTTGGTTGCAACAATACTGTAGTGTGTGCAATCTTTTTTTATGTCTAAGGGGAATCGATATGAGCAGGGCATCATGTATCTATAACACTAAAACTCTTATTGTCTCTATAATCAAGGCACTGAGGAGTGTTGTAGTAATTTTGAAAACATTCTGGTCAAAACAAAATACTCATTGTTAAAAAATATACGCACCAATGTGACACAGACCATAAAATTGACAGGGTTCTTACAAAAGTATGGAAATACATTTGATCAATTTCCAAGTCTTAAAAAGTATCGAAAATGAAAAATAGAGTATGGAAAAATATTTTTGTTTCCAGACTATTACCATACTGTTTTCTTCAATAGAAAAGTAGGTATTTCCAAAAATAATTCTAAAAAGTAGCGTATGGAAAAGTGTGGAAATTCCAACTGTGTAGGAGCCCTGAAATTGAGTGGAAACTTGCTCTTCAGGGATTATTCTAGCTATTCTATTTATTACTTATTGATTATTCTAGCAAGATATGTATAGATACTTTCTGTAACCGTCTACTGATTCTGCAAATATAACAAAACAAACTTGTGGATCTCACTCTGGCAAATTTGCAGTAATACTTTTGATTAATGTTTAAAAAAAGGTCAAATGTTTTTATGCTCATAGTTAAATAATTAAGTTAAAAGCACCATCACTTTTTCAATCTTGTTCTAGCTTGGAGTTCTCTTCAGAAAAGGGTATAAATTTAAACATGGTTGCAGGTGCCAGCAAGTCCAAAGTGGGCTGGTTGAACTGACAGGTGAAATATCCTAGTCCCTTGTAGGGGGTCTACAGTACAGCCTCCACCATGTCTTCACCCACTTTTTCTTTTTGTCTCTACCAACCGTCTCCTTCTCAGAATAAATACACAGAATAAAGTTCCTCAAAATAATCCTCAAATAAAATGTTGATGTTGGTTTTAAAAAGTCTCCAGACAGTCAACTTGAAGTGTCAAAGATGAGTTTGGCCACGTCTGCCTTAAAGCAAACCACTTCCCATTTCAAAGTGTCTTGCAAAAATTTGAGGCCTCACCAGTCATCACAGCATCTTAGACTTAGGCAGACTTTGACTGGGAGATGATGGCCAGCCCTTCAAGTTGCCAAAAATCCCATACAATCAGTTAAAGTTGTCGAAATAAACAAAAGCATGATACTTTTTAATACCATATGTTGTTAAACAACACCAACAATGTTATTTAAACATATGATAGTATTGAAAAGTACTAACTAGGGCTGTTGCAATATACAACTATTGTCCATAACCATCCTTTAAAAAAAAGGAAGTACTGATGTCATGCTAGGATTACGCATGTGGTTATATGGAGAGTAAATAGTTCAATAGTTTAAGTCCTTTAAAAAAAAGTAAATTCAAAGAAGAAGAACAAGCGGATAGCAAACTAGTGGTAGCTTCCTCTCAGAGTGGATTAAATGTTTAGAATCCAGAAGTAGTATTAGAGCTTGTGCCTCTTTAGGGTTATTAATCCATCAAATGTTGTTCTTTCTGTCTTCATACAATCCCATAAATCACAATCCACTGGAAGCAGCAGATATTTCAAAGTAAAAAGCAATTTTTTTTACAATTCAGGAAAGAAAGTAACATGAAAAATACAATCATAGGAACATTCAATGGCCATGACAATCATAAGGGAAATATCTTATACTGAGACAGAAAAGTGTGATCATAAAAACTAGTTCAAAACCATTAAAATCTTGAATAACTTATGTTCCAATATATTTTGTTGCAAACATTCCGACTAGAAACGACACAACCTCCCTGACGCCTGGTTCACACAGGAAGCGCCGCGCGCGGAACGGAAGCGCCGCGCGCGCGCAGCGCCGGCTCGCGCTTGGCTGTTCACACAGGAAGCGCTTTCTGCTGCGCTCTGACATGCCGGTCAGACATCGACTGAGCCCGGTAGTGCTCGGCCGTTTCCGTCTGCCCTCAGTTTTCCACACTTACGAGCGCTTTAAAAATGGGTAAATCACTATTTATTTACGTTTTTATTTCGTCATACATGAATTAAATATTGACAGCATCTTCAAGTATTGTTTTAAATTATTATATAGGGGTAAACGACGAATAAATTGGGGAGTCTGTTGACTCCGTTGTATGTATAGCCTTGTTAGCTCGAGGCTATTGACTGTATCGTAATAAAGTCCCCCCCCCTTTGTCTCAATAACATCACTGAATCCCTGCAGCTCTCCCTCCGTGTGTGTGTGTGTGTGTGTGTGTTCATCGGTAAAAAAAAAATAGACCGACAAGCAACACTGTCAATCTTTTTCTAATTTATTGAAATTTACTTTATTTTGAAAATTGACCGGATTCTCTCGCATCTCCTTCCTGACTTCCTGTCTGGTCCGATCTGCTCTGTTGAGCTTTACATCGGCGCGCGCGGCTCGCGCCAAAAATAGAGAGAAGTGGAGCAGCCGCGCTCCAGAGCGCGAGCCGTTCCGCGCGCGTGCTGTGTGAACAGTCTCATAGGTTAACATGGGCGCCGATCTGAAACTCTGTGCGCGGCGCTTCCGTTCCGCGCGCGGCGCTTCCAGTGTGAACCAGACGTAAGAAGCAGGAACAGCACAGCTGAGTGGACCATGAAGCTGCTGGTATTCGCCTCACTCTCCCACTGTGGTGACAATGAAGTGCCATCTGAACACACCAGGCACCCACACAGCACACAGACACACAACTTCAGCTGTGCTATACACAGTCACAGTGAGAGAGTCAGAGCCCTTTCTGTTTGTGCATACATCTGCCGCCCTGCCCGACAGTAACATGTTGTTGTAGCTAACACTTAGCTATGTGGGACTTCTAGAAATAGACGTCAAAGCTCTTCATAAAGGTTGAGTTTTAGGTGTGTCTGTCATAGAGCGATGAAAAGAGCTAGAGGAGTTACAGTCTGTTATCACTTTTATCAAACAAGGAAGAAAGAGCCGGTGTGTCTGCTTGTTTTGCTGCCACAGATCAAGAGTTAGCCATTTCATTATTGATTTTCACCTTTGCGTAAAAGAGCCAAGATGTCATCTTTTGGCTGACTGTACTTTTTAATTATTTACACCAGTTGAGAGCTTTTGCTTGCTTTGTCTCCCTCTCTCAATCTTTCTTTATCGCTCATGCTTATTTTCTTTGTCAGGGCTTTCTCATAGGGATATTTTAGTGATCCAAATAATCCAAAAATGCATATAAAGCAATAGAAAACTTCAAGTGTTACTGTGTCTTAATAGCAAGATTCAAAACACAGATGCTTACAAGTGCAAATAATGTTGGAACAGCAACATTTATGGAGCAAAATGTGTTTTTTATGTGTGTGCTTTTGCAAATTGACCACTGTATCTAGATAACGACTAATCTGCTTCAGCTTTATAGGACTGGCAAATGCTTGTTCAACTTTGTCCTCACTTCCTGGTGTGCTCATCCTCTATTGTTTGTCTCAGTAATGGCAGGGAGTGCGCTCTGTGTGGTCCAAAGAGCACTCCAAGTAACTTTTAAAATGTATGTAGGTCTCGCTCTTATCGAGCTCACTGACTGTCACCAGTGGGCAGTTTGAGGGGTCAGTGGTTAGCATGGTCTCCACGTGTAAGTCTCTGAAGTCAGCAGGAAGGAGGTACGATGTTTGCATGATCACACCCAGACCTCTGCAACTTCCTCTTTCTACCCACAGACTCCTCCATCTGAACTGAAACTCTGAATACTCAGGGGTGTGAATCTGAATGTGTTTAAAGACATGGAAGACAAACCCGACTTCAACGCAACAAACAGTGTAAAAGAAGAATGAATTGTATACGGAGGGTTGTAACACTGCCACCGAATGTTTAGCAGTATCAGGCTTTAAAGTTTCTGCTTTTAGTGATCTATTTAGCTGCTGTCCATGGACTAAATCTGACACTTAAATAATCTCAGCTGGCCTGTTAGAAATGAACACAAACATAGAATTGAAAAGCTTTTATGTAACAGGCTATCAATGTGCTATCAGTCCTTTTAGGATGGACTGGAATCAAAGTTGACATTCTTTTTGGAAACCAAGATTCATGATTGGTTTATTTGTCATATGCAGGTTAAACAAGGTCAACAATGCAATGAAATGCCCTGGATGAGGGGACTGCTCGACCCAAAGGAGTACAGATAAAACACGCAATAAGTACTGAGAAGGATACAATAAAATAAGGATACAAAAATAAAGAAGTATAAAAGAAAATATTTACAAAGTGTACAAGCAATGCAGTAGGTGCTGAGTGTAAATGTACGCAAAGGAGGATAAGTCAATGGGAAAAATGGGGTATGAATTGCTGTATTGCACATGATATTGCACGTCACAGATAATATTGCACATTAAGTAGATTATTGCACAGAGTATTGTCCGGTGATACTGTCAGGAATGATGAACCATGGACAGTGTGTCCTCTGCTCTAAAGAAGAGGGACCACATCGCTTGTTGGTCCCTGTCCTACATCTCTGATGGTATGGGAATGCAGGGGCACAAGTGTCGGTAAACATACTCTTATCCCAACAGTTTGCATCAAGATTTTTCAGTTATTTTGGAAATATTCTTCATCAAGTTTAGGCTTTAAATGATCAGCAAACCATCCAATCATGTTTTATCAACATGTCACAAAGAGAACAAGTTGTTTGAAATTGATGTTGTGGGTTTAATGCAACATGGCAATTTATTGAAATAACAGTCACTTCCCTTTTCTGGTTAAAATAGACACTCAACGGCAAAATTCTCAGTTAAAGTAGGACCGTGGCCTTTGCACTAAACCCCAGAGCCTGTGGGTCTGTGTGGTCTCAGAATAGTTTATAAAAGGGGAAATTAGATCCACTAATGTGACAGGACTAGTCGCCTAGAAACAACGCACAATCTTTGATATTAGATGAATAAAGCTTTGCCTTCAGGATGTATTTATGTTTGTTTTAACTTCATGTAACCTTGTCTTCAGGAGTAAAGTGTCTATTGGTACAACTTTTCAAACAAAATATTGATGCTTGGCAGGATACATCCCTGAATTATCCATGTTTTGTTTGTGTATACTTCATGGGGGGAATATGTATGTCACCCCTCTGCAAGATGAGAAGATCTTATAGTGAAGTCTGCAGAAATCAGGGCTGCAGAAAAGTTCAGAAGTCCTCATTTGACTTTGACTTCCAGAAGATGGAGGTAGAAAGCGGTTGCTTTTTCTGCACTGCTGAGCCGATGCTAACTCCTACCTGTTTCCCGCCTCCCCCAGGTGGTTCTTCGGGAAGATTCCTCGGGCCAAAGCAGAGGAGATGCTCAACAAACAGAGGCACGATGGAGCCTTCCTCATCAGAGAGAGCGAGAGTGCACCAGGAGACTTCTCCCTCTCTGTGAAGTAAGCAGCAGCAGAAGCAGCATCAGCACACGGAGCGAAGCATGATTCACACTCACACTGTACTCTATAAATACAGTTTAACATTATCCTCATATCAGCGCACAGCTCCCCCTCAACTGATCAGGTTCAGAAGTTTCCATAGCCGGTTTATCTGAGTCATCAGCGCTGCCTCTTCCTTATTCCTGTGGAGCCTCACTGCTGCCCTCTGGGGTTTCCATACTGTAATTGTTATTTGTGGTGTTTGGACACGAGCTCTTTTTGTACTTCCTGTTTTAGCTGACACGCACAAGACTCATTCATTTCCTCTTCTGTGACTCGCCCATTTCAGACTTATCCAAAAGTCTCATCAGATAACACAGAGCACTTTACATGTAAAGTGGATGATCGGACACAGATCTTAATTACTGTCTGGATTATCCTGGTTCCACTCAGTCAAATGAACCGGTCGTGTCAGCGACAGACTGACTAACACTGAGCAGTCTGCCACAGTCACGCCTTCTAGATTTGATAAGAGGGGTTATTGTCTGAGTATTTAGTTGTTATAATCTGCCTACCAAATACCACAAGTGTATTTTGTTAACTTCCTCTGTAGATCCCCTCCTCACACTTTTTCTCTCTTTACCCCTGCCAAGGTTTGGAAATGATGTCCAGCATTTCAAGGTTCTTCGTGACGGAGCTGGAAAGTATTTCTTATGGGTGGTGAAGTTTAACTCCCTCAACGAGCTCGTGGACTACCACCGCTCCACCTCAGTCTCTCGCAATCAGCAAATCTTCCTGCGAGACATAGAGCAGGTCCCCCAGGTAAGAGAAAAGTCATGCAGAGATTCAGGCCCTAAAACTAAATCAGAAAAGTGTCTCAGTACAATAATATGTGTTATAAACCACAGTTTAATCTCAAGACACAATCAGACACAAACATGTTCATATAGACCTCTAAAATACAGATGGATTTCAACAAATTTAACATTTTTTAAAATTTTGTCATGATTTATTTCAAGAGGAAACATTCACGTAATCTGCATCTATTGTGAAGAATCCAGTATCTCAGATTCATAGACATTTTTATCATGAACACTCAGAAAAACAGGATATAAAATATAGAAATGTCTAACTTCTGAAAAGTCTGTTCATTTATACACACAATACTTGGTCGGAGCTCATTTACCTTCAATCACTACATCAAACAGCCTTTAGCGCTCTTCAGGAACCCCATGTTGCTCTCATAGCTACCCACAGCTAGCCTTCATTTTCGACTCGGGCTTTCATGTTCTCCTGTTGACGATAACCCACAGTTTCCTGAAGGGTTCAGGTCAGTTCATCTGGCTGTCCAATCAAGCACAGTTATAACATCGCAGGCTAACCATTAGTAAGGGTTTTGACGGAGTGGGCAGGTGCTAAATTCAACTGGAAAGAAAATCTGTATCTCCATAAAGGCTATCTTAACTTGATTATGTTTGTGTGCACTGATCTGAACTAAGAGATACAGAATTAGGGCTGCACCTAACGATTATTTTCTTATCGATTAATCTAACAATCATTTTTTCGATTAGTCGATTAATCTATTGACTAATTTATCGATTATTCTACCAATTATTTTTTATTTACCTATTAATATAACTATGAATTTAACCAAAATAGCCAGTACAAACTTGTCCTGTTAGTATTTAATTCAATGATTTAGTCAAGAATCTCTTGAAATCAAACAAAACAGAATATTTAGGTTATAAAATCCGGGAGATTTTTGCTGCACGCGCCAGGCAGTTTTGGGGTTACCTTGTATGGTGGATATGGGCTCATTATGAGATTATTTGTGATTAAATTGCTCATCTGAATAAGTATAAGTGAAGCTGCACACTTTTTGTTTTGTTCTAACAATAAGAAATGGTATTAAAAAAATAATAGCTACGATAAGCCTTGAACTTCTTTAGTCCACTAATATTAGTGTTAAAGTCCTAGTATGTTTTACATGCTCTCCTGTATGAGGCTCTCTGAACATCTGTGCGTGTAATACAGCGCTCTTAAATCTGAGGCTGCCCTGAACGCATCACTTCGAGACACTGAAAGACCATCAACATAAATATTATATGTCACGTTTGTAGTGCTGGGCGATAGGACGATACATATCGTGGGCACGATAGAAAATGTCTATCGTGCCATTTTTATTTTTATCGTTTCGGGCGATAGGCTGTATTTTATCCATAGGGCTTGTGCCATCAGATGATTCATAGTAACAACAACAATAATTGCACATTCAGTAAGTGTATTTGGTGTCAAACGGGAAAGAAAACAATATTTTCTTACAAAGAAAAGGATGCGTTGACATGTAGGCTTGCATTTCTCTTTCGATTTTGCGACATGACGCCGCTTTACGTTACGTGCATTTTCGACTCGGGCTTTCATGTTCTCCTGTTGACGATAACCCACAGTTTCCTGAAGGGTTCAGGTCAGTTCATCTGGCTGTCCAATCAAGCACAGTTATAACATCGCAGGCTAACCATTAGTAAGGGTTTTGACGGAGTGGGCAGGTGCTAAATTCAACTGGAAAGAAAATCTGTATCTCCATAAAGGCTATCTTAACTTGATTATGTTTGTGTGCACTGATCTGAACTAAGAGATACAGAATTAGGGCTGCACCTAACGATTATTTTCTTATCGATTAATCTAACAATTATTTTTTCGATTAATCTATTGACTAATTTATCGATTATTCTACCGATTATTTTTTATTGACCTATTAATATAACAATGAATTTAACCAAAATAGCCAGTACAAACTTGTCCTGTTAGTATTTAATTCAATGATTTAGTCAAGAATCTCTTGAAATCAAACAAAACAGAATATTTAGGTTATAAAATCCGGGAGATTTTTGCTGCACGCGCCAGGCAGTTTTGGGGTTACCTTGTATGGTGGATATGGGCTCATTATGAGATTATTTGTGATTAAATTGCTCATCTGAATAAGTATAAGTGAAGCTGCACACTTTTTGTTTTGTTCTAACAATAAGAAATGGTATTAAAAAAATAATAGCTACGATAAGCCTTGAACTTCTTTAGTCCACTAATATTAGTGTTAAAGTCCTAGTATGTTTTACATGCTCTCCTGTATGAGGCTCTCTGAACATCTGTGCGTGTAATACAGCGCTCTTAAATCTGAGGCTGCCCTGAACGCATCACTTCGAGACACTGAAAGACCATCAACATAAATATTATATGTCACGTTTGTAGTGCTGGGCGATAGGACGATACATATCGTGGGCACGATAGAAAATGTCTATCGTGCCATTTTTATTTTTATCGTTTCGGGCGATAGGCTGTATTTTATCCATAGGGCTTGTGCCATCAGATGATTCATAGTAACAACAACAATAATTGCACATTCAGTAAGTGTATTTGGTGTCAAACGGGAAAGAAAACAATATTTTCTTACAAAGAAAAGGATGCGTTGACATGTAGGCTTGCATTTCTCGATTTGTCAGATTTTGCGACATGACGCCGCTTTACGTGCCCTCTTCGTGTCCAGCGTCTCCCGCCGTTGCGGGTTACCTGGGTTACACACGTGAGGGGATCATCGTAAGCAGTGCTTAATTTGTGCCGGAGCAAGTCGGAGCGCGATCCGGGACCTCTTTTGATCGGATCCGGGACCTATTTCAGCCGCTCCGGCACCTGTTTCATCTGCTCCGGGACCTTCCCTGTAGAGGATGACATTTTTCGGGAATTCCCGTGGGTCACGTGATTCCCGCGGGAATCCCACGGGATGGGAGTCATTTTTAATTAATCCCTTGATCGGGACGGGGAAAAAGGCAACGGGAGTGGGCAGGAGCGGGAACAACATTAAAAGATGATCATTTTCAGCCGTGTTAAACAACCAGATGAACAGGTGCGTCCATTTTTGTAGTCATCTCTCAGTGAGAGCCAACACTCTTGACCGCGCTAGCAACACAAAAGAACTACAACAGTGGTTTGACTTCCTGTCAGCTGGGAGCGCGGCTGCGCATTTCTACCCGTCAAGCCAGCAGCGAGGAAACGTAATTTTGTGACATTCTGTAGTTTTTCAATCATTTCTGGAGTCGTGGCGAATCAAATCACCTTACCTGTCTGCCCCTGATAGGCGAATAAAGCGCTCGGATTCATGCTCGGGTCTTCCTACGTGCTTCAAGAGTAAAGTAAACAATGATGGAGGCAGAGAGCAGCTTTGGAGGAGAAACATCTAGCAGTGTGAACAACCTCTTCAAAAGAGCCCTAAAGACCTACCTTTTTAATAAAGCCTTTGGTTAACTTTCCTCTATGCTTTTACTACCTTGCCTCTTTCATTGCAACTCTATATTTTTTATTTTTTTTTAATTCTTTTTTTATGCCAATCTGTGACTGTCATTCTATTGCTTTTTTATTGTTGCTGCTCTTTTTTTACTGTGTACTGTAGCACTTTTAGATTTTTTGTAAATGTAAAGTGCATTACAAATTAAATTTATTATTATTATTATTATTATTATTATTATTATTATTATTATTATTATTATGGAGTGCTTTGGCTCACACTATCGGCGTTTTCTGTGAGTGTTGCATAACTTTGGGTGAGCACAGACATGAATGCACTTCGGCCACGTATTTATTTATTCATTTTTCTAGTTTTAAGTGCTGGTCTTGTACTGGTACTGTACTAGTGCAGCTGTATACACTTAAATTTTTCATAGAACTGAAAGCATACCGTAGCTATATCGTGATATATATCGTTATCGTGATATAAAATGATCCATATCGTGATATACATTTTTTTCCATATCGCCCAGCACTACACGTTTGTTGTAAAATGAACCCTTCAATGAAAGGGAAACAAACACGGGACAATCTTCAGTTGTCAAGAAACCTGGAAAGGTTGGACAAATATAGTTCCCCGGGAGGAATGACAATACATGAGGTGGGTGGGAGATAGGTCTGAAATACGGTAGAGTCCCGAGAAAAACAAGAGTGTTGGGAGGTATGGTATCAGTATACATATGAGCTTGCGATCGCTGAGTATTGGCGAGCTGTCGTCGGCAATCACACAGCTGATTAATTAGCGAGTTATCGGACCCGAAGTAGCCATTGTCTACGTCATCATGCGACAAATTTTTGTAGTTGATTACGTCAACGAATCGCCCCAGCCCTAGTTAGAATAGTAAGTTGCTCAAACTTCAAATGAAACGTTCTATACTTTTGGCCAATTTTAACAAAATCCAACTAGAAAACTGCTTGAAGCATTTTGGTTTTAATGCATCAAGTCTATGATATGTCGATTGTCTTAAACATTTATTTTATTGAGCTTTTTCATGATGTTCTGACTCAGTGAGATACACTGACAGGTTCAAAGTTGCAGAGCCAGACAGAACTTATTTGCTTCTATCAATACTCGCACGCCATTTTATTTGCTAAGAAAAAAAAGGAAGCATCAAAAATCTGCCTTTACATAGTTCAGTGAGCTTGATAGTTATGGTTATGCCATACATACAATAAAGTTTTAATTAATGCAAAGGTGCAAAGGAGTGCCTCTTTGTGGGTTGTGGGCTGTGAGAAGGGGAAGGGGGGAGGGTTGATGTGTGAAATCTTGTGAACTGTTCTGAGAAGTCATTTGAATACACCAAAATAGTGTTTTATTTGCACCTCTGCTGTCATAATACCCCACTGGAGAACATGCTCTAATAATTTCAGACACCAGTAACAAATTTGCAGAAGTAGCGAAATTATTGAAATATTCAGGGGAACAGTGACGCAAATGCAGAGCATCACTTTGTCTGGGTGAACGCACTGTGGCGTGAGATGGTTCAAAGCGCCAGAAGTGTCTTAAATTTCACACATGGGACCTGAGACGGTTTTTTCATCACTGCACGTCAACATTATTACCTCATCTTACATTTCGGCAACAAAGCACGAGTTAGACCGCGGTAGTTCAACCGTTCAAGTGCAGAGCTTCTACTATATGTTAAAAAGTAGGTAACAGACAAATATCAGTGACTCATTGCGAAACGAGACGATTTCTAAAGAATTTCTGTGATATTTGAGCGAGTCTGGACGTCTGCAGCTGGAGGAAGTGAGTGAGAGTGACGCTGGTAGCCGGCAGGTCTAAAGGACAGCTGCAGGGAAAGAAGAGGTCAAATTTAAGCAGAACCATCCAGAAAAGAAAGAGATGAGGAGAGGTTTCAGGTAAGACAGCTAGAGGGTAAGAGCAAGATAAAGTAAGAACAAGTCTGTGTCAGATAGTGAGGGAGGCAGACGGAGTTAGCTGTTGGCCCAATCTCTGCCTCAGATTGTCTCCTACATAGTATTACTTTGGTCATGTCTTTTACTTGTCCTGTAACCTGTTGCATCACTTTAATAAAATAAAAAGCAGGATAAAAAGAAAAAGAAATGATGCAACTAAAAGGGAAAAGTGAAACCTTTCAGCAACAAGTCAAGACGAATGCATTTACATGAAATGTGTTGCAATGAAGCTCAGTTTAAACAATTTTATAACACAGTGTAGAGAGCACATGCAAGAAAAGAGGGACTGGAGGAGCACAAACATTGACTGCTGCACTTGTCGTTAGTATGCATTTGAAAATCAGGAACTGGATTTTTTTTAAATAGTCAACATGAGATAAAATTTCTGATTCTACATGCAGGTTTACGCCCACTCAGTCATTGCACAAAAAACATCGAGTTTATCAAACAGACTTTGCTCCTTATGTGTGCAGATCCTGCTGTTATGTTGCTTCAAGAAAAAAAAAACATTAGTTTACCTTTTTTTTTAATGCACTTGTAGGGCTGGGTGATACAGGAAAATTTTATCACGACATATTTTTTTCATATCAGTCGATATTGATATATTTTGGCTTCAAATCCATATACAGGCGGTAGGGGGAACCAAGTTGTCCATAGTATATACAGTCTATGGCTCTAATTCAGCACAATTGTTTCATGTGGACCAATCATTGGCTATTTCTATAGTCCACCAAAACATGGCAGAATGTCAGCTTTTGAAAAGTGTATTGACCAGGCTTCATATCAATTTTAAGGGAAATTAATTTTTGATATATATCATTATCGTTTTATCACCCAGCCCTATGCACTTGTCATCTATTCTTCATACTATGACATTTCTTTGAACTGAAAGGAAAATGTAATAAATAATTTATGAAAATTCAAACCCTCCTATCAAACCACCCCTCATCCCTCAGTTGTGGGATGTGTCATGGCGTGGATGAATTCGTTGATTCAGCGTTTTTCTTCTGTCATAATCCCGTGACAGTTTTGCTAACCAGTCCTCTCCTTCTGTTTGCACAGCATCCCACATATGTGCAGGCGCTCTTTGACTTTGACCCGCAGGAGGAAGGAGAGCTGGGTTTCCGACGCGGCGACTTCATCCAAGTTTTGGACAACTCTGACCCCAACTGGTGGAAAGGAGGCTGCCACGGCCAAACGGGCATGTTCCCCCGCAACTACGTCACGCCTGTCAATCGGAACATGTAAACAGTCAGACCATTTAAACAGCAACAACAACCACCACCACCACAACAGCAACCATCACCACCACCACCGCCATTATCATCATCCTTCTTGATCCCATCAGCCCTCATCCAACCCGCCCCCCTTAAAAAAAACAAAAAAAAAAAAAACAACCCCTCCACCCCCTCTACGCCATCCCACGATAACAGGAGCAGACAGGAAGAAGGCAAACAACCGAAAGAGAGAGATAAAGCAGGAGTAGTGCTGTCGTAGGCGTCGCTGTGTGGGTGGCAGCTGAGCAAAATCAACTTTAACTTGTGCTGAGGATGTTCACCTCCCCAGTGAACGCCTCGGTGAGGATCGAACTGTCTTTGAGGGAAATCTAAATGCAGAGAAACTAAAGAGTAGTGCACCAACCGTGAAGATAACCAAATGATTCTACCGCTCCCACAGCTGCTTCTGTCTTCTCCTAAACTTCTTAACATTCTGCCTTTCTTTTGTGTTTTTTTTTTTTCTTCTTTCTTTGCCGCATGTTGTTTTAATCACCTAAATGAAATGCCTACCGATAAATCCTAACTCTGTTTTAAAGAAAAAAAAAGTCAAAAATCATAAAAAAGAAGAAATGGTTTTAAAAAATGTACAAAAAAAAGAAGAGAGAGAAAAAATGATGCAATCTTCTGAAAAGCAAGTTTCCATGTTTAAGATCATTGGCACGTGAGCAGTGTACATCAGCCATTGGCTGTATAAATAAATCAACTATAGAGAGAATCCATTTTTAAGAATATATATTATATATTTGTATGTGTTTGTCTGTTTTACCTCTCATCACAAATTGTATTTTTTTCCATTTGTAAATTATGTTCAATCTTTTGTTAGTCTGGATAAGACCTAGTAGCTCTAGAATGTGCTGAATTGTCAGTCAAGTTATTTTTCTTCTTCTGAGTCTATCTGAGGGCTCTCAGATAAAAAAAACAGCATGAAATTTAAGGGGTCATAAGTTCCATTCGAAGAGGTTTCTCTTGTTTGTAATGCAAGGAAAGTGGTTAGTTCTCTAAAGGTGTCAAGAAGCTAACGTTGACCAGCAAGTAGAGCCATGAATGCTGCAAGAGCTGTTGTATTACAAAGCCCTGTATAAAGGTCAGCCACCTTTTCAAAGCCAATGTATTTATTGCAGCCATTTTACTTGGGCAGTGAATGTAGCTGACTGAGTCCACAGATATTAACATGAGGGAAGCAAGGTCGGAGAACTGAACTACACAACCATGCAAGGGATTAAAAAAAACTAAGACATGCTGAAAAAAGTAGTGTTGTCAATAGTCATTTTTAAAGAGAATGGTGTGAGAGGATGTGTACAGGTAGTTAACATGCATATTCACAAACAGTCATTACATGCATGCATTCGCAGACGCTCTCCTCCTTGTTATACCTGCACGTAGCAAAGAGGCTGAGTTTGGATAATCACATTGTGTAATCACCGGTGCAGATCTGCAGCTGGCACAGATTAACAGTTCAGAAAACTGAGAGATTGTCTTTTATGCTAAAAGTCGAGAGATCAGCGTTAACGATGTAAAAGTTTTTTTTCCTTTCGTTTGTGTCCAACGTGGCGTGTGGTCAAGCACTTTTTTTGTCAAACATTATGATTTCTGGTCCAGTCACTCAGTGTGCGTGTGTTTGTTTACCGTGTTTGTGTATTTTTTTTTCTTTCGGTTTCTGTTTTCTTGTTCTCTCTGGATAGTGCCTTTCTCTCTGGTGTTTCAGTGTCTCCGACCTGCTACTTTGAGCCCCCCTCCCTTTCTAGGGGCCTGCCAGTCCTGCAGTGAGAAACAGTGTACATAATCCTACCTGTCCCATCCAACAATGCCGCCTCCCCATCCCCAGCCTCCCTACATCAACCCGCCTTCACCTTTCTCCTCACCAACATGGAACTTTTCTTATTTAAGTGTCTCTTGCCTTGTCTTACCTAATGATACTGTTTTGTTTTTGCTCTTTTTTATTTGCATTTGTTTTTTTGTTTTTTCAATTAATAAAATGCAATTATTAAAAAATGAGAAATCCATTTGTGGTCTGTAATGTAGAAGAGGTTTATGCACTCTCTTTTTTTCATGTCAGGCAGGCTGCAGACAAGAGGAAGTGGTTCAGACGTGGGAACAGTGTTACATTTGTCATCTTTATCACCTCTTATTCCTAATGTGCATTTCGTAAATGTAAATGTAAAAGAAAGGTTGGCCTTTGGCCTATTTTTTTGCCAAGGGTGATACTTGGAAATTGTGCTTTGATAAAGTTTTTAGAGAGAAGTGACAGGCGGTGTGAAACAAATGACTTCAACCTGCTTTTATTTTTGCCAAACTACTTTTTGTGAAATTAGAGGTCCAGTTGTCTTCATTTTAAACTTAAAGCCCAAATCGCAAAAAGGTCTGAACACTGAGCAAAGTGTTGACTAAGAACAAATTTTAATTAATTTAATAGAAAGACAGCAAATGCAACATTTGGTGGCAGTGCTGAAACTGAAAATTGAATCTATAGAATATATGTATGTATTCATTTTAAATTTGATGCCAGCAACATTTCAAAAAGGTGGGATGGGGGCATAAAAAAATCACTCAAAAAGTTATGCATTGCCAAAAATTCAAATAAATTTAAAAAATAACATGAACAACAGTAGTTATAAAACCTGGAAGAACAGCTCCTATTTAATAAAGTAATCTAAAACACCTTATTAGCATGAGCAACGGGCATTCCAGCAAGGTTGAGTCTCATGTTGCATTCGAATTACCTCGGAAGTCAGACGTCAGAGCTGAAAATGACGTCACACCCGAGTTCCCAGCGTTTTAGTTACCAAGTCGGTAAAAAGCCAAATCGAAGGCCTTAAACAAGATGGCTACATCTACTAAAGTTGTTTCAGTGGTTGCCTAAAATAACTTTTGTATGTCTAGCCATCTTGTTTCAGGCCTCTGATTTTGCTTTTTTTTCTGACTTGGTAACTGAAATGCTGGGAACTCGGGTGTGACGTCATTTTCAGCTCTGACATCTGACTTCCGAGGTAACTCGAACGCAGCATCAGGCCATTGAAGGAGTTTTACCACTCTGAGAAATCGTGTAAGCAAATAGTTCTAGATTAATGTCCCTTCACGTAAGATTGTTAAAAACTTGGGGCTTTCATCATCTGCAGTACATCACATCATTAAAAGGAAAAAAATATGTAGTTATACTGGATTCAAAACAGACATGACTCTGTAGTGGAAATCACAACAAGGGCTCAAAATCATGCAAGTTAAAACTGTACCATGCAAAAAGAAAACCATTTGTAAACATGATCTCAGGAACACTGGTAGCTTCTCAGGCCCAAGCCCACTCAAGAGTCAAAGTAGAAAGCTGTCCTGTGGTCTGATCAAAAGTTGACATTCTTTTTGGGTATCGTAGACACTTCATCCTCCAAGGAGAGGGACCAGCCAGTATCTTTTCAGCAGAGACTTCGAAAGCGCACACGACACGGGTCGCTTACACATCTGTGAAATCCTCACTGATGCTGAATACCATACAGGTTTTTGGAGCAGAATTAGCTGCCACCTTGAATTGGGGATGTACTTGGATGATCTCATACATGTTCTAAAACAGTGTTCGCCTATAACATTAACCCTTGCATGAACGCAAGACATCATCCAGATCATCACCTTGAAGAATGACTATTGACTCTTGTTGATTTTTATGCCAGTCACCACTGTTAACTGTACTGAATCCCAACAAAGCTGTTGTTTGTGTTTTCCCCTGCAAAGTCTCAGATAAATTGATGCATAATCTAAGTAAAAGAAAGCAAAAAAATATTTTTTTCAATAATACCATGCACTTGTGTGAAGGACAAAATCAGCAGATTTTCTATGAGCGGTGCCAGAATCTTAAAAGTGCCTCATGATGGCTTTAAAGCGAGGTACAGTGAAAGCCCAGAAAGTTCCCCTCAAGAGCTCCAACTAATGCCCTCCATTTTGATTAATTAATGCATCACTTCACCTTCAAGGCAGCTAGTTCATTTGAAACTTGTCTGTGAATCTTGTCATCACAGCAACCATGAGGTCTGTTCAGACTTTTGGCAGAGTTGGTGTTGCTTTTTAACACAGTCAGAGGCACAGATTGCTTTTCATCTGTGGACCGAGGATCTGTGTGTGTTGGCATTTCAGAATAGCAGGATTTCAGAGCTGTGTGCATTAGCTCAAAGACTGGGACGAAAAAGAAAATGAGTGCTACAAAACAAGAAGAAAATAAAAGTAGAAGGAGCTTTTAATTCTAATATTTCTTCTATTATACGATCATGCTAGAGCGGCACATAATCCCCATCTGTTTCTCTGCCAAAATAGGTGGAAAATACAACACTTGTTCAGCATGAACATTTTTTTAGAGATGAGTCATTTTTTAAAAACTAAGCTGAAGATTGGTCGAATTAAACAACCTAAGTCAAGAGGATTCTAGTTGAGTTCTGCTGGTATAACAGGCGCTCCATCTACAGAGGCTAACAGCACTGGTTAGGCTGCTTAGGCTCCTGTTACTATTTAGTGTATGTCATCCTTCACTCTCTCTTCACATGTTTCTTGTTTCTCCTCAAAAAAAACACCATAAATAATCTCTGTAGACCATGTGTAATCTCAGATTGTGTAGACAGACTGCATCCCCCCCAGAATTATCACTTTCCTCCAACCATCTAAAGGGGATTCCTCCAGAATGGTGTCAGTGTGAGTCAGTGGGTCTCAACGCCTCCAGGAGACATCAGGCCACATTTCATCATGCAACCTATCCACAGCGTCTGTTTCTCTCCACATGCAGATGATGTGCATGTGTCAGTTGAGCCGAGGAGGCAGTGAGGAGGAAGCTGATGATTTCACCTCTTGAAGAGCAGCCCGGGGTGCAGCTCTGTCCTGCGGCTCAGTGAGATCTTTAACATCACGTTAGCCACGGTCTGGTGATCTGTCTGCTCCACATTTTGGCTTTTAGCACTCTCAGGACCACTCAAGCTCTTCTTTTCCATTTTTGTCACCAACAGCCATAAAGAGACTGTTATTTTAGGGGTGTCCCTTTTCTCACCCTCTGACCTGAAGTGAATTCTGGTTATAAAAGACATAAACAGCTCCAGCGCTCCTTTTCATCCTTACACATTTACCAATGATGTGAAACACTGGTCTGTATGGAGGCCCTGAGGGTCAACTGCACAAACATTCTTGACAGTATGTCCACAAAAAAAAATTGACATTTACCGAAACTGTCAAGAAACAATAAAAATGTTTCATGAAAAACACAAAAATATTTAAAAAATTGCACAAGCAAATTTAGCAACATACGACAATATTTTTGGCGCACAAAACATTTCACAAAACTGAATTTCACAAAAGAGAGAAACAGTCAGACTCAAAGGCAATTTATGAAAAGTCAATAAAATAATTTCAAAAATGCAAAATTGTTTCAAGAACAAAAAATTATAAAATACAAGGAACTCAGTTTTTCATATTTTGCGAAAGTTTTTGTTTTATTAAATATTTTTGTGGTTCTTTTTGTGAAATGTTTGGTGTTTCATTGAGTCATTTTGTGTTTTGTAATATTATTCCACTTTTTTCATTTTGTGAAGTATTTCTACATTATGGGATTTTTTGAGAAACCTCTTAGGTCCTTTAAAATCGCTAAAATAATCTGAGGTACAATAATTAAACAACTATCATTGAGTTTACTTTATTTGATGTTTTATACATTATATAAGTTATTAAAGCTGCTGTGGGGAATTTAAGGTTTATTCACATGCTTTTACTTACTTCAGCTGACACCTACCCTACAAAAACATCTTTTTTGTGGCTTGTGATCTTGTTTGCTGTTGTAGGCCATAAAGAGACAGTAGTTTTTATTTTAGTTGGTTTTATAACAGGCCAAAAACTCCTTACAGGAGCTTTAATTTGAAAGCTAGCTTGAGCCGCATCTGGTTGCATTGACACAGTACTTCAGTATGGGCGTCATACCAAAGCCTCCATCCTAAAAGATTTAATGTCACTGTGAGCGTGACAGCATTGCAAATATCTTTTCTCAAATGGCAGTACTGGTGACAAAGCAACTTATTGTTAAGCTTTAATGCACCTTAAACTGTAAAAAGTCTCTTACAACTGTGAAGAGTGTTGGAATAAACTCTGTTTTAGCTCCATGATGATTATGATGATCAACAGCAGAGCATTAAAAGCTGCTTTTTACTCAGTTTTGACATCTTAAGATGATTTGAGGATTTGCAGGGAGAAGTAAATTTCCTGCAGAGATGAGAAGATTATCATCTGCGTGTGAACTAGTGACCAGCATGTCTCAGTCTCCCACCATTCAATGGTATTTTCTGCTCAGTTTAGACTCATAACACCAAATAATGCAGGCCTTTTGGATCGTAAGTATCATCCGTATATTGTTGTTTTTCTTCAGCTGTTTGTTTTGGTGTTCACTTTTCAAAACAAGAGTTTCTGCGCCCTCAGGTACAGCTTTCAAGAGTCTTCTCTTTGTTTACTGTTGTTAATGATTTCACCTGAGTGGGCTGCAGTCTGCAGCTGCAGTGAAGTTTGACCCTCACTCCCTCATGTAGCTCTCTGAGGGATGAACCCGGGGAAACAATCTGTGTGTGTGTAGGTGGCTGATATGTTTTGGACTTATCAGATCACTTTGTTTCACTTGTACAAGCGTGTGAGTTTATCTGACACACAAAGGTTCAGACTTTCCACTCTGATCCCTGCAGGTTCACATTAGATGTCATATAGAAATTCAGGAGTGGTGTTTGTAGCCAAACTTTCCCAAATACAACCAGAGACTGCTAAAATATTATACTGTAGGCCTTGTAGCTGTGCAGTTTAACACCTCAAACAACAAAAACTGATTACTAACACCTCCCATCTGCCTCCTGGTTCCTTGACCCCCTTCCTCCCATCCACTTTCCAGTGTCAAACTTCCATCTGTTGTTGAAATATATAAACACATCCAGAAATCCAAGTCATCCACCTGTCTGTTAGACCCTCTTCTTACTGCCGTGGTCAAAGCCTGCCCTCCATTATACATGCCATCTTACATTCCTCCTTTACCTCTGGTCTTGCTCCCTCATCTTTCAAATCGGCTGCAATAACTCCAATACTTAAGAAACCTCATGCAGCTCCTAGTGACTTTAATAACTTGCATCTAATCTTGCAACTTCCCTTTTCTATCAAAAAGTCCTGAGAAAATCACTTACAACTCAGATTATTCCTCAGTTATCTGACAATAACCTTTGTGAAGTATTCCAGCCTGTTGATACCATGGAATAATGTCTTTGATTGCAACTGCCACACTTTAATTGTAATTATCACTCTATATATTGAATATTTAACATTGAATTTCCCTTCAGGGATCAATTAAGTCTTCTTCTTCTTCTTCTCATATATGGTTTGTCTTACCATGTCTGATTAAATAACCGACAGATTTCTCTTTATCGCAAAAGCACAGTTTGCAGATGAGTGAAATATTGTTGAATAATGTTATGTTATATTACCATGGCCTGCTCAGTTTTTTCTTCGGGTCACTTTTGCTGCAGCACTGCCACCCCGTGGATGATTACAACACTGCATGTAAAAATGGGGGTGGATTAAACGTGTATCACTAGTTAATTTCAAACTGTTAAAACCCCTGTACGATGTAAGAAGATAGTATCAGCAACCGTCCTATTAGAGTATTTGTATGATTATTTGAATAGTTATGATGATGTTATATAGTTTAGCGGCAGGAGGCGCTGTTTCGTTAGTTAAAACAGCAGAATGGTTAGTCTAGTCCTCAGTGTAGAGTTCGGACACGGGTTCGCACGAGTTTATCATTTCGCTGGCAGATAAAAGAACAAAGAAAGGTACCTCCTTAGTCATTAAAAGAACCAAAACCCATGTACATGATTAAAAGAGAGAAAAATGTTCGTTCGTTGTCGGCAGGATTCGAACCTGCGCGGGGAGACCCCAATGGATTTCTAGTCCATCGCCTTAACCACTCGGCCACGACAACTGATACTGAGCAAGGGCGCCCCCTACATATTTATACCAAAACTCATTCAGTGTTTGATTTGTTTTTCTGTAATATTTATGATGTCGTTATGATTTTGTCACACTGACATGTAGCTACACACCCTCATAGACAGGTACAAGACTCGTATCTGTAAGATTTTGTTTTGAGCCTCTGTATTCAACATGTAGATTTACTTGAGCAGTTGTTAAGTGCAAGACACAGAGCTGCTGTTGAAAATTCATCAAGAAAGTTCACTGCTAACTATCTATAATCTATAATAAGTCTTATTAGTATTTTCTTTACATAGAAAAAAAAAACAAAGCATAAAGTATATTCCACCTCAACAAGATTTTTAACTTCTTGCATCAGGTGTGATATTGATATTGGTTTGACAACCAATGTCAATGATAAAACAACAATCAGCCAATATCTGGTAAATGTTGTCAATATTGTTGTTGTTATTGTTGATTGGCATTTCATAATGCCAGACAATATTAGAAAAATAATGGTGTAGATTTGCAAATAAATAGAGTAAGTAGAGTAAACAGAAATAAAAACGAATTATTTGCACTCCAGCCTCAGCATGTTTTCTACAACCCCACAGCAGTTAAATTGTGCTGTCTCAATGCGAAAAGGACCTAAGAAATGTGGGTAACAATGTTTAGCAGCAGCCACAGTTAAAACTGGCTGCAATGTCTGCAGACTTTATCTGTTCATTTTTAGAATTATCTTGTAAGTACAGGCAGAGCCGGCCCAAGCTTCAGTGTGGCCCTAAACCAAATTTCATTTTGGGGCCCTCTATTTCTGCCAATAATATTGATTGTTGATCATTCACACACCTTCACAAATCTCTTTGATTAACATTCATGACATGCAAACATACCTTTATCTTGGCGTTTTTCTCTTCTTCCTCTTTCTTTTCTCTGCTCCTGAAGGATATGTCCTTTTTTGCGACATTGTTTTGCCCCACAACTACCTGCACTTTGAATGCTCAGTGCACATCGCACAGCGGAAGGCAAATAAAGGTAGCCGAGCTTTGGCATATCGGCAGTAAGGTCGTGTTCACACCTAAAGGTCTGTTTTCTAAATCGAATCGAAGGCAAGATGATACATTTGTTTTGATTGTTTAACAGTGGACAAACTCAATTGTTCCAGAAACGGAACCGGAAGTCACATAACCGCAAATCTCGTTGGGTTATTGGTCATTAGTTTATGAGGGAATACAAACCCCGCTCTGCTGTCTTTGCCTGTCATGGAGCATCGTAGGCTGATTTTGCTTTTGCTACTCATCTGGAGCGCGTATCAAAAGACGCTAGTCGATCGCGCGTATGAACGGCTTGTTAGCCAGCGAGCGCGAACTGCGGCATAAATTAATACATTCCAGAGTCGATGTGCTGCAAACAACAGTCGGATAAAGAAGAGACGGCGAAAAGGCATTACTGAGAGCGTACCAGGATTCCTGTGATTGGTGTGGATGACGTTCACACCAGAGATGAACCGCTCCAGAGTTCACTTGATAGCGGTCGGAGACCACCTCTTCAGGCTGACCAGAGTTCTTTTATTTGGTCCGCACTAGAGTTCGAGGTCAGCTTTCACACCGGCCCAAACGAACTGCACCAAGGGGGTAAACGCTCCAGGGTTCGGTTCAACCGGACTAAACGAGGCTGGTGTGAACGCGCCCTAAGAATCATAGGCCTACATCAGCAGCAGCACTAAAGTGTTTTTATTTTATTGTATTTTATCTTTACAATAATATATATTTGATCATACAGAAAGCATCAGTCATACATGTTAAAAATAAAAAAAAATATTTAATATTTTTCATTGCTCTTGGGGGGCCCTACTGGCCACAGGGCCCTAAGCAGGCGCTTAGTTCGCTTATGCCTTGGGCCGGCTCTGAATACAGTACAGGAATATTGGTTGATAAACTGGTTAATCTCTGACACTAAATTTAAATTGAAATGATCTATCTAGTTTATTTTACAAACGCAGTATGGGATGGCCCAATTTTGTAATTCATTCATTCATTCATTCATTAAAGTCCCCTCACATGAGATGCATGCCCTCCTTTCTTTCACCCTGAGAATCGTTCATTTCCTGCGATGCTGCATCAACCAGCTTTCCCGCCTAACACTCGTGGAGATTATTAAAACCGCACACATCCGTTAATGGCAGAAACAATCTCACCTAAAAATGAAACTAACTGTGAGTAATATTTTACTCATTGTTGCCTGTGAGCGCAAACAGTGTAACCACGTGACCCCTTCAGTGCGAGCCTGCTGTTTGTTCAGCCAGAGAGGCAGAGAAGAAAAATGGCGGCTCTAGGCGAACCCAAACGGGACGCCGGGCTAACGTTTTGAGCTTTCGCACCCTCTGAAACAGCGGGGCTTCTCGGAATTGTTACATCGTCTGAATCCCTTATGTTTCAGCTTTGTTAGTGCCGTTTTCGCTCGCGTCGGTGCATGCTTAATAACCGCAAAAATTGGGGCAGTAAAATAATAGCTTTCGTTTATCATGAGAGGGAAGAGGGGCAGGCCGCCCAAACCGCTACAAGCCGAGGAGCCGTCCCCAGCTTCGACCCGGGGCTTGCGACCGAGGAGGAATCTGAAGCCGAGACCGAGGGACAGCGGGGATGAGGACGTGGAGAGCCCTACGAGAGAGACCACCAAGTCCTCCCGAAAGAGGAAGCGGGGATCCGTCACGTCAACACGGGGACGGGGACGAGGCAGAGGTGGCGGCGGTGGCAGAGGAGGCAGAGGGGGTCGCGGAGGACGGCGGACGGCTGCGTACAAAGCAGTGGTGTACGACGACCACGAGAGCGACGAGGAGGACGATGCTGTCAGCTTCAAGTCAGAGGAGGATGAGTATGTCGAGGAGGAACCTCAGTCTGAGGAAGATGAGGCCCTCAAAGAGGACTCGGACTGCCTTGAAGATGAGATACTGGACGGGGAGGAGGAGGATGAGGATGATGCGAGCTACTGTACAGAGAGTAGCTTTAGGAGTCAGAGCACACACGCCAGCACTCCGGGTAAATAAACACCTATCAAATACAGACTCTCATCATAGAGCACATAAAATGCATCCAAAAAAATGTAGATGATGCTGCAGGTGATAGTTTTTGATCAGCATATGAAGCAGTGAGGTTATTGTTCAAAATGGAGAATGCACACTGTATGAGCACAGGCCGCAGTCATTAATACTACTGCAGGTGGACTCAAACTACAGCTCAACTACAAGCTTACCAACTTATCTGATTTAAGCATTACTAAACGACTCATTCATACTCCAAGAATCACTCATTAATTACTTTATTCAGCATATTCAGTAACATAAAAGTAAGCAGCAGCTGCTAGCGTGCTACTGTTAGCACATAAAATGAGCATGCTGCCTACTGTCATCCTTATACAGTAAGATAACACTACCCTACTGCAGGTTTTCGTCTTTTTATCTTTACATAGCGTTCATTTTATACCCCTTTTTCTACCAATTTTCTCATTAAAAGCTCCTCGTCAAAGTTGATTTTAAACCCGCTTGCTAACTCACTTAGCTCCGTTAGCATGCCTGTAATTTGCATCACTGACAGCTTTCAAATACAGTAAATCCTACTATTCAGAAGTATAAAAAATCAACAAAAACTGAGCTAATGCGTCTGTAAAGCTGCAGCAGAAAACACAGGGCTCAAATGTTCTGTCAAATGTGTACACATTGACCGCATTAGCCAGTTTGACAGCTAATGTTTTGTAGAATGCAGGAAGCCTCATTTAGCTAATGACACTAGCCATGTGTTCAGCCGGCTCGGCATTAGAAGCACACCCACAAGTTCAGCTGCTGGTGTGAATCTAGACTCCACAGCTTGGCTTTTTCACACTGTGGATTAGGGCTGCACAACAAATATATTAAAATAGCATAAGGACCATTCTCTGTAAAAATAATAATGATAATAATAATAAGACATCTTTTAAAATGCAATAAGCCAACCACAGCTTAACTGGTGATAATTTACTGATGAAAACAATGATTTTGGGATGTATGTTATGTTCAAGAGGAACATGTTGCAAACACAGGCTTAGATAAAAAAAAATTGAAAATGCAGAACAATAATAGAAAGTGAGTTTTTTATACTAATATGGACTCATATTTGTTTATTTACCTCAGTTCTTCTTGATTTCACAATATTCAGTGTTATTGCTGAGCATGTATTCCATCATGTAGGCCTAGTGTTGGATCAGCAGGTAAAATTCTGGACCAAGTGTGGTAAAAATAACATAAAAAAGAACAGACTCAAAACCAAAACATAGATAAGAATGAAATTGACAATATTTGATATAAATATACACCCATATAAATAAACCACGTTTATATGGTTTGATCTGTGACATCTTTTCAGTTCTGTAATACAAACTGCTGGGAAAAATTATTATTATTGTCACTTTTTCTGGTATCATGCAGCTCTGTTTACAGCATGATATGATGAAAAATTCTCTTTGTTACCTTTTTTTTAATCTATAAATTTGAGGAAATGGTAAGTAATGCCTCACTTTAAATTAGTTTAATTTTAACATTTACAAAGCTGAATATTGAAGATGAAAGCTTAAATTTGACGCATACAGCTGACTGAAGAGCTGAAAGATATATCAAAAAGTGGTGGACAAAGTACATAACTTAATGAATCTAGTCAAGAGTATAAGTAGTTCTGGTCAAGTTCTAATTTCTCCAATACAGATAAGTTACACAATCAAATATTTCTTAAGAAGAATTACTGGAGTACTTGCTTGAAATTGTACTTTTACAATTAACACTTGCTTTCTTCTGCAGCTTTTGGATCAAAGTGGTCTTTTTTTAGGAGTAGGACAAAATATCAAACTGTGATAGGACGCTTCTTACCATTTCTTCCACACTGTTTGTTTTTTTTTTTTTTTAAATCTTTTTAGAAGCATTTCATGCCCTGCAGTAAATCAGGTTTTGTTAGGTATCATGGTACGATCACAGATTATCAACATTGCAGCTTCACTGTAGCACTACTTTTGTTGTGGGTGATGTTTTCCTGCCACTACTCTTGCAACTGTTTGCTGAAATTGTTTGTTTATCTTACAGGGAGGAAGAAAGGACGACCCAGACCTCGCACTCCCATCCTTGAGGAGAAGGAGATCCCTCCTCTTCACCTTCCTGACTCCTCTGAGGACCTGCTGGTGTCCAATGAGGAAGCGCTCAATGTCACCTCCATCTACGAGGTGCTAAGGAACTTCAGTACTGTTCTGCGCCTCTCTCCCTTCCGCTTTGAGGACTTCTGCGCTGCACTTGTAGGCCAGGAGCAGTGCACTTTAATAGCAGAGACTCATATTGCCCTTCTGAAGGCCATCCTGCGTGAGGAGGACTCCTCAAACACTACCTTTGGTCCTGCTGATCTCAAGGACAGCGTCAACTCCACTCTGTACTTTATTGACGGCATGACGTGGCCTGAGGTGCTGCGGGCGTACTGTGAGAGCGACCGGGAGTACCATCACGTCCTGCCATATCAGGAGTCCGAAGAGTATCCGTACAGCCCACTTGAAAGTAAGATCAAGGTGCTGCAGTTTTTGGTGGACCAGTTTCTCACTACAAACATTGCCCGTGAGGAGCTGATGTCAGACGGCAGCATGCAGTACGACGACCACTGCCGCGTCTGTCACCGTCTGGGGGACCTGCTGTGCTGTGAGACGTGCTCAGCGGTCTACCACCTGGAGTGTGTGAAACCGCCCCTGGAGGTGGTTCCAGAGGACGAGTGGCAGTGTGAGATCTGCGTGGCACACAAAGTGCCCGGGGTCTCAGACTGTGTGTCAGAGGTACAGAAGAATAGGCCTTACATCCGCCAGGAGCCCATCGGATACGACCGCCACCAGAGGAAATACTGGTTCCTAAACAGAAGGATTATTGTGTAAGTTCGGACCCTCGCTGTCTTTATCTTTTACCTGAACTAACTTTGAGTCTGTGGTAACATCTGCATGTAACAGATTTCAGAGAATAACCAAGTGAGGATGTATTTTGTTATGTGGATTGAACCTCACAGAACCTGTTGAACCTTGTCTTAAAAAAGGGATCTCTAAAACTCTTCTGTGCTATCTGGACATGTGTGCAGAATAAGGCGATATGATGTGAATACAGGATGTAAATTAATCTCGTCCAGATATGATCTGATCAGGTTTCACCATCAGTTAAAGACAAAAATAAGCCCCAAAATGTTCAAAATCATCATAAAACTGCTTCTAGTTGATTTGATCTCCCCGAAAAGGTGGTTCCATTTGACTTCATCTGTCTGCACACTATATCTGTCTCTGTTTCTCTGTGTCTCTGTGTGTGTGTTGTTTTGAGCTGAAATTTGAAACAGCTGGAGAATGAAACTGTAAGCCTCCAGAAAAGAAATCTCTTGGCATATAGAAGAGCCATGCAACACAAGACCTCTTTCTTTCTCTTCTGCTAGAGATGCTTCTTCTAGACGCCTCCTCGCCCTCACTTAAGTGTATATTTAACAGATAACAAGATGAATGAACGTTGCCGTCTGATAGAATCCGATTGATCCCCTGACATTGAATTAGATTTGCTCGGACTGAACCATTTTAGGATTTAAAGAATAATGATAATAGGTGAGCGCACTGCTCAAGTCATAGTTTAAGGTGCTAAGAGTATTGGATGTCAAGACTAAATGTGGCCACAGTTTCAGGTCGTGGGGTACAGAAGTGTTGGAGTAATTCCAGGATGAGACTACAGGGCGCTCTGAACAGATTGTTCATAAACTCTTGCGGGGACTAGCGCCAGCCACACAAGATTTACCCAAAATCACATCAAGAATTTGCAAATCTCATAAAAGCAGCTAAAAAAAGATGACTCTTTCCTGACTGATATTGGTTTTTAGAGCCAATACTAATACCAGAAACTAGTAGTTGATGAGCTCTAAAACTGATATTGGGAATCGATTTGTATTGACAGTAAAACTGAAAAACATTCTGTCAGAACTTAGAATGAGGAACATAAAACTTTGCTTAAATGCCTTTAGCAAATGTTTAACATCACACACAAGAGTTGACCTGTTACACTGACAGCACAGTTGTGTCATGTGGCATCCAGCCTATCAGACAGTGATGTGGGCGATACACAGTGGTGCAAGAAAACAGGCACAAAAGGAAAGACAGGTAGAATAGATTTTATAAGACATCAGTAGAATATAAGGCAGGTACAGATAATCGACCCAATGCCAAGTATCATATATCATGTTAGTCGGTTAGTCATGTCTGATTATTGTTCCAAACCTACTTCCAAACTTCCAGGTCAGATTTGAGGTCCAGATACAGATGGCCATCAGCTTTTAAAGCAAACTAACATCAGTTCACTTAGTTTTCTCAACTTTGTGGCGTGACAACAGTGGAGGAGAGTGCAGCTGCTAAAATTAAGCATTTCAGAGAGAGGCTGAAATGAGGGTTTTTAAAAGCACCAGTCTGAAGATGTGAACCACTTTTGAGTTTTAAATCCTTAATGGAGTGTTCAGAGCGACAGAACGTCACCACTATTTGAGGAATTATCGTGTCTGTCTGAGCTCTTTTGTGTCTAAGAGTCTGGTACTTTCTTGTACTGAACTGTGAAGCACAAAGAGAATAATAAGAAGTAGATGAGTGTTCCTTAGTGAAAACTTTCTTTGCTGCTACGACGTGATCATCTTTATTTTCTCAGAAATGGCTGATATGCAGATCATACAGCACTTCTGAATGAACCATTCTCCTTTTTTGTCGATTCCTCGCATCCCAAACTAAATTACACAGATGGCTTCTACAGTTTTCTCCAAAAATAACAAGCTACTACCCACAAACTACTCCACAATCACAGCAAGATCATTTCACTAAGATAGATAAGGTGTTGTCTCATTACTTCAACTGCGTGTTTGCAGTCTGAGTCTGATCATTTTGTTGTCGTACCTGAGAGTCTCTGTCGTTCTGTCTCTGCAGTGAGGAGGACGGGGAGCAGGAGAAGAAAAAGATCTGGTACTACAGCACCAAGGTGCAGCTGGAGGAGCTAATGGAGTGCCTTGATAAGGAATACTGGGAGATGGACCTCTGCGCCACTCTGGAGGAGATGAAGGAGGAGGTGCAGACTCACATGGACATAACCGAGGACCTAACCAACAAAGCCCGCGCCAACAATAAAGCCTACCTCACTGCTGTCAACGGTACGGATTTCAGATTGACTAATTCACCCACACAGAAAATACTTTTGATTCATTTTTAGATGTTTTATGTTGAGAAATATCAGCATACAGCACAATATAGAGATGGATGATATTGCTAGTTTGGCAGCTGTGAACAAACCTCATATTACACCTTTCATTATGTCAGTCAGGGACACCTACGGAGAGTGGCTTTGTGGATTTGCTGCTTCAAAAACTCCTTATTCATCTTGTACTAGCACTTTTCAGCTGCTGCTTCGTTTTGACCGCTTTTCCATTGAGACACAGTTTGTGGGTGTTACTTTTTACACAGCATTGTGGTCATGAACTCCCCCAAAGTTATGCCTTTGCAGGAAGTATCTACTTTATCTATTGTCAGATAAGCTGCTGGTTTGCTTCTTACAGCTTGTGGTTCTGAGCTTCCAGTGACTCTGTGTTCACACCTGTTGCAAAATAAAACAGTTAACTGAGACTTTTAAGTCTCAACTTGCTTGATCTGCGCAAATGACTCACTTCCTGTGGGATGTGTGAGATGAAGGTATGTCATTGTAGACAGATGACACCAGGGAATCTCCATGGTGATTGGATAAGAGCAAGAGCAGCAGAGTGTAATGAACGGAAGTGTAATGACCGAATTTCCCCTGGGGTTAAATAAAGTAATCTGATATTCTGAGAACTTCTAATTATTGTATTTAATTATTTTGTAAATGACTAACGTTAATGATTTTATTGACATTTGGTGTTAACACAACAGAACAATTAAGACGCTAATCCAGATCTTGCTTGCCTTTGTTTACAAGGAAGTCATTAGTGAAGTGGGGGGCACGAACAGCTACGTTTTAGTTCTGAAAAGACCAAAAAAAAAACTTCCATTGTGTTTTAAGGTGCTGTTAAAGAGCTGTGGCTTTTCCTTACAACCACAACAACACATATAAGCAGCTCGGATCAACAAAGTGATCTTGTCAACAAAGTGGGCCTGTTTTTGACAACTTGATAGCATCGTCCCATCATGTCTCAAATTGAGGGAACCTTGAAGACAATAATGCATCTTTTGTTATGGAACTTTGCTGTGGTTTAAGATGGACATCCAGCACTGTAGTAGGACTTAAGAGGTGTGTACATGTGTGTGCGTTTCTATGTGTGACATTCAGATAAACTATAGTACGCCCCATCATGCAGCAGTGCTCTGACAACTGACACATAAATACAAACGGCTGCCTTTTCCTCCCCTCTTCTGTGTGACAACAGGCAAACTGTTTTCCTCCAAAACGACGAGGTGGTTAAGAGGCTTTTCCTCACTAAGGCTGCCTTTTCTCTATCTGTGTGACTGGCAGCCATATATAACCACTTTCCTGTGTTTGTCACTAAACTGCCTCATGTCACTTCTCAGAAAAAGACAGTGGGGTTCTGTGTCTCTTTGTGGATCTGCCTCTGGTGGTCTGTCAGAAACTGGATGTTGAAATAGTTGGCTCAGAATGGAACAAAAGGTGTTTTTTGTGAAGCAGATGCAGTGTGTGTTTTTCTCCCCCCTCAATCATCAGTGATTTATGGATGTTGTTGGTGTTTTTCTTCTGCTGCTGCAGTACAGTTCCTCCTGCACCTTCCTTTTCTTTCTCAAAGCTGGTTTGACACCTCTGTCCCTGTGAAAACTGCAGTTATGAAACATGTTTCTCTGGAGGTTTTTCTCTGCAGGTTGGCGCTGTGAGGGATGAGATTCTTCTGTGTCTCTGATCTGTGGGGATGGAAAGAGCTGCTTTGGAGTTGTGACTAAATAATCTCTCATCTCAGACCACATTTACTCTTCTTACAGGATGTCTTTGTACAGCTTTTAAAAAAAGACACTGCGAATCATTTAGATCCTAGATTGACTGAAAATAGTCTAATAACAACATATCCAACTTATCAAAACAGACACATTTGTCTTGTATAGATTAATGCCTGTGCTCTATTAAAATGTGACACCATCAGCATCTTCTAAAAAAAGTTGGTAAAAGAATAACAACATTTTTAAAGGATGTTTGATGCCAAAAACAAGAACCTAACTGACGAGGTATGAAAAGGGTATTTTAGAGAAGCTGAGTCTCTTAGAAGTAAAGATGAGAACCACTCTGTGAGAGACTACATTGGCTAAACAGTTGATCAGTTTCAGGATGATTTTTCTTAGAGTAAAAATTTAAAAGTTTTAGATGTTCTATCGAATAAAGTTGGGGGAAAAATGCCTAAAAATCCAACTTAAAAAAAAAGAGAGTGGAAAAACTTCCCTTTTTAAAATTTTTGGCATTGAAATAATTTTTTTTTTTTTTTTAACTTCAAGGATGTCCTCAAAAAAGCTGTCTCTCAAATTTGGCACATTTTTTTCCCCCTTTTGTTTGTAGAAATGGTCACAGAGCGATTGAAGATCCGGCGGGAGGAGAGGGATGCAAAGAGGCAGGCGCCAGAAGAAACGAAGCGAGACGCAGACCCGAGTTCTGTGAAAACGGAGGGAGACACTGCAGGGCTGGAAAAAAGAGAACACAAAGACACTGAGCCCACTGATGAAGCCTGTTCACGAGGTAAAAGTCAACTTAAGAAAGATTTTAGCCGCTGCATCCGAGTCCATTTTGCATGCTATTTCTCTCTAAGTAACCTCGAAACAGCAGCTGTAGTTTCCCACATCTGCAAACAAAAGTGCTGTTTAGTCTCTGCAGCTGTAACCGAACCAATCCTCTAAACTGACTTGCTGATCAGTAACATTTCCACTCTGCTGGTGATGTTTGCCCCACGTGTGTGCAGTTGCGGCTCCGCCTGCTCCAGAAGAGAGATCCGTGTCTGATCCTGACCCTAAGTCGACCCAGGACACAATCACGCCTTCAACTGAGAAGAGCCCTCAAGCTCACAAGGAAACTCAACCAGCTCAGTCTGGGACTCCAGAGAGCTCAGACTCCCCTCCGTTGGCGGGGCAGGAAAGTACAGGTACTTGAAGAACAAGTCCAGCTATGTCACCGACCCGTGAAACTCATCCTTCATTTCATACCTGTCGCTTGGCTGCACATCATCCCCATCTGTCTGCTCGTCTTGTAGCAGGTCGCTACTAACGTTACCCTTCATTTTTTACTCTTCTCTTTTGATGGAACCGGCTATCTTTATTTCTGTCCTTGAACTCTTTATGTTTTTGGCTCGGTTCCTCTTTCTTTTTAGTGGCATAGAGGGAATCCCAGATAAGTTGTGCTATCATTATTTTTGCCAGTTGGACCTAAAGTGATGTTTGGAGCTTTAAGATTAATGTAAACTGTTCCTGACAAAATATAAAGAGTAAGTTCAGTCCAAGCAAAGTTCTGGACAGAAGGAGATTGACACAAACTGCTCCAAGCTCAGTTGGAGGCACTGCTGTTTTTCTGATCTGTTCCCAAATGAATACGACTGTGAAAAGTTGATAACACTTATACCGATGATGGATTATTAGTTGAGGTGTTTTGTGTTGGCATGGCACTAACTTCTGCGACCTCTGTGCTTCCCCCCCTGAGTGTATGTGGCTGCAAACAGGGAGTTGTGTTTCCCTCCTCAGCATGCTAACATCGCATACGTATTCCCTTGCTGAGATTTGTGTTTCTAATCTCACTCTGTGAAGAGGCTGAGGTGGTTTCTCTGCTTTCATTTGGACATAAATTAAGTTTTCATTTCTCAGAGCATTTTAACCAAACTATTGTTGCTGGAGCCACCGAAATGAGCCTCCTCCTTTTCGAATCCCCTCTTCTATCAGGTCTTTCCTTCTTGTTAAGTTGTTTCAGGCCGTTTCTGTCTGATCTCATCTGGATGTACTTAAAGAATAAACACTAAGCACCTGCTCTTGCAGCTTAATACTCCTCCTTTTTTTTATCGGCTGCTGGTCTTGAGTTAAACGTTGCCTCCTTCTCTCCTGGTTGTAAAAAGCACGCTCTTGGCTCAGCATAAGCCGGTGTCCCTGGCAGCAGCGAGCACGCCATGTCTGTCACAGTCAGCTCCTTTTTCTCATTCCAATTTGTGGGCATTTGGGTGGGCTCCTGTCGCTCAGACAAAAGACTCTCAGCCTGGCAGCCCCACCTGCTACCTCCTCAACAAAGAGCTGCATATACATGCAGGACTTTCCCTTCTGATGGCTCACAGACAGAGCTCCTGTCTTTATCTGGCTCTGCAGCAAATCAAATGAACAGCTTGTTTTGGGTTTTCGCACCCAGAATGGGTCTGGGTAAACAGGCTGAGCCCGACCAAAGGCTTCTGTTTGAACTGTTTGCTGCTTGTATGCAAATGTGCTTCCACGTCCAGGTGTTTCCTTCAGCGCGGTCTGCCTGAGCTGAATTGTTTTCGCTGCGAATCTCTTCTTGTGTTTCAAATTCATGGGCCAGACATGACTTTTCAAAAAGGCCGGGGGGGATTTCGCACCATGTAGAGCAAGATTCTCAGCTGTCCATCACCAAGTTATCTCTGCTAGAAACAATTCAGTCATACAATTAATGTAAAAATCAAGAATAAATAATAATGTCAAATACAGCAGGACGATAAACCAAAAATTTATCGATACCGAAATTTACAACAATAACCAATGTCATTTTACTCATATCGATATATTTGGTGTCAAAAAATAAATAAATAAATAAAAGTTGGTTTTGGATGTGTGTAAGTAGGCTATGGTCTCATGTCCCTTTAAGACGCTGTCCTACGTGACTCCACCCCATCCAGTCTGTAACAAAGAGGGAAAGACAGGTGAGGAGATGGAGGACAGTTCAAAAGTTGTAGCAGTTGGAGCGACAGCTGAAGTAGACAAAGTTAATGTGGGAGGGGCTGAGCAGCTTGTGAAGTAGTTATTGTCCATTTATTGTTATTGAGGTGAACCGCTCAATATATCGTGATATTGATTTGAGGCCATATCACCCAGCCCTAATATCAAGCACATAAACACTTTTAACTCCCTCCTGCCCATCTCCCACAGGTTTGTTGTACATACAACAAATGTATAAGCTTGATTCCTCCTTATAGTGATGACTGAGGTGAATCAGGAAAAAACACACAACTACAACTAAAAACAAATCAATTCAATAATTATAATGAAAGCATTTTGACGATTTAGATATTCTCACAATATTAGAGTATTTCATTTTTGGGTTTGAGTCGACCGCTTTTCAAACAGAGTGAATACTGCATCTCTCAGTCTAGTTCAAAACATGCAACCACAATCATGAAAAGACCGCTGACTCGTCACTTCTCAAGGAGATCAGGAGCAACCGTGCACAGACATTTTGAGGAAGGGGAGTACAACCGTCACAGTCCGAATATGGAGCCACTCCTGCAACAGAAACAACCCGGGCTAAAAAGTCATAGAACTGGACTATTGCTCAGGGGTCCAACTCCTGTTTTCAGATCAGAGTGAATTGAGCTTTTAATTTGGAAACTAGAGCCTCAGAGTCTGGATGTATAGTGGAGAGGTGCAGAATCTATAGTGTTTGAAACTCAGCATGAAGTTTCCGCTTTTTGTCAAGCATGAATTGCTCTGCCTGATTCGTCCGGGCTCTGATAAAATCTTCATGAATGAGTGAAGCCGATTGTCTGGTGTTGATATTTAACGTCCACCTTTGCCCGTGCTTGTTCCACTCTGTCCTCATACTTGCTTTTACACCAGCACTGAGTCTCTCTTTTTTCCCCACAGGCGAGGATGCAAAAGCAGAATCCAGCAGTGAAGACAAGCAGCTTGAAAAGTCTCAGACTCAAACAGCCGATCAACCACAGCACCAGTCGTCTCAGCCAGTGGGTAGCAGCAGCAGCAGCAGCAGTCAGGTTTCTGGAAACGTCTGGAAAGCAGAGCAGCCCGACTTAACGGATCCATCCTCTCGGTCCTCTTTCACCAGCCAGGATGGGACAGGTAAACACAAGGAAATCAAACTAAAAGCAGCTTTAATGAGTTCGATTTGATCCTGAGAGTGTTGTCTTCTTTCTTCATGACAGAGGAGTACAATGAAAGGGTGAAGGGCAACAGAGGAAGAGCGACAGGACAAGAGTCGAATCATCAAACACCAAGAGGCAGCAAAGAGGTGAGGCGTCTATTAACCACTGTCTCATAACAAAAACGGTGATTTTGTATTGAATTAAATATCTAAATAATTCCCTGTCGTGTTTCAGTCCTCTCCTGTGCGCTCTGACGGTGAAGCTTCCCGCCTCAGCTTCATGAAACGGGACCTGGCGGTGAACCTGAACAACCTCTTCAAACTGGGCCAGGAGGGCAAATACAGAGTTTACCACAACCAGTTCAGCACCAACGTCCTGGCCCTGAACAAGCATCAGCACCGCGAGGACCACGACAAGAGACGCCACCTGTCGCACAAGTTCAGCCTGACAACCGCCGCCGAGTTCAAATGGAACGGCTCCATTTACGGCTCGCGGAGTCTGACCGTGTCCACCCTGCGCCTCACTATCATCCAGCTGGAGACCAACATCCCTGGACCTTTCATGCACCCAAACTGGGCGTCGCACAGGTATGACTCAGAGCCTCTTTATATGTAGAGGGGTGTTGGAGAAATCACAGCTGGTTTTCTGACCTGTATAACATCTGCGCTGCAGGGTCTGATAGAGATGAAAATATAAAACAAAAAAGACGCCGGAGAAAAAAAATGACTTAAAGTTATTTATTATGATTTATGAGAACGTGTATTTCTCCAAATTGGAATCAGTGCTTCATTATGGTGAAAATAAGTTTTTCTCTCTCTGGCCCTACTCTTTTCTCATCTCAAGTCTTTATGCAGGAATGACTTTAACCCTTTTCCGATCCAGGATCCTCTTACATGTACACCCCTTTACTTCAGCTTAAGAAGTTAAGCTGGCTGTTTTTGGGGAAACCGATGAAGCATTATGATCATTTCTCTAAAGGATGCAGCTCATCTTGGTTCTTCCTTTAAAACCTAATGGATCACACACATCCATACTTCATAATCAGTCATCTGATGAACTTCTGCTTCTGTTTTCTCCAGGACGAACTGGAACAAAGCGGTGCAGATGTGCAGTAAAGCCCGAGAGTTTGCTTTGGCTTTGGCCATACTGGAGTGTGCCATCAAACCGGTGGTCACGCTGCCCATTTGGAGGGATTCTCTCGGACACACAAGGTAAAGGAAGTGCAAAACCTACTACATGTACTTTTCAGCAGACTATCATCTGTTTGGAAATATTCAGATGAAATTTGAAGTAGAAATTCAAAACAGTTGACATTTAACAGATCAAATTTGAACTTCTTGCACCTTCATGTCTTTGTCCTGGTTTCAGGCTTCACCGTATGACCTCAATGGAGCGAGAGGAGAAGGAGAAGGTGAAGAAGCGAGAGAAAAAGTTAGAGGATGAGGAGACGCTGCAACAGGCCACCTGGGTGAAGTACACCATCCCCATCAAGCACCAGGTAAGACCGCAGCCTCCCTCTTCAATCCTCTTCACCAGCCGTGCTTCAGATACACTCATTCCTGCTACTTCTGTTCACGTCCACAAACACAAAGCTCTGAATTTCGTTGTTTTTGTGTGTTTCTCTGCTCAGGTGTGGAAGCAGAAAGGGGAGGAGTACAGGGTGACAGGTTACGGCGGCTGGAGCTGGGTCAGTAAGACTCGTGTGCCACGTTTTGTTCCAAGGTTACCTGGAAACACAAACGTAAACTACCGCAAAGAACTGGAGGGTAAGAACAATGCAAAAATAAACACCTCAGTGTATTCTTCTGCTTCTGGTGCTTTATGCTCACAGTGTGATTTTCTTTCTAGCAGCTAGGTTGAGAAAGGAAGCTGCAGAAGCTTGCAAAAATAAGCATGAAAATTCTGCAGAGGCTAAGAAGGAACCGACTCCAAAAGCCGCAGCGGATGAGCAGAAGGATCAAGCTCCCGACGCCGCAATTTGTCAGAGTACTACATCAGAGGAGGACAGCAAACCTCAGACCTCCACAGAAGAAGAAAAACCTGCAGAAGAAGAACAGCAGGGTAAAAGCACAGAAGAAAAGAGACAAGATGAAAAGATGGAGGTTGAAACCTGCCCAGAAACTTCTGGTACAAATGAAGAGAAAGGTGAATCCCGCTAACCCTTACACATCTGATTTTAATCTTTACAAAATGTCTTGAAAAGTTTGATATTTATTTGTGAGAGGTCTTACATGTCAGCCTGTAGTTTGGATGAGTGTCTCTCTTTCTTTTTTTTTAAAGAAATCTACATCTTCTCGTACGGAAAACGATTAAGGCCACAACAATAGAAAAAATAATTACAGGAGGGAGATTTTTTTTAATTTCCATTTTGTGATTAAAGTTGAAATTTCAACATTAAAGTTGAAATTTCAAGATTAAAAAAATCTAAATTACATGAATAAAGTCGGAATTAAGACTTAAAACTCAAAATGTAAATTTTTTTATCTCAAATATTTGACATTATCGACATAATTCACAACACGAAATTTCAACTGTAATCTTGAAATTCTGACTTTAATCTCCTCCATGTAATTATAATTTCTCTTCATATGGCCCTAATCCTCTTTTGTAGTCTCGTCAGGGTTATTTCCACTATCCTTTGCTAAGATTTTGATCCATTTTAATTTCATTTTTCCTCCTTCTATCCTTATCCCACAAACTAGATGAGAAAAATAATGACTGTGCTGCGTGCCGTGTTGCAGCAGCTGTAGCAATACTCGGCACTAACACGTTGACCAGGGATGATTTTATTAAAGTTAAATGTGGCGCGAATGCAGCATTAACAGCACTGTAATATGTAGGCATCCGCTACAAGATGAAAGTTTGGCCGATTCAAACAGTAGTTATGAAGCTGTTTGTAAAATGATATAGCAAAGCATTTAAAGTTTGGATCAATGGTTTAACATCCTAAACTTGTCCTTGTTTTGTGGTCAAACTTTTCTTTGATTGGGGCTAAAAAAAAGTCTTTAATTTGATTTTCTAAAGTGTTTTTCTCTCTCTCCATTTTTCCTCTTCTACTTTTAACATTTCCATTATCCACTGACCTGTTCTACTTTTTGTCATAGATGAATCTGAAAACCCCTCGCCACCTGTGCAGCCTGCAAAAGAGGAGCCCATCTTTGAAAGCCAACAACCCAAGAAGGAGGAGCCCGCCGCACCAAAGCCATACTATGACGTTGTGAATGTCAGCGAGGGCTTCCAGCTGCGGACGGCCTACAAGAAGAAGGTAAAGCCCTCCAGACTGGACGGGCTTTTGGAGCGCCGGGTGAAGCAGTTCACCTTAGAGGAGAAGCAGAGGCTGGAGAAGATGAGACAGGCAGCTCTGCTGGCCAAAATGGCTGCAGCGAAATCTCCTCCTGGAGTCAAAACTGAAGGAGGGACGTCAGGCAAACAGCAGCCTGCCGTCACCCCGAGTGTGAAAGAGGAGAAGGACGAGAGCCCTCAAGTGAAGGACAGTGTGGTCAAAAAGCTGAACTTTGAGCAGGAGCAGACTGAGATAAAGACTGACGTGTCAGACTCGAACCACAACAAACAGACAGAGGGGAACGCTGGGAACGGGGAGGCCTTAGCTCACCAAGAAATGAATGGAGGAACTCCAACAAGCACTGAGTTCAACAGTACAAACAACAGTGTGTCAGACGCCAGCAAAGACAAACAGAAGCAAGACGTGGCCCGAGTGGGGGAGAACGCTAAGAAGCGTCCATATGAGGACATTGAGCAAGGCAGCGAGCAGAGCGACACAGAGAGCATGGAGCAGGAGCAGAGCAGGAGCGGTCTGCTGCAGGTAAACGGGAGAGCTGGGGTTAGCAACTCCGACACAGAAAACCAAGTCCATAAGGACACTAAAGAGCCTCAGAAAGAGCCTGTGAGGTCTCTCATGAACGGGACCATCTCCCAGAATAACGTGTCAGATGTTTGTCACCAACCACCGATAAAAGTCCCGAAGTTAGAGAACCATGTGGCAGAAAGAGGAGAGGAGAAAACTGAGGAAGAGGCAGTGAAGAGCGAGGCCACAATATCTGCATCCTGCATAAACAATAATGCATCAGACCAAAACAGCAGCAGTGGAGAAGTGAAGACCTCTCTCACCTCCAACAACTCCAGTGCAGAGTCCCACAATGCGCTGCCAGCAAACAGCGCAGTCTCCTCTGTTATTACCTCCTCTAGCAGCCAGCCTGGCTCCAGAGCAGCCCTCCCTCAGAGGACCAAACTCGCCGACACCAAGACGACGTCAACAAGCAGCTCCATGACGATCAGTAAGGAGTACTCCACCAGGGACAGGGTCAGCCTCCTCAGGTTCTCCAAGTCCAAAAAAGCGCGTTCAGGAACGGCCCTCCCTTCCTACCGCAAGTTTGTCACCAAGAGCAGCAAGAAGAGCATCTTCATCCTGCCTAACGACGACCTGAAGAGGCTGGCGAGGAGGTCAGGTATCAGAGAGGTGCCCATCTTCAACTACAACGCCAAACCAGCCCTGGATATCTGGCCTTACCCGTCACCTCGGCCCACCTTCAGCATCACATGGAGGTTAGTTCTCTTTGAACTGTGGTAGGGTATCTAACATTAATCAATTTCAATTTCAAAACTGGAACTTCAAAATTTACCTGAATGCAGAGAAGCAAGTTTCTGCGGCTCAAAGTTCACTTGTTCTTAACCCTGGGAATCAGGGTTCTGTAATTTCACTCCAGCCCTGCAACCTTGATGCTTCAAATAACCCCAAGTCACATCACACAGCAGCACCTGCAGGCTGGACAGGATGAAGTCATTCACACTTGGTGTTATTTTGACTGTGTCCTCTTCAGGTATCGTCTCCAGACTGTGAGGTCTCTGGCGGGGGTCAGCCTGATGCTGAGGCTGCTGTGGGCCTGTCTGAGGTGGGACGACATGGCAGTGAAGCCCTCTGCTGCGGCAGGAACAACTCGAAAAGGTGAATAATTATGATCAACTTCATTTGAACGCCCTCAGCTATTCAATATATGTTTTTTTTTTTCCAATTCCCCTAGATTTTGCCTACTTTGACGAGGTATTAGGGCCACATTAAGAAGAAAAAATAAAATTAAAAATTATAGTCATTAACTTACAAGAATAGTCATAACTAATGAGAATAATCATAACAAAGTCATTGGTAACGAGAATAAAGTCATAATAAAGTCATTAGTAATGAGAATAGAGTTGTAATAAAGTAATTACTTAGGAGAATAAAGTCGTAAAAAGTAAATACTAAAGGGAAATAAAGTCGTAATAAAATCATTATTAATGAGAATAAAAAGTCGTACTAAAATCATAACTTAGGAGAATAAAGTCGTAATAAAATTACTTACGAGAACTAAGTCGTAATAAAATCATTACTTACAAGAATAAATATCATTTCTCACGAGAATAAAAAGTCGTAATGAAGTAATTACTAATGAGAATAAAGTCGTAATAAAATAATTACTAATGAGAATAAAGTCGTAATAAAATAATTACTAATGAGAATAAAGTCGTACTTAAATCATTACTTACGAGAATAAAGTCGTGATAAACTCATTACTTACGGGAATAAAAAGTCGTAATAAAATCATTACTTACAAGAATTAAGTCCTATCCTGTTGTTTAAGATAACAGTTGCTGAAATGAGCCATGAAGCATTTTGTGAAACTGTACTTCAATATTTGTTTCTCAAACAAGGAGATACTTAATCTTTTGGCACATCTGCACCACATTATCATAAGTAGCCTGTCATAATGATTTTAGTACAACTTTATTCTCTTTAGTAATGACTCTATTCTCGTAAATTAACGACTTTGATCTCGCAGTCTTTATGGGCCCTAATACTAATACTCCATCGTAGCCTACTGATATATTAATACAGGGATACTATGATCTGTTTGATTGTCCTCACAGAAACCACAGACACAGACATCATCACAACAGAGATCATAAAACGACGAGATGTGGGGCCATATGGTATCCGCTCCGAGTACTGCATCAGGAAGATCATCTGCCCCATCGGAAACAGAGACACCCCCAAAGGTAACGTCCAAACCTTCTGTTTAAATCTTGTCACAAACCGAAATAGCATTTATTTAATAAGGATGATAAATACTTTAATTCTCTTTTATAATGAGCAGAGACCCCCACTCCACAGAGGAAAGGCCTGCGCTCCAGTGCCTTGAGGCCCAAAAAGCAGGAGCCAGCCAAGCTAACGGGGCCTGTGGCTGTGGAGTCGTGGGTGGCTGAGGAGGAGCTGGAGCTGTGGGAGATCAGGGCCTTCGCAGAAAAGTGAGAAACTTACAGGGAGCCTCGTCAAACATAAATGTTCACAGGATAGAGCAGCAGTTGAACATTTTCTCATACATCTTTTTTTACAGAATGGAGAGAGACAAGTCACAGGGGATCGATCCCTCCAAGAGCCTGAAAACAGCTGAGGACGTCAAGGCTCATCTGGAGAACCAGCTGAGACAGGCCAGGCTGGCAGCACAGCAGGTATAAACACGATACCACAGGTGGTTTCAAGACTTTAAAATGTGGAGGATATATTTCTTCATTCCTTAAGGATCACTTAAAGTTATTAAAAGATCAGTGATGCAAGAAACAATGATGATGTAAAGTTTATTATTCCTGTATTTTGTAAACTGCAGCAACACAATGTGGAAGAAAAATCAACTTTTTTTTTATACCAGGATGGTTCTAGTCAAAGATTCTGTTGGACTGGAAGTATTCAGGTTTCCGTTTGCAGTTAGGATTGGTTTGTTTACTGTCAGCAGAGATAGGCTGAAAGAAGGAGAGCAGTCTGTGACACCAGCAGGGGCTTCAGGGAAACACTTTGGGCTTCTCGCTTCCTGTTTCCTAATTTAACTAAACCATATTCAGGTTAGAGTGAGTGCAAACTGATCAACAAACTAGTGATAATTTCATCTGCTATTGTAGATTTGGTTTAAATTGAAGTTTTTGGATCAAAATACTTTTCAGTTTAAGGCACATTTTGGCCTTTTTATAGTATAGTTGAAGTTTAATTTGAGTAATTCCTGCCACATGTGATCCTTGGAACACTTTTAATTGTGTTATAACTTAGCCTTGATTCTCCCACAATGCAATGCTGCTGGGCTGTCCTCGGGAAGGGCATGCTGACCTGCTGTGTGCAAAAGCCCTTTTAAAAAAACTTGGAAAAGACTATCAAAATACTTAAAGTCCCACTACGATCATTTTTTTTTTTTTAACTTCTCAGTCTTTACTAAAAATCACATTACCTGTGTCATTTTCAAGGCTTTTCTCTCACAGAGCTCCAGTCGCTCATTAGCAATTCGCCTCTGAGTCGTGGGCAGAGACAGCGCTGTTCTGTACACTCATCTTTACCCTAGCTTGTAGTCTAACATTGCCGGTGTAGTAGAAGTGGCAGGTAACATAGACGCTATTCAGCTCTCCTCAGCTCGGACACTAATGTCTTAAGGCACACTGCTTGTTCCACAATCGTCCCCTCTATTTCTCCTCTATATGCATAGCGGGGCTCCAAGGGCGGAGCTTGCATTGGTTACGTATGATATTTCACTGTTTCTGAACCTTTGGGTTTGGGTCTGCCAGTGACTCACAATGATTTGAATGAAGAAATACTCAGAAAAGCAATTTCACATTTAGTTTTCTCATGATATGTATGTAGCATCAGAAAAATGCCAAATGAACCTATAAAAAACAAGAAAAACATGATTTTAATGGGAGTGGGTCTTTAAAGTGTATCCTGCGCTTCTGTTTTAGAAACGTCTGGAGCAGCCAAGGCCAAGCACACCTGGCTCCACTTTCACAACAACCACCAGCTCCACCTCTTCCAGCACCCTCAACACCCCATTGTCCACAAACCAGAGGACGGGTCAGGTCACACCAGGAACCAAGATGGTTCTGGCCTCCAAACTGGGCTCTCCAGTCTCCTTCCAGCAAGATAAGAACTTCCATCAGTCGTTTGCTTCCTGGGTCAAGCAGGGTCAGAACAACAAAGACACCAGCTCAGGTAAGACAGTCGTGGACGTGGAAACAACTCCAATCAAGCGCTTCAAATCCACAATGTCATCCAACTTTTTATTTAAGAGTCACAGTTTGTCTTTTTGTTTTGTTTCGGGTTTTTTTCAACATACACACTAAAGTCCTGGTATTATTATAAATAGGACTATGACACATTTCTTCCAAGGCTTTATAATTTAGTTGTGATGTTTTGAGTAAATATTGAGAGGAATTTAAAAGACCAGTATTCAGTTTGTGGACAGGACCCATATAAAGGCTGGGATCTTGTCCTGTGTGAGTCAATAAAAGCAGGTTTCCAGTTATCATCCAGGGCTGTGCACTCTCATCCCTTTGGTGCGTAACTCTAATACCACCAGCTCTCAGCAGATGGTAAAAAACACCAGTAGAAAAAGGGCACATTTTGCTCCAAATAAACGTATAAGAATCGTTTCAGTGTTTGCAAACAATACTGGTGCACAGAGATGCTGTTTGCTCTGCAGCACACGCAGAGTTTGTACAGATTTAATGGGTGCAAAAGAGTACCTCCCTTTGTTCTTCATATGAACATTTATACCGTTCAGTCTCAGAGAATATGATATAACATCCTGCGCTTTGTACAGGCCTGCCTTATATAAAAGTCTGGTACCTTCTGCAGTGTTTGCAGTAAAGGTCTCCATCTTCATTTGAGGATTACTGTAAGTACTTGGCAAAGGAGGGTCTACAGGTCTTCATCATGTTAGACAAAAATACCCCCACAGTTTATTTATTTCCTTTTTACCTTGTTTTAAATTTTTTTGTTCAGGCATGAACCTCCACAACCTTTTTTTCTGTGTCCTTTTTCCACGTTATGTGATTGGCGAGCTAAATTGACTTTATGGTTCGTGGTGTCCACTCCAAGTCCCGTTCAAACTATACTTTGAGCCTTTTGAGGTCTTGATAAGCTGAAGATAACAGAGAGCTTTTGCTGAATATAAACACCCGGACTAACATACCGTTCCAGTGTTTAAAAACCTGAGCCCATTAGTTGCCTCAAACCTTCCAGTGGACACTACAGCCATACACCAGCTGTTCTGGTTCCCCTTTGCGGGTGTGCGTGACTGCAGGTGGCATGGTGTGTCTTGCAGCCTCCACCACCTCAGAGCAAACCTTCCAGATTGCTGGCAGCCCAGTGACTGTGGCTGGCCAAGTCCTCGCCGGCAAACTCCCCCTGCCCGCCAACAGCAAGATTGTTACGCTCAACATGCCCACCAATCAAGGAGGTAGGCCGCACGCGTGTCATCCATTTCAGCTGGTTTGGGCTCACGCGTGACGAATGGATGCCTAAAGCATGGAGGACAACAACCATGTTTCATTTATTTGTCTATACTGTGTGGAAAAAAACTTGGATGGCACTTTTTTTTATGCAGACCACAACTTTTCTTTTGCTTTTTGGATATTTTTTAAGATTTCTGTTTGAACCAGGACACTTCCAAAAAGAAACCCCACAGACTGAGCATGCCTCGCCACATCCTTGCATGTTGTTGCGTATTTTCTCCAGCATATTGGCCTCTTTTCTTAACAGAACTGTTCCCATAAACAGGTGGAGTGCAGCAGAAAGTCCTCGGCATATTCCCCTCTGGACCTCCTGCAAACCTAAGGACCTACAGCACTCTGCATCCTACGACCGGCAATATCAACCTCAGAGCCTCCACCTCTGCCTCAAACACGCAGCAGCAGGTATTTACACACAACAGCTTTCACTCAGAGGTAAAGGAAATTTTAAGCACACAAGTGATGGTTTGATTGCGGGCGTTTTGTTCCAGGCCATCCCAGCAGGAGGCCAAACTCAACCTGGCACAACAATGAGCCAGTCAGCGTCTCCATCTACCTCTGTGAATTCAGCGATGGTCAGAGGTCAGACTCAACAAGGTGAAATATCCTCCCGACTCTTTCAGTCCACAGATGACTCATATTTGATGTGACTCACAAACATCTCTCTCCGCTGTAGGTCCACCTCAGCAGTCTGTGACTCCCATGGGCCCGGCTCAGCCTGGATCCACACCTGTGGCTGGTTCTACACCTGTAGCTCAGAGAGCAGCAGCTACTGCGCCAGCGACAGCAGCACCTGGACAGACACCTGTAGCTGCCCCCCAAACTCCCAGACCTCAGCAGGGTCAAGTTAAACTCACAATGGCTCAGCTCATGCAGCTCACACAGGGGGCTCAGGTGAGGACACACTGCATATCTCTATATCTACCTCATTCTCCTCCTGCATACTGTCCTTTTTCTGGGTCTAACTGACCTTAGCATATATATGTGTTATATACCATAGTGGGAGAATGAAGGCTCAGTAAACCTCTGCAGGTTTTCAGAGTTCATGAGCTGATTTGAGTTTTTTTCAGGGCTGAAATACCCTACAAGAATCTGGATTTTTCCACTAAAAATGAACTTTTTACGACCTATTAAGTATCGCAGTTATTTGTTTTACAATGTTTAAATCGATTTTTTTTGTTCAAAAATCTATTTTTTTTAATCAAATTTAAGACTAAATTTTAATAAATGACTTAGATGTGCTGTGTATAAAATCCAGGCCAAAAATCGAGAAAATCAACAATATTGTAGAATTGCAATTTAAATCAAATCGGCATCCAAAAAATCGTAGAAGAATTGAACCAAAAATTAAACTAAAAAGTTTAAGATCACTTTGTCTTTTACTCTCCAGGGGGGAAACCCAGGTCTGACGGTGGTGATCCAGGGTCAGGGTCAGACCCAGGGACAGCTTCGAATCATCCCGCAGGGTGTCACGGTCATCCCCGGTCCTGGCCAACAGCTCATGCAGGCAGCCATGCCAAACGGCCAGGTGCAGCACTTCCTCTTCACACCCATGCCTCCGTCATCTTCCGTTTCCACCTCAGCACCAGCTTCTGCTCCCCCAGCAAAGCCCACCATCACGCAGACTCCTCCAACCCAAATCTCATCCCCAGCTCAAGCCAGAGTTCCTGCACAAGTCCAGACAACTCCCTCATCTCTTGCCCAGACTCAAATGGCAGCACCCTTACCTGCCCCAACACACATGCCTAGTTTGGCTCCCTCCCCGGCCTCGATCTCTGCTCCTGTTCCAGCAGCCCAGGTCTCAATGCAATCTCAAGTTTTAGCAGCACCCCCTGTATCAGTCCAAGCCCAATCCCAGATATCCAGTCCTGTTCCTCCCCTGCCACGTGTTGCAGCCCGCACCTCCACACAGTCTTTATCCCCCACACTGGCCTCTGTGCCTGCACAGCCAGTGGTAAGACCTGTATTCCCCCAGCAGATTCAAGCCCCCAATGCAGCCCCAGCCATGGTTCAAACCCAAGTCTCCACTCTTACCCCAGGTGTATTCCCCACACAAACCCAAACTGCAGTGTCGCTTCCTCTCCAGAGACCGGCTGCACCTCAGCACCACCCCCATACTTTCAACTCCACCGCTGCTTTGACCTCAGCCCCAGTCCAGATGCACGTTTCGGCTCCGGCCCCTGCATTTGCCCCTCTATCAGGACCCTCTAACTCCGCCCCATTACCTGCGTCTTCCTCTCTTCCCTCGCCGGTCCAAGCGCCCACCCCTGCGCTCGCTCCTGTCTCTGCTCCTGTCATAGCTGTAGTGTCCACACAGATTCATGTCCCTCCCCCAGGCAGAGCTTTGACCCAAATCCAGACCACCGCCCCTGTTCCTCTTCATGCTGCAGTGGCGAATGCTGTCGTCACGCCTGTCACAGCCACCTCTACAACACCTTCAGTGCCAGGTAAAGAACACAACTGTTCATACATACTGTGATGTTAGCTTGCATGTCATTTTGTAGAATGGAACAGGATGTCTGTGTTGTCATTGTACATGTACAACAAACTGAGTGCAGCCCTTCTTAGTGTAAATAAGAACATTAAACAGTATGTGAAAATATAAACATCACATGAACACAAAACATAAAAAACATACACAGGGCTTTCTTTTTAATTAATTTATTTTATTTTAATTTTTTATTGTCGTTATTTTTATTTTTATATTTTTTAATAATTATTTCTATCTATTTTTATTATTATTTAATGTTTTTATGTACTTGTTTATTTATTAGCATTATTATTTTTTTTATTATCATAATTTTTATTATAATCATTATTATTTACTTTTATTTTTTCGATATTTTTTTCTTTCAATTTTATTTATTTATTTATAAGCCTGTAAACCTTTAATGCCATTGAAAATGGTCCAGGTATTCACCACTCTGTGAGAGACCGCGTGAACAAATAGTTCAGCAATTTTAGAATAACTCGTGAGATTGCAAAGAATTTTGGGGTTTCATTATCTGTTGTACATAATATACTTTAAAAACTCAAAGACTGTTGTTTAAAAAACTAGATATGGACGTCCCTGATCTTGGGCCACACTTTAGTCTTGCTGTGATTTCATTAATAACAATTTTGATATTCTTTAGGAAATCACTGATGCCAGATTTTTATTTATTCATTTATTTTGCTTTAAAGAGGTCTGTTATTGGCTCACAGCTCAAAAGTCATTATCTGATGGTATAGGGGTGCAAATGTGACCATGACATGGGTATCTCACACATCTGTGGAGGCTCCATTACTGCTAATCAATATGTACAGATATAATCATGCTGCCCTCTAAAAAAAATCTATTTGTATAGTTTTGCATCCATGCTCGGTTGTAGATTAATTTTCAGTTCATTGCATCTCTTTGTTTCTCGGTCCTGTCGCAGCTCTGACGGAGCAGAGAGCAGCTCAGCCGCAGGTCTGGGCTTCGGTCTCGTCTCAGGCTCAGACTCCACCTCAACAGGCTGCAGCTTCAGTCCAGACCCCGACCCAGGCTCCTCTACCCACCTCTGCTCCCGCACCAGTATCCACACATTCAACCGTCACCCCTCTTCCTCAAGCTGCTCTTCCTCCTCAAGCTCAAGTCCAAGTCCAGCACCCGAGTGTGGTGTCCATGCAGCAGGTGTCTCAGATCCCAGTCTCAGCAGTCCAGGTTCACATGAGGGGGATACCTGTCTCTTCAGTTGTTACGACAATGAGACCCCCGCAGCCTCAGCTTCAAACCCAGCCCACCACTCAGCTTCAGCCCCAGCATCAAACCCAGATCTGTGCTCAGATTCAGGTCCAGCCCTTCAGCCAAGTCCAGCAGATACAGGCCCAAGCACAAGCCCAGAACCACCCCCAGGTCCGAGTTCAATTTGAGCCCCACACTCAGCAGCAAACCCAAGTCCAACCCCAACCTCCCAATCATCCTCAGGCACAGTTCCAGTCCCCAAACCAAACCTTGCCCCAGGTCCAGGTCTCAGCACAGTCCCAGCTCCAATCCAGGGTCCAACCTCAGTTTCACCCCCAGGGACAAGCCTCATTTCAAACCCCGACTCAAACCCAGCCCCAACCTCAGGTCCAACCTCCACCACATGTTCAGTCTCAGGCCCAAACTCAGCTCCAGACCCAAATCCAGACCCAGATCCACCCCCAGGTTCAGGTCCAGTTCCAACAGCAGAGCCAGATTCACCAACAGACTCAGGCCACGTCGCAACAACCTCAGACCCTCGCTCAGTCACAGGTCCAAGCCCAGCCCCAGTTTCAGGTCCAGTCACCTCAGCAGACCCAGGTTCAACCACAGCTTCAGGTCCAAGCCCAACCCCAAGTCCAGGCTAAACTCCAAGTCCAGTTCCAGCCTCAGAACCAAACCCAACTCCAAACGCAGCCTCAGCTTCAGGTCCAATCTCCCATCAGGCATCAGCTCATCACCGTTCCAGGCCTCCAGCAGCCGGTCCAGCTCCTCTCAGCTCTGCCCCCTCACGTCGCTGCCCAGATTCAAGCTCAGATCCAGGCCCAGGCCCAGCAGCAGGGGGGCACCATCCCCCAGCAGATCAAACTGCAGCTGCCTATCCAGATCCAGCAGGCTGGGGGGCAAATTCAGACCCACCAGATCCAGAACATGGTGACCATACAGGCCCCGGCGAGTGTCCAGGAGCAGCTTCAGAGGATGCAGCAGCAGCAACAACAACAACAACAACAACAACAGCAGCAGCAACAGCAACAACAACCACCAAAACCAAAGAAGAAGAAAAATCTGGAGAGTAAAAGGGAACAGAAAGAGCAGAATCTGCAGAGTGTCAGTCCCGGAGATGGCATCCAAAAACAGGTGTGACTCAAATTTAATAAATCAAAGTGATTCAGCGCTGAGATTCTGTCAATATTGACGGGAAGTTTCTGTTTTTTTAAGGTGGTGATGAAGCAGAATTCTACCGCAGAGCAGCTGAAACAGAGGAAGAGCCTGGCTGCAGCTGAGCGAGAGGAGAATCAGAGGTTCGAGCGTTTATAGATTTGAGAACTTAAGGTCCTTTAACACCGGGACCGTTTTTGTCATGCGATTATTTTGGACGTCAATATTTTTTTTTCGAACCTGTATCCTGTCAATACAAGCGTTCACATCAGCAAGGTTTTCCCATTCTGCCATATTGCGGCATTTATTTTTTCAGATCATGGTCGATTTTTTTTAAGTTTTGCATTCTGTGTGTCCACTTTTGACTAATCAGATTGCGTGTCGTTGCGACATCTGATTCACCGGTATATCCAACATGGCCGATCGGCTGATTGTTTACGTGTCTGAGAACAGAGTGCTTTATGACAAAAAACACAAATATTACAAAGATAACGACCTGAAGGACAACTTGTGGAGAGTCATAGCGTTGGATCTCTCATATGACGATAGTTTGTGTGCTTTATCAGTTTGTTAAACGTCTTTGTTTTAACTTTCATCTGTGCTAACATATGCTAACGGTTGTTAGCATTGTTTCATGTGCTTATCTTATTGCCTCTGATTGGCCATAAGTGCTGACTGTTTGGCTTGAGCGTGTGATGACGTTTCCAACTTTACTAGCCAATCAGAGGCGAAGGAGGCGGGACCTTCCCCCGGCTTGATGTGTATAGTCAGGCGCGTCAAAATTCGCCTAAATATTTCGTGATTTTGCGTTCTATAGTCGCGTCGGCCCCAGTGTGTAAGGGATTTTACACATGTTTAGGACGAGGATAGTAAAGAGATAAGATGGATCATTTTCTCAACAAGAAGGCACCAATTTCCACTTAACCTAAAGTTCTTTACAGGAGCTTTAAGTGGCATGAAACAATCTGACATTAAAGCTTCATTTCTCTTCTCTGCTGATCTCCTCGCTTTGTTTTCAGAATGATAGTGTGCAACCAGGTGATGAAGTTCATACTTGACAAGATCGAGAAGGACGAGAAGCAGGCAGCTAAGAAGAGGAAGAAGGAGGAGGTGGTGGAGCAGAAACGCTCCAAACAGAACGCCACCAAACTGACGGCGCTGCTGTACAAGCACAAAGAGCAGCTGAAGGCCGAGATCCTGAAGAAGAGAGCCCTGCTGGACAAGGAGCTGCAGCTGCAAGTGCAGGTAAGAGCTGCAGCGAGATGTTTATTTCAGTCAGGAGACATGCATGTAAACACCCAGGAGTTCATACACAATGTGAACGGGGTCTAAGAGAGACACATTTACATCTTTACCTGCCATATTTTCTCTCTTTTTCAGGAGGAGCTGAGGCGAGACATAGCCAGGTTGCAGAAAGAGAAGGAGAGAGCCCGAGCTGCCATCGCTCAGGCCGCCGCAGCAACCGTCAAGTCCTCCGCCGCTTCCCACTCCTCCCATCCCTCCCTTTCCACACATTCCTCCCACAGCACCCACACATCGCCTTCACCCTCCTCGTCCCACAAAAAAAAGAGAGAAGAGGAGAGGGACAGAAACAGAGACAGAGACCGGGACCGACACCACGACAAGGACAAGAAAAGGGAGCGAGATAAAGAGCGAGACAGAGAGAAAGAGCGAGACAGTGAGCGAGAGAGGGAGAGAGAGAGGGAGAAGGAGAGACATCGGGACAGAGATAAACATCGGGAAAGGGAAAGGGACAGAGATAAAGACAGAGACCGGGACAGGGACCGAGATTCAAGTTCATCCAAACACAAGAAGAAGAAGAAGAAGCTCTCTTCTACCTCAAAGGACCACAAAAAAGACAGCAAACTGTACTGTGTCTGCAAAACGCCCTACGACGAGTCCAAGTGAGTGACTGTGGTCATGACCGTGGTTCTTCTTTTATGATTAACACATTTGCTTTAAGAGTGGTAGAAATAAATCTGAATTGTGGTTCCTCAGGTTTTACATCGGGTGCGACCTGTGCTCCAACTGGTTCCATGGCGCCTGTGTGGGCATCACAGAGAAAGAGGCGAAGAAGCTGGAGGACTTTGTGTGTAATGACTGCAAACGTGGTCAAGAGGGAGGAAGCAACGAGGAGTTATACTGCATCTGCCGGACACCCTACGACGAATCACAGTAAGACTTTCTAATGGATATCATGACTGTCATAACTGTTCGCTGCATTTATTTTGCATTTCTGTCACTCTTTTGTTGTTGACTAATGCAATTGAGACCCTACAACCCAGCTAGAATGAAAAGTAAAGAACTTCAGGTTGATCTTGAGGAATTTTTCCAAGATCACAAAAGCCTGCTTAGGTGAGAGAAGAAACAAAACAGCTAACTTTGATTGAAAAGGAGTGCCAGTCGTGCAACACTGACATCCTACAGAGCCAAATCGGTGATTATATTCCAAAGTCCTCCACTGATGTGATGCTCTGACCAATCAGCAAAATTTTCGTAGTCCTTTGGCAAAAACGTTTGTTTGATTTTCCAAAACTTTCAGGGGTTCTTCCAAAAATGTCCACGATTGTGCAAAATTTCTTAAGATGTTGCAAAAAAAATTCTTCAGATCCTGCCAATAATATCTCAAGATAGTGCGAATGTTTCTTAAAATCCCATTTAAATGTCCCTCAGGTCTTGCAAAAGTTTCCTGGGATCCTGCGAAAAAATATATTGTGGGATATTGCAAATGTTACTTGGACACTTGCTGAAATGATCCTCAGGGTTTTTTTTATCTTTTAAAAATGTCCTTTAGTCTTCAAAATTTTTTCTTAAATTCTCCAAATCTTTCACAATGCTTCTTTGAACCTTGCTTAGTGTTCCAGTGGGATCTTGAAAATTTTTTGCTGGAATCTAACAAAAAAGGGGGAAACCAGCAAAAATTTTTCAAGATCCCACTAAAAAAAGAAAAAAAAAAAAAACAATGTTTCCTTTATGTTATTTTCCACAAGAATTTCTTTTAACCTGACGAAGGTTCCTTTGAATCCTGTAAAAACTTAAAAGGATTTTTCAAAGAATTTTTTTTAATCTTGCAAATAATACAACATTTTTTTGAGTCTGTAAAACTTGTTTGGGATCAGCCCGTTTTAGTCCTCCAGGTCCCTCCTGGGGCTGCAGACATTTGACTCGATTTGCTTGTAAAACTGTCTTTCAGTCTTTATAAGAAACTTATTTTATTGAACATTTCTCTTGTGAATTTTTTACGTCTGATCTAATGAACGGTTTGCCTTTGACCAACAGATTTTACATCGGCTGCGACCGCTGCCAGAACTGGTATCATGGGCGCTGCGTGGGCATCCTTCAGAGCGAGGCCAATCACATCGACGTGTACGTCTGCCCACAGTGTCAGTCGACGGAAGACGCCATGACGGTCCTCACACCTCTCACGGACAAAGACTGCGAGGGGTTGAAGAGAATACTACGCTCATTACAGGTCTGTACATGGAAAACTTGATAATATCAGATCAAAATATGGATTTAGTCAAATAAAAAGTGCTGAAAGGTTATTTTTTAAATTTTTATTCTTTGACCTGTTGACTTTTCTCCTTTAAACAGTCTCATAAAATGGCGTGGCCCTTTCTTGAACCAGTGGATCCCCACGATGCGCCAGATTACTATCGCGTTATCAAGGAGCCGATGGGTAAGAAAACTTTGGGAGGTTGACCTTTGTGTGAGACATATTTGTAGGTTTTTGTCTGTGCTGAGGCAACAAGAGAAAATGTTACTTTTTTAAGAGCATCACAAGGTTATTATCTGTAATATTCATGTCATATTTGACATTATAGCAAATGTGAAGTTCATGCTGTTTCGCTCTCTCACTTCACCAATGACTCTTTCCCTCACAGATTTTTCCACGATGGAAACACGCCTGCAGAAGCGACACTACCACAAGCTCACAGAGTTTGTGGCTGACGTGACCAAAATCTTCGACAACTGCCGCTACTACAACCCCAACGACACGCCCTTCTTTCAGTGTGCCGAGGTGCTGGAAGCCTTCTTTGTACAGAAGCTGAAAGGTTTCAAAGCGAGCAGGTGAGGACAGGCGCTCCTCTTACTCCCTCTCCCTCTGAATCCCTCTCTGGTTTTCCTCAATTGTGTTTATAAATCTTAAACTGTGGCGTCAGTCTCATTTCTTCCTCCTTTCAGTCACTTCTTCCTTCAGTTTATCCCGCTGGCATGTGTATAAAAGTGCTCGTTGCAGTAGAGTCTCCCTCATTGTAGAGTAGAGTTTGCTGTCACATGGTTTAAACTGTTGCTTGCACTAAACCCAACATGGCTGCTCGATGTTAAGACATTCTGGCCGTTGTCTTAACAGAAGTTCGTGCTGTGTTACATCTGCACCGGGTCTCACCTTGCATTTGTGTCTGTTCATCTGTGCTGCATGCCTTTTGATTTACTCCATCCCATTTTCTTCTGTCTTGCAGATTGTCAGATTCTTAAGGGGGCCAGTCTAGCTGGAGTCTGGACTGGAAGCTGGGGTCTCTAATGATAATGTCATGGAAGCTTTTTCTTTGTTTCCAGAGCAGCAGAACTAATCTTGAAATAAGAGAGAAATCAGAAAAACACACACCAAATGTGCTTTCACTGAAACGCCACCAATTTTGATACACCGCCTCAAAACAGCAGCCATGTTGATGCGTTCATATATGCGATTTTCTTTAATCTGAGCTTTTTCATCCATCGTAGCTTGGATGAGTTCTAGCTTCTGACCATGTGTTCACTAGACTTGAGAAAATATACAAAGCAGCATATTTTATTATGGAGATATTTATGAGGAGTTTAGCGTGTTACAGCCTTTAAGTTTGATCTAGCTGGTTGTTAATGTACATACTTTTTATCATGTACAAAAGTTGTAAGATATATCTAAATCTGTATTTGAATGTTTTAAATGATTATGAAGCAGATCATTTTAGATAGTATTATTTTATGAGACTAAACTCTACTTCAGAGAGGGAATGACTTAACGTCATCATGCTCCTCGCTTCACAAAGTAACCTCAGTTTGTAGCTGAAAAAAAAACCAAGCATTCCCCGTTAACTCCATCAACATGGCTGCAGGATCCTCCACCGTCTCCTTTGCATCTTCTCTGTCTGTCTGTTCAGATGTCAAAAACATAAACAAAACTGCACTCTCCCTCTCTCCGCACTCTGTAGGTCTCATAACAACAAGCTACAGTGCTCTTCAGCCTCTTAGAAAACATTGCACATTGCTCAAACAAAATGCACTTGCCAAGAAAAATGGCTTTACTGAACTGACAGACTCTGCCTCGTCCTGTGTATCGGGGATCTGCTCCTCTGACCGTCGGCGCAGCCACCTCTGCTGCTTTCTCACAAACCCGATCAGGCAGAGCCGCTGTCTGGGGGACCTTTGTTTTGGACCCGTCTTCATCAGTGGGACTGTACTGGGGAGCGCCAACAACTGAGGTGTCTCAGAAGAAAGTTTACCTCGGAGAAAAGACTCTCATGGAGCTCTCATAATTCCACTTTCTTTACTTCTTGAAATCAGTCTTTTTATTTTTTACTTTCTTGATAAAATCCCCCTCAGACCATCCTTGTGGTCATCAAGTCCAACGAGAAATAGGAAATAGAATACCGACAAATAATGGCTGAGTTTTACTGAGCATAATGCATCAAAGTCTACATTTTTTCTTCCATTTCCACTCATTGTTTAGTCTGAAGTGGCATGAACGACACTTGTACTAAATATGTGGACATCAGTAGTCTGCTTGGTTAAACTTGTATAACCTACTGAAAGTACAGTAATAAGCTATTGTAAATGATGTGCTCTGCAGTAGTGACTGACTGACTGAGAAGGAAAAAACAATGTATTTGAAGGTTCCTGCCCTGTTTGTAAAAAATTTGTCAGATTTTGACTGGATTTCTTTTTCTTTTTTTGTATTACAACTGAAGAAATATTGATGTATATGGAACTTAATAAAATGCAAAAGACTCACTACTTCTTTCTAGATTTGTGAAAGGCAAATGTTTTAGGATTCATGTTAGCAGAATAATCAGGGTAAAACTAGGGCAAAATGTGATGGAAGGCTGATTGAATTAATCATGCTTAAACTTTTCTGAAGTTTCAACTGGCTATGAAAAAAGACTTAAATTAAGAGCGATGGCCTCTAAATCAACACGGGCCAGAAGTTCCTTACTGGTGCTTTAAGTCCGAGCTGTCCTTTGTATCTGCTTTAAATCAAGGACTTGTCCTATTCTGTCACGGTTCTCTTTCACATAATAACCCAATTATTATACATTTTCCCTTACATATTTTTAAATGTCCTGTGAGGAGTTTTTAACTGCCTCATAATAAAATAATAATGTTTGTGTACTTAACTTTAAATTTGGAATATTCAACATAACCACAATAGATGTCTCCCTTTTCAGATTTCATTGAGCCTGTTTGTACGCAGTCGTATCCAAAATGAAAACCCCCAGAAATCCGTAATGTAATGTAGACCAGTGGTTCTCAACTGGTCTCACTCTGGGACTCACATTTTCCCATGGTCCTTAAGTCACGACCCACTTGACACATTGACACATGAAATTCAAACCAAGCAAGTTTAGTTTTTGTAAAAGGGAAAAAAAATTAAAGACTCAAATCTTTAACATAAATACACCTATTTTATTGAGTAAAGGGGAGGATCACAACATAACGTGTGTCTCCCAAAATAAAAGACAGGTCAGACATCAGATCCGCATTAAATATTTACTTTTTTGACCAGCTGTTCGCAATCCATCCAGAACCACTTTGGGGTCAGGACCCACCAGTTGAGAACCACTGATGTAGACTATGGAAATGCAATGTGACTTTAACATTGAGCAACAAAAATGATATCATTAGTCCTAAAGGAAATATCCTGTATGTCAACTATTATCTATTTTTTAATGGGAAAAATGTAATTGTGAAATTCAAAACTATTAATGCTGATATAGTTTATTTTAAATGTTTGAAACACATTTGCCTCATGTTGCAATCCATCCATCTGTTTTTAAGTTGTCGCTACTGTTTTTTTTTTGTTTGTTTGTTTTTTGTGGTTAAAAACTCATAGAATACAAAAAAAATAAGTATTTCTGTTTGAACTAATATATATATATATATATATATATATATATATATATATATATATATATATATATATATATATATATATACATATATATTAGTTATTATATATATATATATATATATATATATATATATATATATATATATATATATATATACACACAATAGTTTAGTATATATAAAATACATAGTTATATCCAGTCTACGGTCAAAACTGTTTTAAGTTGCTACCATCGGAATCATGTGAAAAGGACACAGATTTCTTGAGTTCACCATTAGGGTCGCTGAAGTTCAGAAACAACTTTTAGGGCAGTCTTAATACAGATTACCTTACATGAAACGCTCTAACTTTAACCTTTAATGTTCACAAGAACTTTGTGAACATGACAAGTCTGTATCTGAACGACAAACGCCGATCCTTAAAAAGTTCATCCCAAAGCGATGATTCACAAAAACGTAGACATTCCTCCGATGAAAGGGCGTCGGATTCAAATGAGCATTGGTCTCGCGATATTACCGTGTAGTACGTTATATCCTGTGCGTGGTGACAGTTTTTGAACAGTCCAATAGACGTTGGCGCTCGGATGCTCTCCGCTCGAATAGCCCAATCAGAAGAGTTTGTAGCAGGAATTTAAAGGTCTGAACCACCCTGTCTGACAATTACATCCTTTCAGCTTCGACGAGGTAAGCATGTGTCATCGTTTCGAAGTGTTACATAAGGAATTTAATTTTCTTTTTAAAAATAATGTTGTCCTCCGCTGTTCTGTGATAGGGTTAACGGTATTCAAGCTAACGTTAGTCGAAGGTGGACCTGTTTTAGTACTAGAGCTGAGATCTGTTCAGTTTGACATGTGTGTCAGTCTTCCCGCTGTCGGGTCATGAGGTAGCAGAAAGAAAGCTAATCTTGTTCAAACTTATTTTTCCCTTCAGGATTAAAACATCTCAACTTTTCTGCTTCATTTCCGCCGAGCTTCATTTACCTGAAAATGTCTGAGAACGTCGCTCGTCTGAACAAATTCAAGAACAAAGGCAAAGATGCCAACGTGAGTGTTTTTTTTTTTTCATTGAAAGTTAGAAATGTTGTTATCCCTCTTCACACAGGTGATTGTAATCATTGTTTTCATGTGTTTTTTCAACAGGAACTTCGTCGCAGAAGAGTGGAGGTGAACGTAGAGCTGAGAAAGGCGAAGAAAGATGATCAGATTTTCAAGAGACGAAATGTGTCCGCGTTTCCCGATGAGGCCACTTCCCCTCTACAGGAGAGGACCCAGAACTGTCAGGTAGGACTTTAAAATCCGCTAAATATGATCTAGACCTGCTCTTTTTGTTCAGTATCTTTAGATAACACTGGTGATTGATGCTATAAGTAGAATTATTAATAGATTTTGCATTACCTCTGAGTGTGGTTTTCATGTAGGCTATTTCTAGCATATGTCTTCTCTTCTCATCTGTGCATGAAGTAGATTTATGAAAATACCAGTATGACTTTTGTTCCAAAAAAGTTAAGATGCTGTGTAAAATGTTTACAAAAGGCATTGCCTGGTAGCAAATGTTGCTCCATAATCTTGATGTGTTGTTCAGCATTGATGGTGCCTTTCCAGATGTGTAGGCCACAAATGCAGGCTTCTTAACTGCCCATTTACAACAAGCTAAGTAGTCCCCCCTCCTCTTTAGAACTGTGGACATGGCATCCATGATTTCCAAGAAGAATGTCCAATTTTGATTGGTCAGACTACAGGGCAGTTATCCACTTCACATAAGTCCACCATGAATGCGCTCAGGCTCAGAGGTTTTGAACAATGTCAATATAGGATATCCTCTTGGCGTGGTACAGAATAGCCTGCTTGTTAAAATGTGTTCACAGACAATGACTTTTGGAAGTGATTTTGAGGCCGTGCAGTGATTTCCACTGCTGCAGAGTCATGTATATTTTTAGTTTATTGCAGCCCAAGGGCCCCAAAATCACAGCCACTCAGTAGCAGCTTTTGACATTGTACCTTTTGTACAGAGATCGATCAGATTCTTCTTACATATAGGCTTTATTCTGTCTTTATCAACATTTTTTAAACTGGATTTGTGTGTGTACATAGCTATTTTTCTGTCCTACTAAAATGTATGCTGATTTTTTTTTTTTTTTTCTCTGCAGGCAGCCAAACAGTGGACAGTCGATGAGGTTGTTGCAGGAGTGAACAGTGGTATTACTGAGACCCAGCTCCAGGCTACACAGGCTGCAAGGTAACAACACTTCACTCCTGAATATTACTCAGTTTTTACTACACTATAGATATGAGTGACTACTTTAACAGTTGAAGCCTCAAACACAACTTTGATTGCTAAATCAATATGTAAACCACTAAAGCACTTGTCATCTGCTATCAAAATTCAAGAGCTGTGACATGGCATTCATGGTAATTAATTATACAATGATAATGAACAACAGTAGCTGTGTTTTAAAAGAGGGTGTAATGTCATGCAACAACTGTCTGTGGTTTTTCTTAAATTTGACACATAAATTCAGTCAAACTTGTAGTTGTATTCTATACAAGCATAACCTTAACTGTAGCAGTAGTGGTGACTGAATGTCTCTTGTTGAATGTACCATAATTATTCTCTTACTCCTCTGTCCTGATCGCAGGAAGATGCTGTCCCGTGAAAAACACCCCCCGATCGACCTGATGATCAGCGCTGGTCTGATTCCCAAATTTGTTGCCTTCTTGGGGCTCACGGACTGTCCTCCAATTCAGTTTGAGGCATCCTGGGCTCTCACCAACATCGCTTCTGGGACATCAGAGCAGACGGCTGCTGTGGTGGAGGGTGGGGCCATCCCTGCGTTCATCAACCTGGTCACTTCCCCCCATCAGCACATCAGCGAGCAAGCTGTCTGGGCCCTGGGAAACATTGCTGGTAAGTTAACTCAATGTTTTGATCTCATATGGCCAAAAGTGAGCAAAGAATAAGACTTAAATGTGTATTTATTTTTGTTGTTCAGGTGATGGATCGGCTCTCAGAGACAGGGTCATTAAGCATGGAGCCATTGCCCCTCTGCTCAGTCTGCTGGCTGTCCCTGACCTCTCCGTCTTTAATGTAATTATTTTCAACTCCTCATCTATTTATTTTTGTTTGTGTCTTCAACAGGAAACCACTTCTTTAAAAATGTCAGTCGTTTGTACCCCTTTTCACCCACAAGGGGGCACCCTAACTCAACCAAAAGCACCTCCAAACCTTAAACTTCTTCCTGTCCCTTCTTTTATACCTGTTCCCTCTATAGCCTGGCTACCTGAGAAATGTCACTTGGACGCTATCTAACCTCTGTCGCAACAAGAACCCCTCCCCTCCCCTGGAAGCCATCCAGCAAATCTTGCCTTCCCTCATTCGTCTCCTTCACTGTGACGATCTGGAGGTGTTGGCTGATGCTTGTTGGGCAGTTTCATACCTGACAGATGGCTCCAATGACCGCATCGAGGTGGTGATCCAAACCGGCTTGATTTCTCGCTTGGTGAAGATGCTTGGTTTTGATGAGCTGCCCGTGGTGGTACGTATAAAGTCTCGCCTGTTTGCACTCAGTACGAAGCTTTAAATATGTACAGATGTGCTCTAAGTAAATGACAATTGTGAGATTAACCAAGTTCTTACAATTTTACTATGTCTCTACAAATTTACATGAGCTTTCCAAACTGAGGATAGTACCAGAGAATAAAAGACCCCCATGTGAGTACAGTAAATTGACCCCTCTCCTTCCTCCCATCAGACCCCTGCGCTGCGGGCCATCGGCAACATTGTGACCGGTACAGACGAGCAGACTCAGGCAGTGCTGAACGCCGGGGCCCTGACCATGTTCCCCAAGCTGCTGCGCCACAAAAAAGCCAACATCCAGAAGGAGGCGGCCTGGACTCTGTCCAACATCACAGCAGGGAAGGACAGCCAAATCCAGGAGGTCATCAACGCTGGACTTGTCCACTACATGGTCGATATGCTCGTGAAGGTACGTGACGAGCAGTCTGATTATTTTCACTCCTAGGAAAAGCAACAGTAGTTGGTGGTAAAATGTACACTACACTGATAAAGGTGATAAGCTTCAGACAAGTTTGACCTCATGTGGATAGATCCGACAGCCTCCAAAAACATCTGGCAGCCGTTTTTTTGTGTTATTTACATTTTTTTTTTTTTTTTTTTTTTTGTAGTCGTAGTGAATTAGAAAATCTTTTTTTTTAATATTACAAATAAATATCAGTGAAATATGGGTACAGAACACAAGTTCTTAGCTTTTGCCTGCAGAACCTGACCAATAGAGGAGATCCTTCCAAAAATACATATGTCATGTTTTCAATATATTTTTTCACATTTTGGGGAGTGAATTTGAGTTCATGTAGTACTTACTCTAGCACCATAAAAATCAAAGTTGATGGAGTAGTGGGCAAATCTCTGTTCTCTTTTCCAGTAAGATAATTAACAATGCTTTACAGGTCATGGGGTCTATATAATGTTTCGAACATGACACCTTGTAATTCCATATTTCAGTTAAATGACAGCTGTTTAGTGTCCCGCTGCACTGATAACATGATCTGAAAATCAGCAGAATGAAGAATATAACTTCAGTTTTAGCAGCGAAGAGCAAAGCTGTGTTACTCATCATAACCTTCTTTTGTCTGCAGGGTGACTACAAAACCCAGAAAGAGGCCGTGTGGGCCGTTACCAACTTCACCAGCGGGGGCACTGTTCAGCAGGTGGTTTACCTCGTCCAGGCTAACGTGCTTGAGCCTCTTCTTAATCTCCTCTCCTCTAAAGACAGCAAAACTGTCCTGGTCATCCTGGACGCCATCACCAATATCTTCCTGGTGAGTCCAATACCTTTTGTAGATGTAGAAGCTTTGACTGAAGCTAAATCTGATTGTTTACAGGATGATGGCTGTGAATTATTTGTGCTCATGAGTGTTGTACTTTCAGGCTGGGGATAAAATTGGTGAGTCAGATAAGCTGAGTCTGATGATTGAAGAGTGCGGAGGACTGGATAAGATTGAGGCTCTGCAGGCACATGAGAACGAGATGATTTACAAAGCAGCCCTCAACCTGATTGAAAAATACTTCTCGGAAGAGGTAAGAGTCACTCCTTTAAGTTCTTAAAGATACTTCTTGAGTGTATTTCTAATTGCCCTGACTGATTTGTATCCTTTTTGATTCACAAAGGAGGAGGAGGTTCAGAGTGTGGCCCCAGAATCAACTAGTGACGCCTATGCCTTCAGCATCGGTGAAAACCAGAGCACTTTCAACTTCTAGCAACCTTCAAAAACCTCTAATCTCATCTGTACTGTTCTCTCATCGTCTGTCCTCTGTTCATATCACTGTGGACTTCTCCTGTTTGTACCTATGAGCTGTACATACTTTTTTAATGTGACTGTAAATAAAGTTGTCTAATTATGTCTGGGTGTTTATTACTCAACATAAAAAACATGTGAAAGGATAATACCAGGAGAAACAGACAAAGAAAATGAAATAAGAGATTCAGCCAAAGTGCAATACATAGTATTTAAAGAAATCAAATGATGTGATTTTTTTCTTTCCCTCCAGAATTCTAAAGCTTTTCTCCAACTGTGAGATTTGAGTGGTTTTTTGACTTTAATCAAAGTTCTGAGATTGAGAGAAATCTGATTGGTTTACTTTGACACCAGAGCCAGAATTCTGACACTTTCTAAGAATTCAGAGAGGTAACATTTTCTGATAAGAGTTGGAAGTCAATAACTCTGACATAAATAAAATAAACCTCGTCGTATTCTCACCTTCTTGGTTAGAATTCTGGCATTTATGAGATGAAAGCTACATTGTGAACCACCAATATTTATCAAAGTCACATATTCTCGATATTCCAAGAGGAGAGGTCCAAATTCTGAGATGAGAATTCTGACCTTTTCCTTAAAACTCAGAAAAGTCTGAATCTTAATTTTCCCTTCAGAATTCTGATATTGGTATCAGACTTGTAAATTTTCTTCCCCCAAGATCTAAGAGAAAAAAAGTGACACTTTACATTGGTAGCAGAGTTTTGACTTTTCAGAAGTCTAAAAGAAGAAATATTACAATCGTGAAATTAATAATGCATCAGATTTCATATAGCGCTTTATCAGAGACCCTCAAAGTGCTTTACATTGGATACATCATTCATTCGCTCACAGTCACAACCTGGTGGTGGTAAACTACCTTAGTAGCCACAGCTGCCCTGGGGCAGACTGACGGAAACGTGGCTGCAAATTTATGCCTGCGGCCTCTCCGACCACCACCTCACGACACTCACAATCATACACCAGTGGAGGACACACACTGGGAGCAAGGTGGGTGAAGTGTCTTGCCCAAGAACATAACGGACAGACTCAGGATTGGGGGGAATTGAACCGCCAACCTTCCAGTTATTGGACGACCATTCTATGGCTGCCAGTTTACGCCTACGGCCTCTCTGACCACCGCCACACAACAATCACAATTATACACCCGTGGAGGACACACACAGGGAGCAAGGTGGGTTAAGTGTCTTGCCCAAGGAAACAACGGACAGACTCAGGATAGGGGGGAATCGAACTGCCAACCCTCCAGTGACTGGGCTACTGCTGGCCCAAATTAGAGCCAGAGTTCAGATTTTTTCTCAAAACTGAGATAAAAGATAAAAGCTGATTTCTATATCCAGAATTCTGATATTAAGTCAGTATTTGATTTTTTTTGATTATTCAGAAAAGGTGCAAAATCATGATTTCGAGATTAGAGTCAGAATTCTCGCATCAAAATTGGACTTTCACAGGGAGAATTCTAACTTTTTACTTTGAAAAGATTCGGAATATTGAGATCAGAGTACATCAAAGACAAAAATCAGTATGTGTCATCCCCTTTTCCTCTGTTTCACAATGTGAATATGTCATTCCTGAATTTCCCAGTGGGATCCCCAAAGTGCTCCTGAGTTTGGTAGTAACGTATCAATAAAAACTGCATCACCCTGACGCTTCAAAACATGTGTTGAAATAAATTCCGTAACAAGTGTGGGTTTGGCAAATAAGTCTTCATCCACATGTTGGGGAATTTTTTGACATGTTGGAAAAATGCACCCCCCTACCCCTCACCCCCCACCCTCATGTGACGTCACCGGCGGTGGGCTCGAGCAGCAGCAGCAGCAGGCTGAGCCTTCTGAACCGGGATCTCCACCGGAGGGCTCAACAGTTCAACTCTCACCGAGCCGAGAGGAGGACGGAGGCTCCCCCACCGAAGATGTGAAGATAAAAACGCCGAGCTTCAGCGAACCCCGAGCAGCTCTCGACCGCGTCTCATCGGGGAGAAGTCTTTTTTTTTTTTAGTACATGCATTTTTGCTCACGATTTTATTTTATTTTTTCATTTTTTAATTAACGCATTTGTGCGCGAGCGCTATGGCAGTTCAGTTCACATCCGGGCCACAATGCCTTGACTCCATTATTGTCTAAAAACTGGCGGAGAGGTTGATAAACATTGTTATTTCTCACCGCTATCCACTCATTTTTGACTCTGAGGCGTGAAGGCTGGAACCAAGAGGACATGTCTAACCAAGGAGTTCGGCGGAATGGCCCCGTGAAGCTGCGATTAACAGGTAGCTAGCAATGCTTTTAAATCCCTGAATATATCCCCCCACACACAAGCTAGGAGGGCGCCGTCTACTTGCTGAAGGGAACAGTTCCCATGGGCCATGGAGTTGGCTAGCCGCCTGTTCTCACTCGTGCTTTCTAGCGGTTTTACTACCGCCTACAATGCATTATTTAGTCGTGTGCTTAAGTGGTGGTTTGCATTGATTAAACTGTATAAATAGCCCAATAGTTAACGGTCAATATAGATAATATTGTTCTTGGAAATAGACTGAACCATTTGATTGTCACCACCAGCACTGCACGGGTTCAAGCACCACTCTACCAATGCACTCTGTTAACCTGCTATTAAGTGAATAATCGCCTCGATAAAGCCGAGTTATGTAATGTTATCTTGCATGTTTATTTTATCTTTAATGATTTAATCTTAAAGTGAAGGAGAGCTACCTAACTATCACACTATTCTGCTGACAGACACACGAAGTTGGCTAGCTGACGTTAGCCTAGCCAACCACATAAAACAGAGTCCTCAAATGAAAGGAAAGTCTGGGATAAGATTACAGGCAGCTCCACAGGTCACAAAAGTCTGAAAGTAAACATGGAGAGATGTCTCATTACTGCACTGATAGACAGCTGCCTCCATTGAGTGTTATTTTAGTTCACACAGGTCACAGTTATGCTGCATGCCTCTATCCCCTCTCTCATATAAAGCAGTCCTGAAGTTAAGTCTCCTCATGTAGAGAGTAGTTTGCTGTTTGGTCATCTCCCCACTGCTCCCCCTCTCATGTAAACACAAGAAAAGGTTTACATGAGAGCACAGTGTTTTGACTGGGAGAAGTGGCCGACAGCTGCCCCCTCGGTTTTTTTGATGCACATCCAGCATCTGACCTGAATCAAAGTCCACGGCGGTCTTTCCCCTCAGGAAGGGCCAAATTAAATATTTAAACTGGTGCTGTTTCTGATTGGAATAAGTGGAGACAAATAGTTGGGAGATTTGAACAAGATGGATGGAGTGCTCTGGAGGTGCAAGATGGCCAAGGGCATCTAACTTGGAGCTACTCTTTAGTGTCAGAGTAAAAGAGAGGAGTATTTTGGTAATATTTCACAGTGATTTTGTTGAACTAATACATACTCATCAGTAGAGAATGATTACTGAATAATGTGATCCTTGCAGTGTTGGTTTCATTGACGAAAATATTTCGTCATAGTCAATGAAAACAACATCATTTAATTCAGTCTCTGATAATGGAGACATTTGCCCCGTTGTCAAATGTTCAAACAAGTTGCTGGTGTTTACACCTTTGCATGTAATCACTGCTCAACATACGTCACATGTTGTGCTGTTGACGTCTCTCTTAGTAAAATTAAGTTACGCTTTAGATCATTCTGCCTACTTTTCATACCGTCCACAATGCGTTTTTCTCTGTCTCTGTTCTCATTCACGTAAACTGGCACTCGCAAAACCGTTTTTCAAGGCACTCAGAAGAAAGGAATCGTCTTTGGAATCGTTGGATTGTCGATGGATTGAACCATTTGTAACTGGTTCTCAACAAGAACAGGTTCTCGATTCCCATCCCTAATCTTTGAGACCTGCTCTATACAGATATGAGAGCAGCAAATTTACACAAGATTATATTTTATATTGTAGATTAAACAAATTTGGTAGTGATATGACTTTGCTACAGATCAAATAGGTGCATAAAGAAAGATGAAACAGTTATTGATTGTATCACAACAGAATGAGTAGATGACTTGACTTAAATCAGGAATCAACCTGACTTCTAAGCATCTCCAGTGTTGGTGTGTTTGTGCGTCAGTGCTCTGTGTGCGTTGCAGGTCATCTGAAGTGTTCCTGTACTGATATTGCTGTGTGTCAACTAAATGCCCTTGTATTTGCATACTCTGCATACAGTCTTGCCATGTAAAGTCGTAGTCCTCACTCTGTGAATGGAGTGTTACTTTGTCTCTGACCAGAGGCTAGCAGAGAGGACTTACATGGTGCAATTTATGTTGATATCTATAAATAGCAAAACAGCCCATTTCATTCCTTCATCCATAAATGTCTGCTTGGCGTACTGGCAGAACTTTTATGCTGTATAGGTGTCAAATTTCTGCTGTTAGTGTTATACAGTTGGTTCTGAAAGATCCCGTTATGACGATCACTTCTTAAGTGCGGCAAAATGCAGTTATTTTTAAATGTCTTGTTAATCAAACTATGAAGCCCGTGCCCTTGACTCTCCTGACTCACACACTCAGAGCATGCATGGGCGAGGCTAACACACACACACACACATAAAGGCAGGCATCTTTCTCATTCTCGTATCAGTTTGAAGCAGAGATAAGTGCTTCGATTAACAGTCGTCGTAACTTGTTATCATACACATGTATGATAAATTTCCACTGATTCATTGATCGTAAACGGTCTGAACTGTGTGAGTGATCAGAAGAGATCAAGTGTGAGCTGTTGCTCCCCCACAGATAACTGTCTTCTGATTAAATGATGTCTTGATTTAAAAAAAACAAACTTTTTTTTAAATTCATACTATTTGCAGCTTTTCTGATGCTGCTGAAGTCTCAAACCTGATAGGAAACTACTTATGACATGTCTACAAGAAACATGCCACCTCAAGGAAAGGTTTATAGACATCTTTCACGTGGAAATCTCGAGACTGTTAGTTTTTGGTTGCAGTTGGAGATGGACCGCAGTGGTCCTCTGGAAGAATGCTAAGAATGCGAGTTCACCGTGGAGAAAGAAAACTGAGATCAGGACCTCATAGAGCAGTTTTCCTCTTGATGCTGAGTGATACTGTACACCCCACCAGACTGAAAATCATCAGTTTAAAGAGCAGTAACATCACTCTGTTAAATCTGTTCTTCCTCGTCTAACACATGCGCCGCTCTCTGTCTGCAGATCTTTAAGTGGAAACTGTTTTGGCAGCACATGCAATCGCTCCTTAGGAGCAAATTTCTTTCCGAATTATGTAATATTTTAGTGCTGTTTCATCCACATGTTCGGCCCCTGGAGAGGAAGCTGTATAGGAATGCAGCTGTGTTATGGCTCACATCTCGCAGAGACTTTTCACTACATACAGTCATTAAATGTTTCTTTGTTTAGCCCCGCACAGCTGTGTATACTGGGCTGATTAGATTGCTGCACAGGGAGTAATGGAGCCACAGAGCGTCATTGCGACATCTTAGCTGCATGTTGTCATCTATATTCCACTTGATTTTTGACACATAGCTGCCAGTGAACTTTCAGGCAGGTAGTGAATGATGAGTCGCTACATTGAAACAGGCCTGTAACTGTATGTGCTGCAGGCAAGCACCCCCACTCCCCTCCCCCATTTGAACCAGATGTTGCAGATGTTTGCCAGCTATTAAACTGGGAAAATATGGCAAGCAAGCTGCTAAAACTAACACTTGGGGTGAGAATTGCCCCTTGACTACACAGGACAGGTTTCCATTATACTCCACAGCTGATCGCTTTTAAAATTATGTGACACACAAACACAGCAAATGGCAAAACATGCTGAATAAACTGAGTCATAAGTTACATCACATCACTGCTTATTCTGTGATCATTGGTAAACTCTGTCATGGGGTAATTTACACCAGTTTTCGTACGACTTCAAACTCTATGACACACAGCTAAATGACAGACGGAGTATAATTGAGATGAAGCAGAGGAGCGATTAAGATGATCTGTCTTTCCACGTTGAATACATTTGCTGCCCAGAAAAGGGCACAAAAGAATAATAAATGAACTGACAATTCCTTGATTTTCTGTTCGGATTCAGATTCTTGACATTTATTGCCGCTTTTCTCTCTGTTGGGAGTTTACATGTGACTTGTCAAGCATATGGTTCGCTCATCTAAATTCTTTGGCGCGGTGCAGACCAGCGAAGAGAGCTATCTCAGTGGGATTCCCTTGAATTCTCCATTCGCTTTCCCACCTCTCTCTTCTCTCTGAGTCAGTCCTGTTCTTTCCGACTGTAAGCCTCTTCCACCTCAGACCGGGTCCAAAGCATATTTCACTCCCACCCTCACTAAACCAGCTTCCTCCGCACTGACTGATTTGCTTTTTTTAACTCTCTGTATTTCTTTCCAGTCAATCAGCTGCTGTTGCGTATTAGGAGGATTTAATGATTCTGCAGCAGATACTCAAAATAGAACAACCTTCACTTTTATTTTGGATGAAATACGTGCCAGTGTCTGCCGGGGCTTCTTTCTCTGAAGAAAGTGTCAATTTAGTCAAGATATTAGTCTAGTCATTTTCAGAAAATGTGTTGATTTTGGTCGTGTTTTAGTCTGTGTGTCTTGGGTAGTTTAAGTCAAGATGTAGTCAGATGAACTCAGTGTTCATTTTAACCTCATCACTTTTTGTTTTAGGTCCTGCCTAGTACTCTAGTTTTTTTAGTTTTAAGTACAGATGCTTTAAAACTGGCAGTTTAAAAAAAAAAATCGTGTTTAACAATATGACAAAGTATGTCGTGGTCATCTTTTTGGCCAAATTGCCCAGTCTTAGTACATACTGCTATTGTGTCAACATGGAGGGCTAATAATTAATGCGTGCTCAGTATCGTTAGGTTGCTTTAATTCACCATTACAGTGCAGCATGGGGGAGAATGAACATAAAACACTCAATGGTTTTTAGGTTGTCACAGTTTAATGTGTCACTAACTGGAGAACAAAGTTAACAAAGAGGCATGTCCTTGCTTTCTTCTACAATGTTAAACCAAGCGAGCTGTTAACACGTTATCGCCCTCTGGCTTGGCGTGTTTAAGTTGACGTTTTTAACCATGTCTGCATTGTTGTGTAGACTTACAAATATTGTGGACAGAACTTTTCCAGGATATGAAAAGGGGGAAAAATCTGTTTAAAAAAAAATATCTGTCTAAAGAAGGACAAAGCCTCTGTTTTCTGATTTTTTTTTCAAGCAATAACATTTCTATTGGTAGTATAAATTTCAGAAGGAAGAGAGAATATTTGGCTATTAAGTCTTGGCTGAAAATGTGTTTCTCACTCAGACTTCCTCTTGGTTATATAAATAAAGAATGTTAGAAAATTGTCTGAAAGTCCAATTTCAACAGCACAAATTTTCTATCCACCACATGAAGCTGTTAAATCAAATTATTACAAAGTTTGCTGAATAATTCAAAGTCTGTTTGCGAGGCCTGATTCTGACTTTAAATTCACAGTATTCACATATATTCATGTCATGAACTCATCAGTCATCGGTGCTGCTTCTTCTCGAATGTATTCTGATATTTTTTCCCACTTTGTACCGACCAGACACTGCACCCTGATCAGGAGTGATACTCTTTAGTTTTATGTTTGCTATTAATTAACAAACAAGAATGTGCCCGCAGGATATCTCACCTCTCCCTTTCACTCATTTCTCAAGATGCCAGCTGCCAGCAGGAACTTTGCCAGGCTTTTAATAAGATCGCTAATAACATGCGCTAAAAGTTATCCAATGGCATTGAGGAAGATATACACAGAGACTGCACAATCGAACAGCCAACAGTTTAGTCTCATCATTATCCTTGAGGGTTTGATGAACAGATATTTTGTTAAAGGTTGGAATTGTCAGGATGTATACCGTTTTGGTTATTGTCTCCTTTTAGTCTAAAATAAAACAGGTCTTTGAACCGATACTGATCATTAACATTTTCACCGACAAAATTAGACTGCCTTGTGAGACGGCTGGCAGCTGAATGGACACAGATGCCGCTTCGGAATAAAGCAGACTTATTTTAAAGATGCAACAAAGACCCGGGGTCTCACACTGGCCCACTGTGCTGCTTTGAGTGAAAGGCTTTGGTCTCTTTTTCTTCGTGCAGCCTGGTCAGACTGTAGCCTACTGTCAAGGGTCTTTGGATGCTGGATAATTGAAGGAGAAATCCCCACAGCTGGGCACAGATGGGGCTGTGGAGGCACAGGACCTGATGATCAAGACCGTTTTAATGTGGTCTGAGCCAGCTCTTGCTTCATTCATGTGGTCTCGGTCAGAGACATTTTTACAGAGTGGCTGTATGGAAGTGATTTGGGTTCATCTGGGTGTTCAGACAGGATATATTGTAAATACACAGTGATTAGCAGCATGTGGGGAACTGTTGACTCTCCTGGCCCATCATAGAGATATGTGTTTCCAGCAACTATTTCACCCAATGTTGCTGAGACAAGACAAAAACAAATACAACAGCAATAGAAGTATAGAAAAAGAAGTCAAAAAGAGAACGTAAGGAGCTATTAAGACACATCATTTGTAAACATTTTCCTTCCTCCTGCGGAGAGCCTCCCATAAATTTTAATTGTCTGATCAATTAATTGACTGGCTGGGTTGGTTTTCCTGTTGCTTCAGCTGCTCTTCAATGAGGACAAAGACTTCTTGCGGTTGTTTTACCCTCACCCGACGCCAGCAATGGCCCAGAGGAGACCAGATGTTGCAAAGAGAAAGAGAGAGAGAGAGGGAGAGAGCGGGCAGCCTTTCAGAGAGGAAGTGCTCCCCAGACCCCAACACTTGTCCAAACGTCACCCCTGACAGGTGGGGAGCAGAACAGCCCAGAAAGCCCCTTTTGAGGTTCCCCTGTAACAACAAAGCAAAGGGTTGCTATTACTCAGCAGGACATGGAGCGTCTTGTGTGTTGCCTCTTTCTCTGGGTGGCTCACAGCTCGGTCCTGTGACTGTATTATAACAGCGTGCCATGGGTTTGATTAGTGGGCGGCGTGTGTGGTTTGGGGACGCGGGCTCTTCCTGCTGAGTGGAGCATCAACACTTCAGAATGGTTGCTTTGTAACACTAACAACCGATAATATTTTCCTGTTTCCACACATCCTGTTTCATTTGGAGCCTAAGAGAGCAATGAAGATTACTCACTATAATCTCTGTGTTAACTCCACTGTCCCAACGCAGTGATTTCCAAACAGGACTACTTGTACCTCTGGGTGTGTGGAAATGATGTTCCTCAAATAACAGTTTGAATTCTGCTTAAAATATCGTCTGTCCACACAGAGTTAGCAGTAACACAGGAAACTTATGTTTGCATAACACACAGTCTGACCAGGCTGAGTGACAGGAGAGGTGTCAAGACTCTGCTGCTGTAGCTTGATTTATAGTTGGAAAGAAAGATAGAAATAAAGTTAAAAAAAGAGCATCTTTTCCCCCCAAACATGCATTACAGTGTCTCTTATTCTCTATCAGTGCAGCAGGCAAGCATTCACACGCTCACTCATGGCGCATGATCACATTTATAGCTCACCATTATTGTCTCCATTAGAGTTAAACCTAGTTTCTGTTCGATCGCAGTATTGATGGTTTTTTGTTGTAGGTTATTCAGCATGTTTAGCTATTTAGAGCTTATGTCAGACAGTTGCTTCTAGAGATGCACCAATCCATTTTTTTTCCTGATCCAATCCGATACTGATACCTGGGCTGAGCGTATCGTCCGACATCTGATACCGATCCAATATTACTGTTGAATGAATGAACTGTATACCTTACCCTGTGAGTGAAGGCATCAGGCTTGACATTAGCCTTGTTAAAAAATAGGTAACAAATTAACACAGATATAAATTTACTTAATATTATTTATCAACAAATAACAAATCGCACATAAGCACACATCAAACATGTATATCAACATGTATTAAAAGAAAAAATAATTAAAAGGAAAAAAAAGACTAGATCAGAACGCTGGATCGGCGTAATTCATCAGATATCTGATCCAGTTAATTTGTCAGTATTGGAGCTGATATCCGATCTACGTATTGGATCGTTGCATCCCTAGTTGCTTCATGGCTGAGATCCTAGAAAAATATCAAACAGATCTGCAGGAAGAAGAAAAGTCTCCAATGCTTCCCATGCTCACCCCCACAGTTGAGAAAGTGATGGTGGCCTTAAACAGTTTGGGTGGCCATACCTCCTCTTTTACCTGGACATGTCCTCTTTTTTGGGGGGCTGTCTGGATTTGTCCGGCTTTGTCTAGGGAAGTTTATAAAACCCTTCAAATGTCTGTGGTTTTGTACATAAGTTTCAAATTTGTGTCACGTGGACTTACTGAGTTAGAAGCGTGTAAAAGACACTATATCAGATCGGAAAAACTCTCAAAATTAACTTTGTGATTCCGCCCCCACGTAGTCGTGTCCTCTTTTTGGGAAGTCAGAATATGGCACCCTAACAAAGTCTTATGTTGGAATAAAAAGCTCATTCTAAGTAAACAATGAATGGTTTTGTATTCTTATGTTATCACTTTTCTTATGGCATGCAGTTAAGTAAGGAGAGTATCTTTGTTATTCAAATTTAATGGGATGTGCCTTTACACATACTGCTTTCATCCCCTGAGAGGGATTCCATTTGGGAACTGGTGCTTACATTCAGCTGCACAGACAGAACCGTCTTCAGTTCCAGTCTAAAGCCTGCGTGGTATCCTGAACATGTCAGCTGTACCCAAACACAGGGATGGATTTCTCTTGTGGTATGTTATCCTGTGACTCTCAGTTCTCATGTTCAAGACAGAAGATTAATTGAAAGATCGCTCTGAAACTTGTCATCATTTATTTCCATTTTTGTGATTTATAGCCGGTACGCTTGAGGCCAGGGTTGATTGCAGTTCATAAAGAATGTAAATAAGTATGGTGAATTGCAACAGGATGAGTCACACTAAGTTCAGGATCTATACTCTGTATAACATTACAGGCTTGCACTGGTGTTGTGCCGTCGGACTGTCTGTTTGGCCTTGCAGAAGTGTTAATCCTGCAGGGCGGTTTGGGAGAGACCTTCTTCAAAAGCCTACTCCGTTAACCTGGCTGTGCTGGTTAATAGGTCAGGACTAGATTAACATTGAGTGTGCAAGTGGGGAACTCCAGTGAGAATTGGAATGATCTTTTTTTTTCATCTCTAGGCTGTTCTCCTATCCTCTCCCTGGCCGATGTCCACGCTGTTCCTCTCCCATTGCCATTGGCTTTACATGTCTTGCTTTTAATCCTGAACTGGAGCTCTCTCTGATGTTAGAAACTCTACTCAGAGGCATCTATTTTATTAGAAGCTGCTGCATGCATATTCTATGACGGTATATGGAACCCTTTTGACTTCAGATCCCCCTACAGTATGTTAAAGTGAACAGAAGCAGACCCACCATCAGACACTGTCCAGTATATCTGTTTTAATTGGATGCCTCTTACTCTCACTGCTGCTTGAAATTCTTACCATGAGCGTCTTTAAAACTGATCACAGTAACATTTCAGTTACATCAGGCTTTATATGGTTGCCTAATACATAGAAAAAGTGCAGTTACTGGTAATGTGTTGGTGTATTCATGGTAACATCACATTCTGCAGTCTAAATTTAACCTTTTTAGGGTTCTGTCATGCAGGTGTGAATGCAAGCATGTCACCTCTGCCAAAAAAAGGGGGTATTTTATTGACTCTTGTTAATGTTGGCAGTTCAAGCTGTGTCACTTACATGTTTGCTCTGCGATTTCTTGTAGAGTTGTTCAGATATCAATATTAGATCCTATACTGCCTAAAATGCAGTATAAAGTAGCAGCAAGTACGCAGTGTGTGGCTGTTGTCAGCAGAGCTAGCACCTCAGCCTTCAGGACTTCTTGCAGCCTAATGTCCACATGCATGCGTTGGTTTTACATATTGCTAATGATGAATGGTTATATCCCAGTTCACCAGACACAACTTATGTGACACTTAATCTGCATCTTCAAGATCAAAATCCCACCAAACCATGTCATTTAACTCAGTTTCTTGAGGTTGGTTTAAGGTTTTGTGTTGGATCCTTGCCATAGCATTTACACCATAGGATTGCGTATCCCCGTCCCTTACGCAGAAGTCTGTGTGTGTAGCGAAATGCACACCACCTCCAAGATGTGGTTATGCATCAAAACGACTTCAAGCCCTGGGATGTGTCCTTTTATCACTTCTGTTCCCCATCTTCTTCCTCAACAGTCACATAATCTCTTTGCAATGATTGCGGCATGATCGACTGCTGCACAACATTGACCAGCTTCAATTCAAATAGATTGTGCTCGTATTTAGTTGCCATGGTTTTGATGAACAAAGAGATCGCACTGTCGACTATTGTTGAGGTGGAGTATTACAGAGTGATGCAGACACGTGATGCTCATGGCAGCGTTGGCCACTACAGTGTAGCTATGGCATAAGCTAGGCTTTATCTGGGCTAGTTAACGTCCAGCTGTTATCCATCATGAATCCATCACTCAAAGCGGCTGCCACTACTATAGTTGCATATTTAAAACATTCTACTTTTTAAGTGTAACACTCTTGACATATCCATCCTCTGATCTCTGATTAAAGCTGTGGCAACTTAAAAGTTTGTTGCCCAGGTGAGACCAGTCAGCAGGTTCGTGTCAAGTTTCATCCACACACGCAAAGGCTGTTCAGTTCTCTGTGGAAACAAAAGCGGCGGCAGGGTGGTCAGAGTGTTTCTCCTCAGCTGTCTGATGGAGGAGGGTAACCTGAGAATAATTCTCAGACGTGCTGGTTCTGCTTTAAACCTGGATGGACACGGGTTGATATGATTACGACTGGGGTCTCTTAAGTCTCAAGTATTAACCTTGGGGGAAGGGGGGGTTGGTTTGGTGCAAAACCCACAAGACGCCAACAGCTGACTACAGACGTCTGTCCGTGCCTCGGCCTGACGTTTGAGCCCCTTCAGTCCTCTCAGAAGACTGAACCAGAGGGGAGATGTTTATATTCACACTGGATCACATTTCAAATGGCACCTTTGCTAGAGTAGAACAAATACACCATGGGGTTCTTGTGATGTAGAGAAAGTCAGTCTGTGAATGCGCCGAAAAGCAAACGTGTTATTTCAACACTCTGCGCTCCCTGACGCACTAACCCCTCAAGAATCCTAAACATGTGTGGAGGCACCCAGTCAGCCCCTATCATCGTCTTTTCTTTATGAGTCTTCCTGTTGACTGTAATGTGTAACCACTTCATATGAATGGCGGTCTGATCTGCAGGAAATTCATTACGAAACTTAAACTTAGAGTGCAAAATGTTTGATGAGTCACACTCTACAGAGCGGTGGGTGGTGGGAATGTCGAGATGTAACCATAGATCCGCTTTGAAAGGCATCATAACAACTGATGAAACCCCTGTATCTCATCTACTGATCTTTCATCCAGAGCTTGAGGCTTAAAATTTGTTCAGCTAAAAGGGAATAAAAGGAGAATATCTATAACCTGAAGGTTTTACTTCCATGTTGTTTTTCTACAACTGAGTATCTTTTTTTTTTTTTTTTGGTCTAGATTTTGGATGAATTCTGAAACTCAGTTCAGGCTTTTGATGGTCGCTTTGAAGCTTCTCCACTCAAGCTTTGACAAATATCAATCATTTAATACTTTCTTTTAGTTTGAAAATCCCATTCTTACTGCATTTTAGACTGCATATTGTAGAAACTCCCCATAGTTTAAGTCCCACAGTAACAACTGTAACGGGATTCCTAGCTCCGAGGAAAAAATCATCCAAGCTTTCCTGATATTATTTAGACATTAGGGTCGCATGGTTTAAGTATCCTAGCTTGACATTTGTCTGTAAATCTGTAAATTGTTATTATCAGCATTTATTTTGTTTATGCAACTTTTAATAAAAAAAAATCTAAGTAAATGATTCACAAAACCGTAAACTATAGTTACATTAGGTCATTTTTTCATGACTTATGTCAGCAGTATAATATCAAAGGTGTAACTCAGCTGACATATCTCTATTTTGTAGTACTGGTCATGTAAAGAAGAGAAGATGTGAAAGATGTTGGTGCAACACTTAAGATATACTAGCTTTACACACAGTCAATTTGTCTTAAGGTTTTGATGCCAATAACAATGTTAACTTAAGCTAATTTTAAACAACACTAACAGAGAAACTGATATGGCAGTTAACACCTTTGTTAATAAATCAACTGTTGGCAAAGTTAGATAAACTATGCTCACCTTTGACTGGAACATTGACTTCTTCCCACCAATTGCCCACATAGCAACGGTAACAGCAAACACTGTTACAGGAGAGGAATAAAGAACAAGTTTTTGAAGACTTCTCATTACACAACAAACAGGAGTGAGTTGCATACTTGTGCCTTTTTTGTGTCACTTTACCATCTTATTTTAGCACCTACCAAAACACTGCTTTAATCAACTCAAGTCCCACTGACACACTATCACTGACTATTTATCTCCTAATGAAAACTCACCGGATTTTACAGCAAATCATCAGTAAGTTTAACAAAGTTGTCCAAAAAACACAACCTGGATTACTGGCATCTTTCATCTGTTATGTTTCATGTAAAGTTCAAGAAAAGCAAAAAAAAGAGGGTGAGAACAAGACAGTGTCATAAGCACACCTGCATTAAACCGGACAGTCCCTACAACAATCAGTGTAATTACAAGTTGGGCTCCTCTGTCATGTGTGACTTTGCGGACAGACAAGCAAAGTAGAAGGCAGAGCGACGGGAAATAGCAGATGGAGTTGTTGTCTGGGATGGATAAAAAATGAGAAGGTCTAAACAAATTTCAAACACGGGGTTTAATATCTTTAGTTTTTTAGATTTATATTATTTTATGGTGTGTTGTTCCGAATGGGAATGATTATCCATAAACTAAAAACTGAGCAAAATCAAATCAGCAGATCAGTCATGATGAAAATAAATCTAATTGCAGTAGTATTCTCCAGACTTTATAGTAGTTGCTGTTGTTGGCAAAACAGCGCTTTTATCCAACATTACAACATGATTATTATCTTTATTCTTAGAAGTGTCTGAGGGCTCTCTCAGTCCAACATTTATTGGCGAGTTTCACAAGCACAAAAGGGAAATATGGCTGAGAGCTAATGATGTAACACTGCTCCCTGACGAAGTTGTGAAATCATTCTTAGAAACTGAAAACGCCACAGGATTTGTAGCAGCATTTCTGGCATTAGCACAGCACCGTGGTGGTCCGTTAGCTTTGTCGAACAGGTTGGTGTTGTCCACCCCAGCCTCTCCTCTCCTCTCCTCTCCTCTCCTCTCCTTTCCTTTCCTCTCCTCCATTACATCAGAGCAGAAAAAGGAGCCAAGAAGCCACTGGATTGAGCCCCAGTCCCAGCCAGCGTAGTGCAAGCTTGCAGAAGCCTGAGCCGTGCCGAGCTCTGATCCACTCACTGTTTTGACTCCTCGCTGAAGGTGCTGTGGAACACTTTAGTTGCCTGGATGACTCTCCGTTCGGCACATTGTATCACACAGAGTGGAAACACAAAGTGATGTACTATGCAGGCGTAACAGGAATGCAACTAAAAATTGCCATTGTGGCATGGTTTCCCACTATTTGGAGCTGAAAATAGTCAGGGTGGACTCCTCTATTATGCAATTACAGCAGACTGTATCACGGAGGGAAAAGGTGACGTGAGATGGATGAAATGTTCTCACACTAAGAATGCTGCCAGCCTCTCTCCTTTCACGTGGGGATGTGTGTGGTGAGTTTCCTCATGTAGTCAGGCAGGTTTTTGAAAAAGGAAGATAAGCTCTAACCGGCCGCAGACTTTGACTTTGCACTGTTGTGTATCTTTGTTTAAAGACTGGTTGGGTTAGAAAGCTGTCTCTGTTCAGCAGCTGTTTCCCACAGGTTGTTAGTTTACTCAGACCAGTCCCTTTCAGTCTGTTGTGTTTTCATTAGACTTTAAACTATACAAGGTCTGTAACTGTGAGAGGAAGTCTTTCTTTTATTTTAATTTAATCTTAAGAACACTACTATAGAAATGATCTGTCAGTGCTTGTATTTGTTATTGCCAAGTAAAGTGGGAGTGTCCCAGGTATTGTAGTTTTAAGCATTTTGAGATATCTGTTGTGACTGCAAAGGCAACGTCTTTTTTTCTTCTGAGAAGTAGTTTGTCAATAAAATGTCAGACAAAATGAAAAATATTACTGTTACATAAAGTCCGAGGTATTTAGAAAATATGAGATAAAATAAAAAGATACCAAAGAAGGTTAAAGAGATAAACAGGCTGTTCAGATCATTCAGCTAGCAACAAAGAAAAAAAAAAGTTTTTTATTTATCAAAAAAAAAATGACTGAGCACATTGCATGCTGCGCAAAAAAATCCATCTATTCTTATTTTGAAATTCTTATAAAACACACAGACATACAGAAAAAAGGGAGTAGGAGGTGGGGCAGGACACAGCACTGTGTTTGTGTGTTTATTACTACATAATAAACGGTATACTTTCTCATCCTTTCTTCGAATCTCTGACTGCAGCACGTCATTTCTGTATCCAACACTTTCTGTCAGAACCAGCATGTTTCACAAGACCTCTTCTTACTCCTCCAGCAGGTGTTGAGTGTTATATGACAGATGTATGGGCTCTGTTAGTCATGGTCTTTTATCTTGTGTATGCAGAGAAGCAACAGGAATAAAAATAGTCTTTCCTCTGATTTCTCTGTTGTTTTACGCTTCTGCTCACAGTGACTCGGTACTGCACTTGTCCCCAGATGTCCTTTAACTCTTGAGCATAATAGGAGTCCTGGGAATGTGAATGTTTTGTGTTTGTTTTGCTGTATTAACTTCACATCACAGGGATGATGAGATTATTGGAACGTTTCACTGTTAGTTTCCTCTCCACTCCTCACTTGACAAGCTTCTTCTTTCCGCTCTTCACTCTGTGCAGTTGTGAGACCAAGACTGAGAATGTCTTTGGAAGCATCTGTGATTTATTCTTGAAAAGAGCACATCAAGGTCTTTCCCCTCTTTTTTTTCAGTGTTCCTCTGTTTTCCTCTCCCTGTAAAGTGATGCATAGGGAGATTTTGTTTCTCTTTTTCCTTTTCTAATTTTCCAAAATCTTGGAAACGGCAGGTCTGTTTAGAGGTATTAGAAGATTTTCCTGGCAGTAAGTAGTTCCATGATCGCTGTGCCACCAGTGACTCTAATATCTTTATAATGTGACCAGAAAGAGTGTTATCAGATTTGCATATTACATAAGAAGATTTGCTAAGATATAAAAAACCTGCCAAAGCTGGGAAATTTTCCCAGTGCCTTAACCACATTTCCACAGTTAGCCTGAACCCCGTGAAGAGTTGGCCTGAACTCCTTAAACTCTACCCTGCTGCCTCACTCCACTCTGTCTCACTGCAGTTAAAGGCTAAAGTTAAGTGGTGTAGCCAGCTCTTTAAAAAGTAACCCACTTTTGTCATGAATAGGGCAGCACTCAATGTCAGTGAATGAGTGGTGTGGATGCCTCTGAGGCAAATGTACTGGACTGCCCTCCACTCTGAAGCACAGCTTTTTTTAGAGCCTGATTAGTCTGCTTTTGAGACAACCAGGGCTGAATAGCATTTTCACTCACTCATGTTATATCTCGTATTCACCAGAGTATAAAAAAACAATAGTTAAAGGGATCCTCGGTGTAAAATTAAGTTAGGGTCAAACACACCGTAACACCAAGTTAGACACCCCGACGAGAGATGAATGTTGCCGACTGCTTGCTTCTCTAGTTATACCAACTTTATTAACGATCATAGGATAGCAATACACAGCTGTCCCAGGAGCCACACACTCAACCAAAACACCACTCTGTAGCCACAAATAATGCTCAGAACTGCACCTAACTTCATCAACAGTACATATACTACCACAGCACTAGCCACCAAACATCTTTTTAACTTGGTGTAATTTCTTCAGCAAAGAGACTAAACACAACTCACCTACTCTCTTCCAGCAGCCGCTTGTTTGTATGAAGACCGCAGTCGAGTCTATCACCACTATAGCGGGGGTGACGCAGCTCAAGGAAGAACATTTATGATCATTACTTTATCATTTCCTTGCAGTAATAATCACCATATTAATCATTTTGCACTGCAGACGTGGTAGTTCTTCTGCCTTAGCGTCTCTGTTTGATTGCGTCCCCCCTGCTTTAGTCGTGATAGACTCGCCTGAGGTCTCCGTATAAACAAGCGGCTGCTGGAAGAGAGGGTGAGTAGTGTCTGCTAAAGAAATTAGGCAAAGTTAAAAAGATGTTTGGTGGCTGATGATATGGCTGGGACCCTATATGTACTGTTAATGAAGTTAGGTGCTGTTCTGAGCATTATTTGTGGCTATAGAGCGGCGTTTTGGTTGAGGTTTGTTTATGGCTCCTCAGACCACTGTGTATTGCTATTGTGCGGTCGTTACTAAAGTTGGTATAACTAGAGAAGCAAGCGGTCGGCAACATTCATCTCTCGACGGGGTGTCTAACTCTGTGTTATGGTGTGTTTGACCCTAACTTCATTTTACGCTAGAATATCCCTTTAAATCAATTAGGCACTGACTATTTGACAATCTTTACCTTTGGCTTTGACCCGACTAAGAATTTTGGCCTCTTCTGTGGTTGAGTTTGACACCCTTTTTCTAGTCTAAATACCTCTGAGCCTGTGAGGTCGCCATGGGTGGAAGCTCCAGCACAAGCTAACATCAGCTTTCCATCACCACAGCTGCAATGACAGGCGCATACATGAGACAGCAGTCAAGACCAAACAAAGCCCAAAAAGCTGTCATCGAAGATTGATTAGGAGACGTCTCAGAGATTAGCAGGAGACAGATAAAGAACAGGTTTGCTTGCATGACCATCAGCACCTGTCCGTCAGGACTTTTTATCTCAGTTTTTCCCCCCTCTCTTGAAGTGAGTCCCATAGAGGTCTGGGAGGAGTGATGAGGGGGGATAGGAAGCCTTTTGTTAATAGGAGAACAATGCTGCACATGAGAGCGCACGATCCTGGGCTGGAGTCAAAACATGGCAGACAAACACGCAGACAGGCGTAGGAGAAATTAGGGAGGAGGAGGCGGCGAGGGAGTACTGTTCTCTAAAGATGTGTCAGACTGTCTGGCGGTTGGGTCAGTGCACTGGACTGGAGGAACCAGGTGGACAGGAAGCAGGGTTCAGAGTGAGGTCAGTCTGAGGAGAGTATTTCAAGTTCACATGCAGCTACAATTCCACTCAAGAAGAAGAAGATCTGATGATGGTTTATAGTCTCCTCTTCCTCACCCATCTCCTCGTATTAGGCTGTGTTTCCAGACAGTTTTGACTCAGACCAGGAGTGGTGATGGTGGAATATTACCAAGCAGTGGTCTCTGTTCCCACACCCCCATTTCCTCCACCTCATGGGCTCCAGTGTAATGGTTAACCGCACAGGCTGTGTGAACCCTCCTCTCCCTATGGTACTTTCCCTTTTCCCATGCTTCAGTGTATGTGAAAGTGGCTGTGTTAAATTGGTTGTATATATGTTGTCTCAGAAAAGTAGTTTGAGTGTCTGAGTTAGGGGTTCCCCAAAGAGTGGCCATTCAAATCATTAGTCAGGAAGTTTTGTAGATGACTCTGCACTTAGTTCATTTTTATTAGCATAATTTCACACTGTGCAATTTAGAAGGAACAGCAAGTTGGGCTCCACTACCTAAACAAAGTTTCAAAATTACTTTTCAGTGAATTTCCAAGAGCCAGACTTTCTGCAGAGGTCTTCTCCTCTACAAAAGAGAAAAAAAACAACCATTATTTCACTGAAAAAGCTTGACCTGGAGATATAAAAGCACTGCAAACTCGTGTCACTGATCTGTGTTTGTCAGACACTCTGGTGTCTGGCGGATATACCAGGAGAGGCTGCAAGCTGAGCTTGTTTATAGGTTCAGGATTCCTGTAGTCTTCTATGTCCAAAAGGCTTTACAGGCAACCAATTTATCTGCAGCGTCCTCTTCCTTCACATAACAAAACAAAACCAGCCAGTGACTTTATCCTGTGGTTATAGTTGATTCAGTAGTGTGACATTAAAAGTGAATGTGTCTCTGGTTCTCTTTGGGAGGGCTACAAGCTGAGCTGCTGCAGTCCTGTCTTGCAGTCATCAGCTAGCTATTAGGACAGGATTCCTGCATTTTACGGTCTATGTGGTTTTGTTTAGAGCTGAATGAATGACAGTGGTCTCCTCAAAACAAACTACTAGCTGGTTGATTGTGTGTGTAGCTTCTCATTCATCCAGGTCACGGTCATCCAATTCTTCATTGAAAGGGGAACTGGACCTGTTAGAGGTTGGAACTTCTTGGAAACTGTGGTTAACTTACATCTTCTGGTCAAAACATTAAACTTCTGTGAATTAACGTGGTTGTTCGGTGCTGCAGCCAAATATGTTTACTGATGAAACCCTGAGTTAAGTACAGCCCCTTCCCAGTTCCTTCTTGTCTTGACCAGTAGTTGTTACTATGGTGACATCCCCCCTCCCTTTCCCGCACTCCCTCTAAACGTCACGTGATATCTCCCTCCCCAGGTGTTTGGCTTGTTTCTGGTGGACTTCATTGATTCGCCTGAACAGTGGGGCTCTTTGTGTGACAGCCTGTGAGAAACCGGGCCCATCCTCTCCCCACAGGTGGAACTTTTTAAACTTCCCCCCAAAAGTCCCAGTCTCTGCCTGCACAGAGCTGCTGTCACCACTCAGAAGAATTGATTTTACTAAGCGACGAGCCGGCGGAGGAAGGAGAAGGAAATCTGGGTTGATAATCTGCTGTGTGTGGTGTTTGTTTAGCTTTCCCTGCTGTCCTCTGCGGGAAAGAAAGGAGTAATGTGGAAAGCCATTATTTGACTAATAAGCTGCAGTCAGCCGAGGAGCCACCACGAGCAAACACACGTCTTGTGTGTGAGCCATCAGGTTACATTCCTAATTAGTCACACACACACATTAGCTGAGTGTTTGTTTCTCCTCGTGGTAGATGGCGAGGATGTAGGCGCTGGTTAGATGATGCTGCATTCTTGAAACAATGTCAGGGTGTGTTTCCATGTGAGATAGCGTGGATGTGTCTATCGCATCTTCTTTGTCCTTCTTTTTCTGACACTGCAGCTCATCGAAACTAACTTTGTTACATTAAGAGGGTTTCAGTGTTTCAGGTTTGATCCCTGATCCCACCCAAAAACTGAGTTTCAATAACCCAAGGATGGAAAGAAATACCGCTAACAGCAACTTTGGCGGTGTTGTATAGATTCACATGCACTATCTTGTCATCCCCCCCAAAAGTTCACCGGGGTCTTTAAGATTGCTGAAAGCGGGAAAAGGCAGCCCGTCTTTGTTTATTGTCCTTTTTTTAATGTCTGTACCCGTCCCTCGCTGTGAATCGGCCCTCACTGCAGTCCCTGGCTGTGTGAGGCAGTGCGACCAGAATAAGAAACACAGACGACACAGAGAAACCCTTCTCTCTGCTCTGCCTCCATACTCACTGTCGCTATGACTACAGGGGATTTTTTAGATGGGCTGAGATGCACAAGGTTATGCGATGCTGCTCGGAAGTGTGTGCTGGAAGGAGAAAGTTGGGAATCATCAGTGAATATTTCATTACTGTCAAAGGAATAGTAATGATACAGCCATCTGCTGGTGTACCACAGTGTATTATACAGACTTCACTGTTCAATAAACTACAACAAAATTCAAAAATTAATTCTTTAACATGCTGTGAATGTAATCTCTATAATTACTTTTAGTTTACCAGACGGTTTACAATCAGAATGATAAATCATTGATCATGAGTGTAAATATAAATGAAAGTTTTTTGAACAAGCAAAAAAAAAAGGGATTTTGAATTTGTCCAAATGGAGCAGGATTTTCAAAATGCGTGTAAACCCAACAGTCTGACTGACATCGAAATCAAACTTCTTGTAGATGAACAAACATACTGAGATAATACAACTGGTTACTGATATACATCTGGCATAATGTATGCTTTGTATTAGGGCTCGACCGATATGGATTTTTTGGGGCCGATGCTGATACCGATTATTAGGGGGTAAGAGAAGGTAAGAAAAGAAGTAGCTTCTCAGTGAGAGAAGTAGCTCGATCACGTAATGTGTACTGTTGTTTATTCTACTGTTACTAGCACGGCTAACAGTGTAGCGAGGCTAATAGCAGGTGGCTAACTCTAACTTTAGCTTGCATATTACATGGTGCTTCACCGTTAACTTGGCGTGACCGAGACCAGCACAGCGTGGAACATCGTGAAGTGGGTTGAACTGAAACTTGTTGACTAATTGGGTATTTAACAAACTGGTTTATTTACCGTTGAGGCGGACCACTCTCCTTCGTGCATCCCTGAGCTGCCTGCTTCAGATCCGTCACTCTGCTGTGCTGTGAGGTAGTTAGTGGATGAAGATTGTCATGAGGTTGCTGCGCCATCTACAGGATAAGTCGGGGAACTTTTCAAATGGCGAAACATTTTCGAAGTGAAACCGAATCTTATTCTCCGCATTTTATCACTGAAAATATCGGCGAAAATCGGCAAGTTTTGGCCGGTTACTAATTAGTCTCAAACGGGCTAAAATTGTCTGATTTAATCAGCTCAACGATAAATTGGTCGGGCCCTATAATTTGCACTTTGTATATTCAGCTGAAACTAGCCTAGGCTTGGCGAAGCTGTCATATCGTTCATACCAAAGGTGAACAGAACAATAAAGCTGTTTGTGTTTTCATCATTGTCTTCCTGCTAACCTGTTTGTTGATTGTTTTGGTACGTGATATAATAGGACAACTGGGAGCTTGGCCAATTATTAACAAGCTGAAAAATAAAATGAACACGATCTTAGTGAAGGTGGACATACGCTGGTCAATAAATCAAGTCTTGTCCAATGCTTGTAAAGTGGGACCAGGACAGTAGTCCAATTAAATCACCTAATCGAGTTATAGATAGACTTTAAAGTGCAGTTAAACCTGCTGACCTACCTTTGAGTAGACTGCACCCAAAGCAAAGTAACCTTCATAAGGTGATTCAATCTTCAATTGCAGGAGAGGTTACACAAGATAAACAGAATATTACCAAACTTATAAAGGATAATATTACCTTTCTGAGTTTTCCAGAGGTTTTATACTTCAACTGAATATTCACCTCATTCTAAAAAGTCAAGTTAACATGACTTGCAAAGTAAGAGAGAGTCACTTTGAAATCTCTTTATGTCTTAGGTTTCTTGTTGTGGTAAAAAAAATCCTGTATTTGAACACTTCCAATGCTAAAAAAAAAAAGTGCCTGTAAGTTTTTCGAGTTGAGCCAAAAACATCCACTTTCTTTCTCTGAACAGGAAAGATGCATTTCTGCTTGATGTGGCGAAATGCACTTTCTCTGTTTCTATATTTCCTGAATTTGTTTAGGCTCGGGGTCATGTTTGTCTCGTTCACACTTTAGGGTTGACTGTGAGTGTGTGTGTGTTTCATTTTTAAGTAGCAGGAGAAGGAGGTAATTATATCTGTTGGTGTGTGAGCTTGAAAAAAGTCCACAGAGTCTAATAAAACAGCAGATTTATGATGCTGCCCTGTAGGTGCTTTCTCGCCAACTTCCGCGGCTTGAGGAGGTTTCCTGTTGTACCATTTCTCATAATGGCATAAATTTGGTGCAATTGTGTGTACTGGTGGTTTGAAAGAGGACTTAATTTCTATTAATGCTGTTAATGATGCATTTTTTAATGGTCTGTCTGTGTGCTGGCTCATTTAGCTTCTGATGATTTATCTCTGCAAGTGGTTGAGCATTACAGTCAAATCCGTAGGCTGTTCTTAACTCATTCATGAGCTTAAAATATTTTGGTTTAATCTTCTTTCATTGTCTCTCTCCCTGACACTCTTCTGCTGCCTGCCCTACATTCACATCCCCCTCGATACTCCTCTCTCCTGTTTATTTATGTCAGTCCTTTCCAGAAATGGCTTCATAAATTCACAGCTTCGCAGTTAAAAGTAAATCAACATCATTAGAGCGACTTTTTACAGATTCAGATTTATGCCCGCAACAAGCAGAGAGGATTGTCAGAAGGAAGAAAGCCCCGGAGCAGCTCCATCAACTCTAAATGAGGTCGATCTTTCCTCAGGGGGGTGACATGGCGGCATCAGCGAGGGTCCCCGCACACACAGCCCACCCCTCATGTCAGAGATGTGAGAGTACATTAGTGATAGAACAACAAGGACACAACGAAAAGTTTCAGAGAACATCTTTTTTTGATCCATTTCTTTTTTTTGCACATAAGATGCTCGTGTTCAGTGTAAGCGAAGAGTGTTTTCAATGAGGAGAGAGAATAATCGTGCTTTGAAGTCAGTTTTGCAATACATGATGTTAGTTTTATTTTTAGACAAATAGAAGAAAGAATCAAAGTGTTCAAGGGAAAAATAATCCAACATTTTTGGTCCTGATACATGGGCTTTGGGTATCGGCTGGTACTTGGGTCAAGCAGAGTGGTAAGAGAGTGTAGAGGTTTGTCTTCCATAGAGATGAAGTGTCTGTTAACAGAAGAGTCCTTTTTGTTGTTTTCATCCTTGAGTTCTCCTCATTCCCCTTAGCCAGGAGACTTTCGAGAACGGTGAAAGCTGGAATCACATCAGCTGTGGTTGAACTGGCTGAGCTCACCTTCCCGGTTAGCTCCTCAAATGGAGCAAGAACAGTCAAAGTTTTTCTCCAGCAAGGTCCCCCGGTTGGCTGTCAGTGTGGTGAGCAGGTCATGGTCAGCAACAAAGACAGAGAGGGTTCTCTTCTGCTCCAGAAGGATCTCTATCATAAAGTAAGAGCTATACCACCATGTCTAGACGTCCTGTCGCAGACGCTTCACAGGCATCTGCATCTCCACTTGGATTTCATAAGGTGAGAATATGCAAATGAAGAGTCATCACTTAGACTGCACTGTGTTATTGAAACTTAGTTTAATACGACCTGCGCAGTGTGTGCATGCAGCCCTGGCTCTGCACTCCCATAGTGCCCATAGCTGTTTTTTTTATGTCGCTAGCATTGTCTCTAGAAGTGGTATGCACTTTGGTTAGTGGCATATAGCACTGGATTAGCATGTCTTTGATGGTTGTTCAGACGGAGCTGTTGATGTGTGATTGATTCAAGTTTTTAGTTTGAATCACAGCACTGTGTGGCATCAAGCTGGTTAAGGCTGGGGGATAAACTGAAAATGTATCGATATTGAAATTCACAACAATAATCAACATCATTTTGCCCAAATTGGTATATTCAGTGTCAAAAAAATAAATTGATTAAAGTTTGTTTATATCGTGATGTTGATTTGAACAGTTCCACTTTCATTTAGATTTGTTAGTGAGTTGGGACGAAGCGTAACTTCAGCTGTAACTGCAGCTACTGTCCTGTCTTTCGTCATTACAGAGTAACTTTTGCTTCACGTTCCTGTAAGGCTGCCATAACTTCTGATGCAACACAAGCCCAGAAATAAATAAATCCGGCTCCTGTCTGTCATTAGTCTAAAGTGTCAGGTGGCACACAGAGAAAGAACAGTCAAATAAAGCTAGATAATCCATCGAAGAAATCTCAACTCAAATGTGTCTAAGTGTTGGTAGTTGTATGATGATGGCTGTGTTTAGTTGGTGTGTAATAACTCTTGTATTCTGATGGTTGGATTCCTCTGCTGTCCTCCAGCCTCAGACTCCTAATTGGCCTCCCTGCCACCATTGTCTCCTGATGTGTATCATTCCAGTGGTTTCCTCTCAGTTTTTCTGTTTTCTGCTGTAATTCAGCCCCTTGTATGTTTTCACAAGGAGCCTATACGGGTATAATTGTAGTGTTGCTTTCCTGCCGTGCGGCTCGCCAAGGACTGCTTGTGCGCTCACTGGAGGGTCTGCAGGTTTTTGCCCGGCGTAGTTCGGTTCAAGCTGAGCTAGTCATTGTGTGGGTCGTGTCTCGTATCGTCTCACTCCACAGTTAGTCTCATTTCGTCTTCACTGTCACGTCTTTGTTCCTGTCTGGACTTTTTGTGAAGCTGTTGGAGTAGTTTTTGTTTCCGCACGTTGCTGCAGAGTCGTCTTTCTCCAGTGGTTCCCTGTTGCTTCTCTTTACCTCTTGGTTAGATTTATTGCATCGTGACTTCCAGACTTGGGAACATGATTTTTCCTCTCTGGAAACACCATCAAATCAGTGTCAAGCTCTTGTTTCATATTGTGTACATGTTGCCTTTGATATGTGAGCAGAACCACAGAGGAAACTGTCACCTGTTACCTCGCTGCACCTGGTTCACCTCTCTTACAGAGACACACACGTCTATCCCTCTGTGTCTGTTAATAATTAATTAGATCACTCAAACTGTGCGGCGACTTACCCCCAGGGCTCTTGTGAGTGTGTGTGTCTGTGTGTGCCCGTGTATGCTCCTCTGTGTGTTCAGTTAGAGCGCGACCGAAAGCGATGCATACCAGATGTTTTAGAAATGAGGTGGGTTTCACTGGAACGTAACGCATTCCCATGGATGTTTGCGGGAAGAAATTCTTCCTCATCTGTCGAGCATGTACTTCAACCCTCCACCCCCCACACACACAAACACACACACACACACAAACACACATTCACCCCAGGAGGCTGAGCATCTCCTCTGTTTATCTCTCCTCCCTGTGTCTGTTTTAATTGGGTTCTTGTCATAAAACCCGCAACCTCTCTTACTTGTGTGCAACACAATGGATATGTAGAGGTTAGTGGGTTCGTAACCACTGATTTGTGTGTTTAATTGAGTCGACGCAGCACTCAGGAGCTACCTCCTTCTCTCTCCTGGTTTCAGTAGTTTCAGCTAAAAAAATTGCTGTCTGCCAGCATGGGTGTGCTCATGTTTATTTGTGTATTAGCAATGTGAAGTCAGATCAAGGGCTGCACACTGAATTGAATTGTAATCAGGATCACAATTTTGGCCTCAGAGTCATCAGAGAACCCTGATTGACAGGGATCATTGGCGCCAAAATGTGAAGTTTAATTGTTTGTTATACCCTGTGTACTGTCAAGCAGATTTTGATGATATGTACAAATGGGCTTTTAAGATACATACATACAAGTCTGAATGCAGTCACACTAAATCATTTAGTTCTGCACACACTCCGGAGTTATGTTCCAGAGCTTTGGCCTGGAAGTCGAACATAAAATGATAGGAAAGCATTTTGTCCCTTGTGACAATTCATTGAGTGTAGGAGTGGGTAAAAATCATGATTATCATGATTTTTTGTTCTACAATTTTTAAATTGATTTTTATGTTGAAATTTTTTTAAATATATTTTTTCAAATTTAAAAATAAATCTTAAAAACTGACTTGCATATGATGTGTATTGGGATGGGAACTATAGTTATTGGAATAGTCAGTAGAAAATCATAATCATTTAACTGTTTCACTGGTGTTAAAATGCAGACTAAAAATCAAGAAAATTGGGGATATCATAGAATCGCAATGTAAATCGAATCAGGAGAAAAGCATATTGTCCCAGCCCTGATAGAGTGTATGTGTAGCTGTTCTCAGGTTTCTCCTGACACAGTAGGATATCTGATTGTAAACATTGAAGGTTTTATTTTTGCAATTTCAAACCAGTGTGGCTACAGTCAAGCAGATCAGGGGTGGAATATCCCACTTAACTTCCCTCACATCACAGGAATATATGCTAAAAATAATAAGAACCATTATAATGTCGGGACTGTGTGTATGCCAAGTGTTACATTGTGTCATCAAAGGAGTTGCAAATTACTGTTTAATAAATGTTCATCTATTTGTTTAGAACATGTTAAAATGACCAAAATAAAATATCTAGGCATCCAAGCCAACAACAGTATTCCTACTGTAAACAATGAATAAACAATCACCGTAGGAGGAAGTTAAGAACTTATCCTGTCTCCCCCTTTTTTCTGTTATATAAAAAAGCTTTATAAATGTCTCTAACACGTCCTGGAGCTGACTCGATGTCTATCTTTCACCCAGGAAAGGTGTGAAATGGGCTCATATGGCAGAAGAATGATGCCTGTAACATAACAGCTGTCATCATGGGCCCATCTGCTTTTACACAAGCTAAACTAAGACTGTATGTCATCAGCAATATGTTAGACACATGCACATTATGGTTTTAACAGGAGTTTTTTGTCAGCCGTGCTAAAGTGGGACAATATTATGCTCCCAAATCATGACATTTACTTCATATTCATATGCATCATATACACCATATCCAGCTCAATTCTTATATCTATGCTTCCCAATTAAAAAGATGTACTATCACTGTTGTGTGTTAAACAAAATACACAGTCAAAAAAACATTTCAAACCAATAAATAAACCTCATTACATACCCAGACCTACTAGTATCCTTATCTCATACAAGTTTTTCCATGAATAAGCAAAGTCAGAACTCCCAGAATTCTCTTTTGTCTGACTCACAGGCTGTTACTGTTACTCCAGACACCCAGGTGGTGACTGTACTTCCCCATCCATCCTCCTCAGCCTCATCTCCGCAGTAACCACCTCCAAACTGGTTCTGCAGGGTTAGTCTCTCTGCGGGAGGGTTGGTTAAGAGAGGAGAAGAAGCAAACAGGAAATCTCCTCTTCTAACTTTAGAGAGAAACATGAAAAATAGGGGAGTTTGTTTCTTAACGACACATGAAGAGTTGTTTACTGTAAAGCTTTGACTTCAAACTTGGTTCAGGATTTGCCTTCTCTTCTGGTATTAATGGGATGCGGTGATGCATATTGAATTGTGTGGGATTAAAAAGCTCCTCGGTCCCTGGTGTGGAAATATTGTGATGTGTATAACACAATTGATTCATTTGTAAGTTTTTCCACCAGTTTTTTTAACTTCTTTAAAAACTAATTTCCTGCAGTCTACTTCTAAACACTCCCACAGGCATGGGTTGTTGCCACACCAGTAAAACAAAGAAGCACATTACTGTCATGTTGTGGCCATCCACTGTGTATACATGAACATAGTGTTAGTGGTGTGTGACCCACTGGTTCTCCACTGGACTCAACCTAACTTCTGAACATACAGGATGCAGCCAAATCGTTGAACACGCTCTCTCCGCCCATAATCCGATAAACTTGTGCATAATTTTTGGTCTTAATAAAATCAAAACTCAATTTGTCAAAAAAAACTCCTCTTGGAAAATTTATGACAATAATCAAATGAGATTATATTTTTTTCTGCCGTGCTATAAATGTGTAAATGAGGTTTCCCTCCTCTGCTGGGGGGTCGGCAGGGGTTTCCTCCTGTCACATATTTAACGGTGAATAAAACACTGCATTTCTTTTTATGATTTTGATGTTTGTGGTAAATTAACACTCCTTTTTCTTCTTTTTTCTCTCCAGTCCTCTGCGCCAAAAACCTGGCAAAGAAAGACTTCTTCCGTAAGTACCTTCTTACTCCAGATGTTTATGATAAATCTGTGTTTGCTTGTTCACGCCCTGTTCAGTGTCCTGTCGTTGGTCTGTAGGAATACGATGCATCGACTCAAAAATATGGGCCACTTTTTTAGCCTTTAACGACACACTACGATCCTCTTAGACATTTCAAAATGCAAGAATACTTTACGACACGTCTTTGTTAGTAGAAGAACATTCAAATATTTCCCAGCATTCGTCATCTATAATAGAGTTCTGTTTAGTCTGTGTCTAAATTCAATTTTTTTGGAAACCTTTCTGCATAAAACCTTTCTAGTTTAAAGTCTTAATAGCTCACATGTAGGTGTCGTGAGCGTTGTGAGTGTTTGGCTGTGTTTAGGGTGGGCTGTCATGGTGAGGAAGCATGTAAAGGTCTTCTGCTCACTCAGGTGGTTTCTGTGGTGCCCATTCCTGCCATTCCAGTGCTCAGGAGCTGAGCAAACACTCAGCGAGAGAGCAGCACTGAAACCAGAGATAAAAATGTCTGTGTTTGTCTTTATTCCTGAGCTATAATGTGTTTGTCATGTTGTTATTGTGCTGGTTTCAACCACAGTATTTACAACAGGGACAACTTGTGAGTGTTTCACATTTCAAGAACAACAAAGATGTCCGTCACAGATCTTCAGGGCCCTTTAGCTTAGTGGTTCTCAGACTTTGTTTAAGCCCCTTTTGCAATGTTTTACCAATTTAACAAAAGCAAACCCAAAATATTTTTGGTGGGAAAAACGCTTATTTAAAGAGGAAATTCATTTTGCCTTGTTTACTACATGTTTCTCTGTGTTTTTAGCCTTATTGCTGCTTTGTTCCAACCATGAATGTCTTGTCAGTAATGAAAACTTGATTAATGTAAACATTGACAATAAGACACACAAACTCAACGTGATGAAGTTTTTCCCAATTGGCATGGTATAACATGATAATAATGACATTTTACTTCTTTAAAACTCATAATTAAATGTAGAGTATAAAACCTAGATGTCCATCTTTGAGCTGCTCTGGGGCTTTTAAAACATTTTATTTAGAAAGAAAAGATAGTGTATAAGGTAGGAAACTGGGAGGAGACAGTTATAGAATGCTCTACTACCAGGATGTCAACAAGCACAGCCTGCCATGGTATGTTAGTATGTTATTCCACGAAATGGAGAAAGGTTCCATCTGATTAAACTTGCATATAACCAATAGACTGGACCGATGTGTGACTGGCTCGGACGTGTGGATGTCTGGAAATCAATTTGGCATGTTTACCTAAAGACACTGTGAACCCATGTTTGTTCATGTTTGATAAATTATACATATATTAGAATTATATTACATTTGAGTGTTTTCAGTAAAAACCTATTATTGCCACCTCCTCCACAACAGGTACAGCTCCACTCTGGGGGAAACACTTAAAAGGTACTACTATGACAGCCCAATTTGAGTGCCACTGTTAGACGGTATAAAAGACAATTCTACAATTCTCCACTCAATTGCTTGAAACATGTGTGATTCTCTGAATGAATGTCGGAAATAATCACTCACAAAACTAAGAACTGATAATTGAGGGCAGAGCCGTACAACAGCAGTTGTCTGGCAGCCATATGCAACTATCCTAAGAAATTGAGAATGAAGTCTTGGGCTGTGTCCGAAATGAATCACTCAGTCCCTAACCCCTAACCTCCATATGGGGTTTCACTATATAGCAGACCATGTAGTGAGCTCAATTACCAGAGTTTTCAGACACTACATGGCAAGACGCAATGCATGACGGGATGCCCACCACCGGTGAGTGACCATCGGATGGTCACTACATTTTGCTATGCTTTATGGGAAATTTTGAGTCACCTATATGGGGCATTGGAATTGATCCCTGAGGTTTCGGACACCTCTCAAAATGGCGCTAACCCCCATATAGTCGCCTATATAGAGGTTAGGGATCCATTTCGGACACAGCCTTGGACTTTGAATGATTTCTATTAGTAGCAACACTGTTTTTAATAAATTTAAATAAAAAAACATGGAACGAGTAGAAACAGCTCTACTCTATTTGCTGTCCTCCTAATTATCTAAGGGACAAAATGTCTTTGAAAATGATCAAAAATCTACGTATGTCCTCCCGCATGCTGTTTTTTTAATTCTAAAATGTTCAATTGAATAAACTTGTTTACCTTTTTTTTTAGTTTCGGCATCCATTCAAACAAGAACTGAAAAAAGTGGAGAGACAAATTCACTCTGTCTTTTTGATTCATAACTGTAGTTTTCAGATGGATCATACTGAAATAAAATTCTGAGAAAAAAGGATGCAAACTAAAATTATGCTCCAAGAGCGTAGTCTGAATTGGTTTGACCACAGAACACAGTGTGCTGTGCACAGATACCACCACATCAGTGTCAGTCATATGCATCAGAATCTGCTGTGAAGTTAGCCAGAACTGCTGTGTAATGCTTTTGTTGTTTTTTCTGACATTGTTTATCTGTTGTTTGTTCTCTGTGAATTTAGCTGTGGCTGACCATGCTGTCGTTATATTCCCCCTCTCCCTGCAGGCCTCCCTGATCCCTTTGCCAAGGTTGTCGTGGACGGTTCAGGGCAATGCCACTCTACAGACACTGTGAGGAACACACTCGACCCCAAGTGGAATCAACACTACGACTTGTGAGTCCTCTTTTTCGTCATCTGTTTAAAGAGACCCAAAAAAAGTGTTGATTTGGAAACCTCCCACCTTCCTGAAGACTCATTCTGATCACAAACAGCCTTGCTTAGGCACCAATTTTCATGTCTTTCTTAGTTTGACCTCACACTGAGAAGTGTCAGGCACTGGCATTAACAGGACCTAAACAGAAACACATGAAAACAGCTCTTGCATCTGGTCTATTACTTATTGAGATACTATGTAATGACATAACTCTTCCGCACCAGCCAAGAGTCTAAAAATGTCCCTTGGAGCAGTATTTAAGGGAACAGTAGAAGGAGGGGTGTCTCCAATACTATTTTCTTCCATTGACTGGAACACGTGCATGTCTTGTTGTACCCTGATTTCCTTTCCCAAAGATGGTTTGACCTGCGAAAAGTATTCTGGAAAGAAAAAGCTGAGACAGACCGCGTGAGTGAAAATGTGAGAGTGAAAGTTTCCAGTATTCGCAGCGGTGTTTATCCAACCGCCGTGCGTAGCCAACAGCGAGAGGAAGCACATGTCTCCGTTTGTTTGGTTGCTGGGGATACAGGACCCTCTCCCTCTCTCCCTCTACAAGGCTGTTACATTAAGTATTCGCGTAACATTTGACAAGAGGGGGGGAAAAAGTCACGTGCATGTATGCATTCTTTTGAAAAAACAAACAGATACAGAAGAAAACACAATCTCCTTGTGGCTCTGAGGAGAATCTGTCTGATAATTTCTCCCAAAAGCATGCAGACGTCACTGGCTGGAGTTTGTAAGAATTCCTCCTGAGTCTGTGCCAGTGACAAGTTTAACACCAGTCTACCCCCTTAGCTGCGTGTCTGTGTTTATCATGGCTCGCAGACGATGAAGAGAGGTTATGATCGAGCGAGAGAAGCCGTCTGGCTGGCTCGCACTTATTAAAATAGGGCCTGCTGCAACACCTGGTGTTCCAAATACGGCCTGGTGCATTAAAGCTTTTGGCTGTGATCCTTTTTTTCCATTTGTTGTAAGAGCTCATATGAGGTTGTAGAAATCCAGAGTGCCTGTGTGTGTGTGGGTGTGTGTCCAGGGCCTCGGTTTCATAGGTCAGTCATAGCCAACGTCCCATGAACTGTGACCTCTCAGTATTGTTGCAGGATGTGGCCAGCATGCCGAGGATAGCAGACACAGTCTGTCTGGCTGCCTGCCTCTCTCACATTCAGGCTGTTTTACAAGCTTAGTTGCAGGCTAAATAAACAGCTCATGGTTGAAATTAAAAGCAGCATTAGCATAACAACCACTCCAGTTGTCAGTCTGTGAAGGATAAGAGGACAGTGATTATTTTGAAGGATTGTCATTGTGGGCTTCATGAAGCATTTTGGAGCCTTTTTTGAAGTTTCTCTCCAGTCTCCATTTACAGTATCATTAATTAAAACCATCTGCAGTGTTAAGTGCTCAGTCTAGACTCGTATTATTAAGGCCTTCTTGTAAATTTGTTTTTCCATCAACCGTCCAAACTACATTTCTGTGCAAGTTTGCCCGTGCTATTATCAATTCTTTATTACATCCTTCATCTTCAGAGTTGTTTGTTTCTGGTACACCATAACCAAAGCGTGTAAGAAAGCCATTAATGTGTGTAGAGTGCATGGATCTGATATATTTTTTCTGGATTTAAAGTATTTTATTTTAGAATTTAAGCCTATTGTGAACTGAGGTTTTTAACACTAACTTCTGGTCAGGATAACTGAACAATAGTGAGCCTGGGCATTGAGCAATGTTAACAAATCAGATCACACTAGGGATGAAAAACTTATTATCATAGTCTGTATATTTCAATTTGTATTATTCATTAGGAGCAGTAACCACTGGGTGACTCACTATACAATGTGAAATCAAACAAAGATTGCAAGATGATTTTAAGACAACACAATATGATAGGTGCCATACAATACAATTTGATGCATGAGACAGTACAACTCAATATGATATGGAACATATGATATTTAATGAAATACATGACAAATGTGATTTGATTTAATACATTAGCATATGGTGTTTTAAGCAACAGTGTGATAAAGTGCTATACAATACAACATAATGCTGCACCATATAATATGATTCAATATAATACAATTGGATAGGATATATAGTGATACAATACACTATGATATGCACCAATATGGTATGACATACTGAAGATTCATCATGATGCAATACCATTAAAAGTAATATAATGTGATATGGTATGACAACACATTACAATACGACAGAATATGATACAATATGATGCGATAAAGTATGATGATGTGATAAAGTATGACACAACAAATTACAATATGACACAACACGATACAACATGGCATGACGCAACACGACAACACAATGCAAAATGATTGGTCAGAGACAAGACAATATGATATGGAACAATACAATACAATCAAGTATGATAAAATATGATCTGGTGTGACAACTCATGATTCAATATGATATAACACGACACACTATAATATGAAACAATGTCAAATGATAACATAAAAGATGATGTATGATATGATACGATGATATGGTTTACGGTTATAATTAAATTTATTGATCTAAAAAGCAAATGGAAAAATAGGGTACAAAGGTACTTCTCTAAGTAGTATATTTCAAAATAAATACCCATTTTAGTGTTTGATGGACAGATACAAACTGTATATATAGACCAACATAAACTTGTATGACTGCACCTGGAACAGCTGCTATTGTATTCACCATGATATATCAGGTCATTTTTAATCCACTTCCATTCCTCTGTATCTCTCAGTACAATTCCTACCATAGAAGTCAAGTGCATCATGCTAGTTTGTTTTATGTAGTGATGTATTTCACACTCACTGTCAGAAAAATGGGGAGTAATTATCACATAGGACTCTGTCTCTCATGAAGTCTACTCGTTTCAGATGAGTGAAACTCCCCAAAGACTGTAGTGTGGCTTTCATCTTCCCTCTCGTTTCAGCATAAAGACAAGGAACAACTTTTTTTTTCTTTCTTCCTTCCTGTTTCTAATGTGACGAGCACATCTTTGAACCTTTTACACCACTTTCTGATAGGATCCCACTGTGGTCGTCTTCCATTATCCTGCTGTCAGCTTTTTCTTCGGCCAACTGACTGCCATTCACTTCACCTTCATTCGTATCATTTGAGCCACTTGAAAGAGTTCCAGGTGGGGAGCCAAATGTGCAGGGATGTCTGTTTAGAGTTGTATATTTTTTTAGTTTAAATGCTGATATTGAGCCCCAACATATTTAGAATCACATCACATAAGTCAGCACAATTGATGTATTCAAATGTTGTCTTAGGGCTGGGCGATAAACGAAAAAGATACCGATACCGAAATTTATGTCAATAACTGACATAATTTTGCCCGTGTCAATATATTCTGTGTCAAAAAATAAATAAATTAAAGTTGGTTTTGGGTGTGTGTAGGTAGGCTATGGTCTCATGTCCCTTTTAAGATGCTGTCCTATGTCGAAGACGTGACTCCACCTCATCCAGTCCGTAACAAAGAGGGAAAGACAGGTGAGGAGATGGAGGACGGTTCAAAAGTTGTAGTGGCTTGAGCGACGGCTGAAGTAGACAAAGTTAATGTGGGAGGGGGTGAGCAGCTTGTGGAGTAGTTATCGTCCATTTATCCTTATCGAGGTGAACTGCTCAATATATCATGATATTGATTTAAGGCCATGTCACCCAGCCCTATGTTGTCTTGCCCAAAGCAGATACTTCAGGCTTTAGATCTTTGTCTTGGCACAACAGAGATCTTCAACTATCAGTGATTTTCTCTAATCCTGACAAAGTAAAGAAACATGTTGTAAAATACAGAATATTCATAGGAACCTGATATAGTCATCTGTTAAAATGTACAGGAATAAACAATGGAGTAGGTGAAGCTGCTTTTTTCAGCAGTTTATTCTCACTTATAACTCAGAACAACTGTCCTTAAAGTACCTCCCGTCTGCAGAAAGACCACTAAGGTAACAGTAGCCATTGCTTGTGTACCACTCTTGTACAGTATGAAGGTTTTAATATCATTGGTAAATAAATTAGCGGTTGACTTGTGTAAATCCAAGTTTCTGGTAATCTGAGGACATCAGCAGTTTCCAGTCCAGACTTGTGAATCTTACTAGTCAGCCCTCAATTTTCTTTCTGTTTCTATTTCAGACTGCGGCTTTATTGTTGCTGTAATGTAATGTTTTTCTTTCACTTTGACCACATGTTCTTGGCAGGAACTTTCAGGAAAAAGCAACTAAAAGAGTGCCAGAGATGCCTCCACTGAGAACAGAGTCTATGGATAAAGGATGAACTTAGAAAGCACATCTGACTCTTTAAATCTGCTCATTTCTCCTTTTTATTGCAACTTTCCCATTGTCTCCACTGCACTGTGTGTATGTGTGTGTTTGTGTGTGTTACTGCCTTTGCCTGGTATTAAATATCGTAGCCAGACTAATGAATTTTATTAGACGGAGGGTGATCCAGATGACTGGGGCTGGGTAATAATACTTCCCTCTCGTCACGTCTGTCTGACTGAGCCGCTCTCTCACATCGCACCCCAGACAGGCATTTGGCATCGACTCAAAATGTCCAGACGTCTTACTCACAGCCCCATTGTTTCATATCCCCTTTGGTAAGCAGCATGATAATTACGGTGGGATGCAGTTCTGCGAAATTGTACAGATGATTAGTTTTCGACTGGAAAAGAGAGGGAGCCCACCCCAGCAGATGTGCCATGACAGGTTCACATGGTTGGATTTTATCACAGCCTTGGCCCTGACTCACAAACCAGGGTTCAGAGGAAAAAGGCACTGGTGGAAATAATCTGTTACTTTAAAGCGTGTCTTAAAACAGACATACAAATGTTCCTCATGTGTGGTGTTTTAATCCACTTGCAGTGTTGCTAAAGGGGACAGACATGTCCACAAGTCAGACCAAAATATTTTCAGTACAGATCAGAATTGGCAGCTGTTGGAAGCATTGCCATAAAATGTTATACAGATATTTCTTTGTCCCCCAGATGATCTCGTGACTCCAGCCTTTGATTTTACCGTCTAATGAAACTATGATGATAATGCTAGCGTGCCCACGCCATGTCAAGGTCAGAATTACAGCTGTAAGTCTGAGCATGTAGCATGTGATGGAAGGTAACTTGCTTGGCTTTCTGCCAGGAACCTGTTTCTTTCTCCCAGGAGACAGCTGTCCCACCATTACAGGTTGAAATTTAAGGATCTTTTTGAAAAATGAACAAGTGGTTTTAGAAATGTACTACCTACCAGATAAATCCAGAGAAAGACAGAGTGAAGATGTGAGAACAATAACTACAACCGTAACTTGCAAATACACTTACTTTTAACCGCCACATCACATACTTCACAATGAACGCAGTGCACTGTACCGTCTTCATTGTGAAGCTATTTCAAGTCTTTGAACCACTCTCCAAAAACTGTGGGCCTTCTCTGCTGGTAGTCCACACTTCACCCCGTCCTCTCTCTTCATTTCATTCTGATCCCCTGCTAGTTTGCTCTCTGTCATGCAACAAGAAAGAGTTTGTTCTTTAACAACCCCTCATATATCTCTATATATTTGTACTCAGACACATACTCACATGCCACACTGATGGCTTTCCTTTCTCTACATTCACACAAATATTCTGACATTGGCAGCAGCCAGCTACACATACCTTTGAATCAGTTGTATGAAGGAAAAATGGTCGGCATTACACTAAGACAGCCAAAAATATATACTCTGATGGTCGCCCAGGTATCACCTAGTATAGGAAACACCTCCTGAGTCTGAGTTTCTCCACATTGTCGTCTCATATATCCCTAATACACCCACTCAATTTATGCGAACAGAACTTCTTCAGATGAAGGAAAGAGAATCAAAGCAAATCATTCATAAAATGTTATGCTTTAAAAAAGTTAACTTCAAGGGAAACTAAAATTGAGTTTTACAACTTAACTCCCACATTTGACATCATAATTAATGACTGTTTACACCCAATTACATTTTGAATTAAGCAAGTTTAATAAGGCTGCTTGTTTCACTTCCTCATTTAAATCAAAAGGGCCTCGAGCGCTGAGAGCCGGGTGTGAAATGTACAGTCTTTTCCCACAGTCGACAGATTGCTGTATGCATAATAATCCTTCATGTTTGCAGCAGTTTGGATGCAGATCATCACGTCCCTGTCATCACTCCTCTCCCTCTGTCCACTCTCTCACTCCTCCTGCTCTGTGGGCTGAGATGCTGTGAAAACTATAAATGATTCACAGGGTCACATTCTGCTTGTGGAGCTCTGTCTCATACTCAGACGCTCAGGGTCAGATTTACACATTCACAGAGACTGGGGAGTGGGAAAATCCCTCTCAGTCACCCAGGCTTCCTCTTCCTCATCCGCCTCCACGGCCCTCTGTGACTTGTAGAGTGTCCTTGACGGGGCGACTTATTGTTAGGGGATGTGTGTCTCCCCTGCGTTCCTGAGGACATCCTGAATGAAACTTTATGGCTCTAGCATATTACATCTCCTTTCAGGTGTCTAGTTAACCACCGCAGTTATACGGGGTTAGTTTCATGCCACTAATGAAAGAGCCTTGACTTCCTGAATACTCATTCTGTCTTCTTCTTCCCTCTCTCCCTCCAGATACATCGGGAAATCAGACTCCATCACCATCAGCGTGTGGAATCACAAGAAGATCCACAAAAAGCAAGGGGCTGGTTTCCTGGGCTGTGTCCGCCTTCTGTCCAACGCAATCAACCGCCTTAAAGACACAGGCTGTAAGTGTCAGTATTACTTTAACAGAGCAAACTGAGAATGGCTGCTTCTTATTTCATAAAAAAAATTTTCACGTGACGTATTCTGTGTTTCTGTCTCGTCTCTCGTGTAACAAGCTTTGCTGCATACAGGCACCTTAAAGCGACAGTATTCCCAATTCTATCAAAGTTTGGATGTTACGTCAAAGGTGGATTATAACGGAATTTGATGGTTTGCAAATAATTGAAACACTTTTTTTTTCTTAACTGAAAATAGTGCAAAGAATACATACTAAATATTAAAACTGGGCATTTTGATTATTCATGGAAAAATGTAGATTTTTAAAAAAAATGTGATACCAGCAACACTTTTACAAAAAGTTTAGACAAGGACAACTAATGAGGTTAATTTGTAATGAGATAGCAATATGGCTGGGTGTTAGCTAGGCATTCCAGAGAGGCTGAATCTCTCAAGTAGTAAAGCAAGAATGAGGTGCACTCCTCTGTGAGAGACTGCGCAAGCAAACAGCTTAACAATTTTGGAATCATGATATCATGAAAAAAGGGTTGGACAATATGGCCTCAGATCAATATCACACTATATTGAGCAGTTCACCTTGATAACGATAAATGGACGATAACTACTCCACAAGCTGCTCAGCTCCTCCCACATTAACTTTGTCTACTTCAGCCGCTACAACTTTAGAACCGTCCTCCGTCTCCTCACCTGTCTTTCCCTCTTCGTCACGGACTGGATGGGGTGGAGTCACGTCTCTGATGTAGGACAGCCTCTCAAAGAGACATGAGACCATAGCCTACCTACACACATCCAAAACCAACTTTTATTAATTTTTTGACGCAGAATATATTGAAGAAGTGATGCAACACAATGACAAACATACTTCAGATTTGATTTAAAGTACCTGATTTATGTTCTCTCTCTCTCTCTGTTTTTTTTTTTTTATTTTGCACAATTTTGGTAAAGCATAGATTTAAACAGTCCCACCAATTCCCTGAAGAAAGATAACTGGTGCTGGCAGAAATCAGCCCTCTGTAAATGAAATCTCTCCTTGCGTGCGTACAGATTTTGCAGCCAAACTATAACTATCTCTGTTTTCCTGAGTCATTAATCCGTCTTAGTGTCTACACTTGTCACTCCTTACTGAGACGTAGAGTAGCTGCTGCAAAATTAATTGCTTCTAATGTTGACACAGCCCTAATGATGCAGTAAGGGCATATCTATGTCGCTAGTTTTGTATGTGTGGTTGGGTCAGGATCTAAATGACTTAGAGTCGCTCCTTTTAGACCTTTTTTTTTCAACCAGGGTTGATAGAGTCCAGACCCATGTGAGTGGGGTGGGTCAACACTCTGCCCCCTGCCAGAACAGGAAGAGCCGATCAACATCACCCTGCAATTACCATAAAGCCGTCTCATGTCTTAATCTGACTGGATAAATGAGATGGAAGCTTTGGGAAATGGCTTCTAGTAAAAGCAGAACCAGACAGTTGTAGGTTCAAGAAAGTGGTCTACAGTGATGCTGACTAGTACCTGCTGGCTCAGCCTGTAGGCGAGAAACAGGGGGAAAAAACACCGCTTTCCCTGGAAGGCCCTAACACTGTTGTTTTCCTGGAGCGACACAGGAAACCTGAACCTTGTGCCACAGCTGCAAGTGGTTTGCTTGTGCGTTAGCTTTTTTTTTTTTGCTGGCCTCCTCCTCACCCCTCAGCTTCCCCTCCAGTCCCCTACACACACTTGCAGCGTGCATACACACAAACAAACACACAACATGCCAATGTGACTAACCTCGCTCTATCTCCGTCCGCCGATCTAGACAGCTGGTCATTCCACGCAGACATGCATAATTGTACAGCTATTTAAGTGTAAGCGTAGATTTGTTGTGTTTTCTCTGTTGTGGTCTACCCCCCCCCCCCCCCCCCCCCCATGTATATGTGTGTGTGTGTGTGTGTGTGTGTGTTTGTCATTCTTTTGTTTTCCTGAGGAATTTACCAGAAGTTGCAGTTTTGTCTCCTCCACAGGGCTAAAGGAGGGCATCTGGTTGGCAGAAATATTTGCATTTAAATGCAGTGTCTATGTTTTACAGTAACATTTATATATAATTGCAGAGTACTGTTGTCTGTGGCTGCATATTTAAATGTATATACTTGCGAGTGCACTTCTCTGTCTGCGTTTTACTGTCCGCGTGTGTGTTTTCTGTTTTCTCTGTGGCTGCTGACCTCCAGCCAGCCTTGTAACGGTTTGACCATTGCCTGTTATGGTCCGTGTTTAGTCTAGACAGACATCCTGAGCTGATCTGCATGACACCCAGACAACAGAGAGAGGGAGAGAGCAGATAGTGGCATTTCTCATGTCTGCAGGCATTTTTTTTTTTGTCCTTTTTTTTTTCTCTTTCCGCCTGATCTCTGTGTTTCTCCCTTGCTCTCAAATTCCACAGACTTTAAGAAGTTCAGACAAAGAGTTTCCAGACTTTGGCAGAGGTTCATGTCCATGCTAAGACCAGAGCGGAATAGTGCGGGCTTTGTACTGAAATTTGTCAAATGTTTGACCTCTGCATTTGAACTGAAGCCTGCTCTGTACCGTTGCTCAGTGAGATTTTTACGGCCCCGTGGCTGCTGCACAGACCCAGACCATCTGTTCCAGGGCACAGCCGAGCTGCGGTCTGCAGACAGAAGAATGAGAGGAGGATAATGAGGGAGAGAGAGGAATGGCCTCTGAGTGATGTAAATGATACAGAGCAATGGGACGTCCAAGGGGAAAAATAAAACAACACATATGCTAGTTACATGCATCTCTCTGACACTGATGAATCCTCTTCTCAACTCGGCCTTTCATCTTTATTCTCATTTCCTGTTTGTCTCCTGATGTTTTGTCTCTGTCTCCCCACAGATCAGAGACTAGACTTGAACAAGCTGAGTCCTAATGACAGCGACACAGTCAGAGGACAGATAGTCGGTAAGTGCACATGGACACAGCAACAAGGATGTAGGTTTGTTACACAGAGGGGTTTAGGGTAAATGGTCAAAACCAAACTGTCATGAAGAAAGTCACAATTTTGAGGAAAAGTAAATATTAAGAAAAGTCTAAAAGTTTTGAATGAAGTAGAAATTTCTAAGTTGAATTTGAATTGAATTGTGAATAAAGTTGAAATACTGAGAAAGAAGTCAAAATTCAATATTAGCCTGCAAATGCCCAAGTGATGAAAGTTTCCAATGTACAGAGACTCTTGTCCTCGTCACAGCTGTTGCCAGTTCGATTCCCTTCCACAACTCTGTGCCGCGGGTCTCCACTCACTTTCCACTCACCATATTTCCTGTCTCGCTCCAGCTGTCCTTTCTAATACTGGCGAAAAATTACCCACAATTCAACTTTAAAAAACAAAAAACATAAATTAATATCAAGAGTTGCTCAGTGGCGATGTCACACATCTGCATAAACATTTGTACTCTCGCTGGTAAACACTCATACTTGCTCATTGTGTTTAATTGTAAATAAGACTTGTAAAGTATCTATAAACCATAAAACTCAGCTGTAAAAAGAATAAAAGCAGGAATATGATTGGATAAGCAGATCACACTGAAATAAAAAACTGAGTTAAAAAAACAAAACACATGCATCTGCTCAGTCTGCCATCAGACAGTGCTAAGGTTGAAACAAGCACAAGAGGTGAACTCAGGTAATACTTCACAGGCCTGTCTTTCATGAACACTGTTCACTCAAGTTTCCAAGATTTAGTATTTCTTTGCCTTTAAATCCACTAGACATCAAATTTAGTGCTTATTTTTGTAAACAGACCAGATGGTTGTGATATGAAGGCCCCTCACTTGTATGTTATCAGCAACGGCATGCTGTGAGTCTCATCAGAAGAGGGAGACGAACTGAACAGACTGTCATCTGTGATCATTTCCAAAGCATATACCGTGTCAGTTCTTATCTCACATAGGCATCTTCTGTCTCTTTTATTAGTAGTACAAAAAAATTCATAAAATATAACCTTAAAAAATTGGTTCTGTACCTGAATATTAAAACCTGCAAATCACTTTTCAAATTGATCACCTTACAGAGACATATATGTTAAGATACAAAGCCTGTTCAAATCTGACCACGTTTGAGCCAAAAATGCATGTGCAATACCAAAATGGAAAGAAAATCTTCTGGTCTACTCAGAAATTCCTCTTATGTCAACTCTGCATGTCTAGCGATAAAATTTTTGCACACTTTCCAAGTTCATGTTCTGATTTGATGAGGGGTTTACATGAATTTCCCTGCCAGAATCCTGCTATAATTTTTCTGGTTATTGCAACATCATTGAAATGCAAGGCGAGTACGTGAAATATGTTCAGCTGCAGTCTGCTGTGTGTTGCCTGTTCTTGTAGCTCAATAGCTGTCCAATATATACCGTAAATCATGTAGAATTTAGGGTTGGATTTCATCATCGCACACCCTCCCTGCAGAAAACCAAAATAAATAAGAGGAATAAAATACAACCTCCCTTTGAGCAGACCCCCCAGGACATCACTGATAAAACTGAACCCTGGTCCTGTAACTCATAAAGATATACCGCTCTGTTTTTATGTTTGGATAAAATATCCATGCCTGCACTGTAATGTGCTGTCTAGTAATCTCAGAGTGTGCATCTGTCTGCCATGTGTTGCCTCAGTGAGCCTGCAGTCGAGGGACCGGATAGGCACAGGAGGCCCTGTGGTGGACTGCAGTCGACTGTTTGACAATGATCTTCCAGATGGGTGAGTGACTTTGGGGAAATCTCTTATCATCTCAGGAGGAGCTTTTTTAAAGACTGTAGCAAATCTTGAAAATAAATTCTGCCTTCAAGCGCAGGAGTTTAGCTCTGCAGAATTTGATACATGCATGCGGTGAGACAGAGCAGCCAGACAGATGAGCACAGGATGATTCTGTGGCTTCTTTAACCGTGTCCGCTGACTGCTGCGTCTGTGTGTCTGTGTGTGTGTGTGTGTCTCTCTGGCCAGCTGGGAGGAGAGGAGGACCGCGTCTGGACGAATCCAGTACTTGAACCACATCACACGCACCACACAGTGGGAGAGGCCGACCAGGTGAGTACACTCACACTGCCCACAGAAACTCAAACCCAGACCCCTTAAATCACACAGCAGCAGGCCAGTGGAAGACCTCTTCTCTGACCTCTGTGCAAATTGGAGGAAGTCTGTCTGAAACTGGAGTGGTCTTTTCAAAAAGAAAGAGACAGCCGTGTCAGATGGACTGATCCAGACAGTGTCTAATGATGTGGAAGAGCTGGAGAAGTCACAGAGAGTATGAGAGGAGCAGAAATAGAGGCATTTCATCACCACTGCTCTGTCTCTTTGTTTGTACGAGTTTGTTTTTGTAGCTGTTTCTACGTACGCACTCTTCAGCGAAAGTTTCATATGAGCACCAACACATGCGGCCTCATTCCTCCAGTACACAGAGCATGTTTATAACCTAAAAAACATCATCACCCCTCGTCTACCTCACACACAGTGAAGTTTTTACATGAGTTCATCTCAGTTTTACCTCATTATGATCCAATAGGACAGGTGGAAAATGTTTAATGCAGAATCGGGGTGAAGAATTTGGTTATTTTTGTTCACACATGCAGCTCACCTGGGTGTCTTCGAGAAGTTTTTCAGGAACTTTGTGTTTGTAAGGAAGAAAGGCAACTTTGTCAAATGCTCTTTGGCATTTTTACACTTCCCAACTTCCAGACAATTGCAATATGTATGTCCAGAAAGTTTCTATAATTGTCTCTCTCACATGTAATCTATGTAGCAAGCATGCAACAAGTCCCTGAGATCAAACAATGGTAATATGATGCCGATATCAGGGTTAAAACTGGCCGAATAAAGGCTGGCGAGAAGGTTACGTATAGGGTATACGAGCTTCAAATACATCTTTTTAGCGAAAGCTACGTAAGGAATCAAATGATTTTCTTGGTGAAAATGTTGCTTTAAACCTTTCAGTGGAATCCTACATCCATTTGATCATTAAAAACTCTGTCTCTGAGCAAAGCTGCATGGAGAGCCACAACCATCAAACAGCTTGAACATGCCCCTCCCTCGATCAATGACTGGTTTGATCTAATTTATGAAATTTACAAAGTGGCATGGATCACATTCCCTAAGAAGGCTTCAGAAAGCCAAATTCAAAGAATTATCAGAGAAGCGGATATCATCCATCTCCTCAAAATGCCCTTCTTTGTACTCTTTCTCATTAAAAACACCGGTCTTGTCCTTATACCAGATAACATGGAAATTTTTGAATGTTCAAAAACTTGAATAATATCCTTTGAGGTGCTTTCTTCTCGCTGGTTTTCCTGATCGTCCTTTCCCCCGTTTTCCTCTTATTTTTCTCCTCCCAGGCCTGCGTCTGAGTACTCCAGCCCTGGTAGACCTCTCAGCTGCATCGTAGATGAGAACACGCCCATCAGCACGAACGGGGCCACACCCACCACAGCATTGCCTCCTAGCGGGGGTGACCAGCGGGCACAGGAGAGAAGGGTCAGATCCCAGAGGCACCGGAACTACATGAGCAGGACCCACCTGCACACACCCCCAGACTTACCAGAGGGATATGGTTAGTGCGAGTCCTGATCATCTATATTCTCTGACACTAACGCACTTTAGTCATGAAGCTTTTCTGCGCTGTAGTCCAAAAATAAAAGCTTTAGAGCGGTCTTTTGATGAAACGAATTGCCCTATATTTCCATACTAAATCATTAGAGAGATATGTGTGCGTTACCCTGGAGTACTGGGCCTTTTATCCTCTGTTAATCCGCCTCTACCTCAGCTCTGAATTGTGTCAACATTGTAATGCTGTTGTGTTAATTACCTCCACTCTGCCCTCCTCCCTGCCAAAGACTTAGCTTAAGAAACCCGGCTAATCTGTGGCCTCATTCAGTCCAGCTCTGCTCTGATGACGCTGCAGCTCTGCACAAGGAGCCTGAAATACTGGCTCCATTTTAGACAATCTAATTGAATTGATCGAGCTGTTAAGGGCTGGCGGCAGCCATTCACTCTCCCCCCTCTGCGCTCTGCTCTGCACACAGCCGAACAATCAGATGCATTCATATAAAAGCAAACACGCACACAAGCTGTGATCCCCTACACAGCCCAAGGGAGGGGTTTTATCATCACAGGGAAATCTTCTGCAGGATTTTGGGAGCCAAAGCAATAAAATCATATTACAACTTTGCTCTCAGTGGTTCAGATTATGAGGCTCAAACCTCACTACGCATCTCACTCCCTCTCTTTTTATCCCTACTTTTTAAGATTTGAGTGTTGATCAAGTTTTAGAGCATGAGTAGTCAGAGGAAAGCAAGTAGAATATAGATTTCTCAGTCTTCGTTGTTGGCAGATCCATCTCCACCTTCTCCGGATGTGCAAGAGTGAAGCCGAAGTGTCCTTTGCAAAGGACTCTAACATCTTAGGTTGTTGATGTCATTTTGAGTCACCCTGGACTTCCACTAAATGTATGTTCATTGTTACTCCACTCTGCCAGGGAAGCAGAGCTGATATACTTTACTGTAGTCATTTGCACCTTCTCAGCTCCTGCAATCTGGCGCATTCTACATCCGATCTGCAGAATTTTAACGAATGCTGGAGCACGGCGCATCACTCAGCACAAGGCAGATCTTGCTTTTATAGTTTTACCTGTCCCCCATCTACTTCCACAGAAGAGTCAAGCCTAATGACCTATAATACAACCAGCCAATTGGAGTGTTTTGGCTTCACTGTTGAGGAGCTGTCACTCTGTCCCTCTGTTCATCCAGCCTGTGGTCTCTGCCCTCACTCTCATAAGTCTCTGGCAGTCCCCATAAAACCTGTCAGCACGTCCAACTCTCTTTATGCGCACACTTCAGCCCCCAGTGTGTCAAATGTATATCGTGCCCTCATCAGGCGTGCGTGGGTTTGGAGGGTTATGTGTGTACATGCATGTTAAAGCGCAAGGCTTGGTCCAAAGGGATGCCAGAGGAGAGCTCTCTGGCAGGCCTCTCTGTGGAAATATCTCTGTCAGACTTTGATGAATGAGCTCACCATCTCAGAAGTCAGACAGCCTCATCGTTCCTCTCCTTTCCCCTCCAATGTTCCTCACCCCCTCTCTGTCTCGCCTCCCCTTCTTCCTCACTTCTTCACCTCCTCCTCCTCTTCGCAGCCTTTCTGGATCTCGACAGACTCTCAGTCCTTTCATCTGCATCTGTGTGATCTCTCTCTTACACAGACAGATTATGGGCGCGAGCTGTCTCACTGTGGCACATGACTTACCCTCCATTTCATTTTCTATACATAGACTGACATTTGAAATTCAGCCAGGATTCATTTTGATTCACCTCATTGTGAAACAAAAGATCCGCAGACCTTTCATCCCAAGTTTTCTTGTCGTCTTACAGAGCAGAGGACCACGCAGCAGGGCCAAGTGTACTTCCTCCACACTCAGACCGGTGTCAGCACATGGCATGATCCAAGAGTACCGAGGTAAGTCCACAAAAGAAGAAAAATCACAGATGGATCTTTTGTGTCTTTGGGTGAGCCACAATGAGGTTTTGGGATAAAACAGATTTGGGACACCGATATAGAGAGGCTGTAGTTTGGGTTCAAATCTAACCTGTGGCTCTTTGCAGCATCCACCACTCATCCACCATCAGTCCTTTGAATAAAGGCATTAAAACCCCACAAATCTCAGAGAAAAATGTGATTTTAAGATTGCGAAAAGCAGAGAAACTAAAAGAAAGACTAAAGCAAAGAAGTAAATAAGTGCATTCCTGAAACTCCTCCAGGGAGACATGATGTACACCGTTATTTATATTGAAAAGGTATTGCACTCAAATTGCAATAAATTCTCAAAGTTTACCTAATATCTGTTAAAAATAGGTCTTTTCCTCACTCTTCAGCGGCTGCTCTGCGGTGTGTCTGTCATCAGTATTTCTGCTGGAGCGCCGTTAAACCTCAACCTCTGATTAAAAGGGTAATTTTGAAACGTATAAATATAGACTATAGCCTTTAAAAATCTCAGTACAAGCAGTACTGGAAAACAAACTGGAAACAAAGTTCCTAGCTGCTTCACCACAAATAAGGAAACAGTCCAGTATATTAAGACTTTCACAGCTAATCTTCTTGTTAAAATCAGGATAAAACACAGGACTTCTCATGTTTGGGGTCTACACTTTTGCATGCTAACATACGTTTTCGACCATCGGGTGAACCACCTATTTCTTAATGTCACCATGATGCCATGTCAGGAAAAACAGACACGTAGCGTACGAGAAAATCGTAAGACCTGAATGTCAGACTGTGAAGTTTTCTCGTCTTCTCAGTCAGAGAGAGTGTAATAGTGTGATTGTCATTGTTAGAGTTTTCACAAGGATGAAATCCAGAGAAATTTACAGCACGCTGAGTAACAGGATAGACGGGGACGACTCGGCTGCTTGTGCTGGTTTTAGTGATAGAGATTCATGTTAAAATAAGAACTGTGAAAACCCGTCTTTTTCAGTCACTCATGGGATTTTATGTTCTACAAATTATCATTAAAACAACAAATAAAAAATCTAGTGAGATGTTTAGACAGCTTCAGAGCCCTATGGTCAGCATTGACACACTGTCTTACAGTGCATCATCAGATTATATTAATAACTGTTAACCTTAAATTTAAGTATGATTTGTTAGCAGAAAGCCTGGTGAAAGTAGGTTATTGGATGTGCAAAAAAAGCGTGCATGGGAATCGTCGTCAACAAAACTGACATCACTCTTGTGTCATGGCATCTCTCAGCGCTGGCGTTTTCATACTTTGCTGAAACCTGCAGCTGATTATGAGCCCGACATGCTGCGAGAAGTTCCACGTCACGGGGCTCAGAGAGAGATTTGAGTCCTTTAGATATAGTGCTGAAAGGCTCTCACTCTGGGACACATGGCCGGCAGCACACAGGTCTTGATCAGCCGTAACAGAGAGTCTCAGTCAGGCACGTGTGTCATATTGATTATCATACTCCTGAGGAAACACGCACACACACACGCACACACACACACACACACTTGTCTTGATAAAGAGACTGACTCCAGTGCACTCCAGATGCTATCAATAAAACATGACTGATGCTATAATACCTGGCCTCTGCTCTCCTGCATTTTTACGTGGATGAGTGATAGATGATGTTTTTAATGCACTAGATAGGAGGCCATCGAGCTCGCCACACCTCACTGCGTCCTCCTCAGGCATTAGTAGATATCTCAGCTGCCAAGCCTCCTGTACATGCGAGGCTTTAGTCCCTTTTGGTTCTTTTCAATCTCGCAAAAAAGAAAAAGTCTTTAACCAGCCTTGTTTACCTGAACTATTTTCTTTTATCTTCACGGTCAGACTGAAGGCTTTGCAGGGCAGCGGTTAATCATTAAACAGGGAGGAAGAAGAAAAATAGAATAAAAGGGATTTCTCAGACATTTAGGAATGTCCGCCTGAGCGTCGTTAGACAGTGCTACATCCTCTTTATCTCTCTCCATCTGGAAAGAGGATGTAGTTCTCTCACTCGAAACTCATCAGAGGAGACAGGAACATAAAAAAGCTCAAGTAAGGTATGCTATTACTCAGCGGTTCCTAACAGGTCTGACCTCGGGACCGACACCACCTCTAATGACGGATAATAAGTTAGAAAAATATAGTGAGAAACGACGTTGATTACAAAGTGCTTTACAACAACAAAGCGAAGATAAAAACAGAGAGGAAAAATCAAAGTTAAGAGTAAAACAGAGCAGAAGTAGTCGTAAAACTGAGCCGACTCTCGTCAATGAAAACAGGTAGAGTTGTACTCTAAAGGCTCATTCATGCTCTATGTCAGATCTGTATACAGATGCTGTTAGAGCTTTTATATCCATCCTGGTAATCAAAATGAGTTCTGCAGATTTAGTAGGTGAGAGTGAATTCAGAGAGAGAGTGCAGTGGTTTAAGGGGATTGTTGTTTGGTTTTATACATTAACTAGGTGTGTTTTTGCTTCGCCCTCCTTCTCCATTATCTTATTTGACCTCAAACTGTCTCAAATCCAGGTGGACTAATTTTTGATTCTGTGTTGTGTTTCATTTCAGAGATCTGAGTAATGTGAACTGTGAGGAGCTGGGTCCTCTGCCTCCTGGATGGGAGATCCGAAACACGGCCACGGGGAGGGTTTACTTCGTGGACCACAACAACCGAACCACACAGTTCACAGACCCGCGCCTCTCCGCCAACCTGCATCTCGTCCTAAAGTGAGTACTACAGTAACCCCTGAGCCAGAGAATGTGGAGTGCAGCGAGTTTGACAGAGCATGAAAAAAAACCATGATGTAAGAGCGGAGAGATTTATTTCTGCTCTGTGTTTCGTCTTTTTTTCTGTGTCTGTAGTCCAAGTCCCAACGGTTCTCGAGGAGGCATCGAGGCTCAGAATGTCAGGTAAGGGTTTGGCCACATGCCAGCACTCTACACAGACAAAAACTCACACACACTCACACACACGCACACACTCCTCCAGACATACACAGACTTGCTAACGTTGCCTCCCCCTCAGTCAGTGTTTTTAATGTGGGATCCTGTGCCAAGGTGTGTTCACCACCTGTAGAAGTTCAGCAGGCAGAGCGAGCGGCCCTTCTGCTGAGCAGACGTTTGTGCGCTCACACATACACACAAAACAAACATACACAGTGCGCTCCTCCGATCTTTTTTCTGCTCAAAAATGTAGATTCTTTCAGCCCACAGAGGTTTTGATCATGACGGCTTTTTAGCACACAATCCGTCACAAAGCTAGCGCTGGCCAGACATCAGATAGCTGAGTGGAAACTGCGGCTGCTGTGTCTGTCTGAGGGAGCGTCTTAAATCCAGGAAACAGAGTATAAATTAGATGCCCAAGCTAATGAATGAACCATGTGTGCGTGTGTGTCCATCTGTGCCGTGTTGGTTCTTGCGTCTGCGCTCGCTACATGACTGCCCACATGGATGCACGTGTTCAGAGTCTCCCTCCTGCGCAGCTGTTCAAACACATACTGTGCAGCGATAGCCATAGCGTTACCCATGGGCCCTTGCTCCTGAAAGGTGGTGCAGCGACATAGGGGGCCCTTCTCCGCTTGACCCTACCTCTTCCTCATGCGGAGTGAGATAACGCGCTGATGAATCTGTATTTGTTTAGCTTTCTTCATGTCTGCTGCAGCGCTGATAAAAATGTTGCCTGGCGCAGCACATCTGTTTTCAGTGTAAGAATGTTGTCATGAGCATGACTGTACCCAGATGTCTTTAAATCTCCAGCACATCTTTTTTCATCGTGCATATACTCAAGGAGAGAGGATATGTGGACATGTATTTTCATGTGATAGGAATCATGTTGCTGTTCTGTCTCAAAAACGTAGTTTTTATCAGAGTAGGTTTGTAATCACCGAGTACTTTTATCCACGTTTTTACACACCATCCCATTTTTATGAGTTGTCGGATGCTGTGTAATCTTTGCATGAGATTCCTGAAATCGCTTCTATATAAGTTGTGCGTGGCTAAGGTTAAATCTGATTCCCCTCGTATCACATGAACCCTGAAATCGATGATCTGGGCTTCATTCTGGGTTCCAGTCAGTTCTGGAGCTGCAGATAAAGAGACTTTGAAGCTTTATTTCTGCGTGTCAGAAACCTGGAAAAGACATCTTCTGTCGTGGATCTCAAAAGGATAGCTGCCTTTTGTCATGGCAGGGATTTTAGGAATTTTCAACCCGATTGTGGCGTCATCCCACAAAAATGTTAGAATCGTATATGTCCATCAAAGTGACAGTTTATTGCATTTTTTTATTTGTTTGAAGCACGGCCTGAACAGCCAGATCCTGGTTTTTGTTGAATTTCCACTGTGATGTTTCTGAATTTAAAACCCAAATGGTCGTGGTCCCTTTTCAGGAGGTAATTGAATCCTTGTCTCCTTGAAGAGCCTGGCAGCAGGACCACCTTTTGAAAAATCTGTGTGTTTTTCAGACAGCCTAAACTCTGCTCTAAGTGAGCATCTTTAAGGTAGCAGAGAAATGTGGGCCATGTTTTTCAGCAGCGATGAGAACAACATAGACATTGCAGGAATGTTTGATTTATGGGTCAAAGTGCAGGAAAAGATGCTGCATGCCTCCTCTCCCCCCTCCCTCCATCCATCCCTCCCGCCCTCTTGGTTGTCTCCAGTGTTTGGGTGCTGTCGGGATAGTGCCCTTCCTGCCCCCTCCCTCCCTCTGAGTCTAGTCTGCAGGAAATAAAGGGATTCAGGAGGAGGTCTGCAGTGTCCTGTGGGGCCTTGTGGTTTTCTGGGATAGCAGGAAGTGATTGAAAAGCCAAACAGGATCCCTCTGAGCAGACACCAAAAAACAAACTCAGAGAAGCTGTCATTGAGGCGGAGAAGAGAGTTGGCCAGAGGCGGGATATAAAAAACTGAGAATTCTTGACATCAAAGTTCAATGACTGATGATGCGAGGTTAACGTGACTGCAAACGGCAGAAAGATTCGCCCAAAACTGAAATTAAATAGAAATCTGCAAAGACGACAAAGCCAGATAAGATCTTTAAGATAGCTTAAAGAGATGAAAAAAGAAAGAGAACCTTCAAAGTCAAGAAGAAACATCCTAAACAGTCACACTACACTAAAGTTTTGTGGCCAAGGGTGAAAAAAAAAAATAAGTAGAGAGGGAAGATTTCTTCTTTTCACAAAGCACTTCCAGAAAAAGTGGAAAACGACAAAAAAACAGAATCAAAAGTTTGGCAATAAAGATACAAAACTGAATTTAAATTCGAGTTGAGAAAACGAATGTTGTCATGGATAAACTCGACGTTTGCTGAGTGGTGACTTAGTTTCAGGGTTGGAAACTCTTTTCACTTCCTGGTAAAGACTAAAGGCTGTCTCACCCTGTATGTTGGTTTACTCATAGTAACCGTATATCTATAAGTTTACAGATGAACCTTTACATCATGCTAACTTTTGGAAACGTTATAGAAGTTGACTTCCACTCTCCTGAAGATGAACCTGAAATTATCGACTTCAGATGTCTCTTCTGTCTTGCGAGATGTTTTAGATGACTGTTGTTGGTGCTGTGCTGTTCTACCAGGGCTTAGAAAGAACTTTTTTTACTTGTTCGCAGTGGTGCTCCTTACTAAAAAAGTTTGATGTCACACAGTGAAATGAAACAGGTTATGAGAATATACTTTTTTATTATTCTGATCTTTAAGTCTGTTTTCTGCCATTCTCCTGCTTTCACAATATTCAGACCAAAAGCCTGAACACAGCACCCAAATAGACACCCATATTTCTCCATAACTGCTTGGCATTTCATTAGCTTTGGACTGTCAGCTCATAAATCTATCCTGTCAGCTAAAAAGCCAGTGTCAGTATTTTGTTTGTGACTTGTTTTGCTGCCCCCAGGTGGCCAGGAATCATTAGTATACTCATGCATAATTATTTTATCTAAATTGAAGCCAGTACGGCAAATGCATGAATGAAACTGCAGCCAGCAGCTAACAGCGTGGTCTCTTTTTTTGTTTGTTTGCTGAAGTCGTTACTTATGGTCAAAACTTCTATAATTAAAAGCATTTACCTGCAGCTTAATGAGCTCTATGATGGAAGAAAAACATTTTAATTTTAGGTTCCTCACCAGCTTGTTTTCACTCACTAGTGTTTAGATCTGGCTGTCTTTCAGCCTTTTAATTTTAACTGTTTTCCTTTAGTATATTTACTTAAATAATGAACAACCAACCGTCTTTAGCTAAGTGATCAGGTAGTGAGTTTCTATCACAGTGCCTGTTCTCTTCTCTCTCTCTCGTCTGTTTCTAAAATACAAACTTTTAGATTCCTGCTATGAGCCACTTTGGCTTTGTGACCCTGCACCACCAACAACAATGCAGGGATGAGTTTGCGGATCTATTTGCAGAACCGTTCTGTGAAAAAACAAATAAAATTAGCTTTAGCCGCATCTTTCTGCGAAAACAACCAGACTTCTTCCAGGTGAAGACTTGTATGAAAACATGAGGGAGGTGTGTTGCCTCCTTTATTCCCTCCACCTCTCTTTGTCTGTCAGCGATCAGGGGGGTCAGGCAGCTGTTTGACTGGATGTGCGTCCCAGATGACCTCAGTCGGTGTGTTTACTCCTCATACTCCACAGTCAGCAGAGGACACAGAGAGAACTCTTCTTCTCAGAAAGCTTTTTTTGAGTTGTTTGGCTCTTCTCTTGTTGTTTCACTCCACTTTTTTTGCTTACTTTTCCCCGTACTTGTAAGCTTGTTTATCTTTCCTATTTGTACATGTAGGACTCACAGTTGTTGTCTCTCTCTCTCTCTGTCTCCTCTAGTCGTCAGAACCAGTTGAAGGATCAGGCCCAGCAGGCTCTGGTGTCCCCAGCTCAGCTCCCAGAAGAGGCCGAGTGCCTCACGGTGCCCAAGTACAAGAGGGACCTTGTTCAGAAGCTCAAGATCCTCCGCCAGGAACTGTCCCAACAGCAGCCTCAGGCCGGCCACTGCCGCATCGAGGTGTCCCGTGAGGAGATCTTCGAGGTAAGGAACAAGCTCAGTCATGTCATCGAATCATCGGAAAATCACGAGGGACGTCTTTAATTAGAGAAACTCAAAGGGAAGTTCAGGCGTCACAGCCAAGAGTGTGATCAAAACATATTAGAAACACGGCAGAGAAATATCTAAGAAAAATAATGAGATCATTTATTATCTTCCTCCATTTCAAGTTAGATAACTCTTCCCCCGGAAATAATGGTGATGAATCATAGCACTTTAAAATCTTCAAATCAAATGGTTCAGTCGCTGTACTGCAGACGGTCAGCAGGTAGAGCTCCCAATGTTTTGGAGTCACTTTTGAGGAGCTGTCATGCTGCCCCTCTTTTCCTGCAGTCTCTGGCTGCGGCTCATTGCCCTTGAATTTCACATTTCGGCCGCTCACTTGTGTTTTAGTCTCGTCCACCAATGATACACAGTGAATATAGTGAATATGAGACATCCTTTTCCCTGCAGGGTCACCAAAAGCGACACCCGTTTGTACAGATACTGATGTATATGTGTGCCATAACAACTCTGATAAAATAGGACATGAATCATATCATAGATTAGATCCAAAACTGAAGAGTTAAACTCTTATTATGACATTTATGCTCTTGATTCCTTTATTTTGTATGTTGAACACAAGGCTGTTTCTGTCAGGGAAAAGAGTTCACTGTTATAACCTGTTGTGCCCACATACAGTACCATCAGTGTCCACTAGAGGGCCCAGACTTTAGGAGTTTGTTATCTAAACAGAGAAAATAGAAGATTTTTACAGTTTCGGACAGTTAGCAGACTATCTCTTCTTATTTATAGAAGCACTTAAATCATATTAAACCTCCTTTGAAGACCCTCCCAGCATTTTCCTCAGAGAAAGGTTTCTCTGGATTCACAGCACTTTGACTGTTGAAATGATCGCTCTCGCTCACACGTTTATCAATGATGTGTGAATCCAGACTGTTCGAAATCTAAAGCAGACCTCTTGTTTGAGATGAACACGTTCTCCAGCACATTTTTTCAGCCGGGGAGTTTTTTCTTCTTCCTCTCCTGCACATAGGAGGTGCTGGGCCTTCATCAGAGCAACAACACCTGCAGCAGACTGCGTGACCCTCGTAAAATATGCACTGGAATGTGCTGGAACAGTCGCGTCTGTTAATCTGAACGAAGACATTTTTGTTGGCTGATCTCAACTCGGAGGAGGGAGGGAAAGAGAGGGAGGGAGGGGAGGACGTCTCGAGGTTGAGCGAGACGGAACTGCAAAGTGTCTCCAGACCAGCTGAAGCGTTACTTTGTGTGACTAAAGAGGAAGAGTGTGAGCTGGTGGACTGTCAGTTCAGTCTCTGTACTTTTCAGCAGCGATAAGACGTTCCCATTTCTCGCACAGCTCCTCTCTGCTGTTGTATCTGGAGGGCAAACCGGAGTGTTATTATAGTCTCACGGCTGTGTTTATTATAACTGCCCCTAATCCACTTTAAATGAACCCTCCTCCTGAGCTGTCAGCATGTTGGACGAACACTGGTCTTGATGGGGGGATTTCCACCTCATAACTTGGAATAATGGCAACAATATTAGCATTTTTTTTATAAGAGTTCAAAAAGCGCTTTCCATAAAGTGATAACACAAAAAGCTCTGCGACTGATTCTTGTGTCTCTTTGCGTCTGTGTCGCAGGAATCGTATCGACAAGTGATGAAGATGAGGCCAAAGGACCTGTGGAAAAGGCTGATGGTGAAGTTCAGAGGAGAGGAGGGGCTGGATTACGGCGGAGTTGCCAGGTGAGAATTCACAGCGCAGCATCAAACATTGAGCTCAAATAAAAATAGAAAAATATCAGATTAGATTAGATACAACTTAATTTATGGCATCATAAAGAAGAGTTGATGCAGTGAAGATAAGGTGGTGGCCCATGATGAAGATGTGATAACAATGTTTTTTTTTTTCATGTGTGAACTCATCATGAAAACTTGAAAATGTTCTTCTTACCCTTCATTTGTGAATTTCATCACACCTCATCACCTCCACAGAGTCTGACTCTACAGCTGTTTTTACATGCTACGTGTTATCACATATGTCTGCCTGTTGTTCTCCGTGCAGGGAGTGGCTCTATCTGCTGTCGCACGAGATGTTGAACCCGTACTACGGCCTCTTCCAGTACTCCCGCGATGACATTTACACCCTGCAAATAAACCCTGACTCTGCTGTCAACCCTGTGAGTCTCAGTTAGTGACAGAAAAAAATGTTGTCTTAAAATGCTTGTGTGTGTGAGAGAGTTTGACAGACGTGATCAGAGACGAGACTGCAAGACACCATTCAGGGCTTTTTGGTGCAAAATTGGTTTGCAGCATCCTACCCTGAATCTCATGAACACATTCAAGACGACAATCTCCATATGAAGCAGTAGAGTTGTCTTGATGCCAGAATTTTGAACTTTAACAGCTGAACAATATCGAAACCAGTTTGACGAACAAAACCTGAACCGAACATTCATCCACACCACAGATGGTTTAACAGCTAACAGACTCGACCTTGTGCACAGACTCTTACCAGCTGATGTCTGTCCTGTTTCCTGTATCATGATGGATCATCTCAGAAAAAAAAAAACACTTTTTTCTTTCTTCTGCTGACTCACTGCATGTCTTTTCACTCAGAAACTGAAGCTGTTCTGTCTCCCCGCAGGAGCACTTGTCTTACTTTCACTTTGTGGGCCGCATCATGGGGATGGCGGTGTTCCACGGTCACTACATCGACGGAGGCTTCACTCTGCCTTTCTACAAACAGCTGCTGGGGAAACCCATCACGCTGGATGACATGGAGTCCGTGGACCCGGACCTGCACAACAGCCTAGTGTGGATCCTGTACGTGCAAGAAACATAGTCATTTACGGTGCTGACTGTCTGTGCACATGTGAAGTAGATGAAGATTTGTGACTCAGAGTTTACAACAGATTCGACTCATTATTTCAGTTCTTGTGTAAAAATGAAACATGGTACAGAACATAAGGAGTTGTTTTATTGGAATATAAGCCTCCCACACTGTGATGACAGCGCCCCCCCAGGGCTCGTTTCTTTTTTCATCAGTAGACCCTTAGCTAATGCTTCAGAATAAGAATGACGAAGTAAAACAGGCAACAGAAAGAGAAATATTCAAAATAAAAAGTTAATTTAGGACTTTAAAGTAAGTTTTTGAATAATAACTAAATCGTGCCGTATACAGTTTTTGCATGCTTACTGATTCTAAACCTAAAAACCTCCTGATGGCTTTTTATGCACTTTAAGGTCAGTGTAAATGATGATCTCTCTGTCTTCAGGGATAACGATATCACAGGTGTGCTGGACCACACCTTCTGTGTAGAACACAACGCCTACGGAGAGATCATCCAGCACGAGCTGAAGCCCAACGGGAAGAGCATCCCCGTCACCCAGGACACAAAAAAAGAGTACGTGCGGCTCTACGTCAACTGGCGTTTCCTGCGAGGAATCGAGGCTCAGTTCTTGGCTCTGCAGAAAGGTTTCAACGAGGTCATCCCGCAACACCTGCTCAAGGCTTTCGACGAGAAGGAGCTCGAGGTACGCGGTTGTTAGCTGATCGTCTCATTTCAGATCCCTCTCCTTCAACTCTCGAGGATTACAAGCTGTTTTTGAAAACACAACCTTGTCTTTTTCACTGATGTCACGGTCTTTTGAGATCATTATTCACGTTTTTGAAGTTAAAACTCTCGGCAGAAAACTAAAGATGAAGCAAAATAAATAAAATGCTTTGAAAGACAGTAAAAATACTGGGATATTATCCTGGATTATGCTGGAGTTCAAAATATAAGAAAATGCCCTAAAGACAAACAGCTCTAATTTGGTAGTCAGTGCTTCTCGCTAATTTAAATAAGGAAAAAAAACTGAGTTTATGTTTTTACTTTTTGTCAGGGGGGTCTCTTTGTAAAAACCTGCGTCAGGGGGTCAAAAATGTGAAGGTCCTGATCTTAATCGAGGGTTCTCATATAAAGAAATTCTGCACAAATGTGTCCTATCTATGAATGCTGTCTGTACTCTCCATGGTGCTTGATATATCAGCAATCTTTCAACAAGACAAGCTCACGGCTTTAATAAGAAAAATAGCGGAGGAAATACAAAAACAAACATTCTCCAGAGGAAGAAATCTCAAAGTTCTGCTATAAAACCGCAGAACCAAAAAGCTGCAACAGCTGTGAGGAAAATTACTCTAAAACTTTATTTATTTAAATTTGTTTGATCAGGAAAATCATGATTTAACATCTAAAATCCAGAGCAGATCAATGGGGTTGAGAAGGTTAGGTGGTAATACTGAGCTTTACTAACGTCCCTCTTCTTCTGTCCTCCTGCTGTAGCTGATCGTGTGTGGTCTGGGTAAAATCGACATCAACGACTGGAAGTCGAACACGCGGCTCAAACACTGCACTCCAGACAGCAACATCGTGAAGTGGTTCTGGAAAGCCGTGGAGTCTTTCGATGAGGAGCGCAGAGCCCGACTGCTGCAGTTTGTCACCGGCTCCTCCAGAGTTCCCCTGCAAGGCTTCAAGGCCCTCCAAGGTACAAAAAGCCTCGACGCAGACTGTATTCTTATGTTAACACCGTTTTTGCACCGTAATGGCTGCTGCTCTGCAGGAATAAGCTCCTCAAGTGTCTTAGTGTGAACCAGTGAGACATGCAGCAGTTAAAAGGTCATGAAAACCTGTATGCTAATTGATGTCAGGTCCAAACAAAGGTGTGGTCGTTTTACATGCGACGTTCTCAAGCTCTGTCAGCACCATTCAGGCTGCGTGTGTTTGCATGGATCCTCCTCGAGCGTCTCTGCCTCTTGGTTTCCTGAGATGACCCCTGAGTGTGGGCAGTGAAGTGGTTCCAGTGGGCAGACAGTGCTGCCCAGAGACAGAGCGCTCAGGCATGAGGAGTGTAGCGTGATCCACAGACAGACAGACAGACAGACAGACAGACAGCATGCTTACACTCCTTACTTGGTCAAATAATCAGTCTAAGCCAGAAGATCTAAAAACACACCTGAGCACACTCTCTGCCTGTGGTATTACCGAGAATCTGGAGGGGAGACATTTTTCCCTTCATTGAAAAGATGTCTGATCTCAATCTGGCATCTGATGGTCCACCTTTTTTTGCATCTTGACCTCAGAAAAAGAAATGAGATGTTGCAAGATTTCTTTATTGTGCCATCTCACCTCCATGCTCAAGTCTAAATCCATCTCTAAAACAGAAAAATGCTCCAAAAATCAGTTTTTCTGTCTTTTTGTTGATTCTAAAGGTAGAAAGAAATCCTGCTTCAGTTTTACTTACTCTCTTGTGTTTCCCAGGCGCTGCTGGCCCACGACTCTTTACCATCCATCAGATTGATGCCAGCACCAACAACCTGCCCAAAGCCCACACCTGGTGAGAAAACCGCCCAAACTATGACATTTTCAACTATTTGATCCAAGCTTTAGCAAAACCCATTTTCTATTTTGCTTAAAGCTTCCATGCAAATTTTTTTGACAATAATGAAAGAGGATGAAATTAATATCGATGCCTTAAATCCTGATTTTAAAATCTGTTCTCTCTCCCAGTTTTAATCGGATTGACATTCCTCCCTACGAGCACTACGACAAACTCTACGACAAGCTGCTCACTGCCATCGAGGAGACGTGTGGCTTCGCTGTCGAGTGACTCGCTGATGACTGCAGAGCTCAGCAACATCCAGAAGCAACACAGTTTGGTCCCGATGAGTCCCCTACTGATAAACCTGCCGCTCAGATCAGACGGGGGGTTCACACTCAGTTGCTTCACCCAGGGCGTGCACGCTCTCACCTGGGACATGTGGCCAAGCTAAAGGAGGGCAAAGAAGACCAGAAAGTGTCCCGTGACTTTTAAATTTTCAGACCTTCCAGCCCTCCTCTGTGTCTTTTTTTTCATCATTGGACAGGATCTCTTCAGCTGCTAATAACTCAGACTATCTACTAACTTGTGGAACCTGCTCTTCCCTTTTTTCTAAGTTCATTTTAGCGTTTAAAAACAGACTGTGTACTCCATGTAGCAACGCTCCATCTTCCCAAGCAAGGTCAGTCCACTCTGAAGTGTCAGAAACGAGACAGGTTTGTCCGGTTCGGTTGGTTAGACTAATTAACGGTCACAAACACTACATTTGGATGCAGAGCGTGCAGGACTCTGGATGTTTAGTGCTTTCGGGTGCAATCAGAAAAAAACGCCAAGGCTGAAAATCAGGAGATGAAAAGGCGAGACCAGACACTGAATCAGAGCCTGAATGTTTACAACCCTCTCCAAAGACAGCAGCAGGATCTCCTGCTCCTGAGACGCCGCCCAACTACCAACGCTGCATTCCCACAAACCCATTTCACACGTTCGACTGCTACTTTGTTTGAATAAATGCATAGCTTAAAATGTGTTATTTTTATATAACAGGGGAAAAGGAAACAATAAAATTCTATATAATATATATAATTTATTGCTGTTATATTTCAGAGTCCCCTTTCCACTGTTCCAGATTAAAAAAAACAAAACACCTTTTTAACGTTTAAACTGTCAAAGACGATTTGTGAAACAGATTTAAGCTTGACTGAATCTCACTCTGAAGAATGCTGTCGTCGATTTCGCTCATAACCTCTCTCACTCTGCACCAGGAGGGGTGTGTCTTAAAGGGCAAAAAGGATCCGAAATAAAACGTCCTCTGTGTGCCATGAACACTTTTGAATGAATGAATGAATTTTTGCTAAACTAAGCAGACCCTTTAAAATTCTGACTTCATCCTGGGGATACATTTATCGACGTGATGTTTTGAAACGGTCCATCATTTGTAGCGGGGCTGTTAAAACATCACTCACACAAAGAAAAAAAAAAACTACCATGCAATTTTAGTTTTTTTTTTAGCACAGAGAAAAGGGGCCACATCAAGAGGTTAAAGGAAGATGTACATTTACAAGAAGTGAGATATTACAGAAAAAGTGGCAAACTTAATCTTGTTAAATACTCCTTAAATGTCTGACTTTATCCTCGATAAATAACTTTAAAGCTACTGTGAAGAACCGTCTGTTTGGCCGCAGGGGGTCCCAAAGTCAAGACAAAGTCAAACTTCTTATCGACTGCTAATTTCATATAAGAAGTGTTCTCTAGTTCAAAATCTCAGCCTGCTTTCTGACAGATAAATTTATCAGTCATCAAAATATTTGCCATAAGAAAAGTAAAATTATGAGTTTCTTCCACCTCAGTGAAAGTCAACATACCTGGACCCACTACCTTCTTAGTCATGCAGCCATTTAAAGTCAGCAACACATTTAATTTACGTCTGTTTTATAACCAGTTAAGAAGAACACTCACAGTAGCCTTAATCAAACAAACTTAAAAGTGTATTCTCAAAAATTTACATCTTTTGTCTTGTTAATTTTCAGTTACAAATGTTTCCATAATCATTCTCATGAAAGTTAATCCTCATCAATTAACATTTCTATTCTTGTAAATGTATGACTTTATTAATAATGGGACTTAAAACCTGTGAATTTACAACTTGAATGTTGTAAATTTATGATTTATTTTACCTCCTTTACTTGCAATTTCATGTTTTATACAGTTTTATTCTTGTAAAAGTGAGGCTTTTTGCTCTTTAATTTACAACTTTATTCTAAAAATTAATAAATCTAAAGCTCGTCTGGGAAACTTTGGGTTTGTGTCCATTTTGGCGCCCCCTGTGGACAAAGCAGAGCTTTAACCTCATTCTATTTCTATTCCATTTTTGTACTTTTGGTACTTAAATCTGAAGTTCTCCGTTCATCCTCTATCAGATGGCCCTTGTTCTCTGTCAGTTTTCAGTTCAGAGGAGTCCAAAGTCCTCATAAAGACTCTACTACCTTTTCTCCATGTGGTGCTAAAAAGCGTTAACATTTGTCTGTTATTGGCGACCTTTTTCATCCACTTACTACTGCTCAAAGTGTAAATCACACTACCTGTTTGTGGCCACAAACACGGCGAGAAACTACGAGCTCTACCTTTCCACATTCTCAGGAGACTCTGTTTGTAGTTTGTGACGTCTTTATGATTTCACACCTGATGAGAAGCTAAATTTGCGTTTATTTCCTGAATGTTACAGGGTGGAAAAGTCTGATAATTTGTTTAGTTTCCCCCCTCAGCTGACCCCATGAGAACATACATTGTTGCATGTGTCCTTTTGTGCTTTTGGTTGAAAGGGAACTGAATGAGTCAAAGTGCTTCACAGCTCCACCTGTGTTGTTTTTATTCAGCCGGATTGTTTTCTACCATTTAAAAAAAAAAAAAAAAAGAAATCCTTGAATGTTTTCAAAAGATGCTGCCTGTCTAGCAATCTCTACGACCGTGGACTGTTCTTAATGTTTGCATACACTACAAGAAAAAAAACAAAACTGTTTCTTTTATGTAAGACTAATGTGTATGCAAAGTGAAAAGTGTCCTCAGATGGTGCTTTGTACAGTAATTAAATATTGTTCATATATGTGGATCAAACGACCTGTAATTTATCTTTAACTTAAGTAGGTTTTTCTTGAGATGAAGAGGAATTGCACACAAACCGAGAGGAGAGTTTGACGGTGACTTCTGTAACACTTCTTCATCTGCCTTTTTTGAGTCCAGTGCACACGCTGACGGCCCCACTGTCTGTTCCTTTAAACCCCCTCCCCTGTGTAGCTGCCTCTCATTGAAGACCCGGCTTTTTACTCACAGCTGAGAGACGCCGCTCTCTCTCTCTCCTTTTTTTTTTTTTGTTTTTTTTTTTTTTTCAATAGCATGATCCACTAGCAGGACTATATCTCTCATAGCAGACTGATGCAATTTGATGTATGTTAACACTATCATTTTGTAAGAGTATTTTATTTTTGTGTTTAATTAGTTCTAATTAAACTTGCCTTTGTCTAACAATGTAAGGCCTTGTACAAAAACTTGTCCTGTCTTTTTTTCTCTCTTACAAGGGTTGCCTTAACCGTTTAATGCCTGACACCACAAATTATGGCCAGAAAATTCAAATTTTTTTGGAGCTGAAATGTTTATTTCACTTACTACTGAAAACCAAGAAAATTAAAAATGTCCTTAAAATTCAACAAATATATTTATTTCTCTCATTTGATACATTAGATGTTTTTGGAAACCTATAAACTACAAGAGGACATTTTTATCATTTATAAGACTGTATTATGGTATTTTTTTTAAATAATTTGTTGATCATATTGATTTGATAGAATTATATAAAAGTATGTATCAGATATGATATAAAAAGCATTAAAGGGATAGGTTGGTGTTTTTTGGAGTTTGGCCCTGATATTCAGTTACATAATTATTACAATAAACTTACAACAAAAACATCAAACTCACAACAAAAATATTTCACAAACACAAAAACATTCTCAAAATCTAAAAATAACTTTAAAGAAAAAGAAGAAATACAAAACATGAAAAATCTGACTGGCAAGAAAACACATTTCACAAAACATGAAAAAATATACGGCAAAAAAATACAAAAGAAAATATTCAAAGAAACAAAAAAAAAATCACTAAATCAAAGTTTTTCATTTAATGTAAAAACTTCCCAAAATACTTGCAGCAAGCTGATCAGTTAATTGTTTTTTGTTTGTTTGTTTTTTAGAGTGGCTGTATTTTTGACTCCCTAAAACTGTGGGTGATAGACTTACTGAGGATTGTTATAGAAATATGCTTAAACAATGAACCCAATTGCTACAGGAGTTACTCTGTATCCATCAGGGGGGTTGTTTCTGCTATAATGAATGAAAATAAATGCAAAATGAGGAAACAAGGATTCACACTTTACATCTGAATGGCACACTTCCATGACCACCCACTGTGTATTTGATACTACAGTGGATTAAATGTCTAGCAGATGGCTCCAAGGGGGGCAGGGGAATGGGGGCAATAGAGCTGTAGACAAAAAGGGTGTCATCATGATTTTGGGTGTGAGAAATGCAACTATACCACACAACAAGGAGGTTTTATAGCTGCCCAAGTGCACAGATTGGACAAAATGTGATAGAGATGTACAAGTTTGTCTATTTCGGACAGATTTTGTCATTGTTGTTTTCACTGTGGTAGTCATGGTGAATGATTTAGGTTAAAACAAATAGTTCAGGGTGGAAATTCAGTCTCTTTTGCCTTCTTAACAGCCGACATGCCATTTGTTTACATTCCTTCTATATTTTTATCAACCGTTAGGTATTATTTCCTTGAAGTACTCTGCATGTCATTATCTTTATCTTCATTTCGTGTAATTTAACTAAAATTCAAATGAAATTACAGCCCGATAGTAGCATTGTTACTCGTTTAAATGTACAGACAGAAAAAGTAGTCTGTTCTGTGTTTAGGGTTGGTCTGGATGACGTCATTTATCGTAACGCTACACAGGAAGTACACGGGGGCCAGATTACCGGGCTCAGTTTCGTACGTATCCATCCGCCAGCCGCGGTGCATTCTTTGAATGTATCATAAAGGAACATAGACCGTGAATAGAATACTGCCGTAGAGTTTAGAGTATTTTCACCGTAAAAAAGCTTTAACACGTAGTTGTTTGAGTTAGTTAGCATTTAGTGTCTGCTTTCGGTCATGAGATGCTTTGAAAATCTTTATTATTCAACGAAAAAAATCTGTAAAAATGTACAAACCCTGACTTTGTCGACGCTGGAGCGTTGGGGAATCCGTTTATCAACGATGCTGACGTTAGCTTCTTATTTGTGCCTTGCCACATAGAGTTAGGTTGTTAAGCTTGGGAAACAAGGTCCTGACCCAAAAACAACGCATCTACCCTTTTAGGATCCGAACTAGATTGTCACAGAGGGTCCATATATTTCTTTAAGTACATATTAAAATAAATGAGACTTATAGTCTTTAAGTTGAAATGTAAGATATTGCTGATGTAACTAACCCTAGCCCACTTTTTTTCCAGCAAAACCCCATATAACTCATCTAGAACCATGGTACCCAGATCTCTGATCTTAAACAACTCAAGAGCGAGTCAAGAGTTCTTCAAGCAAAGTGAAGTTAGTTAAACCTAAACCATTTTTGTGAAATTTAATAAGGGGCAATTCTACTGCTTCTTTAACTTTATATCAAGTCAGGCTTGACCTGGTTTTATATTTACTTGTATTTTTAAATACATCATGTAGGCTACAGACAAATCTGAAACTGTATTATTAAGAGGCTAAAGTCAGTCTAGAATATAGACTGAGTATAGTTGAGACGTGTACAGTTGAAACAGCATCAGTATCTTGCCTGCACTGCAAGACTGAGCCATGACTTTTACTCAACACACTTTGCCATGCCCCTTCTAGAATAAATAATAAGTATCTTTTGTGACCATCAAACATAATCTACATCATTGCAAACACTGATCCTATACTCAAAATCAATATTTATGATTTTTCTTCTTTGTTTAGTTTTATAAGATAAAAACATAACACCACAGCCAGCACCAGAGCGTAGCCCCACGACCACTCACTTGCGTGTCATAACTTCTTGTCTAGCTTTTGTTTAGTGTTGACATTTAATTATTATTTGTTTACAATAATATTTAATTGTTTTTAATTTCAATGAATAGGAATTAATTTTAATAAAGTATCTTGTCAATTTTTTTTAAGTTTATTGCATTTACAGTTGATGTTCAGTCATCATCAATGGGCTTCAATAGGTGTCTCAACTGTACCATGGTTCAGTCTCAACTGTATACGTAAGGTATAGCTAAGATGGTAACCATGGTAAAAATGCTTCCATAGATCCAAACCCCCTCTTCAGCCAGTGAACACCTGTGTAGAGGACATCGAAGTGGAGACATCATATAACTACCTAGGTGTACATCTAGATAATAAGTTGGACTGGTCTAAGAATATAGACTTCATCTACAGAAAGGGGCAGAGCCGCTTCTTTTGCCTGAGAAGACTCTGGTCAATAGACATCTGTAGTAAGACACTGCAGATGTTTTATCAGTCTGTGGTGACAATTGTCATGTCCTACACTGCAGTCTGCTGGGGAGGAAGTATCAAACACAAAGATGCAAGACTTTTAACAAACTGGTGAAAAAGGTTGGCTCTGTGGTTGGACTCAAGCTGGACTCAGTGGAGGATGTGGTGGAGAGATCTACACTGAGGAAAGTGGAGACTATTCTAAAGAACATGGATCACCCACTTCACAAAACCTTGATGGACCAAAGGGTCAATGGTGGTGGACGGCTCCTTCTGTTCGCTGCAGGACAGAAAGATTCAGATCTTCTGTACCCACAGCTATCAGACTGTTTAATTCTTATTTTAGAGACATGACAAATGAGACGACAGACCATTGAATTTACCTTCAGGAATGAATAAAGTTCTTCTTATTCTTGTTCAAAAACAGTCTCAGTCGATCCTAGGTATTATGGGTCAAGACAAGAAGTGGCAGAGTTGCCCTTTTCAGTTAATTTCACACATAGAAAACAAAAACCACAGAACTAAATCTATGTTCTAAAGAGTGTCTAGAAATTTAAGACGGACTCAGTGTGAGTAGCAGAGGTAGTGTGGTTCTGGATCAGGGCCTGGTCAAATGTTGTCTATAGGTTAAAAAGTTGTGTTTCATTTACAGAATATAAGCTTCAGAGATCTGAAACTGTCTATTGAAAATGCTGCAAACTCTCTATAACGATGTTATCCAAGTATGAGAGGCGTAGGTATGGTGGTTCTGGAGCTGAAGTTGAAACCATGTGGCGGATGAATACATCGGAAGACGGACTTCCTCCTGCCATATAAAGCGGGACTCATTTTTACATTACCGGCATTTCAGCATCACTGCCGGTCGGAGTTTTTTAGACGACCGCAAAGAAACAGTCTATTTATCTTTTTTATTTATATACATCCTTTTCAAAATGCCTGGATACTCCGACAGAGACCGCGGCAGAGACAGAGATAGAGGGTGAGTATTGATTGTTTTCTTCCGCGTTTCGGGCGAGTTTTGTTCTCCGGTGGTTAGTGGGGATGATGACAGTCAAGAAAAAGCGTTAAAATGACTGTTTTAATCAAAACGCTACACTTATTTCGACGTTTCTGTTTTTGTTAACATATTAGGGATCTTAGAGAGCCAAAACGAGCTCTTTATCGGCTTTATTTATCTATAAGAGGCCGGTACCGGTAAACGGAGCCCTCTCTCTCTCGTTGTCTTGGCTCAGGGCCTAGTTTGGCCTTCTGCCCCGGCACAGCGGCTCTCCGTTAGCTTCTGGGAAACGTTAGCTTCACGTTAGCCAGCTTAAAGCCTGAAAGTTTGATCCAAAATTAACAAGCCACAAATATTGGACTCTCTTTTTAATTTTCCAAATGTTGACTTATTGAGAGAAGTTGTTTAATCAGGATGAGTCCACGTTCTAGCTAACGCTTTAATGCTCCAGGCTAATACAGCTGGCTAGTCGGCTTTTCGCCATGTGGCAGCGTGAATGCGGATACAAAATGCCGGCTGGTTTCCATTGTTCCTCTGCTGGCTGGAAAGTATATGACATCTAAAATTTTAACACAATGACGCAGTCAATATGTTTTCCAGTAGTTATGAACACTTAATCGCCACTGTAATGGACGTACGTGAACAGAAACCAACTTTACCGGCCTCAACCTAACCGCTGATCTATTTGCAGCTATGGCGGAGGCCCTCCTCGATTCGGTGGAAACCGTGGTGGAGGTGGAGGAGGAAAGTTCGGCAATCCCGGTGATCGCCTGAGAAAGAAACAGTGGAACCTGGACGAGCTGCCCAAGTTTGAGAAGAACTTCTACCAACAGCATCCTGATGTTCTCCGCAGGTCCCCGGTATGTAGGCAGCATGGTTCTGGTAATGTTATGCAACACTGCTGAAACGTGTTCCTCAGGCACGTGTTTGAGTTATGCAACAGACAGGGCTGTAAAGACCATAAAATCCAGTCTGCTGCTCAAGTATAATTAACAGTTATAACTAAAGTGAATCATACTAGGATACTCATACTTTTTTTTCTTCTTTTTGGTGGGTGAAGGTTCATACTACATATGAATAAGACCAGTAGTATAAAGTAGTACTTCTCGATAGTTAGATATATATCAATTGAACATACAAATACATTCATAAATTGAATTTGGAAAGGTGTTTTGCCAATAAATGAGATTTAGTCTGACACCCTAATTCACCATAGTATTAATTAGCAGAAATAATCTCATTGAATCAATCAGGACAATTATACAGATAATAATAAGAATTTCATTTTTATAGCATTTTAAAAACAGAAGTTTTCAAAGCGCTTTGACAAATAATAAAAAAAACTCTGACTTGCTCTTTAAAGTAGAGAGGATGTCTGCCTCTCAGGCCTTAACTGGTATAAGATTACCATGAAGAGGGGCCTGGTACTGGCTCTACCTCCCATACTAGTTTTCACACAATACAAGAACCACATGCAGGTCTGAGTATGATATTCAATAGGGGTAAAAAAAATAGTCTGTTAGGCTCTTTTGGGGAAATTTGACTGGTATAAATGCAGAGAAAAAGTAGTTTCTGAAGGTTGGTGCTAGTCTCCTTGTCTGGCAACAGTGTATTTAATAATAACTTATTGCAAATATTTTTTATTATTTAATTAAATGTAAAAGATGATATTAATAACGATGGTAATATTAATGCTAAAATGGAATAGCAAAAATGAGCAGGAAAAAAAAAAAGTAAAATCAAAATGCCTAAAAGGTTAAATAAGAAGATAAGTAAAACAAAGGCTAGAGGGACAGTAAGTCTAAATAAGAGATAAAAGAGAAGATAAAAGACATCACATAAAAGCAACTAATCTGAGAGGGAAAGATATCAAGTAGAATGGGCCTATGAAAAGAACTTGAATTAAAACGGTAAGTAGAAGCAGGTAGAAAACTATGAAAACATCAAAGATGTGCGTATATTGACACTTCTTGTTTGGCAACAGGAACAAAGGCTTTCTGCACAGCTTTGTTCTGCACCATGGGGTTAAAATACTCCACCCAAAGTGAGGCTAAAATGAATGTGCAAAGGGAAGGAGTTACATTCATATGGGGGTGGCTATCCACTTAAGCAATGTGGTTTACAGCAGTGTCATGACTCAGTTTGTTTTGTTTCTAACCTGCAGCAAGAAGTTGAAGTATACAGACGGGCCAAAGTGATCACCTGTAAGGGAAGAGACTGCCCAAACCCCATCGTAAAATTCAATGAAGCCAGCTTTCCATGTGAGTACAAGAAACCTTAAAAATATCACCTTTTTTAAGAGGAGTTTGGTGCCACTGATATTAATCTTTCCAAACTCTTCTGCAGCCTACGTGATGGATGTGATCAACAAACAAAACTGGACTGAGCCAACACCCATCCAGGCTCAAGGCTGGCCCTTGGCTCTGAGTGGAAAAGATTTGGTCGGCATTGCCCAGACTGGCTCTGGCAAAACTCTTTCTGTGAGTTACATGTCGCAATACCTGTAGATTATGCAAACATTACACTGATCCCTGTTCGCAGGGAGGATTAAGATGGACTGATCGTAGTTCAGTCATGGGAGTGACTTGTATGCATTTTCTCTGCAGTATCTGCTGCCTGCAATCGTGCACATCAACCACCAACCTTTCCTGGAACGTGGAGATGGACCCATTGTGAGTAATCAAAGCAAAACATCTCAAACATTTACACAAGTCGTCATGTTATCTCTCCAAAATGTGGCTCTGGAGTCTGTATTACTGATAAAAGTGTCTCGTACTAATGGAAATGTCCCTCTCCGACAGTGCTTGGTGCTTGCCCCAACTCGTGAGCTGGCTCAGCAGGTGCAACAGGTGGCTGCAGAATATGGCAGAGCTTCTCGCCTCAAGTCCACCTGTATCTACGGGGGAGCACCCAAAGGACCTCAAATCCGTGACCTGGAAAGAGGTACTGCATCTTTTTGGTGTTCATTATTTTATTTAACGCATTTTTGAAGCGGCACAGTCAGGGTTTATTAACCTGCTCACTGATTCCTCGATCACAGGTGTGGAGATCTGCATCGCCACTCCCGGGAGGCTAATCGACTTCCTCGAGGCAGGGAAGACGAACCTCCGCCGCTGTACCTACCTCGTGCTGGATGAGGCCGACAGAATGCTGGACATGGGATTTGAGCCACAAATCCGGAAGATTGTCGACCAAATCAGAGTACGTTCTTCACCAAAGTTGACAGACAATACTTAAATTTGATGGATTTTGTTGCTAACTAGTACTCTGCAATTGCAGCCTGACCGTCAGACCCTGATGTGGAGTGCTACCTGGCCTAAAGAGGTCCGCCAGCTGGCTGAGGACTTCCTGAAGGAATACGTTCAGATTAATGTTGGGGCACTACAGCTCAGTGCCAACCATAACATCCTGCAGATCGTCGATGTCTGCAACGATGGAGAGAAGGAGAACAAGTGAGTAATGTGTCAGCAAGTTGTGTTGAAGCTTTTATCTCTGTGGTAGCTTTAATAGGACTGTTGTACCAATAAGTAAGACCACAAAGTAACCTGAGTTTTTGTTCTTTAGACTGATCCGTCTGCTCGAGGAGATCATGAGTGAAAAGGAGAACAAGACCATCATCTTTGTGGAGACAAAGAGACGCTGTGATGACCTGACAAGGAGGATGAGGAGGGATGGGTAAGTGTCAGGATATAATCTTCCTCATCTGTCAAACTTGTTGAAGTGGTTTCATCATAAATGAACTCTTTGCGTCAAAATCAATCTTTTGTTTTCCCCTCAGGTGGCCTGCCATGGGAATCCATGGTGACAAAAGCCAGCAAGAGAGAGACTGGGTTCTCAATGGTGAGCCTTCATCCCTGTATAATGTTTCATCTTATTTGTTTAAACCACAGCAAAGAATGTTGAATGATATTTAAGTTTCAGGAACTGTAGAAAACTCTGTATCTTCATTTTTGACTCACAAGTTGAACATCTTGCTAACCTGCCTTTTCCTTTTTAATTCCAGAGTTCAAATTCGGAAAGGCTCCTATTCTCATTGCCACAGATGTTGCCTCCAGAGGTCTAGGTCAGTATCCCCCCTGAACTCCTCCGAACTCTGTTGTATTCCTCGAAGAAAGTATATTTGCTTTCTTTAACTCTTCTGCTTCTTTCTGAGTTTTTCTCCCCTGACCTGAAGGAGCAGTCTGTGTGGCAGGGCCTTGGCATGACAAGCCCAGGTCTCCAGAGGGGGAAGGAGGATTCTTGGAGGTGTCCTCTTGACTGGCGAGGCACGGGTCTCCCAGTCGTGCAGATAAACAGAGGTGACCAGGCCACAATGCAGCAAAACGCGCTGGCCTGCCTAAAAAGGGGGGCGAGTTGAGGGCTGGCCACAGTTCCTCCCCCATTCGTACGTCGTCTGTTCTCTGGCAATGGTTTGGACTGCTTCAAACACCCAAGCTCTGTAACTGTCCCAGCTCAAAGCCCGGCTACACTGCCTCCTATTGTCTTGCATGAGTGTTTGGGCACTGCATTGCAAGCGTTGTGAGTCATTTTGGGAGGTGCTTTTGGTTGTGTAGACTCGTTGTAAAGCATGGGTGGCGTTAACTTTGCAGTTCCCTAAACTTGTGTTGGAAGAGCAGTCTGTCAGATCGGTCAAACCCTCACCTCTGTAAAGACATGGCTACTGGCGCTTTTGGTGACAGTGGGACATGCTAGTTGGACACCATTGGACAAAATCCAAGCTCACACTCCTCCCTCGCCTGCGTTTCAAAGTCATGTCGAGACCTGCCAACAAAGAGACATTAAGATCAAGTGAACACTGGGTCTGCCGAGAGTTGGGATGCTCTGTTTTTAGGCATCCTGCTGATTGATTCAGATCGACAGATTTTTCTGGGGCCTACAGACTCTACAGTGTGAGCTTTAGAGCAGGCAAAGACCTTTTTTTTTATCGAAGAGCTAGTTCAAGAACACGAGGTAGAGTAGTGTGCAGAGCAGGGACACCTGTGGGTCATTTGGTAATATGTGGGGCGTGTGCTGCAATGGGAATGGACTAGTGAATGCATACTCCAGACAATGGTAAGACTTCTGATCCACTTTCTCTAAAGGGGGAGGGTTTTTTTTTACGTTTTCATTTCACTGGATTGGAAGCAGATGGAGTTTGCATCCTTTATCTTTTCCCACCGTAGGCTCCCCATGGAGTAGATATTTTTGCAGCGTCTCTAATGCCAATCTTTTTGCAGCTTCTTGCAATTAACCGGCCCTCCCGTTCTCATGACAAAACTAACTTGGCCTCTCTTGTTTTTGATCTGGTTGTTGTGGTGGCTTTGGTGCACATCTTTTGTGTGCGTCCTCCTCCTCCCGTATGCCACACTGCAACGCAATCTTACAGATGTTGAAGATGTGAAATTTGTCATCAACTTTGACTACCCCAACAACTCTGAGGACTATATCCACCGTATCGGCAGAACGGCCCGTAGCCAAAAGACAGGCACGGCCTACACCTTCTTCACCCCCAACAACATGAGACAGGCCAGCGACCTCATCTCTGTGCTCCGCGAGGCCAACCAGGCGATCAACCCAAAGCTCCTCCAGATGGCGGAAGACAGAGGAGGTAAATCTAATTGGTGAGATACAGAAACTGCGCTGAGTAGTGCAGCTGTTTTTCTTCTGCTGCCCTCCTTCTTTCTTTCTGAGACCTGGATGGATTCATTATCACATTTATATGTTACACAAGTTTTTGGTCAGGTAGTGCCGATACCAATATTGAGAGATTCCAAATTTCCAGACATGGCTGTATCTTGAACTCGAGGTATATGCTATGCACGGTATTGTTTTAGTTGACATAAATATTTCGTCATCGCCGAAGACGTGATGTTGACGAGCTAAACAGAAGTCTTAGATGACTAATATGTAACGAGACTAGACGAAAACGTTGGTGTTGGACGACGAACAGAATTGCAAAATTCATGAGCATTTTGTCAGTCAAACGCTAAACAAATATTCTGCAGTGTTGTTTTCTTTGACGATGACGTTGACGAAAACAACACTGGCTAAGCATACAGATTTAAACTTGCTGGTTAGGCTTCCATGATTGAAAATGGAAATTAGAGTCTAAAATACTCAGCACTAAGAAGCACATACAATAAAATCAGTGAACAATAATATGTTTAACTCGTACATTGACAGAAGGCAGCACCACACCATCCTTTTATCAAACTTGGCCATTAACTCTTCTATAGGTTATAAAGACTTGGATTTATTAACCTGTCAGGACTCCAGAATGGTACCTCCCATTGTTAAGAACACATCGGAGCCACTAAAAGCAAATGAGAGTACAGAAATATAGAATAAACAATCATGTGGTTTTTAGTAAAGAGTGAGAGGTCAGCAGAGCCCACTATCAGGTTGTTTACTACCATGCATATAAGATGGTGATTGTTATTATTTCACAAAACGATTTAAAACATGAGTGAATTCACATCAAAGTTGCCTCTAAAGAGAGAGTTGTGGCTCAAATTGTAGCATCAGGAGTTTTGGGTGATGGGTAACACTTGGGTGTGAGATTTCCTCTGGGATGGGAAAGTTTCAATGACACGACTGCTGCCATCAATCTGAAGTCTCTTTTCTCTTTTCCAGGTCGTTCAAGGGGCGGCAGAGGTGGCGACTATAGAGATGACCGTCGGGATAGGTATTCTAATAGGCGTGATTATGGCAGTTTTAGGGACAGGGATAATGGCAGAGGGTATGACAACGGACCAAACAAATCTTTTGGCACAAACTCCCAAAACGGAGGCTATGGGGGCGGTAACGGCACCAACGGCAGCACCAACGGCTTCGGCGGGGGCAGCTACAACGGTAACGGACAGTCCAGCTTCAACAACCAGGCTGGAGCCTACGGAGGCCAGAACAACTTTCAGGCCGCCCAGTTCGCTCCTCCCGGTAAGGCTGCCGGACAGACCGGCGCAGCTCATCCGCCATTCCCTTTCCCCCAGGCGCAGGCTCCTCAGCAGCACCCTCCTCCGCTGGTGCCGTACCCCATGCCTCCTCAGTTTTCTCAGTAAACCCACCGTACACTTGAAAGAAGTAATTTATTGCTTTTTGTCTTGTTTTAAGTTCCTCACTTAATCCTGATTTTTTTGTATTTACACGACAGGGTTACAAACAACTTGAACCTCGTATCAAGCCTTTTAAGATCTGCAGTGCAGCATTAGTGGTGTTGCGCACTTGTTTTTCCCCTTTATTATTTAATTTGTTACATTCCTCATTAATGATTTAGTTATGTTTTGTACTAGGTAACTACAACTGTATCGTTTTTCATGTGTATCCTTGAAAGTGATGTTAAGCTCCTATCTTGGAAGTGCACTGCATGATCTTTCAAATAAAAAAAGAGAAAAGAAGTGATTGTGTGAATTTTATTTTTCTTAACTTTGAACCCCCTATGAAAAAAAAAAACAACTCTGCACTGGTAAAACCTAATTTCTCCAGCAGATGTCACCCCTGTTTCACACCAATAAATGCCATCTGTCAGAGCTCCCAGTGTGGGAATACCTGTTAAACCTGCATGTGACTTGATGCAAACGATCATTATCTGACAGTAGTTTGCTGTGGACAAGTCTTATTTTTCCAGTCTTCAGTGCTAGTATCACTAACCCAGTGTTGGTTCACTACTTAAGTCTCCTAATGATTTGCAAGCAAAATAAACTCTAAAGTGGAAAATATCCCTGAGATTTAAGACTTTAAAATTGTAAAATGCCAAAGAGTCAAGTGTCTTGATGGCTTAAATTTTAAGTCGGGGAAAAAAAAACACCCCTGCTTAAAATGGACCTATAGCAGTGTAAAAAGTTCCAGTATGAGGGGATGTCGCCCCCTGCGGGTGATGACCACAATGAGTCTGAACTTTGAGTTCTCAACGAATTTTATTTTCCTTCTCCCTGCACTGGGTAGACTAAAGGTTGGGGAATACATTGAACCGCACAAAGTTTATGAAAGACTTGGTCTGTTTCATCTGTTGTGATTTCATAAATTTATTTTTTGGCTTTATTGTTATTCAGAGAGAAAAAGAGTGACTGGAGTATCACACCTGGAGAAAGAGTGGGGAGTGACATGCAGGAACAAACACATCCTAGAATCAAAATCACACCACTTTGCACAACATCAGACTCATTATGTGCCACTGTCTGCTAGGACGACTGATAAGTCTGATGTCACTATTGACAGACATGATGAGGCTCAATAAAGCAGCCAGAGTAAATCTGCACTAAGACTCTTATTTAGAGTTATTACAATGAAAACACATAATTAATTATATTGATATATGAACGGTTTATCTATAAAGGCCAGAAAGGTAGGCAAGCCGGACAGCCTGTCAGACGGCCATGCCGGGAGACACCACCGCCACTATCTCAGGTGGGATGGCAAAACCCATATCACTCATCACAGACGACGTCATGTCAACATCACGTGACACCGCTAATCAAGGCTGCAGAGGCTAAGTAGCCGAAACTTGTCAGGTACAAGACTGTTTTATGTTTGTTTTGTTTACTTTTCTGGTCTTTATAGATGAACCGTTTTATAAATTTATCATCAACAGGCCGAATGAACCTCTTTGGTATGCACTTATATTGACCTTTGTACCATTTAGACCAGTAAGGTTGTCCACAGTAGCAGCTCCAGCAACAACCCAAGAAAAGGCAAGAGAGCTTAGGGAGGTCTATGGTAGGTAACTGTAATAGGAAATGATTAAAAGTCAGTGATATGCACGAGGTTGATAGAGGAGAGACAGCTGTAAGTGTAAGCTTAGTTGAAAATAAAAACTCGGACTTACTCTTCAAAGTAGAGAGGTCGCTGCCTCTCAGGCCTGGACTGGTATAAGATTACCATGAAGAGGGGCCTGGTTCTGGCTCTACCTCCCATACTAGTTTTCAGACAATACAAGAACCACATGCAGGTCTGAGTATGATATTCAATAGGGGTAAAAAAATAAATTTAATAATGATAACTTTATTTTTTATAGCACTTTTAAAATCAGAAGTTTACAAAGTGCTTTGACAAACAATTGTAAAGCATCAGCACATGGAAATAAAAACACATAAAAAACAAAAAGCTCAGTTAAAAACAAGGCCTCCGAATTGAAGGCCGATTTCATTTGTCATAAGAAACCCAGACAATACAAGAACTTTACAACATAAAATGAGACCATAAGGACTAAAATAAAAACATAATATAGGTAAGAATAAGAAGAAATGAAATTAAAAAAGGGGATAGAAAGCAAGAAACAGGATGCTAAATATAAAAAGACGATATTCATCATAATAATCAAATCATAATTAAATAAAAATGATGGTAATATTAATGATAAAATGGAATAACATAAATGAGCAGAGAAAATACAACAAAATCAATAAAAGGTTAAATATGAGAAGATTATAAGTAAAACAAAGACTAAAAGGGCTGTAAGTCTAAATAAGACAGAGGTAAAAGAGAAAAGTCTCGGTAAAAGTAAGTTTTTAAATTTAACTTAAAAAGAGCGACTGTCTCTGCACACCTTATCTTCTCTGGCAGGTCATTCCAAAGCCGAGGGGCTTTATATAAGCATTACAAATAACCTGAAACAACCGCTTTCCTTTAGATGTGCTGACTCTCCTCATAGTCATCAGCATTAAAGCGAAAGCACTAAAGTTAGTCTGAGTTTAATAAAAATCTGTGGTTATTGTAATACAAAGCAAAACATAATAGAAAGCTGTCAAGACAACAGTGATCGACATTTCACTTTCAAAGCAATTACAGGTTGCTTAAATATGCGCTGATATCTTTTCATGACGTGACAAACAATCACACAACAATGACATCCAAACATGCCTCATATGTTCGAGTTGAAAGTGAATAAGACCTGGAAGAAAAGCATAAATTAAATCTGACCAAAGTTGGTTTACATGAAAGAAATCTTGGTAGATTTGCATTTAGTAAAGTAAAACATTGGTTTCACTTGTTGGTGTTTATAGTTTTCTCATTGCGTGATGCTGCTGTAACCTGCATTTTATGGATGCAGCAACCAACTATGTCTACAGACAACGGTTTGTGGAAGTGATTTTGAGCCAGTACTGTGATTTCCACTTCAGAGACATGACTGTTTTCAATGTAGAGCCACTTTAAGGCCTGAGGATCCCCACCCCGTCATGGATTTCAGCCTCTGTACGAAGATTTCTCCGGACTAAATGAAGTTGGGTACAAACTTTTAGAATTATCATACCAAATCTATTTTCTCACGCAGTCTCTCACATAGTGGTGAACTCTTAACAGCTGAGAGACATAGATTTTCCTGTTTTATATACATATTTGTCATGTTACTAACTTGTTGACAGTTTACCAGGTGTTTTGTTTTCAGGATTGATATGCTATCAAAGTTTTACCTGTGTGTGCCCATGTGTTACATTACATCTGCAGCTCTACGTGAGTAATTTTGTGTACAAAAAAAGACTAGAAACCCAGTCACAGGTCAGCCCCTGATGATTATAGATGAGAGCTCTCAGCGAACAGGAGGAGTGCTGTGTGTGGGCGCGGCTGATCTAAATTGGTTTCTACATATTTACAGGTGTAGGTATGTGTGGAACTCGTTCTGTGTAAATACTACCGTGTTATATGAGTCAGAGAGGACAGCTTTTTCATTTTCATCCTGATAAGTGACAGCCACACCTTAGTGTTGAAGGAAACATGGGCATAAAAAAACATGTTAGGCTTCTTGTTTGAACGTTTTCTCTTTTTAAGCTATGCCACTGATCTTAGCTATGAATGGCATGAAACAAAGAAAGCCAAGTTAACTATGAATTACAGTGTTTAAATGTGATCCAAGTAAACGAACCAGGCTTATCTCTGAAGTCTTGCACAATGTGGAGTTCCAACAGGTGGGTGAGTGACTGAAGTTCAGAGGTGCACACAATAACATGAACACATGCATTATAATGCAACCCGTCTGCATCAGTAGTGTTAAAGTGATTTATTTTCATTTGGATTGGTTTGCATTATCAAAAGCACGTCATATTTAAGGTTCCTCTATGACCTTTCTACCATCAATGAGAGCTGTCATCATTACTGACCAGCTGTACCATCAAAATGAAGAGAGAAAAAACAGCTCTACTGAGACCCATACGAATATATTTGCTGATGCAGCCAGTCAGTGATGATTAAATGCAGCTCTTCAAATATTAATCAGACCATCAAGTAGATTAACATTTTATTAGCCAGCAGTTAATCATAAAAATTAATGGTACAGCTGAGTATGTGTAATGTAGATAATACTGAGATCATCTGATGAAGAGGTGCAAAAAACTGCAGTTCCTTCAGTGTCCACTAGAGGGTATCTGCAAAAGTGGACACTGGAAAATACAGTTGTTCCTCATTGTGTCTTTTTTTCCCCTTCACACACGTTTACAGAAAAAAAAGACTCCAAGAGTTCAATATTTTCATTTGTAGCAAGGAATCAATTCAAGTATTTGAATGACATGAAACTTTAATATTTGACATGAAAAGGTCTCTTATATATAGTTTTTTAAAAGGACATATCAAAGAGCACATTTTTGCAGGTGAGATGTCTTTATTTTTTTAACATCTGAGATCCAAACAAGGTCCAACTTCAAACGGTGCATGCACTCACGAAGGTCCACCATGTCTGCAGCAGGGTCCTTCTCTCAACCCAAACCTTAGGGCACGTCTTACCAGTGCTTACTTTTGCAGGGTTATGAAGGTTGTTTTGGGGGTACATTTGCTTCTCTCAGCAGTGATTGTTAGGTCTGTTTTGAAAATACCTGATATTAGCTTTTTTTCAGCAGCATTTTACAATGATAATATGAAAATAATGATATTGTTGGAATTTCCCCCGTGGGTCCATTAAAGGAACATCTTATCTTATCTTGATATGATTTGGGTCGTAGCATGAGCTCTAGCTTTATTTCTGAAAATCGTTGTTTTCTAGAACAAACTCTTGTGAGTTTCTCTGAAAGGACTTGTCCTGTTTCTATTGACAAAGCGTATATTAGAAGTCCCGCCCCCTTCTTCTGATCGGCAGATGATCAAGTAGTGACACTGATGAGACTTGGGGTGAACTTAATCAACTGAGAGCGTAGCGGCAAAACAACGCACACTGGGTTTGTTTTAGGTTTTTAAAAAACCTGTTTTGGTTCATCAAGCTCTTTTTTTTCTGTGGCAGGGTTTACTTTTTCATGACACTTTCAAAGATTCGATCCGGGCTTACAGTTGTGCTTTATTAGTCAAAATTACGGGTGTGGCTGATTTGGCTGACACGTGTCGTTAGGCCTTGGCCCAGTTTCTAGACTAGCCTGTAGGCAGTTGTACTCAGTGTTTCGATGACCACTTTGTTTGGAATTTATCACACCTTCGAAAAATAATAACATTGCTATATGCTGCTGTACACAAGTTCACCATCTTCTGTCTTTTTTCTTTATCTTTTAGTATATTGTCCAGTATAAAATTTTGGGCTCAGTTTGGAGCTTTAATTTGCCTCCATAGATAAAAAAATGACAGTATGAGAGATAAGAATTAAAACTATAAATCTGAGGGCTAAAAAACCCCCAAAATTAGCCTTAATAATAATAAAATCACCAATGTAGGGGGTCCATGTTCAGGTTCACTCCATTCGACCGCTTTGAAATCGTCCCATTTATCATTTCATCCATTGTTTCTGTTCAAATAAATTAAAGCCACTCTAAGTACTGCTGAGGTCAAAGGTCACGGTCAAGTGAGACCAACATTTTCCCTCATCACTCACCCCCTCCTTTCTTGTCCTGTCACACATTCCTCTGTGTGTGATCTCGCTTCCTTTTCACCTTTTTGTTTCCTCCTCTCTAACCCTCACTCTCGCCCTGCAGGTATGTGGGTGTGGGGTTTTGGAGTAACTGCTCTGGGTGTGTGTGTCAGACACACCCACCGCAAGCATGAGCCGGAGCAGCATGCTGAGCAGACTTCTTCCACTGAGGCATAAAGACATTGTTTAACTCTACAAGCAAAGATGCTTAACACATCCATACCCCCACCCCTGCTTTACTGTGCAGGACGCATATTTGTACCTGTGCCAGCACACACATACTCTGACTGTAGATAGTATGCATGCTCTGCAGCTCCGCATACAGTCTTTGTTATCAGTATTTTTTTTCCTTTTCTTTTCTGGCAGCAGGTGGAGTTTGAAATCTTTGCAGTAGACCTTGACTCTTTGTTTGAGATAACTTCTCAGGGTGTGTGTCTGATAACTGGTGATGGATAAAATAACCTGCAGGTCATGTTACAAGTGTAGTAAAACCTTTGAGGAAGACAAGCTATAAAGCTCATGTGAAGAGTTTTTTTTTTTTTAACTTGATTACACAACAAATTAAAAGTTTAACCTCTGTATGACCTGCCAAAATAAAAACAGGTATCAGCAGGAACATTATGTATATCTGTATGACTGAGATATTTGTCCAAAAACATCACTTAAACATAGATAGAGCAATATTAGTGAAGGTGTAATCAATCCAAGTTTATTTGATAGCACTAAACTCTAGCAGGTTTTCCCGGTCACTTTAGGGGACCAGGTCTAGATCGCACTCCTGAACCACTTTGCAGCAGTGGCAAGGAAAAATGTATCCTTGATGGCTTATAACTTGATTAAAGGATGATTAGATTAAAGAGCAAATAAATTGGGTTCAATGTTGGGCTTTTGCAGCATATGGATTATAACATTAACTGCTTTAAAAATGAAATCGTGCAAAAAATAATCAAACTGTAGTAATGTGAGTTTTATTGTGGTGGTCCTTTTCACTGCTAGGCAGAGATGAAGAAGAAGCAGCAGCTGCTGTTGAGCTCGCTGTAGCATCTCTCTGACAGATGAAGAGACACTTTAAAAAGTGATGTTGAAAGATTTGTTGTGAATTTAAAATGTGTTTGTGCTTCTTCAGGTTAGTCATCATTGAACATTTAACCTTTTAAACTGTTTTGTTTGGATTCAGTCCTGTAATTTACAATCAACCAAAAGTAGTGAACTTCAAATTTTGTTATAACTTCTGGATATACTATAACTTTTATAACTGGGTTTTGTAAAGCTCTGCTAGCAGGTAAAACAAAGTATATATTTATTTCACAAGTAAAAGTTCAGGTAAGTGAAACAAATGATAGAAAATAAACAGTATGACATGTAAAACAGCAAAGCTGTTATATTTAAACTCTGAGTACAAATCGAGACATGTTTTTTTTCTATTCTTCATGTCTGTTATTGTCACATGAATTCCTCATGACATTTGGACATTGTTTTTATTGTCATTTTTTCTTTATAAGGTATTTTCAGATTTTAAAAACCATGTGAGAAAACCTTGTTGCATGGATTTAACATATCAATGAGTCACGTGTCACTGTAGGTTGTTAAACCTCAGGTATAAAATGGCATGTAGATGTTGTGATAATGTTGACCTCTCCACTGTGGCTGGAGAAAACATTAATTGTAATACTGGAGGTTTAATACAACTGAAACATCTTTTGAGGCTGATGCACATTATCACTTTTCGACTAAGCGTACAGACGGACATGCTTTAAGAAGTTACTCACCCTTCATATTGAGTCCAATAACTTGATTTCTGAGGTGGGGACTAAATTGTTTCTGTGGTCACCTGAGGGTGAAGTGACGTTACCTGACCTGCAACCTAAGACCTAAACCAATCCGTCTTGGAGATTTTGGACGCTGAGCACAGTCTGCAGGAATAACAGCAAAACCTCAGTGAACGCAGTGACAGCTTTGATGCTGATTTATTGACTGTTTTGTATGGCTTTTTACTGCTTTAGAGTACAATGGACTGGTACACTAAAATATTTCTATATCTCTCTATAAGTACTGATCATCAAACTTCCTCTTTAGTGTATATTTTAATATGTCAATTAATACAAATTTGTGTATGCTTCCCCCCCCCTCCTATAGATTTTAACCATGTGTTATACCACACAGGAATACTTCAATGACATATCCATTTGTCAGGTCTACATGAACACTAAAGAGGAATTATGATTTGATTTCCAGCCATGGAGTGACTTGCTCTGCTTCATTCCTCTTAGATCATAAGTGTTGAAACAGTCAGTGCTTTATAATCATGCCACGTCTTGTGTCGCATGGACCTGATAACAGAGCTGCTGTTGTATCAGGTCAGAGAGAGATATCTAATCCTAGAGGGAGGTGTGTGGAGGGAGAGAAAAAACACTGATGTGTTCAAAAAGTGCAGATAGACTCAGCAAGTATGAGAGATATGCTTTTTTTTTTTTAGTATTTAAGAATGATGTAAAGAGAGAGCAGACTCCTCTAACAGGAATGGATGCTTTAAGGGAAGAATAAAAAGTCAGACGAGGGCTGTGGAGAGTAGAACAGGTCCGCCCGGTCTGCTCCTCCACTGCTACTTTTCCTGACGACACACCTGTTGGCCTGGGAGGAGCTGAGACAGGTGGACGCTCCTTTAACTGTGTGAGTGTGTGAGGCAGGAGGGGGACAAGCCACAAGAATCAAGAAGGAGTGCAAGGAGAGAGTGAGGAGTCGGAAGGAACAGTTGGACTCAGATTACATAAACAGGCCTCGAGACGGGCTGCCCAAGATGTCGAACAAAAAGGATAACAGTCCTGTGAAGCTCAGCAAGTGAGTCCTGACACTTTGTGTTGATATCTATGTGTGTGTGAATGTGAGTGTAGGTCATGCGTTAGTGTCATGTTACCATCCCTTGTCTTGTTTCCTCTCTTTTGCTTTCATTTTTTCCCTGGCGGGGTGCATGTGTGGCGTACAGGAATCTTTCTACCACAATCCTGTTTGTGTTTGCACAGGGAGCGGGCTCTTTTTAACCCTCGGACTATAAAAAGCGTCAAAAAGTGAAGAACCAGGATGTGACCCTTAAGAAACATTCAGTGTGTCAGACTCAAACATGCAAAGTTCATTCAAGCTTTAAGAAAACAGAGCGCATCAACCTTTTAATTCAATCTTTTCTTCATATATATAAACAGAACCCTGCCCTGTCCTGTTTACCATAACAACACCACCATGTTACTAATGGAGTATATTTAACTGATTGTTTTCTCCTCACCTCATCTGACTCCTTTTATTTTTTATTTATTTTATATGTGTCTTTGCCTAAGGTGTGTATGAGGCTCTGATGCCTCTCATTTGACCAGTAATGTGACTCATAAAGCTTTTTGGTCAACACGGTGCCTTCAATGCCCTGATCCAGCCGGGGCAGTTTATAAAAGAGGCTGCAGCTTGTTGTCATAGCTATGCAGTTGAACCAGTGGTTGTTTGAGTAAAGGAGTGACTCAGTACATGCTGCTATCAGTCATGTTTTATGATTATGGAGGTGCACACAGTCATAAATGTGTAAGGGTTTGTAATGTGTAACCCCCTCATGAAGTGATTAAGCAAGTGTTTATCTCCCCCCCGGTGCAAGCTGTCAGCCTGGGACCGAGGGGACACATTTGCACGCCTTCGCAGTGGGGCGTGTCGTGCAGCCAGAGGCTTGATGACAGCAGACAGGGAAGGCTGAGGGAGCGGCAGGGCAGGGTCTCACTCCTGCTGTGTCTGTTTGTCTTAATCAGCACAGTGACACACGAGTTTGAATGGAAGTAAATGAGTCACTTTAACTGTGTTTAATGTGATGCTCGTACGCATTCACTATGCAGAGGTATGAATATTCATGATTATGCAAGAGTTAGTTTCAGTTAAATGATCTGGTTGGATAAGAGGCATTCCATTAGAGCTAATACAGACTGAAACAGCACCTGAACTTTCTAGAATAGTGTCACTGCCTCAGGTGTTGTGGCGAAAATGGGTTTTCATAACTTTGTGCTTCTCTGTTTAATTTGTTGTTAGGATGCTGGAATTACACAGCAGTTTAGTTAAAGTTAGATTTCCCTATTGTATCTGATCATATTTAATTGTATTGAATCATATCAAATTATAATATATTGATATTTTGTATCATATCATACAGTTTCATACTGTATCTTATTGTATTAAATCATACCGTATCTACTGTTTTAAATTATGTCATATTATATAATATTACATAAGTCCACATCATGACATGCCATAGTGTTTGTATCTTGGTTGTCATCATAATGTATCACATAACATAGTATCATATATCATATATCAAATCATAGTATATCGTTCTCAATCACATCATGTTGAATTGATTCATGGTATGGTATTGTTTCGTATCATCCAATTTTGTCTCCTATCGTTTGATAAGGAATTATACCGTGTCATATTGTATCACCTCGTATCATATCCTTCTTTACTGTATCAGATCTGTTGTATCATACTATATACAAATCTATCATACCATACCATATCGTATTCTGTTGTACTGTGCTGTACCCTATAATTTTATATCATATAGTATCTTGTTCTATCATTTCATTTCCTCTCACATAGTAATATATCGTATTGTTCCATTGTGCGACACATCGATTTATCGATATGGAATCAAATAATTTCAAACTGATCATATCTTATCCAGTGTATTCCTCCATCTCCTTACTCACTGAACGATAAAGAGATAAAGACATATGCTACACAGAGTAGGAAACCTTTAATGAGCTAATGGACTGAGTGAAAACACAAAAAAAACAACCTGTGTATCACTGTGAGAACTACCATTATTTTTAACATGCTTATATCAAAGCAGTATCACATCCAAAGTCACTTGGTTGTGCTGAATACAAGCATAGTGGTTTTAATCTTCCATAACTTAGTGTAGTCGTGCTAATATTGTGTACAAAGGCATGACTTGGAAGGTTACATTACTTTATTATTATAACAAGAATCAGGTCTGCTGCTTAGACAGATGATCTCAGAAATGAATGAAGCCATCTGCATGTTTTACTCCTGCAGCACAGAAAAGAGGAAGCAATCAGTGACAGAGGAACTGATGAAACTTCAAAATACACAGAATTAGTGATATTAGTGATATTGCTGAAGTAATGCAAAACCTTTAAATCAACCCAGGTTTCAATTATATAAAAACTAAGATTTCAAGAGTAAATGATAACTTTCAAGGGGACTGAAGAATGACACCCTCATAATTACTTTAAAATATGACAAAATACGTGTTTTTTTTTCTGCCAAAGAGCCCGTCATTCAGCTCTGCTTGTTTATGTTTGGAGGTCAAATTTTCAAAAAGTCACAGTATTTAAAAAAATGTTTGGCACTCAAACCATTTAGAGAGAGTAAGTTCAGCAGCAGTGTCAGTGAAAGTCTAAAGCAATGACTGAACAGTTGATTATTGAGTAAATCTGTTAGAAATTATAGTCAAGTGTCAATAAATTCCTTTTTAAAAGAAGAGGAACAAAAGATTTGAGTGACCTGAGAAAAAGAAACGACTTCAGTAGAGCGTCAAGTACACCTGAGTTTTGCACCACTGGGAGCAATAAAAAGGACTAATGGCCTCCTTTACTCCGCCTACCGCGAGCCATAATGTCTGACTACAACTAATGACAGTGCTGGTTTGATAAGGGCCGGATGGCGGCAGGAATGTCAGTGTTAAACAAGGACCGCATTCCTGGCGGCTGCTGGGAGGGGACAATAGAGGGGGACATAACCCCCACCTCTGCCACAGTGTGTCCTGTGGGTACTGATCAGGGTGTGACAGAATAAATAGTTGGCGTTCATATCACTGCGGAGGAGGAATGACTGAACAAACAGACAGAGAGCACAAACAGGTCTGCAGGAAGAGTGTCTGAGTGACAGTGAGGAAGCGTGTCTGTCAGTGAGAGGAGTCTTTGTTGAATGATTCCCTCTGACACATAATATTTTAGTCAACGTTTATTCCCAATCCAAAGGTTAAAAGTAACTACATTACATCAATACTGGGTAGCAGTAATACAGAAGACTAGGAGGGCTTCTGAATTTTTACTCAAGGTTTGGCAGTTTTCAGAATTCTGTGGTTAAATTTTGACAGTAAAGGTCATGTGGGGACCTTTTTTGTCTGATTTTGTCAGAGGCACCTCTTATTTTTGTGGGTTTTGCTGTGTGTATATGAATAAAAACCTCATCATACTTAGGGTGACCATATGTCCTCTTTAACCCAGACATGTCCTCTTTTTTGGGGGGGCTGTCCGGCTTTGTCTGGGGAAGTTTATCAAGTCTTTCAGATGTCCATGATTTTGTACGGAAGTTTTGAGTTTGTGTCACGTGGACTTACTGAGTTAGAAGCGCATAAAAGACACTCGATCTGACCCGAAAAACTCTCAAAATTAACTGCGCACGACTCTGTGACTCTCTGCCCCCGCGTACATGTGTCCTCTTTTGGAAAGTCAGAATATGGTCACCCTAATCATACTAACTTTGACCAATCAATCATATCACTTGCAACAGGCTGTTTTCAAAGTGTGCTACTCACAGCGTTGGTAGAAACAATCAGTCATCAGACTGACGGCCTCTTCTGCTTTTGTTGGTCTTATAGAGACATCAGGTTCAATTTCAGTCTGATTTATAACCAGCTAAAAACTGGAGCTTTAATCTCTATATTCTTGGAAAAAAAGTGAGCATTTTGAGATCCCGAGCGTAGCAGTTTGCCTCATTCCCTCACTGCAAAAAGGTTTCCGGTTTGAATCCCTGGCCTTGCAGGGGCCTTTCTGTGTGGACTTTGTATGTTCTCCATGTGCATGCATGGCTTCTCTCAGGGTACTCAGGGGAAATCTTAGTAGTTGCTTTTTAAATACGCCTTCTTGTTTTTTTTTTTATTATCTGATTCAGAATCTTGACTTTTTCATCTTACATTTTCGCTTAACGTTCATAAAATACTTTCTGACTTTTCTCTTGGAATTTGACTGTTCTTCCATAAAACTGTCGCTTGGTGTTGCCAGAGTCATCACCCAGCTCATGTTCATTTTCATTGGCATATTTACCTAAATTAATTGGTATAGAAATGCTTTCACTCCAGTATATCCAATCCATGTTAAATCTCTGTCACTCTTAACCACTACATGAACTAACACGAGGAAAAACTCCAATTCTTGTGCAAAAAAACCATTTGTACCCACTTTTTTATGAAGTGGTAATAATATTTGGCCAGGATAAACATAAAAATGCTGTCTTTAAAGTAATGCATTAGAAATAAACAGTCTTTGGTATAAGGAGCCACTCTGTGCTTTATGAGTACAAGTTTTAAAGTGTTATGCTCTAAAAATTGGTTCACAATGAATACAGATCTGTATTAGTATGGACTATATCTACACCAAATACTCACGTTGTACTGGACTTGAAAATTTCAGTATCTCCTGCAAAACTGAATTAAAAGTCCAGGATTTTCTGTAATAATGTATCCACAAAGAAACAAAGCACTGTATCCTGAAAGTGGATTTTTTTGTTTCACAGTAATGCTGAAAGATACAGGAGGACACAGTTTAATCACTGATACAATGATCTGACTAACTGTACTCTACAAAAACAGCAAGAAACACACCAACTTCCGTACATAACCACTGTATTTTTGCTCCTCTCTCTTTCTGTGTTGCAGGAGTCAGGCCAATGAGCTGGCCGTGGTGATCGCTCGCATGCAGAGGAATGCAGACCAGGTTGAGAAAGACATTTTAAAATCAGAGCAGCTGATGAGCGAGGTAAGACCAAACCCTAAGTTTAATCAGATAACAAAGCTAGATTTAGTTCTCTCTCTCTCTGTGTGTGCTTCCTGTCTGTGACCATGTCTCATTCTTATATTTTGATCATTTTAAACTGTGATTGGTGTGCTTTCTTGGCCTGATCTCCTTCATGAGAGAAATGTCTGTTTTTAGGCTAAAGAAAGCTTAATAGATTGGAAAGTCATCAACGCACACCAGAGCATGTGACTGGAGAAAAAAAAAATCTAACTCAGACAAAAAAAATAGTTTGATTAACCTAAGACAGACTTGATATAACACCTGAAAACTTTGTTGTTGTCAAGCATGTCTTAGTTTTTATCAAAATTGCCTTTTATAAAACTCTATGATATGGCTACAGAGTCAACCTTTCAATAAACTTATACCCAGTACATACTTGAAGAAAGGTTTCATTGAGGTTGCATATAATAGAGCAACACAAATCTTAGGTGGTTTGCAGTTCCAGCAGACTACATTCATGTTATTTGGTCCTGTCCACCTCTTCAGTCTTTTTGGAAAGGTTGGAGAATTTAATTTCAGACACTTAGATAAAACATAGGATTAGTTTATGTTGTATCTTAGCTAGGATTAGTTACCTTTGTGTTAGCTACCTTTTCAAAATTCATGAAGGTATAGAAGAGGCTTATACAGTTTAATGTCTGTAATATACCAGTTTTGACAATAATGTCTTTTATAAACAATTACATATTAATTATGTACTACTAAAATAAGTACACCTTGAGTTCGTACTAGTAGTTCTGCGGGCTGGTTGCCTCACGTCTTTGAAACGGAAGTAGACGACGACGTAGCAGACTGCTAGCAAGCTAACAGAGGCCTTGAGAGGTGATTAGAAACGTTTCAAAACTGATATTTAAAGATTTATTGTGAACCTATAAACAATATTAGAGCTTTAGTCTCTTCAGTTTACTCATCAATTGAACAGTTACACTTTCAAAACCGTTATTTAAGAGTTTTCATTCATAACGTCCGAGCTACCAGAAGAAGAATCCTTCAAAATAAGAGCATAAACACAACGTGTATGGAATACAGCAGCCGGTAAAGAAATAAGGACAAAAAGTTTCAAATTGAAAGCATGACAAACGGAGCTGGTACTGTGGATAAATTAACGGAGCTGGTACTGTGGATAAATTATTCATTATAACAGTATATGTAAGGAAATTGTGTTCATTTGTTAAGTTTAAGGAGTTGTGATACTCCACCCTCGTCTTAACTTTCCTTAATTTGACTGATTGTGATGTTTTTCAGGTGTCCATGAATATCACAATTATATCATCAGTGCAATATGTTAAACTCAGATGAAAATCTAACACCATAATCATTGTTTACTCTAGTAGTGTGGGAAAATAATTTGACTTAAGCAAGAGAAATGAGGTGAACTCTGGGGAAAATGGGATTTTACAACCACAAAGACTCATAATCTTTCTCGTATGTCCTACTTCTGTGTTTACTTTGCACTGAACCTGTGTCTATTCTACTCATTTTCTCTGATTGTAAAGCTGTTTCTTAACTTGCTTTTTTGGGTTGTCATTGTTCATAAACAATTTTATATATGAATTCTGTAGGTGAAAACTCCAAGATCAGGTACAATTTTTACAATTTAGATTTTCTTGAATAGTCTTTGTGCCAAGTATTAGATGTTAAAGGGCTATTCGAATTCCAGGTGGTCACATGTTGACATTTGTAAAACACTGGAAAGTGTAACATAGGTGGAAACTTTTGAAAGGCACTGTTAATACTCTGGAATTGAAAACAGCCTTGGAATGAAAACCAAATAAACTAATGTAGAGTCATTTCTTTCTCGAACTTATTCAGCCTCCAGGGAACTAAAGCTATCTGCACACAGTTTCCAAACTTGTTTAAAAAACTTTATTCAACCAAAAAAAGAAAAAAAAGTCTTTATCAACCAATGACAAGCCAAGAAACAGTTTTGCTAGAGTTTTAACCTGCATCTGTTTCTACTCTGTAAGGACACAGAACGAGAGATAAAGAACCAGAGCCTGATCCACCAGAAGGTGAACTCAGAATGCCTGGCAGAGGCCGAGGGGCTGCTGAAGGATCTCTTCATGGACGTGGACAAGTCCAAGAAGCTAAACCACCCACAGGCCACGGAGATAGAGAAGGAGTGAGTTTACCCTGGAGTGTCACCAACGCTCGATCAAACACAAACACAAGCAGAGAGCATGCCAGAAGACAACACCCAAAACTAGATACGTCACATACCATCAAGATGTACCCGCCATGAAGTATCACTTCCACATTCCCTCTGAGAGCTTCCCACCTGAGTGCAGCTTAAACCTTATTCATGTTCCAGCTTTCATACAAATATGCAGCTCAAAGTACTTTAAACACACAGTAAAAAAAGACAAGAAATTGCAAATGAGATACAAATGTGGAATAAAAAAATCCCAATGTTTTCAAATTAGTAAATGAGAATCAATATTAAGTGTTCACTAATTGTTTTTGGAGCTCGTTAGGATCATTTAAGGCATGTTACAGAGTATTCAACTATTGATAGTTTATAAATCTTAATCTCTTCTCTCCTATGACAGTAGAAAACTATCCATACTGCCTTTAAATCTGTGGCAAGGATTTATGGTTGCTTAAGTATCTTTTAAAAATGTAAAAAAAAGACAATTTGTAAATGTTTACCTGTTTATCATTCTCAATCTTCAACCTTTCTTCCTGCTAAAATGAAAACATCTTGAGAAGCAACAGACAGCTTTTAGAGCATAAGAGAAAAAAGCCCCGCAATGCATGTATTTACAAAACCCTCTCAAATCCAGGATGCTATTTTAAGGGATGGATCAAGCAATCCGGCTTGATACCCTGCAGCGGCATTGTGAGCCATACCTGCAGATTTCTTGTAGGTTAGTTTTTGATAACCAAATATTTTTATTTAAATCTAAAATACATCTTTTTTTTTTAGTGTGAAAAATCTGCACGACCGATGGGTGAGGGACTGTGCCACCTACAGGAGACTTTATGAGCGTAAGCCAAGTCTTGAGCCCACACCCAGGATCAACTGGGGTCCTTTTCTGGACGATCAACAGGTCAGTTTTAGCTCTTTGTCAGTGCTAAACATCATCTTAACGATCGTAAGTTGACTGCTGTTCAATCTTTTCTGATTTTTTTCACAGAGACAGTTAAATGAAGAGCCGTACGGCCCCAAACTGTCTGATGTAGAGAAGCAGATAGCAGAACATAACATCTTACACGAGTCCATCGAGGCCTACAGCTCCCAGCTGCAGCCCAGCACCACCTCAAAGGTAAAAATACACAAACTCTAAGTGCACATGTGACAGGAGAAAATGATAACATTGAAATGATTGTATGAAAGTTATTGACTTCCTGTTTTCCTAATAACAGACAGATTACAACAGGCTAGTCCTGGAACCTTGAAGTTTTTGAAGCCTTTTTATTAGATATAAATTATTCATGCTTATCATTTGGAATCAAGTTTTGAAATCTAATTTAACTTCTTTCTGCTAAATTTGATACTATCACAGTTGCACTTAAATTACTGTATTAACCTGAATATAAGATGAGGGGAAGAAATCACTGATCTGTGTTTTAATCTCCCTTATTTTTCAGGACCAGTACCCCGCTCTGAAGGAGAAATATGCCAACCTCTATGTGAGTTTCCTGACTTTAATACGCCACTTAAGTTGTTTTAAGGAGTTCAGTCAAGTTAAAAGGGATCTGTCTTTGTTTATCTTGTATGCATATGTTTTCAATTTTACAGGAGAGCTCCCAGGAGAGAAAAAACAACCTGGCGTCTCTGTATGAGTACATGCAAAGCTGCAACAAAGAGCTGGTCTACCTGTCAGGCCAGCAGGAGAGGATCCTGCAGAGGGACTGGAGCGATCGGATGGTGAACCCCCCAGGTGTCCGTACAGAGTATGAGGTGAGGTGGGAGACAGCAGATAAAGCATGCTGACGTCATAATCGGTGCATTAAGCTTCTTTCTTGCCCTCATTTTGTTTGAAGGAAAGTCCTGTTTAGAGAAGCAGAAAATTGAGTTTGTTTGTCAGTCTGCCCTCAAGCATTATGTTGTGAACAAGCCGGTTACATCAACTTGTGTAACCTGTATAGTTTGTAGTATCTGTAGAAGCTTCTGGGAGAATTTCTTTTGAACACTTGAAACAATAATTTGTTCAAAAACATCACTCTGGTCTAAATGCGCTCAAACAAATTAGTCTTTATGCAGATGATATAGTGTTGTTGTTGTTTTTGTTTTAAAAGAAACAGTATTATTTCAAAGACAAGGATGATGTTTTTCAAAACACTTTTTCTGTTTTTATGGTTTTCCACAGAAATTCAAAACCAACGGCCTAATAGCTCATGAGTCTGAGATCAACAAGCTGCAGGAGGAAGGAGACGCTCTCATTAAAAAGAAACACCCCGGCACCCGAACAATAAAGGTACATTAGTCAGCTGAAGCAGATATCCATCCATCCTTGGGCTATACCATTATCTCACAAAAATTTATCAGATTTTGTGTTTATTTTTTTCAACTGATTACATTTTAGCATTTAAATTGCTGTTGAGAAGAATCTCTTGCTGCTTCCAGTGAAAGGCTAATTTAGCTATGCAGTGTATTTCTGCAGTGCCTTACCCAACTGCTGAAACAGCAAAATTTTACCATTTATCAATTCTACCACCTCTTTATCATCCATCCGTCTGTCCATCCAAACATTTATGTATCCATCAACCCATCCGGCCATACATGTTTCTGGCAATACAACCTCAATTCTACTAGAGTTTGGATGCTGTGTAAAATGCCTGGTGGATTTAATTTCAAAAATCCTTTTAAGATTTTCTTTTTTGAATTGAAAACAGTGTTGAGAAAATATCAAATGCTGGAAAAAAATTCAGTTATGTGATGTAATTGAAACTTACATTGGTAGAATCAGTAACAAAACTGTCTAACAGACAGAGGTTTTTGGAAGTGATTTTGAGCCCATGCAGTGACTTCTACCACAGTTATGTTTGTTTTTGATGCAGTGCCCCTTTAGGGCCCAAAGATCATAGTCATCCAGTGCTGGTTTTCAGCCTTGTCCATTTTGCTCAGAGAATTTACTGGATCTTTGAGTTATATATTGTACTGTGGATTCTCTTTTAATACTCCGTCATGTTATGGCCTGTTACAATTAACCTCATTAGTTTGAAAATGTTCCCTTAGGTGTCCTTTTTCTTTAAGTATTGCACAACTTATTCAGTGTTTCTTGTTTCCATCTCAACTGTTTTAAAACATATTACTGGCATCAAATTCAAAATGAACATTTTTTTTTCATAAGAACAATGAAATATTTCAGGTCCAGTATTTGATATGTGGTCTTTGTACTATTTCCAATTAAATATTGAGTTTTAACAATCTGCAAATCATCACATATGTTTTTCAGCTCATTTTACAGAGAATCCTGAAATGTTTGTGATCAGGGTTGAAAAGCATCATGCAAATAACAGCAATGACAGTCGTGTGAAGTTTGGGCAAGAATGTGCAGCATGACTGATTTTTTGTACAGTACAGAGACAGATACTGCCATGAATCCTGCAGTGCTATGGCTATATTAGCTGGTATGAATTGAAGTGTATGTATTACTGTTCTTTTCAGGCTCACGCAGAGACAGTGCAGGGTGAGTGGCAGGCGTTCCTCAACCTGTGTCTGGCACAGGAAACTCACCTGGACAACATTGAGGACTACAAGAAGGTAGAACACTGCTGAAACACGAGATAGCTAATTTATTATTATTTTTTCTAAATCCACTCTGCAGTGTTTAAGTGTTTGTGTTTGTTTGATACAGTTTCAGCTGGAGGCAGAGACATTGTCTGACTCCCTGAAGAGACTCAACACCACTCTGGACCCAAAGTCTCTCGCCAACAAGAGCAACCCAGAAGCTCTGCTTATGATAGAGGTGCCTAGAACGAAACAACCTTACCTCCATCCAAACAAGATGAAAAATTGTATTAATTTTATCAAAATAAATTGAATTGAGTATTTTCAGAAACATAGTTTTAGTTTGTGTTATTTCTCCTCTTGTCCACCTTTAGGGAGACGAACCTGCTGTCAAGAGGAATGAAGAGCGTCTGGCTGCCCTCAAAAAGCTCAGCAGCACCGTCCCTCCTCTGAAGTTACGTCGAGTTCAGCCCTCCAAACCTACATCTGTGGTGTCCCTGTGTGACTGGGCTGATGAGGAGGTATGATCACAGTCATTTACAGCCTCTAAGGTGAAAATTGAAGGAGACAGATGGCAGAAAAGGAAAAACTTCCTTGTTACAATCTTTATTTTATCAGCTTTTGTGCTTTTTTTAGGACACAGTGAGGCGGGGGGACAAGCTGACACTGAAGTCCAACTCTGACAACAAGAACTGGGTGCTTCAGAACGACAGAGGAAAGACAAAAACCCTCCCTGGAGCGTGTTTCATGGTTCCACCACCAGACCCCGAGGCTGTGGAGGCATTAAAGAGGTATAGTGACCAACACATGAAGCGCTCATGTCTCTATGTAGTAACGATGGTGGAGAAAACTATGATAGGCTCTGATAAATCATGGTTTTGGTTGTGTGTATGTTTCAGTTTTGAAAAAGCTCTGACTGACCTGAAAAGCCGAAGATCTGCCCTCTTGACCTCCCTAAAGAACCCTAATGTGGAGGCAGTTCGACCCCAGAAGGCAGGTGAGGACAAATCAGAAAACTTCTATCTTTTTTCCACTCATCATCCATAACATATGTATTCTAAAATATCAAACATTTTATTATGGATTTATTTCTGTTTTTGTCCCTCCTCAGCCACTGTAGCAGTACCTAAGGATGATCCCAGAGCTGCAGAGTTAGCAAGCGAACTAGACAGGATCAACAAAGCTCTGGAACGCGCTGAATTAGAAATCCTGGATCGACTAAGATCCCCACTAGACAACCGCAACCCAACACAGGACCTGGCAAACAGGCTGCAGGAGCATGAGGTAAATTTACAGATTTATTTGAACATTTTTCAGTGTATGTTGTCCTCAGCATTTTCGAGTGAGCCTGGCATTTTGTGATAAGTAACATAGTTCTCCCCCCTTTCAGAAATCAGTTCAGGCTATGCGAAAGCTAGAGGCTGAGAAGTCAGCAGTCCAGAGGGAGATGGAGCCAGTCCTGGCCAAGAAACCGCTGGGACCGACTGCCTCCTACCTGCCCATTAAACTCAGAGCTACTACCAACAAGATCGATGATATCAACACACTTCTGGATCTCTATAACAAGAAGTAAGTGAATCTAAATACATTTGAAGTGCAGTTTATTTAATCATTGTTTTATTATTGTTCAGAGTTTATTTTCAGGCTTTTTGAAAAGACAAGACAGAGATTATAGTAAAAAAATTTGATGAAGAACAGCATGCAGCAAAAGGCCACAGATTGGTATCAAATCCAGGTTACCTCCATTGAGAGCAGTAGACTCAATATGATACATCACTACATGAAACCATATAATAAAGATGTTATGATACGATGTGAAACTGTACATGATGACTTTTACCTTTACTTTACTTGCACATCTTTTCTTATTTATTCTAAGTTTATTTAAATATGAACAAGTATGAAGCAAGTAAACCATTGCCACGTACCACAGCACTTCTGTGTGCCCGTCCCTAAATCTCTGTGTACACATAAAAAACAGATCTATTTTTAATTTCTTTGTCCAGAGCTACAGCCTCCTTGTACCTCGAGAAGCAAATGAAAAACGTGGACGACATGGTCTCTGGCTATGAGGATCAGCTAGCTAACGATGGCGCCATTCTTAATCAACCCAATGCCCTCCAAAGTCGCAACCAGCAGCTGCAGGTAATGTTCTATACAATGAAACCAAAAAAAGCCACAGGACCTAAAACCATGTTAGTCATTTTTATTTTTGCCAAGTAGAATCTTCGAAAGGATTTGACTTCAAAGAAGGATGAGCTGAACAAATTAGGCAAAGACCTCGACTTGACACAGCAAGCATGCAGCTCCCTGCAGCAGAGCTTTAAAGAATACTGCCCTGACATGCAACGCCAGGAAAATGAGGTGAAACAGCTGAAGAACCGCTATATGAACGTCAGTAATCAGCTCCAGGACAGGTGGGTAAAGAAAGCCTGCGTAATATGTGTACCTATGTGTATGTGAACTTCTTGGATAGCCTGATAAAACAGATGAATACTAAGGTCATTTTGTGTATGTTTTCCCATTTCGCTGTAGGTCTGCTCTTTTAAAAGAAGCAGCTAATAAAAACCAAGATTTCCAGAATGCTGCTCAGTCATTGGATTTCTTCTTGGTCAATTTGCCTGATAATAAAATCAAACCTACTGATGATGTGGCACAGATAACAGCCAAGGAGAACTCCCAGAAGGTTTGTGAGAGTATAACCACAGACTGTACGCAAAGATGGACAGACATGACAACTCCCCAGATGGGAAGCCAAAACTTTGGAAATCCTTCTACCAACTACTGCTATATAGGTCATAAAACCCACCCCCTCCATGTTAACAGATGGGACATGAATCAAATCACAAGATCAAAACACACGTCAGATAGATTGTCTCAAACATGAGTTTAGCACTGGTTAAGTCTTCGATGCTATAAAATACAGGCATAACCTCGTGAATGTCCATCTTTGTATTTACAGCAAATGTGAATGATAATGGCATTATCCAACTTTAACACTAAATTTTGATGAAACCCAAGCTTAACAAGGTTTTTTTGAAAACTTTTTTTGTTTAGAAAGTGATGGAAGACATCAAGAGGAAGTCTGCTGATCTGAACCAAGTTAACCTTCTTTCCCGGGATCTGCAGAACGTACTAAATGTGAGTTCAGAGAGTTTGATTGTTCCTGTTTGTCATTGTTGGAAAAGGTTTAAAAATCAACACCTTGATTGTGAAATATTTTTCTTTTCAGGAGTACGAGATGAAGTCAAATATTTACAGAAGCGCTCTCCATGATGATGATGATGATGATGACGATGATGATGATGAATCAGGGCCAAAGAAACGTCCAACATCAACTATGGCACAGACTGTACAGAGAAAGGTACAGTTACAGGCTGTGATTTCACTTTGTCATTATTTGTTTATCTTTATTAAATTCACAGTAATATAAATGTACAGAAATTAAACACAAACTTATTAACTTTAAAAAGCTTAATCACACGCATACATAAAGCTGCAGAGTTGCATTATCAAATCCCAACAGTAGTGAAGTAGCATCATGGAGAGGGGCATGTTTTCTGTTACCTATGTAATCTTGCCATGTGTTTTTCCTACAGGAGAGAGATCTCCGGAACCTTTACGCTGAGGTGTCTGCAGAAAACAGCCAACTGCTCAACCAACTAGGGACAACAAAGTACATCAAGTCCAGGGTATGTTGTTACCAACTGAAATAACATCAACTCTCATGTATAAATCGAACATTTCTTCCCTGAGCTACCACGGCCAGATGTTCTAAAAGACCCCCTTTCTTCTCTGTGTCTTTATTTATGCCCAGAATGATGAGATGGCGAGTCAGGTAGTCATCAAACAGCAGCTGCAGCTACAGAACCAACAAAAGGACCAGGTGGAGAGTGAAAGTCTGAAAACTGAATTAAACGAGGAGATTGCCAGACGTATGCACGCTGAAAAAGATTTGGAGACATACCGACAGAGGCTTGTGTCTCTGAAGAGTCGGAGAGGCGTTGAGAGACTGGAGGAGAAGGAAGTGGTGCAGTACTACCGAGACCCCAAACTGGAGCTGGAGCTTAAGTCCTATAAGAAAAGGATAGATGAGGAATCATTCAAGAGATCAAAAATCCAGTCAGAGATAGAGATTATAAATGAGAGGATCATCAAACTGGAATTACAGCTGAGCAGAATTGAACCCAAACTGGTGAACAAGGTCGTGACTGAGTATGAGAGAGACCCACAGCTTGACATAGAAGCTGAGAAGATGAGGGAAGAGATCCGGAGGTTAAAACTTGAGCTCCAGTCAAGGCAAAGTGAGTCAGTGCATGTCAAATCTGAGCTTACGGTGCTGTCCCAGCAGAAACCAAAAATCAAGGAGAAGGTGGTAAAGAAAGAAGTGGTCAGGCTTGAAAAGGATCCGGAGATGCTGAAAGCTGTTCTTACATTCAAGAGCGAACTTGCAAATGGGGAATCACAGGTGAAGTTGCTGAACGATAGCGTTTTTAAAACAAGGAGCCAGATAAACACACTGGAGAGGCTCATTCCAACTATCCAACCCAAGGTAGTCAGCAAGGTGGTAAAGCAAGTTCAGCAAGATCCGGACACCATTGAAGAGTCAAACAAACTTCGTATAGCCCTAGAAGAGGAGAGAGATGAGATCTCTACAATGACAAAGGATCTGAACTCCCTTCAGCTTCGCTACACTGAATTGGAGATGCTCAAGCCCAAAGTTGAAGTCAAGGAGATCATCAATGAGATCTACAGAGTCGATCCTGAGACCGAACTCCAGCTGGTGCGTCTGAAGAAAGATATGCAGGACACAAGCCGGAACCGTGTAGAGCTTGAGAAAGAAATAACCAGCGTGATGTCGACTCTGACTACTCTTCGCGCCCAGAAACCCAAAGTGGAATTCAAGGAAGTGACCCAAGAGGTGATTAAAGAGGAAAAGAGTCCAGAGATCATCAGGGAACTGCAAAGGCTGAACAACCAAGTGTCCCGCCTGCAGCTCAACTATGATACCACTCTGGAGCTGCTAACTCACCTGCGCAAAGAAAGAGATGACTTGAAGGCCGAGAAATCCAGAGTGGAGACCAAGCTGGTCAATAAGGAGCTCATTAAATATGAAGATGATCCTCTTCTTGAGAAGGAAGCAGACAGGCTGAGGAGGATGCTAAGAGAGGAAATTCACCAGCGACGCAGTGTGGAGGAGATTCTCTTCGATCTTCAGAACCAATACATTCTCCTTGAGAGGCAGAAACCAGAGGAGAAGATTGTAACCAAGGAAGTGGTGAAGCTCCAGAAGGACCCCAAGCAGATCCTGGAGCATGATAAGTTGAACAAGACTCTGGATGATGAAATGAAATCCCGTCGGAAGCTTGAGTTGGAGGTCAGACAGCTTAGAGCCTTGGTTCAAGACAAACAGAATACCTTGTCTCAGATGGATGATCGCCAAAAGAAGATCAAGATAGAGGCAGAGCTTAGGCAGGTCAAAGCTTGCATCTTCGAACTGGAAAATTCTCCGAAATCTGTTGAGGAAAAGATTGTCATTGAGGAGGTCCTGAAAGTGGAGAGGGACCCAGAACTGGAGAAACATGCTGATAGCTTGCGTGCTGATATGGAGACTGAGGGCACCAATATCAACCGTCTGGAGAGGGAAATTCGCAATCTGAGGCACACATTGGAAATCCTACAAAAGGAGAAGTCACTTGAGAAAGTCGTTTACAGAGAAGTTGTCCGGGTGGAGAAAGACCCTGGGGTTGAGGCTGAACGGGACCATCTGAGAGATTTGGTAACACAGGAGAGAAATCTAAGGCGGGACCTGGAGGATAACCTGCAAAACATCACCTTCAAATTTAACCATCTGCAGACATCAAAGTCCATGACGTCTCAGGAGGAGACACTTCTTACAAATAACAAAGATGCTCTGAAGAGGGAAAGAGAGGATCTCATGAAGGAACTCAGAATGCTGGAGACTCAACGACAGAGCATCAGTATTACCTTCCAGCAACAGTCCAAGCTGATGAGTGAGAGGAACCAGATGGCCCGGCAAAGAGGTCTCAAAGCAACCTCTGAGATTCAACGTCTGGAGCAAGAAATCCTTCATGAGAAAGACATAATCCACCAGAGAGAAGCACTCATCATTGAGTTACAGAACAGCATCATCAAAGAGGACCAGACTGAAACTCACACCAGAGAGACAAATCTTTCCACAAAGATCACCATCATGGATCCAGAAACCGGTAGACCCATGTCTCCCTATGATGCCTACATGGCGGGGCTGATTGACCGTAACCAGTACATTCACTTGTCAGAGTTAGAGTGTGATTGGGAGGAGATCACTTCCACTGGTCCGGACGGGGATGTAACCATTCTCCAGGACCGCAAGAGTGGTAGGCAGTACCCAGTCAAGGATGCCCTCAGGGCTGGTCGCTTGACTCAATATGATGTGATGCGCTACAAGGAAGGACATATCTCCATTTCTGAGTTTGCCCTCATGGTAGTGGGGGAAACCAAAAAGCCTTACATTCCTCCCCCCCCCATGACTCCAAGATCGCCCACCAAAACATTCCCATCCTCTCCTTTGAATTCCATGCCAAGCACCATGCGGTCCTCTTTAACCAGCCTCAATTCACATCTTAGTGGCAGTACGAACAACCTCAGTTCACATCTTAGTGGCAGCGCGGGCAACCTCAGTTCACATCTTAGTGGCAGTGCGAACAACCTCAGTTCACATCTTAGTGGCAGTGCGCACAACCTCAGTTCACATCTTAGTGGCAGTGCGAACAGCCTTGTAGCTGCACCTGGGGATGAGTACTTCCCCATCTCCGGTATTTATGACACCACCACCGACAGCCGTATGTCTGTGAGGAGTGCCCTGACTCGCCAGCTTATTGATACCGACACAGCTCTGAAGCTGCTGGCGGCACAAGCAGCCTCAGGAGGAATCGTAGACCTTTCCAGAAAGGACAAATTTTCTGTTCATAAGGCGGCTCGTGATGGGCTCATTGACTCTGGTCACATGTACAAGCTTCTGAATGCCCAGAAAGCTTTTACAGGAGTGGAGGATCCTGTGACTAAAGAGCGCCTCCCAGTGGGACCTGCAGCAAAGAAAGGTTATATTCCTGAAGAGAATGCCAGAAGATACATGGAGGCACAGTACCTGACCGGTGGTTTGGTGGATCCATCTAAAGCAGGTCGCCTTACCATTCAAGAAGCTCTTGACACCAATCTGATAGACCAGAAAACTGCAGATGAGCTGCAGGATGAAGCCTCCTACCCGAAAGAGCTGGTAGACCCCATAACTAAGGAGAAGATTTCATATAAGCAGGCAATGGATCTGTGCAAGAGAGACCCTGCCACAGGACTCCTGCTGCTTCCTGCTGCCTCAACTGATTCTTACAATGCCCCATCGTACTCAAGCTATCGGTTCAATTCCCCCTACCACAGAATATAAATGGGACTCTTTTGATGTACTACAGTTTTTCTGCTACAATCCCTGTTCCCAGTGGCTGTGTAATGAAACTAACTGACACACACACAATATTACAGGTTCAAAATAATATGTTTAAACAGTGGTGGAACTGTTCATGTGAATCAATGTTTTTCAGTGCTGTTTTGGGTCTGTTGTAAAAACTGAGGGTCATTTTTGTATTGTATGGATAACTTTTTGTCTGCTTTGAAGCTTCATACTTTATACATGCTTATTAAACTCCACAAACCTGACACTGCATTTTCTGTCCCATTATTTAAATACAGTGATTATTTTCTACACAAATGGAAAACATGTGTTGCGGTCACAGGCGTCCTGTCCTCTAAAACACCTGAGAGGTGTCTCTTGGGTATATTTTTGGTCCTACACCACAAAGACAAAGTACAGGCTGTTTAAGGGATTTGTACTTTACTGATGTTTTACTCTTTGATGAAAATAAATCTGCAGGCTCACCTGTGAGGCAACAGAGGATGCACTACAATGGAGTATGTAATGTTTGCAGGTGAGCTGTACTTTGTTCGTATCAGGCTTGAATTTTGAGTTTTGGTGAACAATACAGAGAAAGCAGTCTTTGAACAGTCAGGATCGCAAACAGGCTATTGATCTAATGCAGATATTAAAGCAGTTTAAGTTATTGAAATTCTGTCCTAATGCCACATTAGGACAGAATTAAAGAGGACATAGATAAAGATTCACTTTCAGAAGGTCCTTTAAGGAAATTATGATACCAAATAATGGTTGTTATGTTACAAGATTAAAGTGGTTATTTTAATGAACCATGATTATAAATGAGACGCAAAAAAGATTCCGCAAATTTCTCACTTTTGGTTCAGTCTGCTGAATATAAACCAAGAGTAAGACTTTAAGTAGGATCCTGAGCTGATGCTCGTGATAAAATTACTTCATTTTTTCGCAATTTATTGACTTTATTCTCTTATTCTTATAATATTTTGACTTTACTGCATCTTTATTCTTGTTAGATTTTGACTTTAATTTTTACCATCTCAACTTTGTTCTCAATTTTTTTGTTAATGTTGTCCTGATACTCTTGTACAAGAGTAGGACTGCAAAAGCACTATTGAGTTCAAACCTATTCTTCTCCTTCACTTTAATTTTTTTGACCCCACCCCCCATCCCCCGTGTTGTAGTTCTCTGTACCATCCTGTAAGGGTCCCGGGGGGTTCATGATACCCAAGTGCCACTAGGGATCCCCACAAGCCTCCCAAAATCAACTCACAACCAGCAAGAAATTGAATGCCAAGATAACACAATGAATAACTGTCCTTCACACCCTGTTACTGTAGTGGCCCTTGCTAGTGAAATCAAGAATTTTGTGACTATACACATTTATTAGTCACTATACACACTGAGTCACTTAAGTAAGTCCCCTATTTTTTTTCTAATGTTTATAATCATTCCAACAACAATGAGTTAATCTCATTTGTGGAAACATCTTTGTAATCCTGTTGTTTTTAAAATAATTTAAAGAAACTGTTTCTCTGTGGCAGGCAGGTGTCAGTGTGTATCACTGGACCGTGTCAAAGCCCAGCCTTACAGAGTTGCCAGCGCGGTTGTTTAGTCATGTTATTAATATAAATAAGGATTACAGGTAAATAACTCCGTAACACAATGATTCATCTATTATATCTGGCTCTCCAACTCATAGCAACATTGCTATACTTAGCATGCAATGCTGGTAAACCCTGATGAGTCATATGTTTGGAAATCATGGATTATGGATGCAGATTAAATATGTTTCACAGCAGGCCTGTAGTGGTGAACAAGGTCAAACTCAGGGGTCCACATGGAGGAAGCACGTGCCTGAAAAGAAAAAACGCAGGGAAACAAACTTAAAAAAACAATTTAAGAAAATCTGAATTCTTTTTTTATGTAATGCCAGATTGCATAAATAAACACTTCTGAAACTCACTAACAAAAGTTGTCAACAAGAGCCTTTAAGCTTTATTTCAAGGAAAACTTTAATGGGTTGGGAAATGTCTAAAGTTCGGACATAAACCCACATAGTTTAAGGTGAATGGAGCTAATGTGGAAATGTGTGGCCTCTGCTGGGATGTCTGTCTGCCAGATTATCGGGTGACTGGAAGGACTTTGAGGGATTACAGATGGCATGAGCCTGTCTGAGGGCTGAGGGGCTCCGCTCTGTGTCTAGAGGGGGAGTGAAGGATGTTTCCTCCAGGATGTGGTTCTGGTTTGATTGGATGAATTAGTTGCAGTGTTTTTGTTATAGTCCTTATTTAAAAACTGCTGTGATGCTGTATAAAATGTGAAAAGACAGAACATTTGTCAGATCATTTAGACTCTATTTTCAATTTAATTAGTTCCAAGAAAAAAAATCTTGAAACTGGAAAATGTTATTTATTAAATAAATGTTCGGAGCATATCTACCATTGTGTGCCATTGTGTTCCATGTTCTTCGAGGAGTTCCTGGAGTTTAGAGGTGAAATGTTGTCCCAGTCCCGTCTTTTACTGGATTTCAGCTGCTCACCAGTTCTTTTTGTTGTTGTCATTTTTTCATGAACTCTTTCCAAGTTGAGACTGCAGGCCAGTTTAGTACCAGGGCTCTTCTACTACAGAGTCATACTGTTGTATTATGTGCAGATTGTGGTTTTGACTTCTTCCTGAACAATGTATACCCAGAAAAAGGTTTTGTACCAATCCCACTGTATGTATTGTTCAGTATTGATGGTCTTTTTTCAAACTTAAATGCACATTTCCACCAAAAGTACCAGGAATTTTTTCTTAAGGGATCTTCTCCTCGAGGCATAACATGGCTTCTAAAGCCCTTTGTTGGCTGTGTTTTCACTGCAACTGTTGGTCCAAATTCAGCAACTTTTCAGCTACCATTTTTATGAAATGGAAATAAAACAGCAATAATTTAAGTATGTACATATCTTACAGATTAGATAACACCAGGTTACCATATATATATATATATACATACCATGGACACTGATACATCCTATACCATCAGACATGCTGCCTTTTTAACTGTTTTTGAACTTTTGAACCCACACCTAAGAGCAGGAACTAAAAAGAAGCTGAGGAAAGAAGGCTAGAATTGGAGCAATAAAATCTTGTTTTCTTAAATAGGGATCATTCTAATCACAGAAGCATGTTAGACCAGCTGTAGGCGAGCCTGAGTTAAACCCTTATAGAGTAATAAACAAAGGTATAAACAACCTCAGTGTTAATCCCTAAACTATAAGAAGGATTTAAACTTGCAAACTAACTTAAGCTGACAGACACCCAATGAAACAACTTCCTTTACCTGGTCATCAAAAAAAAACATAAAGATCACGCTATAACAGTCTCACTTTAAAGTGCGTTGTGTGGTATTTAGCAGAACAGACTTGGTAGTTATGGAGTACAATATTCACAAGTTTGTTTGAATCAGTGCAAAATCACCAGAATATAAAAATGTTTTTGTTTTTGTTCACTAAGAATAAACACTTTTTATTTCTACCCACATCAACTATCTGCTTTAATCTTCTTTGTTTTTTTTATTTTTTTTGTAAAATAATCTATCAATGGAGTAGTGATCTACCCCACGTATGATCATTGAATTCCTCATTATCAGCTCTCTGTTACCCACCACATACAGTAAGTGGAAACACAAATGACACATTTCCTCTGAATGATGCACTCTATAATTAGCTCCTCTTTATTTCACTGCAGTGTTATGGTTTTAATTCTAGACTACAGTGCTGATGGTTTTTACTTTTATAAAATGCATTTGCAGGTTGTCTTTCACGCTCTGTATGAATGATGATAAACTCTCCCCTCCGCCTGCCCTGCAATCATGCTGACGCCATGTGAGTTGGTAGTTAAAGCACTCTCACTCCAGCACTGTCCTCTAAAAATTGCAACTGCTCCTGATATTTGACTGTGAGAAAAAAATAATATTTTAGCCAACAAAGGATTTTTTATGCATCGAGCGTACCCAGATAGACATAAACAAAAGAACAATGGCAGGAACTGTTTATGCATGCGTAATTCTTTGCATTAAAATAGCTAAAATAGAGGAATGCTGTGCAATGCTATGCTTATACCTGCTGATTAGTATTACCCAGCTTTCTCACTAATTACCGGGCTGCATTAAATACTTCATTCTGATTGGTCAAGTCTCCACAACAATAGTAATAATACTGAGTGAAAAAAGTGACGCCAGAGACGACCTGATTGCACAGGTCATATCAAATCAGTCTACAGCACGTCTGTAATTTCACCTCTGTCTGTTGACACTGGCAAAAAAATTGGTTTCCAGTAGCAGCAATAAACAGCAACGGGGATTTTTACTACTTTTAAACTACTTTTAATGTATTTGGAGAGAGTAAAATGTTATATTGATGGTTAAGACTGACCAGTCACCAGCAGCGAACAGAAGAGAAAAACAGCGCAGAAACTAGCAAGGGATGCTGAGTGAAAGAGACATCTACCAAACTGAAGAAAACAGACATTGAGCAGCCATAAACTGTGACACTGTTTAGGCTTTGCCAGCTTAACAGGCCTGATAGAGTGAGATAAAATCTAAACATAAAAGTCATGGAGAAGAGGATCCAAGACATATGCTGTACAGATATCTTCTACATGAAGTAAGCTGATACTGTTCCCATGAAAGTGCCACCAACAGTCAGTTATTAGGATCTATTTTTTTGCTGCATGATTAAATGATTTTAAACAGTTTTAAAAATAATACTTAGTGTTAACTAGTTTGTGTCCTTAGTTGGTGGTTGGGTAATAATTGGGTGGTTACTTTAGGGTCCAGGGGTTGGGATTCTGAACTACATAACCACCAATACACTTTACTTTACCCCTGATTTATGAATGTGCTAATTCATGGTGTATTGTACAAAAAAACAATATGACTGTTGCTTCATGTCGAGATTTTGGTTTCCATGCATATCTAAACAATAAGATCAGCAGTACTTCGGTCTGGTGGGTCACCTGTACAAATCCATAAAGAAAAGTATTTTAGTATATGAAAAGGTACCAGTTTACACCCTGTTTTATTCTACAGGGGTGTTTGAGCAAAGCATTAAATCTGGGTATTAGTCCATGTGCAGCCCCCTCACCCTGGCATGCCTCGATTAGTGCATGTTTATGGGATCCTGTTTGAGGGTGTATATGTTTGCCTTTTGATTAAGTAGCATGTTCAATTTCAGAATGTAAAAAATTGATTCTCTCTCTGGGATAACAGATGTTCATGTCCAACAGTAGAATTTATCTTACTGGAAACATTTGCATTTGGACTTCCTTCATACAAAAACTGCACAGGAAGTCAAAACATTTGTCCAACTTATACATGAAATAAAAATCGTGAAATTAAACTACGAGTATAAAATGATGTATAACTTTTAGCCTTAACACGGTTTAAATGATTTAGTTATGTAACAAATCTGCCCCAGTTAAGTTGTCATGAATAGAGAAAGTAGTGATACTAAATCCTCTTTAGTTCACCGCTGTAAACATGATTAAATCTGCTGTGAAGTTGGGTACTTAAACATGGAGCCTAATCAGGATTGACTCCATTTTGAGGTCAGCCCCAAGTGGCTGCTGAGGTAACTGCAGTGTTTTTTTCTTTTGATGTGACCACAGAGTGTTGGATCTGTCCTTTAGCAGAGCAGGGGCTGCCCATCCTGACATGTTTCTGGATTAGACAAAGATCTGTGATCATGTCTTGGATCCAAGCTGCATTCAAGAGCAGACGGCGTCCCAGAGGCCCGTCTGAGCCTCCTGACAAGCAGCTCAGAGAAGGTTTAAAGATGGTGTGTTATATAAGTACTTACAATGGAACCAAGAACTTCTTATTCTGAATAATTAAGATTTTTTTTTTAGGGCAGATGACTCCCTTTCAGTGATGTTTGGGCTCCAGTAGCCTCTCTGAGCCTGCCAACTGTAATTATGTCCCCATTCACAAGACCAGCCCAAGACGGACTTGAATGTTTTTGCCACAGTGTCAACAGGCAGAGGTAAAAATACCAAACTCCTCTACATGGCTTGATTGTATATGAAATTTTCAGGTTTAGGTTACTTTATATAAACACCAGCTCCTCCATCAACACAGTACATATCATTAAAAACGTAATAAAAAGGTTAAAAGTCCAACTATCCAACAACAGCCTGAATAAAAAATGGAGCCTGTAAGAAAGTCAGAATCAGGGGTGTGTGTGTGTGTGTGGAGATGTCCCACCTCTATTCTACTGGGATGGGATTATGGGGTTTTGACCAACCTGGATCCAACATTAAACACAGTTGGATGATATCACACTTACATTTTCTTTTCCCTTTAAGCTAATATGACTAAAATCAAGGTCTTTCTTTGTCATACACTCAGTTGCTTGCAGTTTGCCAGAGTTGAAAACCTTATGCTTCACCTCAGAGAAGCTTCCATGTCTGCATAATGAGACCCAAAAGACAACAGAAAAAAAACGGAAGTGTATTTTAAAAAAATATATACTTGATACTTGTTTTTTTTGTTATGGCTAATTCAGACGAATCATACATATTGATCTTTTAAACCCCTCAGAAATGTTGGCTCCATTTTGGGATTTTCTCTTGATGATTCATTGCTATTTAAATTTTTAACTCACTAAAGTCATGCCTCAAATATAAATGTATCTTATTTTTTCAAGAGAAAATGACTCTTTCATTTTGGGACATTGAAATTGAAAGATAAAAAAGTCTAGAAGAGCATAGAGTGTATGATATAAAGGTAGAATTTGAAAATGAAAAGTGATGCAGTCTTTTCCAACACCATAAACTCTTAGTATTTCTATATTTGTATTGAAGTGAGTGTGTGTTAGTCATGACTAAAATTAACTTTAAAATATGATATTATGGAAGATTTTTTTTACACTTTGATGATTCATTTGAATAGGAAGGCATGCTTATTAAATAATGTAATGCTCAGAGGTCTGATTATAAGTCAACAAAAATGAATGTAGTTTTGAACAATAACTTAAAGCTCCCATTTGTTTTGCTGGTCATGAATCACCTTGAAATTTATGTTGGTGTCTTTTAATATGTTAAAAAAGAAAAGTACATCATTAACCCAAAGATTGAAAACTCTTGCATGGTTATGTGCTGTGCCTGAAACCCCTGGCATGAGATGAGGGAGAAAAAATACTTCTTAAATATGTACAGAAAAAAAAAATCAAGGTAAAGTTCAGAGGCACTACTATCTTGTGCAAAAGAGGACTGACTTGAAAGTGCCCTGTGGAAGTTTGAGCTTTTTCTTGATGAGTCTGAAAGAGAAAATTCTACCCTTCTTTAACAGCTGTTTTAAAAACTGTAAAAAAAAAAAAAAACTTTATTACAGATCTCATGGTTTTGGTATAATTTTCTTTGAAGAGCAATAAATCAAACATATATTTTTATTCTTAAAAAACAGTAGAAAACATTTTATTGAGAATTTGGTTCTGAAAGAGACACAAAGATGAGACAAACCATGACAACACTAAGTCTGAAGGATCTGTCCAAACCAAAATCTACAGCACACATGTTGGGTCACTGCGAACTCAATTTTACCATTACAATAAAATCTCTCCTTCTTTTATTGTACATAGGAGACAGGGTCAGAAAAGAGGGAAAGTTCCAAAGTACAGAGCCTACACTCACTAAATAAACTCTAAGTTTCCTACAGAGAGCAGCACTAGTTTTTAGAAACTCCCCACGTCATACGTCAGCCTGTGCGTCAGTCTTTGTCAGCGGCAGAGTCAGAGGATGCTCCGGGAAACGGATCGCCTCGCTGTTGCGGCGCATGTACGCGTGACCGCTAATGGGGTACCACATTTCCGTGAAGCTCAGGTTACCCACGGTGATGGCGCAGCGGCCCAGCACCTTGAAGCCGGACTTTTGGTAGAAGGGAATGAGGAACTCTTCGCACATCAGCACCGCGCGGCGCACGTTGGGGAGGCAGCGCAGATATTGCAGGTAACGCCACATCAGGATGGGACCTTTGCCCTGTTGTCTGAACGTGCGGTGCACGGCGAGGACGTGGATGTGGACGGTGGAGCCGCGGGGCTTGTGGAGAGTCAAAGCATCCTGAAACAAGAGAAAAAAAACCCTTAAAAATCCCTCTTACTTTTTAAACATTAGTTTTTGTTTCTCTTAGCAGCTCTGAAATGTCTACCGTGGTGAGTCTGTCCTGGTCCCAAAGAGAGCCGATGATAAAAGCCACCAGCCGGCCCTCCTCGATCCATCCCATGGACAGTTCTGGACACAGTGTGAGGAAGTGGCGCACCTCATCCAGATGGAGGGGACACTCACCTGACACTGAAATAAACGCTAAAGAGAGAGAAACAAGGAGTTTTGAACGTGCGTAAATGCGCATATACACACGGTTGAGTTGATCCAAAAGAATAATAATGATGATGGTCATCATCATAAAAGTGATAATAACTTTTAGTTGGGCTATAGATATAACCTTTAGGTGGAATAAAAGACTATATAACCACTTAATTGCTTAAATACATAGAATAAAAAGAAATACGTATCGTCGTTTTCACACATAGTTTTACGCAAATCCCTTTAACGCTTCTTTTCACTCAGCAAAACTTCAGTACGTGCCCAGGAAGATGTGTCACTCACCTTCTCGCTCGATTTCAAATACACTGATGGCATCCTGGGTGTTGAGGGGTCTGAACTCACTCGCGGGCAGAGTGTGTCTCCTCTGGATGCCCGGAGAGACAGACGGTCCTGGCTGCATTGGTTTGATGAAAGGCAGCGCACCAATAACAGACATCGTACGACTTCACTCTCTCCTCAGTCTCACCTGCTCGTCTCGCGCTGGGCAGGATCACCCTTCAGGCCCTGCGAGGACGATAAAACACTGAGTCTGTATTTATAGGAGAGCTCTGCGGGCTGTGATTAACGCACTCATTTGCATTTGAATATTTGTTGTTAGTGGATGACTGAATGGCACAGTCGCTGTGTGGTAATTAAAGTAAAACCTGTAATTAACTGCGCCCATTGTTGCTGTTTGGTTCATACGAATGGACAGATAATAACAAATGTCTTTTTTTATGGATCAACCTCTGGACTGATTGGAGCAGGTAGATGACGCAGGTTCACAGGGAGGCACGTTGACCCAGAAGCAAAAGTTTGGTTACATGCATTTATTTTAAGTCAAACTGCATTTGAAATCATTAAAAGTGAATCAGTATAGTGCTCAGAAATGTTCATTCCATCACACTGAATAAAAATGTAAAAAAAACGAGTTAAAGATTGGAAATGCTCTGGTCTTGGCTTCACTTACCGGAGGATGTGGAGCTCTGTGTCGGTTCTCCGCCTCTGTGTCACATCCTAACGCCTCTCTCTTCATTATCAAGTGATTATTTTACTATGAGTCACATGATGGAGATTACAGGAGTTGTTTCCACAACTCTGCGCATTACAGACTCCTTATCTCCTTTCTGACTGAGTTGCAACACCTTCATGTTGTTGTGCGTGCTGAGAAGAGACTGTTATTCATTTGATAAGGTTATATTTTATTAGTTATTTGCTGTTTACTGTGTATTCAGCTGACTTGAACAGAAAAATCACATGAATATGAGAGTTTTATGTACTAAAACACTGAAATACCAACCCTCCTGAGTTTAAATAAATTCATACAACAAACGTAGAGAAAAATTTCTGGTATATTATGATTAAAACTTAAAACGTAAAACCAAACCATTTTGGTATGTAAAAAAATGTCATAGTGAAGTATGATAAAAATTTTATATTTAAGTATGATCAAAATTTCGTATTATAGTATGATGAAATCTACTTGTAAAGTTAGATGCAAATGCATAGTATAGTGTGTTAAAAACTTCATATTTAAAGACATAAAAATATTTCATATTTTACTTTTAAAAAATGTCAAAGTGTAGTATGAAAGTAATGTCATAGAATAGTATGTTAAAAATTTTAAATTTTCATATGGAAAAAAAATCCTATTTCATAATGGGAAAAATATCTGGTATAGTATGAAAATATGTTATAGTATACTATGTAAAAAAATAATTTAAGTATGTAAAAAAATTCACATTTTTGGATGAAAAAATGTGATAATTTATTACAATAAAAATGTCATGGTATAGTATGTTAAAAATTTCATATTTGAGTATGAAAAAAAAGATTTAGTATAAAAAATGTTCATAGTATAGTACCGTAAAAATGTCATAGTATAGAATGTTAAAAACATTTTAGAATAAATTCTTTTTGTCATATTTTAGTATGAAAATTTTTTTTGTAAAAAAAAAATGTCATAGTACAATATGTTGAAAATGGTAAATTTTAGTATGAAAAAATTTCAAATTTAATATGGAAAAAGTAGAACCATAGTAAAATAAAAACTTGAAAAATGTTGTAGTATAATATGATAAAAATTTCAGAGTATTGTATGTAAAAAAAAATCAAACTTTAATGTGAAAAAAGGCCATATTACAGTATGATAAAATCGAATAGTATGGCAAAATAAAAATGTCATAGGAAAGTATGTTAAAAATTTATATTTGAGGTAAAAATATTTGATATTTAGGTATGAAAAAAAAAATCTAATTTTTGTATAAAATCTGGTACAGTGAACTTTACAAGAAATTTTAAATATTAGTATAAAAAACATTTTTAAATTAATTTGAAAAAAAGTCATACTATAGTAGAATAAAAACGTCACAATGTGGAATGATGAAAAATGTTATAGTATAATATGATAAAAATGTCATAGTATTGTATGTTAAAAAATCATATTTTAGTATTAAAAAATATCATATTATAGTGTGATAAAATCTTCTTGTATGGTAAGATTAAAAAATATATCAGAATAGTATGTAAATTTTTTTGTTAGGTTAAAAAATATTTGATTTTGAGGTATGAAAAAAAACACATTCTCATTTAAAAAATGGTATAGTAAACTTTGTAAGAAATTTTAAATTTTAGTATGAAAAAAAATCTAATTTATTATAGTATGAAAAAAATATATTAAGATTAAAAAAGTATGTTAAGATAAGAATGTCAGGATAGTATGTTTAAAAAAAATCCTATTTTAGTATGGGAAAAATGTATGTTATGGTTTGCAAAAATGTCATGTCAAATGTCAAAAGTAATTATGAACATTTTTTAATTTTAGTGTGACAAAAATTTCACATTTTGGGTTAAAAAAATGTCATCATTTATAATGACAAAAATATCATAGTATAGAATGTTAAAAATTTAATATTTTAGTACAAAAAAATCACACTTTAGTGAAAAAATGTCATAGTATAGTATGTTAAAAGTTTTACATTTTAGTATGAAATAAACTTCACATTTGACTATAAAAATGTCTGAGTAAAGTATGATAAAACCTTTACATTTCGGTATAAAAAAATTTCATAATACAAAATAAACATTTTATTGGAAAGTATGTAAAAAAATTCATTTTTTAGTATGAAAAAAAACATTTAAGTTTAAAAAATGTCATTGTATATTATGATATGTCATTGTAAAGTATGCTTAACCTTTTTTTTAGTATGAAAAGTAATGTCATAATATCACATTTTCAGATGCAAAAATGTAATTATATACTATGATAAAAATGTTAGTATGTTAAAAATTTCATATTTTAGCATAAAAAAAACACATTTTAGTTAAAAATTATCATTGTATAGATATGTGATAATATCCCATACTTGAGCATAAAAAATGTCACAGGGTGGTATATTAAAGAAATCATAGAAAAGTATGTTCAAAATGTCAAATTATAGTTTGAAAAAACAATCATATTTAAGTATGGAAAAAAATGTCAGTGTAGTTTGAAAACAATGTCACAGTATAGAATGTAAGAAATTTTAAATTCACGTATAGAAAAATTTCATATTTAAGTATGAAAAAAGTCACTACAGTATGATACAATTTTACATCTTGGGATGCAAACATTTTATTATATCGTATGATAAAACGTTATAGTATAGTATGTTAAAAAATGTCATACTTGATTATGGAAACAAAAACATTTAAGTATAAAAATGTCATTGTATAGTATGTTAAAAATTTAAAATTTTAGTAGGACAAAAAATACATATTGTGGTATAAAAAAATGTCATAGTATGGTATGACAAAAACTTTTTTTGGTAAGTCATTTTGGTATTTAAAAAAAGTCATTATAATAAGATAAAAATGTCATAGAAAAGTATGTTAAAAAAATCACATTTAGTACAATCAAAATGACATAGTACAGTATGATGAAATCTTATGGTGTAGTGAAATATAAAACTCATAGGAAAGTATGCTAAAGATTTTAAATTTAAAGATAAAAAATATTTCATATTTTGTTATGAAACAAATATCATAGAGTAGTATGCTAAAAATGTCTTAGAATAGTGTGTTAAAAATTTCAAATTTTAGTTAAAAAATTATATTTTAGTGAGGTAAAAATGTAAATTTTGATATGAAAAAAATTCACATTTTGGGATGAAAAAAATGTCAGTATAGTATAATAATAACTTCAAATGTCAAATAAAGTATGTTAACTCTTCATTTCAGTATAAAAAATTATGATAATTGTCAAAATGTCATAGTGAAGTATGTTTATAATTTCAAATTTTAGTACTAAAAAAATTCAAATTTTAGGATGAAAATGTCATAGTACAGCATGTTAAAATTTTTAATTTTAGTATTAAAAAGTCATTGTAAAGTATAACAAAGAAAAACTTATTTTAGTATGATCAAAATGTCAGAAAATGTTACAGCACAGTTAGATAAAAATGTCATTGGATAGCATGTTAAAAATGTCATATTTTGGGTTTCAGCAAATATTTTATATTTTGGCATGAAAAAATGTCTTAGTGTAGTATGATAAAGATGTCATAGTGTAGTAGGTAAAAAAACAATACATTTTATTGTTAAAAAAATTCCATATTTTCGTTTAAGGAAAAAGTCATAGTATACTATGATAAAAATTTCACAATTTTTAATTAAAAAGAGGTTATAATTTAGTGGAATTATTTTGTCATAGTACAGTATGTTTATAATTTCCAATTTTAGCATTTTTTTTTTCACATTTTAGTATAAAAAAGGTCATAGTATAGAATGTTAAAAATTTTAAATTTTACTATGAAAAATAATTACATATTTAACTATTTTTAAGTAAATGTCATTGTGTAGTATGACAAAAAATTTACATTTTGGTATGAAAAATAATGTCATAGTACAATATGTAGTTCCTTTTTGATTATGAATAAAAATTCAAATTTAAGAATAAAAAAATCATATTTAGGTATGATAAAAATGTCACAGTGTGGTATGATAAAATGTCATAGTATTGTATGATAAAAATGTCAAATTAAAGTATGAAAAAATCCTGTTTGAGTATGAAAAAATGTCATATTATAGTATGATGAAAATCCAAAGAAAAAGAGAGATTAAAAATTTCAGGATAGTATGTTAAAATTTCATATTTGAGGATCAATTTTTTTCATATGTTAGTATGAATTTTTTTTTTTTAGAATAGTACTATGGGGTGCTGTTTGTAAAGCAGCCCATTATGAAAACAGCAAAATTTGGTCACATTTAGCAAAACAACAGCAAGATTTGGTCACATTTAGCTTCAAACAGCATTTAAAAAAGTGATGTGAATTTTCGGCAGTCATTTTTTTGCACATTTACAACAACATTTAAATACTAAAACTAAATGTAAAATCTAAATGCTAAATATAAATATTAAATATATATGTTTAATCTAAATGTTAAATCGAAATATAAATGTTAAATCTAAATGTTAAATATAAATCTAAATGTTAAATATAAGTCCAAATGTTAAATATAAATCTAAATGTAAATGTTAAATATAAATGTCTATCTAAAAAGTCTTCCTCCCTCTGCAACTTCATCGGTGGCTGTGGCAGCGTCCGTCCCAAAGGAGCAGTATCATGTGTGCGCCTGCATGTGTGTGTGCGTGTGTTCGTACAGTGTCCGCGCCACACGGAGAAGCGACACTGAAAACTCGGGTCTTTCTGATAAATTTTTTGTTGTTGCTGTTGCTATTGTAGGTAGTTATTAACACGAAACGTCACCACAAGTATTTGTTCCCCCCTTAAATTGGTTTGAAATAGTTTTCTTCGACACAAGAATCATCAATATGACCTTCTGGAGCTTTTATTTTGGCACTTCCAGTTTCCGACCGTGAATTTGCATATTAGCTAAATATTTAGTGTCGCCCAACACATTTAGATTTAACATTTAGATTTAACATTTAGATTTAGATTTATTATTTAGATTTAACATTTAGATTTAGATTTAACATTTACATTTAACATTTAAAATTTAGATTTAACATTTACATTTAACATTTAACATTTATATTTAACATTTATATTTAGATTTAACATTTATATTTATATTTAACATTTACATTTAACATTTAGATTTAACATTTATATTTAACATTTACATTTAACATTTAGATTTAACATTTAGATTTAGATTTAACATTTACATTTAGATTTAACATTTACATTTAACATTTAGATTTAACATTTAGATTTAGATTTAACATTTACATTTAACATTTAGATTTAACATTTACATTTAACATTTAGATTTAACTTTAATAACATTAGATTTAACATTTACATTTATATTTAACATTTAGATTAAACATATGTGTTTAACATTTATATTTAGCAATTAGATTTAACATTTAGTTTTAGTATTTAAATGTTGACTGCCGAAAATTCACATCACTTTTTTAAATGCTGTTTGAAGCTAAATGTGACCAAATCTTGCTGTTATTTTTTATAATGGGCCGTTAAATCTAAATGTTAAATATAAATCTAAATGTTAAATATAAGTCTAAATGTTAAATATAAATCTAAATGTAAATGTTAAATCTAAATGTCTATCTAAAAAGTCTTCCTCCCTCTGCAACTTCATCGGTGGCTGTGGCAGCATCCGCCCCAAAGGAGCAGTATCATGTGTGTGCCTGCGTGTGTGTGTGTGTGTTCGTACAGTGTCCGCGCCACACGGAGAAGCGACACTGAAAACTCGAGTCTTTCTGATAAAGTTTTTGTTGTTGCTGTTGCTATTGTAGGTAGTTATTAACACGAAACGTCACCCCAAGTATTTGTTCCCCCCTTAAATTAGTTTGAATTTGTTTTCTTCGACACAAGAATCATCAATATGACCTTCTGGAGCTTTTATTTTGGCACTTCCAGTTTCCGACCGTGAATTTGCATATTAGATAAATATTTAGTGTCGCCCAACACATTTAGATTTAACATTTACATTTAACATTTAGATTTATCATTTAGATTTAGATTTAACATTTACATTTAACATTTACATTTAACATTTAGATTTAACATTTACATTTAACATTCACATTTAACATTTACATTTAACATTTATATTTAACATTTATATTTATATTTAACATTTAGATTTAGATTTAACATTTACATTTAACATTTACATTTAACATTAAACATTTAGACTTAACAGTTAGATTTAGATTTTACATTTAGATTTAGATTTTACATTTAGATTTAACATTTAGATTTAGATTTAACATTTACATTTAACATTTAAAATTTAGATTTAACATTTACATTTAACATTTACATTTAACATTTAACATTTAGATTTAACATATATTTAACATTTATATTTAGCATTAAGATTTAACATTAAGATTTAGATTTAACATTTACATTTAACATTTACATTTAGATTTAACATTTACATTTAACATTTACATTTAACATTTACATTTAACATTTACATTTAACATTTACATTTAACATTTACATTTAACAGTTAGATTTAGATTTAACATTTAGATTTAGATTTAACATTTACATTAAACATTTAGATTTAACATTTATATTTATATTTAACATTTAGATTAAACATATATATTTAACATTTATATTTAGCATTTAGATTTAACATTTAACATTTAGTTTTAGTATTTAAATGTTGACTGCTGAAAATTCACATCACTGTTTTAAATGCTGTTTGAAGCTAATTGTGACCAAATCTTGCTGTTGTTTTTTATAATGGGCTGTTAAATCTAAATGTTAAATATAAATCTAAATGTTAAATATAAGTCTAAATGTTAAATATAAATCTAAATGTAAATGTTAAATCTAAATGTCTATCTAAAAAGTCTTCCTCCCTCTGCAACTTCATCGGTGGCTGTGGCAGCGTCCGCCCCAAAGGAGCAGTATCATGTTTGCGCCTGCATGTGTGTGTGCGTGTGTTCGTACAGTGTCCGCGCCACACGGAGAAGCGACACTGAAAACTCGAAGACTTTCTGATAAAGTTTTTGTTGTTGCTGTTGCTATTGTAGGTAGTTATTAACACGAAACGTCACCCCAAGTATTTGTTCCCCCCTTAAATTGGTTTGAATTCGTTTTCTTCGACACAAGAATCATCAATATGACCTTCTGGAGCTTTTATTTTGGCACTTCCAGTTTCCGACCGTGAATTTGCATATTAGATAAATGTTTAGTGTCGCCCAACACATTTAGATTTAACATTTAGATTTAGATTTAACATTTACATTTAACATTTAGATTTAACATTTACATTTAAAATATAGATTTAACATTTACATTTAACATTTAGATTTAACATTTACATTTAACATTTAGATTTAACATTTACATTTAACATTTAGATTTAACATTTATATTTATATTTAACATTTAGATTTAGATTTAACATTTACATTTAACATTTACATTAAACATTTAGATTTAACATTTACATTGAACATTTACATTTAACATTTAGATTTAACATTTACATTTAACATTTAACATTTAGATTAAACATATATATTTAACATTTATATTTAGCATTAAGATTTAACATTTAGATTTAGATTTAACATTTAGATTTAACATTTAGATTTAGATTTAACATTTACATTTAACATTTACATTTAACATTTACATTTAACATTTACATTTAACATTTACATTTAACATTTAACATTTATATTTAACAGTTAGATTTAGATTTAACATTTAGATTTATATTTAACATTTACATTAAACATTTAGATTTAACATTTACATTTAACATTTAGATTTAGATTTAACATTTACATTTAACATTTACATTTAACATTTACATTTAACATTTAGATTTAACATTTACATTTAACATTTACATTTAACAGTTAGATTTAGATTTAACATTTAGATTTATATTTAACATTTAGATTAAACATATATATTTAACATTTATATTTAACATTTAACATTTAGTTTTAGTATTTAAATGTTGACTGCCGAAAATTCACATCACTGTTTTAAATGCTGTTTGAAGCTAAATGTGACCAAATCTTGCTGTTGTTTTTTATAATGGGCTGTTAAATCTAAATGTTAAATATAAGTCTAAATGTTAAATCTAAATCTAAATCTAAATGTTAAATCTAAATGTCTATCCAAAAAGTCTTCCTCCCTCTGCAACTTCATCGGTGGCTGTGGCAGCGTCCGCCCCAAAGGAGCAGTATCATGTGTGCGCCTGCATGTGTGTGTGCGTGTGTTCGTACAGTGTCCGCGCCACACGGAGAAGCGACACTGAAAACTCGAGTCTTTCTGATAAAGTTTTTGTTGTTGCTGTTGCTATTGTAGGTAGTTATTAACACGAAACGTCACCCCAAGTATTTGTTCCCCCCTTAAATTGGTTTGAATTCGTTTTCTTCGACACAAGAATCATCAATATGACCTTCTGGAGCTTTTATTTTGGCACTTCCAGTTTCCGACCGTGAATTTGCATATTAGCTAAATATTTAGTGTCGCCCAACACATTTAGATTTAAGATTTAGATTTAGATTTAACATTTACATTTAACATTTAGATTTAACATTTACATTTAACATTTAGATTTAACATTTACATTTAACATTTACATTTAACATTTAGATTTATATTTAACATTTAGATTTAGATTTAACATTTACATTTAACATTTACATTTAACATTTACCATTAAACATTTAGATTTAACAGTTAGATTTAGATTTTACATTTAGATTAAGATTTTACATTTAGATTTAACATTTAGATTTAGATTTAACATTTACATTTAACATTTAAAATTTAGATTTAACATTTACATTTAACATTTACATTTAACATTTACATTTAACATTTACATTTAACATTTAACATTTAGATTTAACATTTATATTTAGATTTAACATTTATATTTAGATTTAACATTTACATTTAACATTTAGATTTAACATTTACATTTAACATTTACATTTAACATTTACATTTAACATTTAACATTTAGATTTAACATTTAGATTTAGATTTAACATTTAGATTTAGATTTAACATTTAGATTTAGATTTAACATTTACATTTAACATTTAGATTTAACATTTACATTTAACATTTAGATTTAACATTTACATTTAACATTTAGATTTAACATTTACATTTAACATTTAGATTTAACATTTACATTTATATTTAACATTTAGATTAAACATATGTGTTTAACATTTATATTTAGCAATTAGATTTAACATTTAGTTTTAGTATTTAAATGTTGACTGCTGAAAATTCACATCACTGTTTTAAATGCTGTTTGAAGCTAAATGTGACCAAATCTTGCTGTTGTTTTTTATAATGGGCTGTTAAATCTAAATGTTAAATATAAATCTAAATGTTAAATATAAGTCTAAATGTTAAATCTAAATCTAAATCTAAATGTTAAATCTAAATGTCTATCTAAAAAGTCTTCCTCCCTCTGCAACTTCATCGGTGGCTGTGGCAGCGTCCGCCCCAAAGGAGCAGTATCATGTGTGCGCCTGCATGTGTGTGTGCGTGTGTTCGTACAGTGTCCGCGCCACACGGAGAAGCGACACTGAAAACTCGAAGACTTTCTGATAAAGTTTTTGTTGTTGCTGTTGCTATTGTAGGTAGTTATTAACACGAAATGTCACCCCAAGTATTTGTTCCCCCCTTAAATTGGTTTGAATTCGTTTTCTTCGACACAAGAATCATCAATATGTCCTTCTGGAGCTTTTATTTTGGCACTTCCAGTTTCCAGCCGTGAATTTGCATATTAGCTAAATATTTAGTGTCGCCCAACACATTTAGATTTAACATTTACATTTAACATTTAGATTTATCATTTAGATTTAGATTTAACATTTACATTTAACATTTAGATTTAACATTTACATTTAACATTTACATTTAACATTTACATTAAACATTTAGATTTAACATTTACATTTAACATTAAACATTTAGATTTAACAGTTAGATTTAGATTTAACATTTAGATTTAGATTTTACATTTACATTAAACATTTATATTTAACATTTACATTTAACATTTGACATTTAGATTTAACATTTAGATTTAACATTTATATTTAGATTTAACATTTAGATTAAACATATATATTTAACATTTTTATTTAGCATTTAGATTTAACATTTAGATTTAGATTTAACATTTAGATTTAACATTTAGATTTAGATTTAACATTTACATTTAACATTTAGATTTAACATTTAGATTTAACATTTACATTTAACATTTAGATTTAACATTTACATTTAACATTTACATTTAACATTTATATTTAACATTTATATTTATATTTAACATTTAACATTTACATTTAACATTTAGATTTAACATTTACATTTAACATTTAGATTTAACATTTAGATTTAGATTTAACATTTACATTTAACATTTAGATTTAACATTTACATTTAACATTTAGATTTAACATTTACATTTAACATTTACATTTAACATTTAACATTTAGATTTAACATTTATATTTATATTTAACATTTAGATTAAACATATATATTTAACATTTATATTTAACATTTAACATTTAGTTTTAGTATTTAAATGTTGACTGCCGAAAATTCACATCACTGTTTTAAATGCTGTTTGAAGCTAAATGTGACCAAATCTTGCTGTTGTTTTTTATAATAGGCTGTTAAATCTAAATGTTAAATATAAATCTAAATGTTAAATATAAGTCTAAATGTTAAACATTAATCTAAATCTAAATGTTAAATCTAAATGTCTATCTAAAAAGTCTTCCTCCCTCTGCAACTTCATCGGTGGCTGTGGCAGCGTCCGCCCCAAAGGAGCAGTATCATGTGTGCGCCTGCATGTGTGTGTGCGTGTGTTCGTACAGTGTCCGCGCCACACGGAGAAGCGACACTGAAAACTCGAGTCTTTCTGATAAAGTTTTTGTTGTTGCTGTTGCTATTGTAGGTAGTTATTAACACGAAACGTCACCCCAAGTATTTGTTCCCCCCTTAAATTGGTTTGAATTCGTTTTCTTCGACACAAGAATCATCAATATGACCTTCTGGAGCTTTTATTTTGGCACTTCCAGTTTCCGACCGTGAATTTGCATATTAGCTAAATATTTAGTGTCGCCCAACACATTTAGATTTAACATTTAGATTTAGATTTAACATTTACATTTAACATTTAGATTTAACATTTAGATTTAACATTTATATTTAACATTTACATTTAACATTTGACATTTAGATTTAACATTTAGATTTAACATTTATATTTAGATTTAACATTTACATTTAAAATATAGATTTAACATTTACATTTAACATTTAGATTTAGATTTAACATTTAGATTTAACATTTAGATTTAGATTTAACATTTACATTTAACATTTAGATTTAACATTAACATTTAACATTTAGATTTAACATTTACATTTAACATTTAGATTTAACATTTACATTTAACATTTACATTTAGAGCTTTTATTTTGGCACTTCCAGTTTCCGACCGTGAATTTGCATATTAGCTAAATATTTAGTGTCGCCCAACACATTTAGATTTAACATTTAGATTTAACATTTAGATTTAGATTTATTATTTAGATTTAACATTTAGATTTAGATTTAACATTTACATTTAACATTTAAAATTTAGATTTAACATTTACATTTAACATTTAACATTTATATTTAACATTTATATTTATATTTAACATTTACATTTAACATTTAGATTTAACATTTATATTTAACATTTACATTTAACATTTAGATTTAACATTTAGATTTAGATTTAACATTTACATTTAGATTTAACATTTACATTTAACATTTAGATTTAACATTTAGATTTAGATTTAACATTTACATTTAACATTTAGATTTAACATTTACATTTAACATTTAGATTTAACATTTACATTTATATTTAACATTTAGATTAAACATATGTGTTTAACATTTATATTTAGCAATTAGATTTAACATTTAGTTTTAGTATTTAAATGTTGACTGCCGAAAATTCACATCACTTTTTTAAATGCTGTTTGAAGCTAAATGTGACCAAATCTTGCTGTTATTTTTTATAATGGGCCGTTAAATCTAAATGTTAAATATAAATCTAAATGTTAAATATAAGTCTAAATGTTAAATATAAATCTAAATGTAAATGTTAAATCTAAATGTCTATCTAAAAAGTCTTCCTCCCTCTGCAACTTCATCGGTGGCTGTGGCAGCGTCCGCCCCAAAGGAGCAGTATCATGTTTGCGCCTGCATGTGTGTGTGCGTGTGTTCGTACAGTGTCCGCGCCACACGGAGAAGCGACACTGAAAACTCGAGTCTTTCTGATAAAGTTTTTGTTGTTGCTGTTGCTATTGTAGGTAGTTATTAACACGAAACGTCACCCCAAGTATTTGTTCCCCCTTTAAATTGGTTTGAATTCGTTTTCTTCGACACAAGAATCATCAATATGTCCTTCTGGAGCTTTTATTTTGGCACTTCCAGTTTCCAACCGTGAATTTGCATATTAGCTAAATATTTAGTGTCGCCCAACACATTTAGATTTAAGATTTAGATTTAGATTTAACATTTAGATTTAACATTTACATTTAACATTTAGATTTAACATTTACATTTAACATTTATATTTATATTTAACATTTAGATTTAGATTTAACATTTACATTTAACATTTAGATTTAACATTTACATTCAACATTTACATTTAACATTTAACATTTATATTTAACATTTACATTTAACATTTACATTTAACATTTGACATTTAGATTTAACATTTATATTTAGATTTAACATTTAGATTAAACATATATATTTAACATTTTTATTTAGCATTTAGATTTAACATTTAGATTTAGATTTAACATTTAGATTTAACATTTAGATTTAGATTTAACATTTACATTTAACATTTAGATTTAACATTAACATTTAACATTTAGATTTAACATTTACATTCAACATTTACATTCAACATTTAACATTTAGATTTAACATTTATATTTAACAATTACATTTAACATTTACATTTAACATTTGACATTTAGATTTAACATTTATATTTAGATTTAACATTTAGATTAAACATATATATTTAACATTTTTATTTAGCATTTAGATTTAACATTTATATTTAGATTTAACATTTAGATTTAACATTTAGATTTAGATTTAACATTTACATTTAACATTTAGATTTAACATTTACATTTAACATTTACATTTAACATTTAACATTTATATTTAACATTTATATTTAACATTTATATTTATATTTAACATTTAACATTTACATTTAACATTTAGATTTAACATTTGCATTTAACATTTAGATTTAACATTTAGATTTAGATTTAACATTTACATTAAACATTTAGATTTAACATTTACATTTAACATTTAGATTTAACATTTACATTTAACATTTAACATTTAGATTTAACATTTAGATTTATATTTAACATTTAGATTTAACATATATATTTAACATTTATATTTAGCATTTAGATTTAACATTTAGTTTTAGTATTTAAATGTTGACTGCCGAAAATTCACATCACTTTTTTAAATGCTGTTTGAAGCTAAATGTGACCAAATCTTGCTGTTGTTTTTTATAATAGGCTGTTAAATCTAAATGTTAAATATAAATCTAAATGTTAAATATAAGTCTAAATGTTAAACATTAATCTAAATCTAAATGTTAAATCTAAATGTCTATCTAAAAAGTCTTCCTCCCTCTGCAACTTCATTGGTGGCTGTGGCAGCGTCCGCCCCAAAGGAGCAGTATCATGTGTGCGCCTGCATGTGTGTGTGCGTGTGTTCGTACAGTGTCCGCGCCACACGGAGAAGCGACACTGAAAACTCGAGTCTTTCTGATAAAGTTTTTGTTGTTGCTGTTGCTATTGTAGGTAGTTATTAACACGAAACGTCACCACAAGTATTTGTTCCCCCCTTAAATTGGTTTGAAATAGTTTTCTTCGACACAAGAATCATCAATATGACCTTCTGGAGCTTTTATTTTGGCACTTCCAGTTTCCGACCGTGAATTTGCATATTAGCTAAATATTTAGTGTCGCCCAACACATTTAGATTTAAGATTTAGATTTAGATTTAACATTTACATTTAACATTTAGATTTAACATTTACATTTAACATTTATATTTAACATTTACATTTAACATTTACATTTAACATTTATATTTATATTTAACATTTAGATTTAGATTTAACATTTACATTTAACATTTAGATTTAACATTTACATTCAACATTTACATTTAACATTTAACATTTAGATTTAACAGTTAGATTTAGATTTAACATTTAGATTTAGATTTAACATTTACATTAAACATTTAGATTTAACATTTACATTTAACATTTAACATTATATTTAACATTTAGATTTATATTTAACATTTAGATTTAGATTTAACATTTACATTTAACATTTACATTTAACATTTAGATTTAACAGTTAGATTTAGATTTAACATTTAGATTTAGATTTAACATTTACATTAAACAGTTAGATTTAACATTTACATTTAGCATTTAGATTTAACATTTAACATTTAGTTTTAGTATTTAAATGTTGTTGTAAATGTGCAAAAAAAATGACTGCCGAAAATTCACATCACTTTTTTAAGTGCTGTTTGAAGCTAAATGTGACTAAATCTTGCTGTTGTTTTGCTAAATATGACCAAATCTTGCTTTTGTTTTTATAATGGGCTGCTTTACAAACGGCACCCCATAGTCGCCCAACACATTTAGATTTAACATTTAGATTTAGATTCAACATTTATATTTAACATTTAGATTTAGACTTAACATTTACATTTAACATTTAGATTTATATTTAACATTTAGATTTAACATTTATATTTAACATTTACATTTAACATTTAGATTTAACATTTACATTTAACATTTACATTTAACATTTAGATTTAGATTTAACATTTAGATTAAACATATATATTTAACATTTAGATTTAGCATTTAGATTTAACATTTAGTTTTAGTATTTAAATGTTGACTGCCGAAAATTCACATCACTTTCTTAAATGCTGTTTGAAGCTAAATGTGACCAAATCTTGCTGTTGTTTTTTTATAATGGGCTGCTTTACAAACGGCACCCCATATAGTACAACTAAAATTACCCGTTTTGGAATGAAAAAAAAAAGTCATAGTAAGGTATGATGGAAATTTCATAGTGTAGCATGTAGAAAATTTTATATTTTAGTATGAAAAAACAATATTCTGGTACAAGAAATGTCAAATGTCAAATAGAATAACAATGTCATTGTATAGTATGATAAAATGTCAAAGAATAGTATGAAAAAAATAACAGTATAGTATGATAAAAATGTCATCATATAGTATGTTAAAATTTTATATTTTAGTATAAAAAGTGTCATATTTAGTGTGTAAAAATATCAAAGTATGATAGTTTGTTTTAAAAATTCTTTTGAGAATATCAAAAATTCAAATTTTAGAATGAATTTTTTTTTTATATAAAAGTGTGATAAAAATGTCAGTGTGGTATGATTCAAATGTCATAGTGTAGTATGTTAAAAATTCAAAACTTTAGTACAAAAACAGAAATTAAATTTAAGCATGAAAAAATCATAGTTTAGTAAGATAAAAATGTAATAGAATAGAAGGTTAGAAATTTTCAATTTTAGTTTAGTATGTCAAATTTTAGTATGAAAAAAAGTCATAGTATAGTACGATAAAATTATCAGTGTATTATGATAATAATGCCACAGAATACTATGTCAAAAATGTCAAATTTTAGTTAGAAAAAAATTACAGTAAAATTTGATAAAAATATCATAGTATAGTATGATAAATAAAAGGATATAGTGAAAAAATGATCTACTGTGATGGTGGTGAAATGGTAAGCACTTCAGCTTTACAGCCAGAAGATCCTAGGTTTGAATCATGGACTGGTATTGTTTGATAAAAATAAACTAAGAAGAGTATAAAATTTAAAGTTATTATGTTAAAAAAAAAAGTTGTCATGATATAGTATAACAAAAAATTTCATAGTATAGTATGATATATGTCATAGTATAGTATGTTAAAAATATCATAGTACAGTATGTTGAAAATATTGTATAGTGTAATAAAAAATGTCATAGTATAGTATGTTTAAAAAAAAATCACAGTATGGTATAAAAATTTTTTATAGTATAGTGTGATAAAAAAGTCGTAGTATAGTAAGATAAAAATGTCATAGTATAGATTGTTAAAAATATTATAGAATATTATGATAAAAATGTTACAGCATAGTATGATAAAATATCATAGTATCGTATGATAATAAAAAGATATAGTGAAGTATGATAAAAAAAGTCACAGTAAATTATGATAGAAAATCATAGTAAATTTGGTCAAAAAACATAGTATATTATGATAAAAATGTCATAATTTTTATGACATAAAAATGTCATGATTTAGTATGATAAAAATGTCATAGCTATGATAAATATGATAAATCATAACAAACCAACAGTTGCCATTGTTGAAGCATATGTTAAAAATTGTTGATCTGTTGTTGAAGAAACCAGTTTTTTAACAAATGCCGTTTTAATTGAAATTTAGTCATGTACAAGTTTTAAGAAGCATTAAAAGGGGAAAACAAATAAAAAATATGAGACTGTTATGATTATTGCCATTTTTTTCTGAAAATGCCAATGAAATGTCGGTAAAGTCATAAAATGTCAATAAAAACTCAGATCAGTATTGTGTGTAAAAAGGTAAGAGACAACGTGAATAAATGGGCTCAATAGACTTTAATGTACTATATAGCTCCTAATAACGCATTAACTGTACATGTCATGATAGTGGGCATAGGTACAGTTGGTCAATGTGCAATACTGAGCATTTTGAAATATGAATGGAGTCTGTACTGTATACAATAGCAGAGATATAAATACAGTTGATGTCTATTGTATTGTTTTAAATCTTAATAACTCAAAAAGTATAAAAGTTATCAATAAGAAAAGTCATCGCACCCCATCTACAAACACTTCAGATCGGCTTGACATACCAACCACTGCATTAGCAGCACATACAAATCAAAGAAATTCCACTACTATCTCATGATATATGCAAAATAATGAATATTTTATGAAAATACCTTCATGAAATTAGGCTTTTGTTCAATATATGAACAGTATATGTGGCATAAATGGGTTTTCAGTTTCATATGAGTGGAAAAAGGCACAGAAGAACAAGAAGAAAGCAAAATAACATTTGTGCGATTGCTGCTTTTCGCGCTCACACCAAGTAATTACAAGTCAACGCTGACCTACTGTCAAACAAAACAGGAACCACTAAACCAACTTCATACAGAGGCCACTTTCCTCTGACGTCAGGTTGAAGGAGGGAAAGTCAAATACTCTCATGTTGTGCTGCTGTTACAGATTTAAGAGTCACATGTTGCAAATCTTTCAGGTTATTTTTTGTTTCTGAGCAAATAAACATTTAAAAAGAGTAATTAGAGTTGGATTTTTGAGGATTATCTCTTATTTTAAGGTAAATTAGACCAACATAAACGAACTTATCAAGCACCAACAGCTGCTGATAGCTTTACACTGTTTTTTATTATTTTTATTTTACGATCATGACTGTTAACCAGCTTACATGGCTTTAGGCTAGCAATTGGACAATGCCTTTTTATGGGATTTGACACTATTATTTACTACTATTCACAGACTTAAGTCTGTTATGTCACCCATCACTTTCTAAAGAGTTTTTATGCAGCCCTACAAAAGCAGTGGGGCTACTAAGCAGTTACCTTACAGGAGATGTTGGCTGCACCTAATTTAAGGCTAACCTGTCCGTCGAATCAGTCATGCCCCCATGTGCAAATCAGCTACATACATTGAAAGCAGTAACTCTTTAGCTAATATCTATGAGATAATGTCACAATAAATCCAAGGTATAATACTTCTTATGTATTAGCTAACAGGCACGTTAGCTTAAAACTAACTGGTCTTATGTTAGCTGTTCATACATAACAGCAAATTTTATACACCTCTCTCTATTTTCATTAGTCATTGTCTTTTCACTTGCTTACTAATCGACCCTTTTACTCAGTCTAATGACTTTGTGATTGTGTTAAACAACACGGTACTAAAATCTAATCACTGGCTCAACAAGATGCGGCTATTCGTGTTAGCTGGCTTTCCAAAATCCAAAGTGATATCAGAAGAAAATTATCATTATATTCTCTTACTCACTGATATAAGTCAAAATATATCAAAAGAAAGGCACATGACTGGTTAAAACAGTAGCTTGCTAGTGGTCCATACAGCAAGCTGAGTCATGCTGTCTAGAAAATGGCTAAATGCTAAACTTAGATATTTTGGTGCTGTTACCAAATTAGTCTAAAAGTCATGTTTCAGCTCAAGTAATGGTGCTCTGGATTTTTATAGTCAACTGCTTCACTGAGTGATGAAGTAGTAGCTGTTTTTGTTTCATTTAAACCCTCGGACACAGCAGCACAACAGTATATCCGTTTTTTAGGCTTCCTGCTCCAGTGTGGCGTCAGAGGTAAGAGCTGCTGTATGAATGTGGTGGATACCTTTAGAGGAGTAACACTGTTCAGCGCTGAGGCAAAGAGGCAGCTTACTGTCACATTTCTAATTTTCATACGCAAGCAAACAATCAGAGCACATGGTTGTAAAAAATACTATTCAGTTACAGTTCAACTAATATAACTAAACTTATTCATATCATGGACATACTCTCTCTGGTAGATTCATGAAAAAAAAAATGCCGGCAGGCGGTTCCTCCCTTAAAATATTGCGACGCTGTTATTGTAGCATTTGGAAGCATTCTGGTCCAACAAAACATAACTATCATCCAGACGCACTCACAACACTATTAGCACAAATCAGTCAGATATTTTTAATTTGCATTAATGGGATTAAAAGAGCTTTTTGTTTCAAAGTGTACTGTATCCACATGTGCAGTTTTTGTGCATTTTAAGACAAGTATGTCTTTTCTGCAGCTCAAAAGGGAAGTATAAGGCAGAATAAACAGGGCAGGCGTTGGGGGTCCAACTGCTGGTGTCTGCTAGGGTCGCGGACTGAGATTAAGGGTCAGGGATTGTAGATTTTTCTCCTTTTTATCATGCTGCATTTGTTTGGGGAGGATACATCCATTGAGATGTGGACTAGCAGGGCAAGAAGAGATACTGTATTCCCATGGCGGACATTTTTCTTTGACTTTAAGCTCAACAGCATATCATAATGCATCATCTACCACAGGCTAGTGTGCCAGCATTCAACAGCTTCCTTGTAAACATTTTCATGAGACAGAAAAAGATGCTGTTCTGACTGTATTTCCAACAATTTCTAATGCTGTTTTCAGCTTTTAGGCTCTTTTTAGAAAGTAGAGAGAGGCTAAATGCTAACAATAAATGTTATAATATGGTGGCCCTTGCCACATATAACAGCTTATCTATTTTTGATATACTTTGTTATTAATTATAGACATTTGCCTCAAACCTTCTTGAGATTTTCACAGTCTGTTGTATTTTTGTTCATGGTCAGTCTGAAGGCGGTAATACTGAAATGATTTGTCAGATTTACAGCATTTTTTTACCCAGGAAAACAGCAGAAGAGCCTAACATCAGAGGAAAACATCCACCATGTGAGAATATTTAATTGAAGCTGTTAGAGTTGGACAAGTTTTTTTCTGTTTGAGCTGATAGGTGTTTCAGGAGAGTATTTAAGGCGTTTCTTCCTCTATTCCTGCTGGGGCTGTGTAGCTGGTGTCTCATTGGCATTGTTGTCAGTGATCTTGTTTTCCAGCTCATCGTCAGAGAGTAGGTCCAAAGAAGTGCCCTCCACCTGCAGCTGACGTCTGCCTGAGCGGCTGGAGGAGAAGCTGATGGGGCCGCCACGTCTGTAGAAGGAAGGGGAGTGGGATCAATCAGTGGAAAAAAGTGTTGATTTGTGTTCGATTTAAGCTGCTGGATGTTCTTTGTCAATTCTGGTTTTGCCCATTTATGTTCAAAAATCCTCTGTATGAAAACTTTCTTCTGCACCCTTTAAAAAACCACAGATGTGGAAACTTTTAAGGGTAAAAATCAAACAAGGGCTCTTTCAGTTTGTTTTCTGATCCTTCATATATATCACCAAGTCACAAAGGCACATGTACACCTGGTCGACATCTGCTAAATAAAAATCTCCTTAGATAAAAACTCTTATTTCCCTTGATATCAGAAACTTGGTTCTGTAATTCTTAAAGCTCCAGTGAGTTTTTGACCTCAGTAAAATGGACTGAAATTTATACTGATGCCTTTTCATGATATCGAAAACAATTAGCATCAAGATCAATGTCTTAATATCCTACCAGATGCCAGCAGTTATAGGCATTAAAACATTAAATATAGTTTCAATCAATTTACTTGTTGAGTTTCTTTGAATTTGAAGGTCAAACTGAGGCTTCGTAATCATTTTTATCTGTTTTTTGGCTACTTAGAAAGTCTTTAAGGTAGGTGAAAAGAGGCTTAATGTTTGACTGACACTGTAGCTTTGTTAAAAAAAGAAAAAAGGCCAACTTTAGTACACTTGTATGTCAAAGAAAAAAAGACTTCTGGATGTAAACAGCATGATATATACAAAATAAGATGATGAATACTGAATGCCATATGGTGGATGTTTTTATATGCTTCAGCATTACCTGAGGCGGTTCTTGAGTGTGTGAACCTCGCGGCTCAGACCCTCACTGGCTTCGGTGGCGTCATCCAGCTCTCTCTGCAGTTTCCTGCGTGAGGCGTTGGCCCTCGTCGCCTCCTCTTCTGCTTCTTCCAGCTGACGCTTCAGCTGCTTCATGCGGGAGTTTGCCTTTTCCACCTTCACACAATCAAAGTAGTTGGATGCAGCACAATTAACTTTGACAGGAAAAAGGTGGGGCTCATGTAAATCAAGAAATGATCATAAGCGACACATACTTGTTCTTTAAACTGATCGGCATGGCGACGCTCATCCTCCACCTGCATGCAGATCTCTTTCAGCTTCTTCTCAGTTCTCCTCACCATCTTGTTGGCTGCAGCTCGCTCCCTTTAAAAACAAACCATTTCCTTTAAGTTTGGTTTCTTATTTCACTCTACAAATATCATCATAAATCATTATCATTAGTTTAATCAAGCAGATCAGAGTATTGAGCTCTCACTTGGCCTCCTGCTCCAGCTGCTCCTCCAGCTGTGAGATCTTCGCCTCCAGTGCAGTGATGGAGGCCTTGAACCTGCTCTTCACTGATCCCTCCAGCTCGCCCAGTTTGGCCCGAAGCTCCTTGTTCTGACGCTCCAGCTGCTGACGAGCGTTTTCGCTCTTCTGGGCTGAGCTGCGCTCTGCACTCAGTTCTGTGGACAGAGAGTCCACCTGAGGGAGAGACAGAGGAGTAGGTGAGGAAGGGATTGAAAAAGGGGGGTTATTAAATCTATCATACTGCAGGTAAACTTGGACATTGCTCGAACAAAAATAAGTTTTATTCAGTGTAAATAAAGAAGATCACTGAAGATCTAACATCACAGCTCACCTGCATGGTTGACTTTCTGAAGCGGTCATTGAGCAGCTCCATGTTGCCCTGCTCCTCCTCCAGCTCTTCCTCCAGCTGAGCGATGCGAGCCTCAAGCCTCCTCTTCTCATCCATCAGAGCAGATCTGAACCAAAACACACAAAAAAAACTCATGACCACTTTCATCACCTGACAAAAAAGCCTTTTTTATGATTCCTGAGGGCCTGTTGAGGTTAAGGTCCTAAAATCTTGATTAGTCTCAAGAGATGACCGGTTATTTCCAGTTTGGGCTTCATCTGGCTTGTTGGCTTTGTTGTATTTCCTTTTATTACCTTGTATTGCTGATGTTTCATTTGTTGGTTGATGTTTTGAATGTTATTTACCTCGTTTTTGTGGTATTAATAATGGTTATCTGCATGTTTTTTTTGTAATTGAATACATTTAGTCAAATTTTTTGTTGTTTGTTTTTGACAAGTTCTACATCAATTAAGTGACACTAACTTGACACTAACTTTTTTAACAGGGAGCACACATGCTCTTAAGATGAAAATTTAAGGAGCACACAAAGAACTTAAGGGGCACAATGAAAATTGATCAAATAATGTTTGTCATATTAGTCGATTTAAGTACTACTATTTGAAATCAATTTTAGGTCTTTTGGTCACATGACATTGAAGCTATTGAAGGAAAACAGTCTTTTCTGATAACATCAACCGGTAATTTATTGATGGTCCCTTATGCCCAATGTTGACAGCGAGGGTGAGAGTAGATTTGACCGCGCTGCTGTTGCTATTACCGGTTATGGAAAGTGAGAAGACACCCATAGATCCGCAGCGAATGTCCGCTGGATATCCAACCTAAAACCAACTTCACTGCGGTATTTACATTCACTTGTTGCGAGTGAAAAGAACTGTACGTAGTTTTTTAAAGTTCTTCCTAAATTCTAAATTTAAGACTCCTAAATTTTACTGAGAAAATTAGCACATGCTGCCTAAAAAAGAAGTCATCACAGTTAAGTGACACATACTTTCCAGATGTGCTGTTTGAGATTTCATCTTGCAGTTCGTCCCGTTCCTGCTCTGCATGGCGTCGGCCTCTCTCTGATGCTGCCAGGTCCTGAACAGAGAAAAGTTAGAAGTGTTTCTGTCTCCAGCCTGACATTAGAGGGATTTATTTTTCATCAACACAACTCAACTCATGCTTGTACGTTCAAAATACAACATAATTTCAATCATATTTTAGAAGCATCCCTGTCCCATCCTCCTGTACCTCATGTAGCTGAACAATCTCAGCCTCAAGACTCTTTAGTTTCTTCTCATTTTCCTTCGATAAGGCAAAAATGTCATCTCTGGAGGCTCTGGCATCCTCTAACTCCCTCTGGTAGTCTTTCATTTGGGCCTAAAGCAGAAAAAATAAATGAATAAAAACAGCTGCTCAGAGTAAAACTTCACCTAACCTGAGCGTGAAATACTCGTACCTGTAGCTTGCGCAGCTGTTTGATGGCTTCATCTCGCGCTTTGTTGGCTCCTTCGATGTGACCCTCGATGTCCTTCAGATCCATCTCAAGCTTCTTTTTAGCCGCCACAGCTAAAGCTCTCTGCTTCCGCTCGTCTTCCAGCTCGGCCTCCATCTCTCGCACCTGTAAGGGAGTAGATATAAATAACTAACTTTCCCACTTATCTGTATTTTTTCTTTTGTTTCCATGTCACAACTGTAAATTAAAACTAGTTTTGGGGATTAAACTGGATGTTTGGAATGTCCTCAGTTTTTGATTAGTTTATAATCCAAAGAGTTTTTAGGTAAGATCGGATTAACTTATTGATCAAACAAATGTCTGTTATCTGCATGACTCTTTATCATTATTCAGTTGGTACTTACGATGAACTAGTAGATAGTTCAGATTGTAGCACTGTATATGTACAGAAGTGTTGAGGGAACTGAACACTTCTACCATGAGCTGTACTTGATGTTTGGTGTGATTTTGCACCTGTTTGACGAGCGCCCTCTTCTTCTCGTCACTCTGGTCATCGCGGCCCTGCAGGTCTCTCTCGTACTGAGCCTTCATGGCCTGCATGTTGACCTCCAGACGCAGCTTGGCGTCCTCGGTGGCCTGCAGCTCATCCTCCAGCTCCTCCAGCTGTGTTTTCATCTCTTCCAGCTGCTGCTCCAGAGTGCGCTTGGACTTCTCCAGCTCATGGACCTGAGAGGAGATGAGCAGAGGGTGATTGGTTCATGGGAACTTCATGAGTTGTGAAAGTGAAGCTAAAGCTGAGCAGATTATCTTTTTTTCTTTTGAATTTAACACTCACATTTTTGCCCACGTCATCCTTGGAGCTCATCAGATCTTCCATTTCAGCTCGAAGCTGCTTGTTAACTCTCTCCAGCTCCTCTTTGGCCTCCAGCGCTTCGTCCAAAGCTCTGGTCAAGGACAGAGCTTTGGTTTCCTTCTCTCTGGCCTCAGCTTCAGCACGGTCACGCTCCTCGGCGTAGCGAGCTGAGATGCTCTTCTCCTCAGCCAGCATCTATAAAAGCAGTGGGAAAAAACTTAAAAATAAAGTTCAGAAGAAATATATGTAAGACCAGCTTCAGTGAGTTCTTACCTGGTCAAACTTTTTCTGTTTCTTCTCCAGGTTGGACACGATCTGTCTCTGGTGATCCAGATCTACAGTCAGATCATCCAGCTCCTGCTGCAGACGCGTCTTTGTCTTCTCCATCTTTTCAAAGCCGATGGTCTTCTCCTCCAGACGCTGGTTGGACAGTTCCAAATCTTTCTGCAGCTTCTTCTTCACCTCTTCCAGACCATCGATAGTTCCCACATCATCCTCCAGCTTCTTCTTGCTCTCTGAAAGCTACAAACACACAAAACACTGGAATTACAGCCACTACTGAGCTTTGAATATATGTTAATTTATTCTGAAATGAAAAAGTAGAAACAAACAATTCAATCTTTAATCATAGCACTTTGGGTCTTTTTGGGACATGTGACAAATGTGAGGATCTTCTAAATTTTGAGACTCTTCATCATAGGAACCAGGGTTTATATGTCCCACCTGGGCCTGAAGGGTCATCATCTGCTTCTCCAGGTTCTTGCGCGCCTCCTCATCCTCCTCCTGCTGCTCCTGCAGAGCATTCTTCTCCTCCTCCAGCTGACGGATTCGGCTGCTGAGGTTAAGTTTCTGACGAGTCTCTTCTTGGAGCAGCTCCTGCGTTGGGAGCAGCATTTGTCACGTTAGTTTTGACAGAAAGGCTGTGTTACGATGATCTGATGATAAAAACTCAGAAGGTCAGTCGGTCACCTGTGTGTCCTGCAGTTGGCTCTCTAGTCCAGTAACATCTTTGGTCATTTTGATCCCCTTCCTCTCTGCGTCTTCCAACAAAGCTGACACGTTGTCCAACTCAGACTGTATGCAAGATATAAAAACAGTTTTCAGTGTGGGGAGAACATACAGTGTAGTGTAACAGTCTAGTTGAACTGATTCTGCTGTGTTGGATCAATCTTGTTAATAACCTGCAGTTTGTGCGTGCGCTCAGCCAGCTCTCCCTTGGCCCTCTCCCCCTCTGTGACTCGGGCCATGAACTCCTGCAGCTGAGACTCCACTTTCTTCCTCTTGTGCTCGGACTCGGTCTTCGCCTGCTGCAGAGTCTTCACCTCACAGGCCAGCTCCTTGTTGGCGCTCTCCTGGCTCTGCTTGGTTTTCTCCAGGTTGGCCTTGAACTACACACAGCCACCAACAAACACACGCATATTCAGACTCTGACTGATTTAACTTTACCTCCTGATATTTGAATGTAGAGTCGTGACAGTTGTGTTACCCTCTTGGACTGTTCCAGCTGCTCAGAAAGCTCCTCCAGAGCAGCTGCATGTCTCTGTCTCATCTCCTGGATCTGAGCCTCGTGGTTTTTAGACTCTTCATCGATGTTCTTCTTCAGCTCTGCGACCTCCTGTTCACGCTTAGTCCTTGACCACAGAAAACAGGGATTGGTTTTCATGATTATCTGACAGAGACAGAGGACTTTGATGAAAATATACAAAACTATGACACGTAGTTTAAACTTTAGGAACAGACGTATGTTCATACTTGATTTGCTGGAAGCTGTATTTCTGGATGACTCTTTAAGTTCAGTACTATGTTAATACATAGTATGTAGTGAGTACTCTTAGTGCACATTACTGTACCAATGTCCAATATTACAGCTCCCCCTAGTGGTGATTCTGGTGTACATACCATATCTTTGTAAGGCAGAAAAATTTTATAGTGGTTATTTATTTATTAATATATTTGGTGATATATTTTAGTGTTTGCATTTTAACATCCTGTTTTTTTTTTTTACAGAATATTTTGTTGACTTTTTGGTAAGAAATAATTGCAATCACAAGATCAAGTATAGCAAAAGAGAGAAAAAGTGTACAAAACAAGAAAAATAATAAAAATAATTGAAGAGCTCTGTTGTTTGTGCAGCACTTTTTAAAAATCTTAATGTTCCACCATGTAAACTATACAGATTACACTGCTTCCCTGTGCTACATCTTCATTCTTTTTTTGTTATTTTCCCCCTTTTTTCAATAACTCTTTACATACTTTGGATAATGTGTTCACGAAATACATAATATTCCTAGTTTGCATGGCTTTAAAAGTTAAAAGCAGAATCTGAATCTGTATCAAGATACTTGAATTCACAGACTGTGTCAGTAAGTTTCCCTGCTGCTGCAAACATTATGCACATTTTTATATTTATTGCAAATATAAGATTTAAAGAAGACTATTTCAATACTCATATCATCAGTGTAAGGCCGCTATTTAGTGTCATAAAAGTGTAAAATAAGGTGATGTCAATAGCAGAGAACTCTACCTCAGTTCCTGCTGGGCCGCAGTGGTATCCAGCGTGTCCTCCAGCTCAGTCTTCAGAGCCTCCAGCTCCTCGCTCAGGTCCCTCTTCAGTTTTTCAGCCTTGTTTCTGGCCCCTTTCTCTGATTCTAGATCTTCCTGCAGCTCAGCCAGCTGAGCCTGCAGCTCCCTCACCTGTTTCAGAGCATTGTTCTTCTGGCTCACCTCTTCCTCGCCCCTGTGAACACACAAATGATGAAGAGCGGCTCCAACACAACAGACAGGAAGCTGGTAGAGTCTTATGGCTCCAAACAAACTGAACAAAATTAAAAACAAAAATTATTAACTAGAAATTGAAATGAAATATACCTTTTAAATAAGTAGGGTAAAAACCTGATAATCCAAGCTGTATTTTTTTTCCTTCAAGGCCTACTATATGAAAACTCTGTGAGTATTACAAATTCATTGATGTCACCTGGCGAATTCTCCACTAGGTGGTAGCAGAGTCAGTGTTATTGCAACCAGTTTCCTCTCAGCTGCACTGTTGAGGAAGCTGTGTGATGTAGTGACTGTGATACATGTTAAAATGCCCTTAACTTACCCTTTTAAAAACATTATTTTTGATTTTGGATTCTTTGTCAAATTGTCTGAACTTTTTGACTTGTGTTTTTGAAACAAACCTCTTGAACCAATGTAATTTTCTTCCTCTTTCTTTCTTTCTTTCACTGCCATGCATCCCACACATTCTGATGCAGTGACAGTCAGTGATGTGTGAGCGAGTATAACAACAATAGGTCAAAGCTCAGAGGCTAATTCAGTTTTACAGGATGACTCCATCAGAGCCCTCTGAGTCTAATCAGTGCAGTAAAATGCAGCACATGTTTAACAGCAGGTGTGGATGAATCCTGCAACAGTGTTGAGTGTGATGATCAAACAGAGCAGGTATGTAACACTTATCTCACACACTGACTCACAACATGAAGCGGATCCTCACTGACTCAATATTAAATTTAGCCCAAACAGAGTTACATCAGGTAACAATTTGCTGAAAAAAAAAAGGTTTTAAACACTTTAATCTGTACATCAACTTTTACGATCTGTAATTCTTTTAGCCTCTTTATATTTGCCCCTTTTTCTGTTTGTGTTCATTTTCATACTGTGTGTGTTTCTTGCAAATTTGAAGTGTATTCAGATCATGTTTTGTGTGTATATGCTGCAGGTTTCTTTGTGTATTTGATCAGGTTAATGATTGATTGTGGATTTAAGTGTCTTTTGAGAGCTTTTGTGTGTTTCAGTGCAAGTTTTTCAAGTCTGACTGTATGTTTTCAGTTTTTTAGTTTTTCTCTTTATAATATGTCTTTTACTGTGATATCTGTGTGTTTTTCTTCCTTCCTGTATCTTTAATTCTATTCTTTGATTATTTTGTTTTAATTATTTTTAATTTGGTAGATCTTTAGTGTTTTCATTTGTGTTGTTTTGTCTTTTAGTGTGAGTCCGTATTGCCATCATCATCTGGCACTCAAAGGTCTTAAAAACACACGGCTCTTGACAGTGGAGAGGCTGATTTACCAGTGAGTGGGCCCTCACAAAAGGATTGTGCAATTTTAGTGTCCACTATACCTGTGCAAATGAGATAAAATGATTCAATCTTCTTCACAGAACAGATACAAAGCTTAAACTCTGAGTGCTGGTGCAGTGTGGGTGTGTTTGAACGAGGCATGATGCATTTATTCGGAGGAAAATTCATCCCCTTTCTTCCCTTTTCAGGGTATGTCACGCTCAAACTCTTCAGTGATCAAAAAAACATTTCCACCTCTGGGTGAACGATAAATAATATATGTGAACATAAATTCTGTTAAAATCACTATGACATTATCTTTGTTGTTAAATCAACCTGAGGCTGTTGGAGGCACAACCTCTGCAAATACAGGCAACACTGCAGAAAGAGCGGAGATAGAGAAGAGCTTTTGTTGTTATTCATGGTGGGTTGTTTTATTTCCACAAGCTGCTATTGCTGACTCACTCACTCACCCTTTTATCCGCTCGTGGTTTTTCAGTGTTTTTAAATTTTTTCATGGAGCTTTTTTTAAAACTTTATTTCTGTCTCATTTTTGCCATTAATCCATCTCTTCCATATCATTACCTTTTTTTTCTAGTTTCATCTCTTATGTTGTTAAATCACCATTGATGTTTGATTGTTTAAATGTTTCAATCTTTTGTAGTCCTCACATTCTTTTCTTTTTTAAAAGCATTTTGTAACCCTGTTTTGAAAAGTGCTATATAGACAAGGGTGACTATTATCATCTGTATGTAGACAGATTTGATCTCCATCAGGATAAGAGTGCACATCAAAGCTCTGTGCAGTCAAGAGTAGAACTCCTGGTGGCTTTACAAGGAGACAAAAAACAAGAAAAAACTGCACAGGGCTGAAAGAATTTGTGAGTTTGTTTGATGCCATTTTGGAGGCGTTATGTCTTCTAAATGAAGTTTGATATAGAGAAGAAAGTGGGGGCAAATGATGAGCGATACATGGACACTTCTGGTGTGTTTGTGTGTAAGACAGTACCTGTTACCACTTGCATTTTGTGTGAATCTGCATATATTTGTTACTTTTTCTATCCCACTAGAAGAAGCCTGGAGCCCAAAAGCATACATGTCAAGACTTTCTGTTTTTCTCCTTTTTTTATTTTTAATTTTAGGCGCCGTCTTTGATCTTTTTGGTCACATAACTGCTGACGGTCTTGTTTGCCTTTGTATATCATAAAAAGTCATCAGTGTGACTATTAGTCTGTTTTATAAGGGTAAAAAAATCCTCACAGCAGCTTCAAGAAATTGGGAACGATACAAAATGAGCAACAAACCCACTTTCAATAACAAAAAGACCAAATGATCTATTATTCAGACAGGTGCCTCCATGCTCACATCAGCATCTCATACCTGGATTGCATCGTCTGCTGCTCCTCCTCTTTCTTCACCAGCTGAACCTTCAGCTCCTCTGTCTGAGCCTGCAGCTCGGCAATCTGGTCTTGGAAGTCTGAGGTCTCCCCGTCCAGCTTCCTCTTTGCCTTCTCCAGCTCCTGACGAGTTTTCTCCTCCTTCTTCAGTCTCTCTGAAGAAGACAAGAGGAAAGACAACAATTTCTGACACTGCTTTAGCGTTTTAGTGCATTTTGCCCTCCAGTTTTCCCTCTCTTACCCTCCAGGTCGACCATCATCATCTCCTGCTTGTTCTTGACTTTGCCCAGGTTCTTGGCTTTTTCCTCTTCCTCAGCGAGCACAGTGGTCATCTCATTGATTCGATCCTCTAGCAGCTTTTTTTCCTGGACAAGAAAAGATGAAGGGGAGTTAATGTCTGATCCTGGCATGAAGGTACTCTAATGGTCTCAATTCTTCTATTGATCAGAGTGCAGAGAAAGAGAAGTTTAAGGAAAGTCATACAAATTCTGACAGAAGTCAAAAACTTCTCATGCCTTCTTCCTCACCTTGACAAATTTAGAGTTCTGGTCTTCCAGCAGCAAAATGTCCTCCTCATACTTCTTCATTTTGGCCTCAGCCGTCACCTTCTCCAGCTGCAGCTTCTGTCTGCCGGCCTCCTCCTCATCCAGCTGTTCCTCCAGATCCTAAACACGCAATATACATCACTTTTGTTGACTTTTTAAAATGTAGGAGTCAGACATTACTTCTATGTTGCCTGGGTTCATGCACACCTGAATGTGGGACTGCATCTTCTTCTTCTCGCCCTGCAGGCCCTGGCTCCTCTCCTCTTCCTCTTCTAGTCTGGATTCCAGGTCATGAAGGATCTCCTCCAGCTCCTGCTTTTTAGACGCCAGGCGGGCTCTCATCTCCTCGGCCTCTGCGAACAGCTCCGTCTCTGCCTGCAGCTGCTCTGCCAGGATGTTCTTCTCCTCCATTAACTGCACACAGTAAAAGCCTCGGTCATTCATCCTTGTTCATATTTGGTGCTGATGCTGCAGAGTCATGATGCCACTTTTACACACCTGCTGGTGTTTCCTCTCCATCTCCACCAGCTCCCCCTCCACCTTTGTCTGCTTCTCCTTCACTTTGACCAGCTCCTCATCTTTGGCCTGCATCTCCTCCTCCTGCCTGGTCACCTGCAGCAAAGGCTTCACCTGAACAGACAGAAGAGAGAGAGGATGTCTGAAAAGAGGATTGGACACTCCTGCAAGAAGACACATTAAACTCACGGCTCAAATACTTCAGACTAAACATGCAAAACAATCACTGAATACATAATAACTTGGCAGGCATAAACACACTTTTGTGAAAAGTCTCCACCACTGCCAGTGACGTAGTTTCAGGTAGGCGGCACAGTTTCTCTGCAGAACCTTGAGGGCGCTGAGCTGCTGCTGCTTCTTAGCAAAAGCTCTGACAGATGAGAGTGAGAGAGGACAAAGAATAAGAACAGTGACCTGAAAATGTTTGAAATTCAGCTGGCTGTTTAGGGTGTTTCTTACTTGCGGGCCAGATATCCCCGACAGACAGCCTGGAAGTAAATAATGATGTCAGTGATCTTCAGGTCTCTCTCCTCCTCCAGGTGAGCCAAGACTCCAGCCCTGAAGAAGATCTTACTCTGACCTATGCGGAAGAGGTTACCGTCCAGCTCCAGGGCTTGAATCTACGGGCAACAGAAGAGCAAAATTGATTAAAAAGTTTGAACAACAATTCTAATTCAAGGGGGAGTTTATTAACACTCTCTTTTGAGGGTTTTAGGGGTTGAATCAGCAGATATAGTTCTAAGGTTGTCATTGTACATTATTTGGAAAGATGGAAAACGATTGAGAATGAGAGACACCAGATTTAGTTCATTTGAATTGTATGTCTGCATGGTGCAACTAAACAACGAAACAACAACCAAGTAGTTCCAGTGATTTACTGTGGACTTCTTTGATGCAACAGGTCACATAAACTTCCTTTTTATCACTAATTTGGTTTAAAAGGGCTTGGTACAAAGGTAAACACACATATATTTTTGTTTCCAGGATGTAAGAATAAATAGTAATCATGTACCATGGAGGAGGTGACCATAAAAGAGTGAAGCAGAAAAATCAGAAGAAAAACAAATCTGAATACAGTCTTAAATATTAATGTAGTTTGTAGTTTTGTGATTTACAGACTGAAATCTAGTGGGGAGTAGGAAAAGAAAAGGGCGATTGAAGGTAACAGAAGTACAGAGTCTTCTTTTTTTATCTTAAAATTGTTTATATCTAAACAAATGTTGGCATCAAGAGCTCTGTTTTTATTTGTCAGCTCTCTGGATTATCTCATGACAGTCGAGCTCTCACCATCCTCTCACAGGCCTGTTTTCCATCCATGAAGCCCTTGGGAATAGCGTTTGGCGTGAGGATCTCATATCTGGACACAGAACAGACAGAAAGGAGAGCCATAGGGAAAATAATCAAACACCAGCAATGTTAAATTGTGACAGTGATGTTCTGATGAAAACTCTACCTCTGTCTGAACTCCTGGAAGACAATTCGGTTGGGGAAACCCTGTCTACAGATACGGATCCCCTCCAGGACTCCATTACACCTCAGCTGGTCCAGAACCAGGTGAGGGTCAAGTTTACCGGCCTACATGAAGAGGGTGAAGAAAAGAAAAAAGGACATTTTCATATTCTAGTGCATCCTCCTCAAAGTAATTTCTAGCATCAGTTCTGGACCATCCTCAGACTCACCCTCTTCTCATGGTTGGGGATGATGCAGCGCACAAAGTTGGGGTTAGTGTTCCTCAGTGTTGCCATCAGCTTAGACAGCTGCTCCTTGTAGAGCTGACCCACTGTGCGAAACATGCCCTTCTTGGTCTTATAGGCAGCACCAAATGCTGTCTCATTCATGCCTGCTACCTGGTCCAGACCCACGATTCGGTCCACTGGTGACAAAAAATGAGACGAGAAGGAGGATAAAGGTGTACATCCACAGACACATGGAGACTGTTTGCGTGTTTGTTGCCGAGACAAATCCAGTGAAATTGCTAACAATGTCTGAAGTAAGCAGGTTTACTCTTTTCAAATATTCTTAATTTACCCATAAAAGCCAACAATGATCTCACACCTAAACAATATTATTATCTTATATTGAACCTCTTCAAATAAACTACAGAACACCATCTACCTGATCAGTCTGAGTCCTCTAAGCAGCAAAGCAGTACTATGACAACCAGGGTACAAAAACAAGCTCTGAGATAAGGCTATTGCTGAAGTGTGAGGCTATTTGTAGCAACTACGATCACATTTTATTTGAAAAATTTAAACAATGAAGAAACTAATTTTAAAAAAGTTAGTATCTTGTAGGGGTGGGAATCACTAGTGGCCATGATACGATATTATCACAATACTTGGGCCAGGATACAATATTATTGCGATTTTTAACATTTTGCAAAACATTGAGTATTGCGATACAATATATTGCAATTTATACCATTTTTTCAACTGTTTAGCTAATTCAGCATTCGGCTTTTCTCTATGTTTGTCTTATTTAGCTGTATTTTATTTTCATATAGCACATCCTGCAAACCTTATATCTATATTTTTTGTGCTAACTTAGATTATGTCACCTCTGCCAACCTCACTGGACAAACAGTTGATTTTATTTTTTCATTACCATATATTTCACTTCATATTAGTAATTAATTTGAAAAATCGATACTTGGTAAATGAGACTATACGATATATCACCAGACAAAATATTGTGATGCTATGCTGTATTGATTTTTTTCTCCCACCCCTGGTATCTTGAATCTTTTTCAAACTTAAATTGAACTTAAAATTTATTTCGGAGTTGTGTATGGGAAACTCTTCTTATGATAAGGCTTGCTGACAACACATCTGTAAAGTGGAGACCCCTGGCCAATATTGTGGCTCGTAGGAGAGAGGATCAAGGAGAAAGGAGGTATTTGGAGGATACGTGAGAGCGGCCTTTAAACTGACAGACACAACCTGGTTTCAAAAATCACCCACTTACTAAATATGGTGGCAGCTTGGACTCTACTTTAACTTCACATCACTAGAGTTTCATAGCAGCGGAGACAGAACTTATAATCGTCACTTGGGGAAGCCTTGAAACAGACTGTCACGTGCTGGTGTCAAACAGCTGGTATTAAAATTGTTTGGCCTGAGTATAAAGAACGAAACTCTGCGCATAGCTCCTATAAAATCAGTAAAACAGAGGATTCCTCCTGATGTTTTTTTAAATTCACTGTTGAACAAAAATTAATTGGCAGATATTATTAGGATAATTGGGTTATTTCCTTTCATTGTGACCCATGGAAGCAGTTCTTGGTGCTATTAAGGCTGCCAGATACTCTCAGTGAACTCCCCATACAGCCTTCCTTCCTTTGCTAGAGCATCACATAATTCCTTGGCCTGTTATTACCACCTGTTCTTGAGTGGAATAGTGTGAAACCATTGGCAGGACAAATAAAACCGGGACTGCCACATGGAGAAACAGCCTCAAAGAAGTACCAGCGGTCTAAAACTGCACCTATTCTTTTGAAATCTATAAGGTTATATATGGGTTACAAACATATGTTTTAGTTTAACAAGTAAGTAAAGAAAGACAGAAGCATAACCACATGCTGACTGTGTCACTGCTGATTTCAAATCCTCACAAAATAATACTCGGCATCACAACGCTGGTTTTATCTGGGAAACATGCCTGTTTTGGGGAGCATGGTGACCTTAAAGCTTCCATTCAGTCTAGCATGAACCAGTTATTTATTTAGTTTACTTTCAAGCAACTGGTGATGGAATAATTACCAATTAATCAGCATTTATGAAGGGACATTTCAAGTACAGCCATGCAAAGCCAGAGGGGAGTTCATAAAGGAGCGCACAGTACAGCCAGGACAGGACAAGTATCTAATGATAATGAGTCCAGAGGTACAGAAAGTTCAATGTTACTATCATTCACCTGGAGCTTCATGAAGCCCAGACACATTGTCATAGAAAGAGGCTCTCTGAAACGTCTGAATGTCTACAGCAACAGGGACACAGATAGAAGAAGACAGGAGAGTGAGAAAAAAGAAGGACATGCAAACACATACACCTGTCAACACACACACAGTTATACACACTCACACACACCCAAGTTCAGGAGCAGAGATTAGCTGTTAAAAGAGGATTTGAGATTAAATGTCAGTTCATGCACTTAAAACACTAATATACTGTTATTCTTCAAAGGGTGTTGGGTTATTCTAACTGGATTTAAAGTGCAATATGACCATTTGGCTTTCCATTTGACCTGCCTGTGATTCTTGAATAATACAGCTGTGAAATCAATTCATACTTATGAAGGCCAATGTAGTAAAATCAGGATTACTTGTTGTATTAAATCCATTTTTAAGCTCCGGCTGTAGTTTACTTTACTCATACTGGCTTATTAAATGTTGTGTTGATAAATGCAGACATAGTAATTCAGCTCATCAAGTTCTGTACCAATAAACTGAGCTTTCACACAGCGTTTTTTAGGGAGACTTACCGTCTTTCCAGAGCTCAGCCACAAACTTGTCAGTGGACTGGTGCAGCAGCGTGGCCACGTTATCGTTGAGTGGATCCATGTTCTTCATGAGCCATTCATCAGCTTTATAATCAACCTGAAAATCACAGTACGCAGCGTTAAGGGCATCAAGTATTCATTATCAGTACAACTTAGAATCAACCAATCTATGAGATAATACATCAATCCCTATTCCATCCATCAATTAATTCATCCATCCCTATTCCTTGCATCCATCGATCCACCCATCCATCAATCACTATTCCATCCATCCATCCATCCATCCAGCCAACCATCGATCCCTATTCCATCCATCCATCAATTCCTATTCCATCCATCCATCCATCCCTTTTCCTTGCATTCATCCACCCATCTATCCATCAATTTCTATCTTATCAATCCCTATTCCATCCATCTATCCATTTTCCTTGCATTCATCAACCCATCTATCCATCCATCATCAATCCCTATTTCATCCATCCATCATCTATCAATCCCTATTCCATCGACCTCTCAATCCCTATTTTATCAATCTCTATTGCATCCATCCATCTATCCATCCATCAATTCCTATTCCATCCATCCATCAATCCCTATTCCATCCATCCATCTATCCCTATTTCATCCATCCATCCATCCATCCATCCATCCATCCATCCATCCATCCATCCATCCTCTCTGAACCCAAACAAGGTTAAATGCAACGTACATACCAAGAAGACCACACACCTCTAATAATCAGGTTATACAAACATCCAGTCAGAATTCCTTCATGTCATCCAATGCTGTTTCTTTTATTACTCCGGTGTAGAGGAAAATATGCCTTTGATACAGTTGGAGAGGACTTGCTTACAGACTCTGATTAAGTATGTATGGTCTGTTGCTACATCTGTCTACAGTGCTTCATAAATGGCAGATATGTTTGGCTCTAATCGTGTCCAAATACCCTGCAGATGTTTAATCTAACAGACAGTTCCAGATGTGCTCTGCAGGGCCTTATAATGATTGGCAAAAGGATCAAAAGATAGTATGACACACAATACTGACCTAATAAGACACTGTGGAGTCATACTTCAACCATCTGAAGTTAAAATAAAGACTCTCCTGGAATTTTATTTGACTGACCAGGAGATCTAATTCAGTGTTCAGGGTCCTGATTGGATTAGTAACATGATCATTTTCCTTGTGCATGTTTGCCAAACATGCTATAGAGACTTTTGGATTAGAGCGAAACAAAATAAGCAATAGACACTGTTAGGCAACCTGAGATGAGGATTGCAAGATCAGCATGTGGGTTTCATCAAAAATCCTGAAACTCACAATTCTATTTTTGCACCGTTTTCTTCTCTGGTATCAGTCTATCATGGGGTGTTTGTTTGATGAAGTTCAAATGAGGAATTCTGCATGAACATGAGATTTTCACCTGTTTGACTTGTGACCAGCTCTGATGTTTGGACATGAATACCAGATGCTTTTCATACACAAACGTTCCAGAGAGGAAAAATAGACAGGTTACCCTAATTAAGCATCACTCTGGGGATGATATCAACTTTCCTTCTTCTCTGGAATGCACTGAAGTATCGTTTCCTCGTAACAGATGGCAGACCACCACACAGAGGTGAAAGTTGAAATCTTCAGTTATGTAACCACCAGGCACCAAATACTCTATTTCACACCAATGTGAACCAGATGTGTGTTTCCTACAGCAGCAGCACAACAACTGGCCTATTGTTTTCGGGCAATGACCTGGTTTACTGCACGATTGGAGGAGCAAAGTCTGTGCCTCCAAGAGAGGCCCCAAACATGACTGGAGGAGAGCTGTTGCATAAGGAAAAACACAGGGGACCTAAAACTGTGTTTTAAAACGCATCATTCTTTTTTAGGAGCTGCCTGCTGAGAGGGGTGGCAATTTGAGCATCAGAGTCAGAACGAAAGAAGCAAGAATGCAAGAACAAGGGTGGGTCTGAAACTCACTATCCCATTTTATTTTATTTTTATGTTTGTATGTGTGACTGTATTTTTAATTTTGGCAGTCAACATTAATAACACCAAATCCGGAAAATCAGCAGGTCATTGTTTAATTGCGTGCTATTTTGTCTCTTTCAGCACAGTGTAGTCTGGCCGCCACAGTGTCTTCCTTCCTGGTTCTTGTATCCTTCTTTCTATATTTAATTTATACTTCTCTTTTTTTCAATCCTATTTTTATAAAACGTTATTTGTAGGGTAACACTCTCTTTTTCTCCCTGCTGTCAGCAGTTGTCATAGATAGAATACATATTTTTGCTGCTGTGAGGAACTTTTGGGTCAACCTTTTTGGACGAAGGGATAAAAAAAATATTATAATAAACTTTATTTATACTATTAATAGTATTTTTTAAAATCATCCTTACAAAGTTCTGTACAAGGCAGGAGAAAAATAAACGTGTATGAATGAAATGCACATTCCTGCTTCTGTGGGATGAAAGTAAAATGTAAAAGGGTGAATTTACAGTCGCCCAAAGGCAGGTACGATTGTGTTTTGTTCCTGAGCATTTGACTGTTCTGTGAAACCTGACTTTCTCAAGGGAAATGCAAAGAAAAGGAAGTACTTACCCTGCCTGCGTAGTGGATGATGCAGAAGTCGGCCTTGTCCTTGAGCTGTCTCGGCTTCTGAAACTTGGTGTGTGTTCCCTGCTCTTGCAGCACCTTATCAATAAATGTCTTGTCGGTGGCTTTGGGGAACCAGCACTCCTCGTCCAACAGAGCGAGGATACCAGGGGGGTTATTCTGGAAGAGAGAGAATTTCTTATTAGACACATATTTTTACAAGCTAACACACACAGTCACATACAGGTAGGTTGGTAGAACACTGACAGGCCTCTCGATGAGGTCGATGCAGGGCTGCAGGTCCAGGCCAAAGTCGATGAAGCTCCACTCGATGCCCTCCCTCTGGTACTCCTCCTGCTCCAGGATGAACATGGTGTGGTTGAAGAGCTGCTGCAGCTTCTCGTTGGTGTAGTTGATACAGAGCTGCTCAAAGGAGTTCAGCTGGAAAGAGGAGTACAGCAAATTCAGGGTTTAAGTTATTGTTTGGCGTGTTTTTTCCCCACAATTAAAAATTGTCTAAAAATGATTTGTACTTTACAGAAATGAGTTTGATGATATTACAGTGCTACTTTCTGTACCTCAAAGATCTCAAATCCAGCAATGTCCAGGATGCCGATAAAAGACGCCCCCTGTCGTTTAGTCCTGTCCAGAGCTTTGTTGATACGGTGGACCAGCCAGCGGAACAGCCGTTCATACGTTGCCTTTGCCAGAGCTTCAACGGCAAAGTCAGCCTGGGGAGACACCAAGAGTGTTAGTGTTATCAGGCACAACAGTATGAGGTTCAAGGTTCAGCCATTCATGTTCAGTTCAGAAGGAAATGGTGAATGGACATGGATATATGTGTTTTTCCTTTACATGGTGCGGTGGTTTTATTCTGCATTTGTGGATTTGGCAACAAACTGTGAACACAGGCTGTGTTTTTTTTTTTTTTGGTCATGATTTTAAAGCCCATCTGGTGACTCCCACTACAGAGTAAAGTCTGTTTTAAACACAGAGCTGCTAAGAGCTAGAAGATCACAGCCACCCAGTTTTGGTTTTGGCCTTAGAAGTTGTAAAAGTAGGTAGATTGAGTAAAAAAAAAGAATTATTTTAGATCAAATGTTGCAATAATTTTCAAAGCAAACTTATTAAAAAGTAATTTCCAAAAATATGTAATTTTTTTACTTCCTTGTTTTTCTGGTATATATAATTTTTATGTAATTTATGTAATACTGTAAACAAAAATATATTAAAACAGAAGGATACTTTGAGAAACAATTTTTAAAGATCTTAACAACTGAATTTATGTGAAAACCTGACATGCACTTTCAGCCCTTCAACATGTTAATGTTTATTTACTCTTATATTCATTCACACTTTGTACTGTACTGTTTCTTTGCTGTTTCTGTGGGTTGAGCGGTGGCCCTCCTTGTCTCTTTGAAGGATGCACTGCATGTTTATTTTTCTGCGCTCATTTGGTAGACGCAGGACATTTGCGAATCACTTGTATGGGAGAAAACTGCATTTTCTCATACTAAACAAAAAAAAAGCTGTAAAGATTTTACACTAAATGCAACATTACCCTCATGAGTAAAATTAAATGATGTCTTACCTGTTCTTTGGTCTGTGCTTTCTGTACGTAGTCTCGTCCCACTTTGATCCTTGGGGTGAGAATCGCTCTGGTGAACTCCATGACGTTCATCCCAAGCAGGTGGCAGAGTTTCTGAGCAGCTGAGAAAGTAAGAAAAAAGTAAATGATCAAAAGGCTGATTTTAATACTGTCTTATGATCTGGACTCATAAATCCTGTCCAATTCTTATCAGGCTGGATTTGTGTGAGGTTTCATATGTGCAGGCTGACAGACGATACCTGTATTTTCAGGCATGGAGGCCTGATCTGTGTTTCTCTCTTTCTTAAAGACAATATTTCCAAACTGCAGCACTGCAGAGACCACCTTCAACATGCCTGGGAATGAGAGGAAAACACTTAATTGATTACACAGATGACTCAAAAGGTGCGCACAATCTTTCGTCCTCCATGCTCCACTGAAGAGCCAAAAGAAAGGTTCTTATCCCAAATCATGCATCCAAAGACCTGAATTTGAATTTGATACAATGTGGGATTCAGTACCAGAGTGTCTAAATTTGATACGTCAATTCAAATGTTTCCGTAAACTCTGGAGACTGATCATGCTGCAAACCTTAAGTGCAACATTATTTTCTACCCCATTCATTCCCAAACCACTGCTGTGTTGATGTATAACTTTATGTGACAGGATTAGGATAAACATGAGGACTTCATTACAGAATGATGAGTTTATTTCAGGACATCTGGAAGCTCTACTCACAGACGATCTCTTCATGAGAAAAGCTCATGATGTGCATGGCGTCCAGTGTCTCCTGGAAGTTCTCCTTATCCTGCTGACCGGGGATGGGAATATTGCCGTTCGACAAAAAGCGGTAGTTGTTAAAACCTTCAAGGAGCAGGTCGGCTGAAAACACACACACACACACAAAAAAATAAGATCTCAAATGTATTCTTATAAAAATACAATATTTATATTCTCATTGCAACAGCAGTTCTTCTCTTTTTCCAGGCAGTTTCATGGGTAGCACACTTGTGCTTGACACACCGAAGAAACCGATGACATTTTCAAATGAATGAAAAAAGAATCATCTTCACCTAATTCATGGTCATTATAGTCAACCTGACTAATAGTTTTGGTAATAGAGTTAATAACAGGGGAGAAACAAAAATATCAATGATGGCTGTCATTGTGGTGGAAAGATCACAACTGCTTTTGTACAGGGCTGAAATCATTGTAATTTTGCTGTTGGGCGTTTTAGCATAAATGTTAATGGGAGGTCTTTGGTTTTTAAACTAGCTTCAAGTGCACAACGGAGGAACTGCAGTTTTTTTTTTCATACACCCGTACTGGTTTCATTTCTCAATGCCAGAATTTGACACTTGGATTAATGCCATTTTTAGGTGTTGTTGATTCATGGTAGATAATTTCCAAGACAGCTAGTAGACGTTTTATGAAGCCCTGCTATGGTGCATCAGTATATAAAGCACTTTCAGCTTATGAACCCCAGGGCACAGAACAGCTCAGTTTGTCGCTTATAATCAAACCAACGTCACTCAACATTAACCTTTCAAAACTTTTCCTCTCCCTAATATTAGCACTGAAACACTCACTTTTGAGATGTTCTCCAGCTCCTGCCAGCAGCCGGTAGAAAATGTGAAAGGTCCTCTCCTCTTTGGCCTGTCTGATGGCCCGAGACTTCTCCAGGAGGTCTGAGAGAGACGGTTAAGGACTGACCAGAACATAAAGATGTAAAAATTAAAGAGAGTTAATAACTGACACTTATGCTGGATTAACAATTTCACTTAAAAAAGTTAAACAAGTTTCTGCTTATTATAAAAAAACAGCCCAAGTTCAATGGGTATCCAAGGGACTTTAAGAACCCCTATTTTCATCTTAAAGGTTAACATGCAGCTGGTTTTAAAATCCTGAATCTTAGGCTCCAAGAATTCACTAAGGAATGAAGTATTAGTTCTTTCTGCACATGTGACGACAAAAAATTGTTATCTGAGGAACCTCCTATCTTTTTTCCCTCCACACACAGAAATAAACCTGAGTACAAACGGGGAACAACAACAGAAATCTTGCTTCCTTTGGAGCTCACTGCGACCCTTCTCCATTTCAAGAACGGCATTCTTGTGGTTAAGCAGAAGCCTGACAGCCTTTCTTAGCTTTGAAACCAATGTGCAGCCTGTTTTCAGCTAGCTTTAGTTGTCTTTGAACCAATCCTTTTGCCTCCTGGCCCATCAGTTGGAGGATACAAGTTTCAATGTTGGCCCCGACGATGTAACCTGCGACGTCAAAGTTGACTCTGATGAACTTCCCCTGCAGGGAAAAGATACAGATTTATATTAAAAACTTAACCGTCATAATTAAAAATCCAATGCTGTCATTTGTCACGATTCTTTAAAGGCAGCTGTGTTCAAAAATGCTCGGCTGACACTTACAGGTAAAAAAAAACAAATTCCAGTGGAGTGTGACTATATTAGGAGAAGTGGGGTTTACAGGTCAGAAGGAATCTAAAGCATGTCTGTGGTTTCCTGAGAGTGGATGTGTGTGTGTAAGTGTGTGTAAATATGCGTGCCCATCTGTCTGCTGGTCATCATTACCTCCTCACAGAGCGAAATGGTGACTCATGAGGACTGAGTGCCGCAGTGGTTAGTCTTGGCCACATGCTTTACAGAGTCACACAAAAATCTATCAACGCTTTGACGGAGAAATGTCCACCTTTACTGTTTAATCCGTAGAAAAATATGCAGAGGAATGACACTCTGGGGTTTTGTGGTCGGAGGGTAAAGTGTCAGGTTATTTTTTGGTGGGAGGCAGTGAATGTTTGTAGGACTGGGTGGATGCTAGGAGTGCTGTAGTTGGTGTTTGTTTACATCAAAGTGTGGCTAACTTTCCCCCACGTTCAGTTGTATAAAAATTCCCAGTACAGTTTGAAGAAGAATGCAAATCTAAATTCCCTTATTTATATGGACAAAAAAATAAGTTTTTAAACTATAACTGTACAAGGCTTTAAATATCAGAATTTTGCTCTAAAATTAGATTTTTTTTTACATGGGTTTTAATAGGATTGCAGCCAGCCCAAAGTGAACACTTGAGGAACTTTATTTTTTGCATGTCCACTCAACAATAGACGGTGCTGCTTGGATTAACGCCATTTTTAGCTGTTAAATGGTTGAATCTGTGTTATTTATATGCATAAACTGTAGACTGTATGTCCTCCAGGTTTATCCAAGTGTTATCTTTTTGAATGGGTTCAGAATTAGCTAATGCCTCGGTTCAACAGCTTTAAAGATAAAGGGTGTAGGAACAGGAATTTTTAGCGACATCTTGCAGTCAGATTCTGGACTGAAATGCTCCCATCGAGCTCCAGAAGTGACGGTGGCCTTCGAGGACAAGAAGCTCCCATAATGCCTGAGAGGTATAATCCTCCATTACCGTTCTCCCTGCACATTGACCGCTCTTGTGAGGCTGCTGCTTGCAAAGCACACACTGGATATTTCTGGCCACAAAAAAGTGTTTTCACAATATGTCCTGTTAAACATACTACAACAAAACTGGCAAGAAGGGAAAAGGATTTAACTGTCCACCATATTTGTTGATTTAAATCCAAGTCTGATCTTGAGAGAGATTCCTGTAGGTTCTCAGTTTAGTGAGTGGGTGAATGGAGTCTGTAAACATGGGGTGTTCTTCGTGTGTGTCATGTCGTTGCATAAAAACAAAACTGTTAAATTTGTAATTAAATGTCATCAACTGTGGGGTCTCTCTCACTTCAATTTAAGTCTCATCATGCTAAAGAAATTGAACATGGGTGTCTGCGTACTTTGTGCTTTTTTGCCCCAAGAATAAAAACCTTTTTAGTGATTTGAAGCTTGCATTTCACCTTAGATGGAGAGAGGTTGATAGAGAATAATCACTGAAACAGAAACTCACAAAGCGAGAAGAGTTGTCATTTTTCACCGTCTTTGCATTGCCAAAAGACTCGAGGATTGGGTTGGCTTGGAGGAGCTGGCGTTCCAACTCACCCTGTGAAGAGAGACAGAGAGGTAAGACGCCACACATCTCCAACACCTGGCAGCACATTTTAAATCTTAAGTCATTATTCATCACATTTTTAAAAAATAAAAACAAACTGGAGAAGCAGGATTGGATCTTTGGAGCAGAGCAGCTGGAGAGAAATGGTATGTGCTGAATCAATCTTGTAGACGTGCTGTTGGCTTTAATTCGACGAACAGCAGCACGGTGTGATTTTTGCCAGGGGGACTCAACAAGTTTAACGTACCAAGACGACCAAATATCCCACAGAATTTGCAAAACCATGAAGACAATATAGCGAGTGCCTTATAACACATGCCATACTGTAAGTGGTTACTCGGCAGCCTCTTCCGTTCAGCACATTCCTCTGGTTATGATGATATACTGTATATTTATACATCCAAAGACTGTACCACCACCGTGGTAATAATGGCTCCCTCCCAAATCTTAAACGCTGCCTTAAAAGTGGTTGGGACATTCCCTACAGACCCTGAAACCTCAAATTTCTCTAAACATGTCACAGTCTCCTCTGTGCAGGGCAGCAGCTGGACAGAAACGCCTCCTATGGTAGAACCTGTTTAAATCTGACTCCAGGAAACTCTTATAGACGGCAGGACCAGTTTTCCATCGCCATTATGAGTCTAGATTTGCTGATATACCAATACAGGAAAAAATCAACATTACAGATGGAGGTAGAGGCTATTATTTCACATTTGCCTTCATCTTACAAACTCTGAATAAGGGGTGCAACAATTCATCAGGGCAGTTAAAAACAAATTGCGACAAAATTAGTGAATTTAATTGTTGATATTGACTAGGCGAAAGCATCTCATGTATTTTGATTCCGTGCATCGACATAACATTATTTTCCAGGGTGAAACTGTAGAGGAGGGAGATACCCGGTGCCGTTACCATCTCTGCTGCAGGGAGCTCATTCAAGAAAGCCACCGGGCATTCACACGTAAACAAAACATAACAACATAGACATGGCCGGTGCAACGTCATCTTGTCCTCCAAAGTCAGGGGATGTTTCAGAAAATGAGCTGCCTGCATGATTTATAAAACACACCCTGTTTATCCTGGGAGCATGCAAGTTTTGGCGCCCCCTGTGGAGAAAGCAGCCTTCTTATCTTGTCCTCCATATGCCTCAGTAATGTCTAATCTTGCTGACTTTTGAAAGTCAAAATTGAAAACACAGGGCTGTTTCTTCAGCTGCTAAGCTGCCTCCTATCCCCTCACACCAGTTTACAGCAAAAACTAAAATATGTAAATCATCAGTCTGATCACTCGTGGTCTTATTTTCGTTCATTATAAAAAAAGGTGTTGATAAAAATCAGTTTATCTCATAAACATCACAAAACTCCACACAGGAGCTTGAAATCAATGATGGTAAAAGTGTACTTTTGATGCATTTTGATGCTACCTGACCAAATGTTTGAGGCAAGAGTGGGTCTAAACTGCTCGGCCAGATTTTTGTCCCTGGCTTTAACTGAGACAAGAGATAAATGTGTTTTTAAACAAACAGTAACAGAGAAAATGTTGGCCCTCAAATGAATAAATGATCATGATTAAAAACAGTGATCTCAATATTGATCAAAATAACTGTGATCATAACTTTGGCCATATTCGTGCAGCCCCAAGACACCAGCATTCTCATCAAGTACAGACAACCAGGTATTTCCATAAGTCTGAATGTGTGGTCTGGTTTACCTCCTATACACCTCTTTCTATCTCCTCTTTATTTCCTCTCTCCTCCACCACATCTTTCCTCCCCTTCGCTCCCTGGTTCTAAATTCCTCTGGCCTGTGCTCAGAGGCCGCTGTAATGCAACACAGAAGGAACGCAGCTTTAAGGAGGTCAGTGTGAACGGAGGGGAGCACTGAGGCCCTGAGTCACAGCTGCTCTCTCTCAGCTACTGAAACACGGCATATTAAACAGGTATCCCCCCCAAGGATTGTGTGTGCTCTGAGCTGCAGGTTAGAGGTTTTCACCTGTGCTTCTGTACTTATTAGATTTACAGAAGACACAGAGACATCAGGTACTGGTTTGGAGGATTGAGGAAAAACAGACTGGATGGAGAAGAGATGAGCTAAAAAATGAAAGATGAAGTTGGGGTGACATCAGCTCCCTGTGAACAGATTCTTCTTTGTGTTACTTAGGGACAAACAATGTGGACTGTGTTTGGGATTCCTGTTAAATCTTAGCAGCCAAGCAGGCAAAAGAATATAAATGATTGATTGAAATATTCCCCAAACTAAAAACATGCATCTACAGCATAGCAGCAATCAAACATAAGGATCAGTATAGGACAGGGTGAGTGGTGTCATGTTTTTATCCAGAGATGAAGATTTTAGTATTCAAGGTAAGATGTTAAGTGTGGCTGTTGTCTGATTTCAATCTAATTTATTATCAGGTTAATCCAGGAGATAAAATGTGGATCAATTGTACAAAAACACCTAAAATAGACAGGAAACACTAACAAGGCATCATTTAAATTCTGCATTGTGCCAGACAGTGGGCGGCAAGTGCTGCAGTAACCCTTTGAATCTTTGTTGTTCTACATTTCACTGCATGCACAAAATAACATTACATAATGTTAGCTGATATATCTTATGCATGCTAGTTTTTTTTCTTTTTAAGGCAACTATAATCAGATCTACAAACCTGTTTGACCATCTGTTTAGTATAGTAATGCTAGCTCAGTGCAACCCTCTGATGCTTCTTACAGTCTTTCAAGAGAATGAGAGAATTGAAGTTTTTATGCCCTCAAGCAAACAGCTCTTGGTGTGTGAATAATTTAAATAGTGATCTGGCTCCAGTGATGTATTGAATCTCAATGCTTATTTATCCCTGTCAACCGTTATGCCGCATGTGGTTTTAGCGATTCTGAGGAAATGTTTATGAAATGTGATTTTTTTTAAATGTGAAACAACACGCAAATCTGCTATTCCTGCACCACGACTTTCATCCAAACTGTAATTATATCTGAAACATCAGCTTTAACAGAGCAGGAAACGAAGTCTGCCTTCAGAGTTTGTCTGACCTAATGATCCTATTTCCCTCTTCTTATATCTGATCTAATAAACTCAAAGCAGCTGATAAAATAAAGTGTTAAAGTATCATGAGCCTGGCAGACTCTCTGAGTTAAATTAATAATGAGAGGAGACTGAGCCAGCACAAACAAATACCTCACAGGAATACTGATACAGGTTAGACTGTCAAAACCATGATGAAAGAGAAGACGATGGAGGGGCATGCAAGTAACATTAGAAAAGGACAGCACACTTGTTTGGAGGAAGCGGGAGACGCACTTGCCTGTAGCTTGAATGCTTTGGGAGATTCGGGCTGTTTGTTACAGATAAACAAATGAAAGTGTTAAAACCTTAAGCGCTAAAGTCAGACACAAGCCAAAGGACACAGAATGACAGAACACATTAAGTCCCATGTTAGGGAAACTCTCAAAGAACAGCACTGGATGACATGAGGCAAGAGCAGAGACTAGTCAGGCTAGATTAAGATTAGCTAGATTAGCATTGTATTAACATGACTGAACTATCAACTACTGCTTTGCTCAAACAACAATAAAAGAACAAATCTGAGAAGTTTGACACTTTGAGTAGTACACTCATTTGCTTTTTGACAGAAATACAAAAAAAAGATAGATTCCACACTCATATCTGATGTTGGTTAGCTTAGTTTGCACAATTTCAGGATACAGAAGAGTCAGTTTGTTTGTGTCTTTTGAGCATTTTTATTTGGACAAATTAAGACAATGACTTAGACATGTTAGAGGTGCAGTGTGTAGAAATAGGAATGTTACGCAATATCTGGGAATCAGATTCTTTACTGAAATGCCCCCTTGCTCACCCCTTTTGTCAAAAGTGACGGTGATCTTTTTGGCAAAAGCTGCAGTGATGTATTATAAGTATAATTCTCATTTTGACAACTTTTCACCATCAGGAATTTCTATCAATATAAAATGAACACAGTGCTAGTTCAGGCAGGTCATGAAAGCCAAGCTTAGCCTTTAGTACGTCTGCTTAACCATAACACCTGCCTATACTAGCTTACATTCAGCTGATTAGTGTTGAGCATCAAATTGGCAAAGGTCAAAATTAGAGTGCTATCTAAACTGATTTAGCCTGTCGACTCGTCCTCGTTCTTCCACCACTGTTTTGTAACCCACCTCTGCTCTAGCTCTTTCTTCTTTTTTTGCAGTCTGGTCATACCAGGGTCATCTGTTTTGTCACTAATGCTGGCTCTGATCTGTTCCGTAGTTCTTCGCTGCTGCTCTCCCGGCTCCAAGCTTTGGCACTCCATGTAAGCTCATGCAAGGGCAGGGAGCTCAGAAATGTAATTATATTTGATGAAAGCAATCCTGACTGAAATGTTTTTTCACACAACCACTATCACACTCTATAGTTTCAAGCTGGCAGGAAGACTTTGTTGAAGTAAAAGGAAACCAGTCCACCTGTTTGGAGTTTTTTGCCAAACAAAGCTTATTGGGTGCAGCCTTAAACTGAGTAGGGATGAATGAATGATTTATTTTGCATTGAGTGCCAAGAACTACCTGTTCTTCTTGGCCATCTCAGGAACTATTTCTTTTTTGCACAGGCCTTTATTTTATATCAGCTGTGGTGTATCAAAAATAGTTATTAATCCAAATTAACTAATTTTTCTTCTATATCACCATCAAATTAGAGAAGTCCTTGCAGACAACATTCTTAATTCTGAGGGAAGTTGGTCAAACCTGATCTTTGTTTGGAGTTTCACAGAAAATCACTTAAATCTGTGAAACATTTTTAAAATTAAGTAATCCCCAATGTGACTTCAAAAGAATTCTCCTGTGAATATTACATGAAAATGTGAGAGTGGGATCAATCTTGTGGCTTCAGCTGTTAAACAAAAAGCAAATGAGTGTTTGTCAAAATGCCAAGCCATCCTTTTAAAGAAAGAGTACATTACTACTACCAAAGCCCTCTCAGACAGGATCTACTGTACATAAGAGAAGGAACGAAAAGCAGAGGCTAAAGACGGATGAGAAACCATGTAGGTAGTGGGGCTCTCACAGGAATGTTGTGGTCTTTGCGTCCTTTGTGTGAGGAAGCAACGTGGGCCAGGTACTGGATGACTTTCTTCGTGTTCTCAGTCTTGCCGGCACCTGATTCACCCCTGAAAACAAAAAGGAAAGACAGCTTGGATTTACATAAAGAGACACGGGCAGCAAAGGATGAAACGAACAAGGACTGAGTGAGACAGGCAGACACCTTCAGATATCAATCAAGTTTCTTTGACTTTCAGCCCACCAACGCTTTTTCAACTGTTCCACAGTGGCTACTCCTTCTATTTGAGACAGTGTTTCTCAATTTGTTTATTCCTTTTCTGTGATAAAAGTTTTATTATTTTCACCCTTTTTTACGCTCCCTGCCTGCTCATGACACCTGAACACTCTAAAAAAAGTGTCACAGGTGGAGCCTTCAGTTCTCAGGTTCTCATGTCTTCCTTTCCTCTAGAAATCGCCTACTAGACAAAGTCCAGGGGGAACGAATCTCTAGTATTGAATTTCTTCACAATTTTCCGGGACACTGAATTTGGGAATTTTATTAGCTGTAAGTTACAATCATCAAAATGAAAAGAAATAAACACTTAAAATAAATCATTTTGTGTGTAATACATCTATATAATTAATGAGTTTCACTTCTTGAACTGAACTCTTTCAATGATACTCTAATTTATTGAGATGCACTTATATATCTATTTAGCTGCTCTTTTATCTTCTATATTTAATACAGCTGACGACATGAGGAATACACAAACATTACGGTGTACCTGGACCTTATTGAATTTCCCTTTGGGGATCAATAAAGTTCTTATCTTACTGTATTTGCAAAAATGGCAACTCATATCTTTTTCCATTCACTTCTCTTCACTTTTTCTTGAGCTGGTTTAATCGTGATTTTGTGTGGCTATCCATTATCAAATGGACAGTTAGATCAAACTCAATAATAGTGTGAATATCTGCCCAAAATATAACCAAGGCGGAGAACATGAGCAGTTCTCATGCTCAGGGAGGCCAAACTACTTTTTATGTGAGTGGAGTCTGGTGGCTTTGAAAAGGGCAATTAAAAAAAACAAAAAACAGCCTAGTTTCTAAAAAAAGGTATCTTATTACAAAACAAAAAGTTGTAGGGAAACAGTTGTGTCTGTAGGGATTCTTTCTGAAATCTGACACACTTGGTTTAATTTGAGGTTTCTTTCACTTTGGATATAAAAATATTTACAACAGCCTCTCTTTTTCAGTCATGAATTGCAGGCTTTTAGTTGTGCAGCATGTGTCTAATTCTAGGAAATCATCCGTGTAAGTTCTCTATAATTTTATTTCAAAACTTGTGGGGAGACCAAACACTGTAAAACACTGACCAGAGTAACTCTTCCTCATCATTAAAATGGTAAAGAGAGATTAGGTGATCTCCAAGAAAAAAGTAAACAAAAGAAGAGTAAAAGAGAGGGGTGGAGGAGAAGAAAATGAGCGAGTTTCAGGTTGTTTGTTGTTGTTTTCTGAACCCATCTATTTGTCTGTTTCACTGGAGAACGCTGTGGTTTAGTGGGCCAGTCTCTCAAGTTTCCAGGCTCTGCTTCTAGGCTGTCTCTAATGATAGCTCTGTTCAGGCAGGGCCATCCACAGTTCCCACAGTCAGGACCTAGAGAGCCAGAAAAACCCGAACCAGCACAAAAACCAGGCCAGGAACTCTACATCGAGCTACATGCCGGTGGCTTTAGTCTAGCCAGCTATTAGCTCTGCTGCACTTAGAGTTTCAGCTGGATGGGCGGGTCCCCATCACACAGGATACAAGGATAGCAATATAGGTCAAATCATTTTACATAATAGTTTGGCTTCATACCTCATCTATCTTTTACTTATTTGAGATGTTAATGTGCAGAAAAACTGGGACCAAACCCTCTGCCTCACATCCTTAAGCCTGTAACGGTTAACTCATAAGTGAGAGATTTTGCACGTCCTCTTGAGCTGCTCCCAGTTAGAGACCATTTTCACAGCTACATTATTTCCCCCCAAGGATACATAACATAAGTTCTTCCTGTGTTTGATCAATATTAAAACCTCAATTCCCTAAAACTTGGGACAGTAAAAACAGCATTTTATGGTTTGCAAACTAAGAAGAACTTCCTCCCCATAAAGTGTAAAGAATTTGAGGGATTTCATGATTTACTTAATATAATATCATTCGCAGATTCAGAGGATCTGCAAAAACCTCTGCACTCAAATGGCATGGCCAAAGACCGATGGTATGGCCATAAGCTTGAGGTCTTTAGGCAGCACTGCATCAGCAGCACATGGGCTAGAACCACCAACAAAGTAAAAAAACACAGTTCATCTAAAAATGTACAATGTAAAGAGGAAAACAAATTTAAACATGGTCCTGAAATGCTGGTGACTTCACTGGGACCAAACCTATCTAAGGCAAAATGGAAACTGTCCTGTAATCTGACATTCTTTTGGAGAGCATGGACACCACATCCTCCATTCTGAAGAGAAAGGGGACCACTCGAAGGTCCTGAGTTAGGAAAACAAATGTAAACATGGTCCAGGTTCCATGGACAGTTTAAGATGGACTGAGGGGAAGTGGGAATCTGCCCTGTAATCTGAAAAATCAAAATTTGACATTCTTTTGGAAATCATGGACACTGCAGGACTTGTGGCCCTGGGACCATCTGACTTGCTATCAGTGACCATCTTAAAAGCCAGCAACCACCAACATTTTATGAAGTTTTCTTCGCACTATATTCAAGTAAACACAGGTTTAAAATGATTTGCAACACATCAAAATCAGATTTAATCAACATTTGGCGCTATGTTCTAACCTTTTTGTGGTTGTTTAAGCAAATACAGGGCCACAAGTCATGCCTGTACAGAGAAAAAGGGTCTAGAAAGATTATTCTGGACATATTGTTGCTAAATTATGAAATTGCAAATACTTGATGTTAGTTGATGCTACACATCTGAACTGAAGTAAAAGTGGTTTCTTGATTCATAATAAACCTATTGTGGGTGAGTAAATATACTTCAGTCAAAAAACTGTGTTGCATGTCTTTTTTTTCTGGAGGAATGTAACAATACGTGACATTAATTAGCCAAACGACCCATATTTTAACACTGACTACCCATCATACTTGAGGTGACTTTGTTAAAACGCCCCCACTGTCACCAACAGAGGGTGTCGTTTTCAGGATTTGGGTCAGATTAAGTCACAGCTCTGTGTTCATTGGCAGCGTCTCCTCAAGCCACACTGAAAGAGTGTGCCACTTAATTACGCTCGCCACAGAGGATAAAAGCAGGGCACCAAACCGCACTCATAACTTCCTCAGTAATAGCTTGAGCTGCTGCACTACCCTGCATCCGCAAAGAGCTATTTGAAACCAGACTTTAAATAAAACACGGCGGGATGATTGGAGCTGGCCAGCTGAGTCAGGGAGAGGGAACATGAAGACAGAGACAGGGGAAGGGTCATAAGCAGGTAATTCAGAGGTGATGATTCATTTAGAGTACTCTGCTTGTCTCTGTGAGTTACATTCAAAACTTTCAAGAACAAGGAGTGAGACCTTATCTTTATAAAGGTGCATCTACAGACAGATTCATTTTCCAGACCGTCAAATTGCTTTAACACAAAGACACGACCTCAAGAGGAGAGAGGAGAAGAAGAAGAGGACAATAAAAAAGAGTAAGGAGGTGCAGTACTTACGTGCAAAGGATTGATTGGTCCTCTCGATCTGTTCAGAAAAAAAAAAAAGAAGAAAGAAAAAACACAGTCAGCACTTTTCTGTCCTCTCTCTCAGTTTAACCTTCTTTACAACTCCGATAATTACAAAGACGAGCTCATGCGGTCGAGCTGTCGGACTATAAAACTCGAAATGAAACTTAACCGGTTTATTTTGTTGATACAAGAAACAGCTTCAACATGCAAACAGCAGCTTCAGTAAGACTCTGTGATACATTTAGGGCTGCACAACATGAGAAAAGTTAATACTGCCATGAATATGACCCAAAAGTGGAGCAAAAACATTTAGAGCACCCCCTACTGAGTGGCAGCAGTACAGCCTATAAAGCCTGCCTGCTCCATATTACCAAGTGGGAGATCGAGCAACTATAAAATTTGAATTTTTCATTTAGTTATAATGAATGATGTTTTGGGGCAATTGTAAATTACCCATAGCTTGCATTATCTATGCCTGCTCTGCATGTTTTGAGGAGTGCTGTTGGAAATGCCCCCTCTTACTCCAAGTGACTCCAAATAGCAGCTGTTTTACACCCAACTGTACACCAATTCATGTCTGGTCTGACAGATTAAATATATTCATGCTGAGAGACAATGCATTGCTTGTTAACATTAAAATAGTCCTCTGTATTCATTGCCATTAACACAGCTGCTTACCACGTGTAACTGACTATGTGATGATGAGAACGGTATTTGTATGGTAAAGACTTTTGATAAATTGTACAGGAAACTCTGTTAAGGGGCGCCAAAGTCAAGAGCTCATATCACCGCTCGCTTTAACCAGACTACCTTTCATACCACGCTGCGCGCTGGCAATAAACCTACGCACAGACTCGTAACTGAAGCTGTAACACCTTTCATCACAGACTGGAGTCCAGATGACAGAATTAGCTACAGACACTGAAGTGTGTGACCCCTCGACTCTTAAAGTCCTGCTGTGAACTACAAAGACCACAATCCAGTGAGGGCTGACCTGTTAGTCTGCCAACAGAAACTCAAGACCGGTCCTCATGCCAAATCAATCAGAGCATGCTGTCACTGATATATCTGCTGCTACAAACATGTTTGTCACACATTTCTTTAAAGAAACTTCATATGTATGGTAGATTTTCCTTCAAAAAATTACCAGTAAAAGTGTTTTCAGGCCCTGCTAACTCTGAGTACAGCTTCATTAACACCATCCATGAAGTTTTAAGATGTTTTTAGGATATTTTAATTTTTTAGCCACTTGTCAAGTCATTTGGCATATGTTGTCAACAAAAATGTGTTATATCTGACAGTGTCCACCACATTTATTGTGAAACCCTGAATATGAGAAGATGCCAAATTTTTTTAGATGTATTTCAATATAAAAAAAAGAATCTGTTTTAATTTTTTTGGGTATAAAGAGCCAAACTTTTTTTTTCTTTAAGAAGAGGAAACGTCTAAGTTGTGAAATGCTTTAGTTTTTGAAAAATTCTTACAGTATCACAGTGTTTATCAGATTTTTTAACCATTTATTACCCGGTTTTCCATGGTGACAAATTCTACCCCTTTAGATATAAATGACTGGTTGTTGAGGACCAAAGGCTGGTGGTGCTAACTCTGCTAACTTAATCCACAGAGAAACAGGTCCTCAGAATTATTTCCCTTAAGAAAAAATTAATAAAATCTTTAAAGTGTTAAGTTTGTGTATCTATTATCAAAACCCTTCAAATCCATCTGACTGATCTCATAAGTATGCATAACTGTTTCAAAGGCGTTTCAAAAGGCACCATCATGACAAAACCATGACTTTAAATCTTTTCAGTATTTGCTTGTTTGTGCAGAAAGAAGCCTGTTAGGCAGAAAGGTGACAGTTCAAATGTCAGCAACACAGGTCAGAAGTTAAACTATCGAAGACAAGTGGCAGAGAAGAGGAACCTTCTTAGTCTCCCCAAACAGGCTCTCTGATCTAAGGTGTTTCTGGAGGTATCCTGATCCCCGTGTTCTCCTTTCTTGGGGATAAATTTAATCATGTCACAGGTTCAAAACTGATTAAAACATAATCCTTCCTTTTGTGGTCACCCAGTGCATCTTCCTGTTAACCTTCAGTTGTTGCTGACATTCTTGCAGCAGGAAACCAGGAGATTTTTCATTTCCTGAGAGAACCAAATTTGGGAACACTTCCACATTCCTGCACCCAATAAAAAACATGGAGGGAAGGGGCCACCCCAATGTGTGCTCATATCTCATGCAGCTACAGGCGGCACTGTGGGACTGAGAAGATATTAAATAACACTGTTTTTGTCACTGAAAGTCTGAAGTCAGAAGTCCAGGCTTCATGGTGAAAACTTGTCAACGTATTTTTTTTTTAGCAAAAATAATGAGACGGCATCTGTGCAAACTTATGAGATAAATTAGCATTAATTTATCAAGGGGGAATGTATGTATGGGCTCTGTAAAATACCATGAATTGTATTGCTGTCACTCTATGATGTTTAACTACTCTTTCTTTTGTCACTCTAAGCATTGTCTGCACTCTTAACTTTGGAGTTTCTTTCCCACATCTCCTTTGCCTCTCTTTCACATGACGACTGGCTATTGAGAGACAGAAAAAACTCTTTCACGTTGAACATCTCAAGCTGATCTCCACAGCTCATAGCAACATGGTTTATTTACATGACCTAACAGAAGTGTATATTTGATGGGTGCAGTGTAGACAGCAAGCAACCACTGCTACATAGCGGGTTGCAATATTTCAACTTATCAGGCATGCTACAGATATTATTAAAATCAAGCTTGAATAACATGGATCCCACCACTGGTCCTTGTGGCACACCACAAGTTTTTCTTGTGGTTTATCTGCATGAAGTAACACAAGTGTATATTTGACGGATGCAGGGTGGACAGCAAGCAACCACTGCTGCATGCTGTGGGGAAATATCTGATGCTTACACACTGTTAGTATACACTGTAACTATCATAAAAAACAATAACAGTACCTTAGTGAAAGCATGACTGGATATTTGTCTTTAAGTTGATAAAAATAGTTTCCATAATGGAAGATATGGTATGGGGATGGAGATTTGAGTTTGGAGCTGGCAAACAAAGGTCAAATTTGACTTAGCCTTTTAACTCACATCTTTGTTGATGAAGGTCAGGTTGTCTAAAAGTGTAAACTCTCACTAAGGAAACAATCTTTTGTTCTTGTATTAGAGCGTGAACTTTCCTGAGACCCCCTCTCTGCTATCAAGAGCTGACTTGAAACTTAAAGCACTCAACATCAGGTCTGGCTTAGGTTTAAACCATTTCTAGAAATTCTGCTATATGTCTCTATAGACAGACAGCTATAGGAAGCAGATGAGAAGTCCCTGAAGAGAATCATAAAGATTGTGAAGAACATCCCAAACCAACAGTGACCTGCCCTGGATGACATCTTCACCTTCTGTTACAGAAAGGACACAACATCTTAAAGGTCTCACCCTGAATATCATCTGTTTGAACTGTTGCCTCTCAGAGAATGTTACAGGTCCATCAAAACGTACCGCAGTTTTTATCCCAGAGCCATTACCATCCAGAACGCTGAACCACACCCACTGAATAAAATACTACATTTGTGTGCACTTACTTATGTGCAATATAGACTCTTTTTGGAGTACTTGGTTACCTGCCTGCTTAACTTAACCTAACCTTACTTAACTCATTTTAACATATTTTAACTTATCTTACCACAACATCTCATTTGATCTCATCTTGAATTATCTCATGTAAACAGAACTCATCTTGTATTAACTTCCCCTAACTTAACTTATCCCATCTGATCTTATCTCAGCTGAACTTAGTTTAACTTAACTGAACTTATCTGATCTTAACTTATCTCTTTTCATGTCAGCTGAGCTCAACTCAACTTTATTTACTCAATTTAATCTGTCTGACTTTTGGCAGATGACTGTTCACAAATGAGTCTAGTTTTGCTCAGGGTCTCTGCCTGTTAAATGAAGTGTTTTCTCACTACTGTTGCCCATTGGTGGATTGATGTGGGGTCTAAGTAATATTAAAGACATGACAATCTAGATCTGCTCTTTGTGTTTAGTCAACAGCAATTACTTGTTATTGGTCAATGTGTTTATCAAAATGAATGACTGAATTGAATGAGGTGAGAGTTAGTGTGCATGCATGCTTCATCTTTCTAGTGAAATCTGTTGTTCTCACAGAGTAAACATTGATGCAAATACAATGCACACACACTGTAAAAGAAATATGCACTCAAATGCACTCATGAAATCAGTGTTTTGCTCTGGTGTTTAATCAGTTTCTTCAACATCAGGAATGATGAATGAGCTGTTCACTCTAACTGGCTCCAGCTCCCCTGATGTTGAATCAGGCCTGGAAACACGGGTCAGAGTTTGATTATTTTTCTCGTCTGTGTTGCACAGCTGCATTTACATAAACCTGAAGCCAATCAGATGCCACTGATGTGGACTCTTGTACCTCTTAAGGCACGCAAAACTGCGTGACCTAATATGCAGATAAAACAAATTCACCAGACATCCCCTGAGCAACATCAGTTCAGTTTTACATGATTAAACACAGAGACAGACTGTATGTGTGAGCTCATGCTTCTAAATTAGCACTGCACCGCAATCTGCAACAAATGGGAAACAAGTCTTGTAATTGAGATGTAATTGTTGTTTAAAGAGTCCCCATGGGCGCCACAGCTACAGTCATCCAAAATTCCTCAACAGTTACCTCAAATGTTTCTCAGGTGCCTGCATAAACAACACATGCAGTCGTTTGTTTCTAATTTAGCACAAAAAAAGATACCAGTTAAGTGCACCATATGGACCAGCAGCTTATCTTCAATCCTAAAAGAGAGTAGGTGGCCTCCACAAACATACACACTCGCAAATGGACCATTTGGACATCAACTGGAGTGACACTCTTCATTTTCTGCTTATCAGACATCTATTTACCCAGCTCACCTGAGGCAGCCTCTTTCTGCTTTTCATTTGACCTTTAATTCCTCTGTGGACATCCATCACCTCCACATCTAAAGCCCACAGCTCTTCTCTGATAGACAATCATCCCTCCAATCTACTGACTGCTCTAGAGACTGTATTCTTCTTTAAAGATCAGAAAAATAGTTACTGACGCAGCTGCTTCATCACACTTTCATTTTATTACGTGTGGCAACCAGCAGTAAGAATCCCTACTATGAACTCTAGTTTTACCATTTGCTCATTTTTTGAACAACCTCAGTTTTTGATTTTCTTGATTCACCTGATTATAAGGCGCACCATCAACGAACACGTCTATTCGCGTCCATTTTCACACATAAGGCGCACCAAATTATAAAGCGCATTAAGCCAAACAAAACATTCAGATACGTCAAACTTTATTTAACTCATTCAATAACTCTGCGAGGCAACAGAAGCTGCAGTGCTCCGACAAGCCAAAAGGATTTTAAGTGCACCTTATAGTGCGAAAAATATGGTACTAACATAAAGCTAGAGTTAACTACTATTAGGCCTGCTGACTGTAATCACATTAAATTAATTAAACATAGTCCATAATTACTTATATCCTAATCCTGTAAACTGAATTCATATTGTTTCATTATTGCATGAGCTGTTGTTGTTTTAATGTTGCTGCTGTCCCCTGTCTCTCTCTCTCTCTCTCCCTCCCTCTCCTTACCTATTCTCTCTCTTCTTCCCTCTATCTTGTTCTCTTTCTCTCCCCCTGCCCTCTCTCCTACTCCTCTCTCTCTCTCTTTCCCCATATCTCTCAGTATTCCTTCCTCCCCAACCCGGCAGCGGCCTGGTGGCTGTCTAGCATGAGTCTGGTCCTGCTCAAGGTTTCTGCCTGTTAAAAGGAAGTTTTTCCTCGCCACTGTCACTTATGTTAGATGAGATGGGCCAAATCCCATCTTAGATTGGGTCTTGATAATTCATCAAACAATGAGTGTGGTCTAGACCTGCTCTTTTTCTTTGGAAAGCGTCTTGGGATAACGACTGTTGTGAATTGGTGCTATATAAATAAAATTTGATTGATTGATTGATTGATATCTAATGTTAGTATGAAAATCGTACCTATCACCCTGGTATAACTAATCTCAAAACCACATCCCTCCTCGTTTTGATTGGCTCATGTGCTACTCACAGTGAATCTTTGCTGGGGAAAATGTAAACAATGTCTGTTTTGGCAGCATGCTCTAAATCTCTTTGTCCAACAGTGAACCGATGGGGGTGATTATAAGCATTAAACTAAAAAGCAACAGTCAATACTCTCCCTGATGGTCTTATTTGCTTTTGTAGAGAGTATGGCGTCATCAAAATTTACTCCAGTCTGGTATGAAACTTTTCACCAATCCTAACCTTTAGTCTCCAATGGAATTCTTTGATGCCGTGTGACATTTTATGACAGATATGTAAAAATCACTGTCTAATATGACCTGTGCTGTTTGAGTGGGTGGGTGTGTGCCTCCATCTGGTCCTCTTGGCAGCTGCTGCTTCCTACATCACCACAGCAACTAACTGTTAGGTCATATTTACCCAGGATGCCATGGTGGCCCGGGCGTAGGTTGGACCAATCAAACTGCACAGGGGCTCATTAGTGCCTCCGTAAATCTTTACCCGCTTTGTGTTTCCCCGCTCTCTCTCTGCTGCTCTCATTTCCCCTCATGAATAGTGTAAAGCCAGATTACCCGACCACTGAGGGGAACTTTTCCACTCCAACACATGTTTTTCATTTAAACACCTCATCAGGACTTTGAGCCGTTTCCACCATGACAACTCACAGCTAATCATATAGGTTAACGTTAATATATGGTGGAAATGAGTTGGCCCATTCATACAGTGAGTTTAAGGTAAGGCCAGTGTCTGTTAGGGTACAAATTAGAAGAAAATGACAGAGTTCACTGGAGGGTGAACATCATCTCTCCTCCATGTTCACTGCAGATCCAAAAACAATATTTCTGACTGATTTCACAGACATTTTAAGGTCAATATCAACACTTAGCTCCAGAGCTGGTTTCCCTCATCGCTCGTATCACTTTAACGGCTGCACAAACTCAGTCGCATGGATTCAAAATACTGATAATCTCGTGCACTGGTCTTACTCTCATGGTAGGGGCAGAGTCTTTCACAGTAGGGTTCCCTTTGCTACTAATAATTTATCCCCCTGGAGGATTAAACAAACCCTCATTCTTCACATTCCTGAGTGTTCCCCCTCTCTCCCTGCCTCTGCTTAAGCCCCAATCATTGTCATAACTCCCTATTATTGACCTTACTTAACCTCATACTGCCTCAGCACCCATGCATGCACAACTGTGTTTCACGTCTGCAAATCACAGCACTGTAGAGAAAATGCTAAACAATTAGCATGCCACAGAGTCCTGACCAGTCAGCAACTGAAAAACAACAGAGAGTACACAGTAGGTTCAGAGAGACATTAGGTTGAATTTCATGTTCAGACGGCATTTTTAATCACCTTTAAGCTATGAAGCTCACATTAATGAGTTTATAGCAACTAGTTTGTTGGTAATTTTAAACTAGGATTAGTTTTGAAGTGAAATCCTGATCGACGGTGCAGCATGTGGTGTTTAGAAGCACTTAGCAGAACAGTCTTGGCAGAAAATGAGTACAGTATTCACTCTAGGAATGAATGAGACTTGTAAACTGATGTTCCATGATTTACTGTGAATTCAAAAACAGCTTAAAGGCTTGGGGTGCCTACAAATTAAACATTTTCTAATTTCTATCTATCAGAAAAAGCATAGCTTTTAAAATTTCAAAATAAAAGCACAATTTAATTATAGGGAATAAAGCAACCCAAATGCAAGGCAGTGAACATGTCAAAATAAAAGCATCACTCTTTATGTATAAGGCAGTGACTTTTTAAAAGAATTTTCTGTCACAATATCAACTAATAGCGTCATGAAATTAAGTCAGTTGTCAGTCCTTCATATGACTGATTGTGTAGTTGTTTTCAAGGTTTTTCCAACGTCTTTTTAAATATTATGAATACAATTTTTGTTATTGTGGAATTTTATGACCACGAGTATTATCACCTGAATATAAAATGTGATTTGTTAATCTTGGATGCTTCACGAGCTGTTGGTATTTACAAGAGTTACCCAACAAATCGATTTTTACCATCTCTTATGTTTTTAATGATTTGGAAAATGGTATGACAGTAACAAAATAACAAAGCCAAGATGAAACTGTGCAGTACTAGATCATAACAGGGTTTGAAACCCCCAGCATGACTGTGGTATCTGAAGAAAATGGCCACCATGTAAATATGGCAAAAAGATTTGCTGAATTTCACCACACAGCAAGCGTAAGTCTTTTTTACAGCTGTTAATGAGCTGGAGTCTGACTGTGAGACCAAACTGAGGCTCATTTTAACTCCAAACTGAAAAGATTTATAGAGTCCAAACCACAACCAACAAAATCTTCCCCCACATCTATTACTCACACCAAAACCTTGGTACAGACAGACGAATAACAGATATTTTCCCAGTGGTCTTCAGCAACATGGCAGCAGAACAATCTAATCCCAGATCAGGACCTCACTCCTAATTGTTGCAACCATCTATAGTTTTATTCACATGTATCCTTTGTTTCAGCCTTCATGTCTCAAGGTTTTCGGAAAATGTAGAAAAAATTGCACACGTTTGATTAGAAACAGACCTGAGATGATGTATGAAGATTGAAGCTGGCTTGAAATCATGATTAACAACCTTATGGGGTCTTTGCAGCTGGATGTAACTCATTTTTCCACACTGCTGTTCAAACTCTCACAATTTGCTTCATGAAAGAGAGTCATAAAATGCAGACGTACGCAGTAAAGATTTTCACACCATAGCAACTACTTCAAACGCTGAGGAAATCCTGAGTAAGAGCCAGTGAACTGTTTTCTCATAAACTACTGTTAGGTGTTGTGTTGTGAGGTTTTTCCAAAGTTACACACAAATTAGCGACTTTTGAGATTTAGAGACTGAGGGCTCTATTTTGGTGCCTTGCCGGAGACGTGCCGCAAGCGCAGCGTCAATCAGATCCGCCGCGCTGACAAGGCGTTCCCAAGCACATTTTGGTATTTTGGTGAGCCGCGCAGCCCGGCGTAAGTATCCCCCCTCCCTAACTCAGCTCCTCCCGGCAGCATAAGTCAAAGACGGGGAGGAGAGAGGGCGTGGAGTCGGTTTAACACAGCCGAGACCTGTTTTCACCAATCAAATAAGCTCCTCTCCTTGCCTTTAAATCCGCCACCGGCGAGGCGTATTACTATTTTCATGAAGTAGTCAAAGAGATCAAGAGATGTCTGAAGACAGTTATGCCACACGATGGCGACAGAGGGCAGCTCCTCAACAAGTGTCCTCCACACTCTCTCATCTGAGCACAGATGGATTTGGTGTGCGTAATGTTGGACCCACTGGTAAGACAAACACCCTTTTCCACAAATAAAGACACTCACATAAAGTTGCATATATTCAAACCTCACGTGACAAAGGTGGGTTGAGCGCACAGATCACAACATAAACTCCAAAAATGGCATTAAAATCCGAACCATCTGTGCGTAAATGACGCATCGCGCTCCGTGGCCTGGCTCTTTCTTTCATAGATGTTGGCATATAAAATAAATTTGGCCCACAAAACTGAATATTATAATATCCGTATGTCGGCTTAAAGTAGATAACGCATCTGAGCACTGCAACAAATCATCTGTTCAGCCGCAGCAGTAGCAGGAAGACGGACAGAGGACACGGAGACGTGTCCAGGTCGAGCTGTGCGAGAAATAAGAGGAAGAAAGAAAAGGAGGGAGACGAATTACATATCTTGTTAACTTCATCATGTGTGTTTATTTACTAGATATTTAATTTAATTTGATGCAGTTTCAGCTGTATTGATTCGGTCAGGTTGTGTGCCCAAACGCGTGCCAAACGCGCTCATCAGATCAGATATAGATCAGAATATATCTATATAGATCTAAATGTATGTGCTGTCTCAGATTAATAGTTGATGATGATTATTTATTGCACTGAAATCTGCCTGACACTGTGGAAACCTGCCGGTGAGGCATCAGTGACGTATGTCGATACGCCGCCGGTCTACCAAAATACTACAAGACCAGCTGCGTTCCGCCTTGCGCTGAAAGCTGACCAGGTTTGAATCGGCGAGCTTTCAGCGCACGTTACACGCTGGTGGCGAGCACGAAAATGTCACTGCGCCAGCTGATTCTGTCAACACCTCCCCCTGCCACGCCACCACGCCCAGCTTGGCGGATCTCGGCTCGCCTCCGTGCGACTCAGTCCACGAAAATACCAAACTCGCCTTACGCCGGGCTCCGCCAGACGAAAATACAACTGCGCGGGGCTCGCCGCCCTCCGCCGCCTCACCGGCGCGAACGAAAATAGAGCCCTGAGAGTTTTTCATCCATTTTAAAGGAATAGTTTGGTATTTTTAATTGTGGTTATCTCAATAACAAATGCATTAACTACAGGGGATCCAGGTCAGCCAAGTGGAGAACCTGAAAGGATGCTAGGCTACCAGTGATTGCAGAAAGGCTCAAATAAAAAAATAAATAAACCCTGACTCCAAGTCAAATGATGGAGTGGGTGTCCAATCTAAAGTTAGAAGTTGTTCTGCACTGTACTTTGCTGCCACTTTGCTTGGCACTGTTTTACAGACACAACACATACACATACTTCGGCCATTACAAGGTAACGCTTTCTCCACAAGGCTGTCATGACTGAAGGTTTACCCTCCAGAAGTTTTGTAGGTGTTAATAGCACTTTTTTTGCTTTGCTGGGTACAAGAACAACAAAACTGCAAACACCAGTTTTGCACTGTCGCAGATGGGCAAGTGCAAAACACTGCAGATCCTCAAGTGTCCACTCGGGACTGGCTGCAAAAGTCAAGGAATTACCACTGACACCCACTGTCAGATTTCTTTTGTTACTTATCTGATCTGCAGTATATGGTCCAAGGTGAAATGTCACTTCGTAGTTTTTATGTGGTTGGCAAAAAAATAAAGAATTGAGATTCTAACTTAACTGAGCATGGCATTTGTCGTTGACATTAATCCAAAATGCACCAGTTTCTTTTATTCTTCTTGGTATTGTTAGATCTAAATTAAATGTTTGCAAGGAAATCTCAGTGTTCTTCATTATAACTCTCATGGCTGGTGGCTTGACAAAGACATCATGCTCAAAAGTTATTCATTTGCAGTATAAGGGACACTGTCCAACTAAATAACTACACGTGGACGAACTCTAAGAATAAGGTATGTATTTACTTAGATAAGGGTGCGCCTGGGTTGACTTGAAGGATGGTGGGATGTAACTATTTGCTGGGAGGCTATTTAAAGTAAAACCAAAGTAGTGCATATTTTACTGCACAACAAACTGAATTCATATATTGCTAATTGAAATTCAGGACTTTGACAGCAGACTTACCGTAAAGATAATTTGTGGTCCAGATTTACCTTCTGGGCAGAATCTGCACATAAAAACAGCAACCTGCTAACTCACAAAGCCTTGAGCAGAGACAGGAGTCAGAGCTGCTTATAAACCTACAGAACAAGACCTCAAGTGTGTTAGTGTTTGTGTGTGTGTGTGTGTGTTAAAGAGAGAGATACAGAGCTCATTCACATTCCCAGACGGTGGAAGTAGCAAACAGTCGGGGTGATCTGGGAAGTGTTGTGGTCTATGGGCACCTGCAGAGTTTCACTGTCACTTTGAAGCTTGTAAAGGATTACCAAATGAAGTAAATTAAACACGGCTAAGTAGAGGAAAACAAGTAATAGGCTACATCCTCCAACAGAGTTTCGGTTAAGATAAACAGATTAAGAGGCCATAAAACCTTCAGTAGATGTTAAGGTTATACTAAGAGCATCTATAAATGATCCACAATGATAAATAAAGGAAAGGAGGTTGTATTTATCACTTCAACAGGACTCTGTATCTTTAAGAGACACAAAAGAGAAACATTAAGACTTTTTCTTTTCAAAGAGGAAGATTGTAAGTTTTTAAAAGGTTTTAAGCTGCCTGTGGTGCAGATGTCAAATCATATGTAATTACTCTGAACAACAGTGATAGAAGTATTGATCAAAATAATTGTGATAATGATTGCTGCTACAACCAAGCTCAAGAAGCCTGACTTCTGATTGGGCCATCACAGGTCAGCTGATTGTAGATTGAGACTGACTGTTTGACAGACAAAATTAAAGTTGGCAGCTTAACAAAGTCAACTCAGAAAAATCTCTCTATTTTGCCAAAATTAATGCAAAAATCATTACTGCAGACAGTTTACTGGATAATTCCCCTGAAAGATACCCGTCTCACAGAAGAAGTAGATTTCATAGTTGGTCTGTAAGATGGACCAGCTGGTAACGTAAGCATAACAATATTTAATTGTCTGAAAGCACTTTGTTTGTATATGAAACTGATGAAGGAACTGTCAGATATTAAAGCAAATGATTTAGGCAGCTTGAACTAGTTGGAACCTGTTTTGGTTCCCATCCTCATCTACTACATCACTTCTTGTTTTCCTACCTGATTGTCCATGCAAAAATCATTGGACCATTTTTGTGTATTTTATTTTCAAGTTCAACAGTGGCTGAGATATAAAATAAATAAATAAATAAAAATAAAAATGCCTGATCCCCAATTTGTTTCTTGCAGATGGCCCAAACTCAAATGATCAAACTCTTTAATGACTATGGAAAACTTTCCTACACATATGAACATTTGCATCCGCTGAGTGACTCAACAGCTTAACTGTAATGCCGTTGAACCAGCTGTCAGTTTGGCATTCGCAGGCATTCAGAGGCTGATAGCCATAGCTGACTGGCCATTTGTGTGTTCCAGTTTTTGTGTGTGTCTGTGTGTGTTTGTGTGCTGGAATTCGGATGCCCCTGCTCTCCCTCCCTGACAGCTCTGGGGCCTCTGGGGTGTGGAGCAGGCGTTGTTTTCAGCAGGCTGATGGTGCAGCTAAAGTGACACTATAAGGGGAAATGAGGGGCAGTGCTGGGGGGTCCAAATGGTAGTTTTTATAGTTTTTAGCTTGGCTAACAGTTTGACCTACAAATAGAGGAGTCTTCAAAACGCCATAGACTGCTGAAGACCAGACATTTTCAAACTTCAGATTGTTGTGGCCTACTTTGATTCTTAAAAATTCTGAGGCTCAATGAAACCCTGAATCACACAGCTCCTATCAACGCTGTTTAGTAGATAAATGTTGATTGATAAGATTTTTATTTAAAATGCCAAAAATCTATTTTCTATGCTGACAACATTTAATATACACTTATGATAAGACAATAACCTGTTACAAAGAGATAAAGTAAGAGGGTCAAAGCTTTGCTCACCCTGCTCGGATTGTAATTCACATAAGCACCCGCTCACTAAACAGCATCTCTTTCATATAACTTATTCCTGTGTTTTTCTTGGCCTATAGAGTCACCGAACCAAATTGGATCGCTATCAATCATGATAACAGGATCTATTTTATCTTGTTTAAGAAAAATAATCCATCCATAAACATTTCAACAACTTGTTTAGAGGTGAATAAAGTGAAAAATTTCTGGTAAGAAACTAAAATGTGCCTTTTTTTAGTTTGTAATTGATGTTTAAGGGAAAGTCACACTGTGGGAATCACTGCTGTGGACTGTGTGAATAAGATGCATCATATTCACTTTCTGAATATGAACAAATGGGTGGAGGCAGCACTAAATCCCACTGGCAGTAACAGGATGTCCCCCTGAGCATCTGGCACAAGAGAGGGAGTGAGAGTGGCTCCGTTTGGGGATTTGGCTGGAGTGAAGGGTGTGGTGGGAAGGTCGCAGATAGAAGAATGAACAGAGGTAAACGGAGATAGCAAAGAGGATGATCACAGGGGGACAAATGAGTCAGACAAAGAGACTCAAAGCAGATACTGCAGCTATAAATACCATGATGTCGCTCACTGACTGACTTGCAAATGAAATCCGAAAGTGTGTTTCAGAGCTTCTGATTCAGTGTGAGGATTGTGACGGCTGCCGGCAGCTGAGATCACAGACAGAAATAGATTTTCATCACGGGTTGGAGAAAGTCCCCAGCCTCTCGGAAATGACAGCAGAGTACGAGGGACCACCTGAGAGGGTGCGTGGGGATACGAGGAGATTAAAGACAAGCATGCTAAGACACACAAACAACCAGAGATGAGCTGCCTCAATCATTTTCACCTTCAGCTTTCTCTCTTGAGACCCAAGAAGATGAATCTTTATTATAAAGGCTGCATGAAGACCCTCAGACTGTAGACTTTCACATGAGCTGATTTCAACATGGATACAACTGTTTTGTGCCCATGGGAAGATTTTGTTACATTGAGGGAGTTGACCTCCTTTTACACACAATCAACAACACAAGACAAACTATGACAAGACAAGATATGCTGAATATTAAAAAGATCGCCCTCAGCAGAAAACATTTTAAAAAATCAGTAAAATGTTTGAAACCACATTGCTGTGACTTGTTGATCTTCCTATTTGCTGCTGGACCAAAGATTTAAACGAATAATTGTGTCTGTGCAACCCTTAGCTAACCACGGGGGAGATTTTAAAGCAACTAATGTCCAAGCTGTTTAAATGGAAAAAGTAACAATTGTGATTTTATTTAATAAATGCACACCTCGTAGACAAATCCTCAACCCCCTGGACATTGGATTTCATGATTCAGTCAAAAAACAAATGCACACATTGAAGATGGACCAATTGGTTATTGTAGTCTTGACATAATCCGTGTCGTATTGGCCCTGTGAGGGTATTGGTCTTAACAGGGCCAATATCACTAATATCTTTTCAAATGAAAATCACACGTTTCCCTTTCCCAAGCATTTCATCTAAAATCCCAGTTAGCCACTGGCTGGTGTTCAAATAAATTCTGTTATGATGTGTAAAATTATGCTTTTCAAAATGATAACAATAATGTTTACCTTGTGTTCTTCTTGATTCTAACTAATTTTAGATGGCTTGACAGAAATTCACAAGTTCCTTTAATCGATATTTTATGGGGCAAAATATTTTGTTTGATAGATAAAACATTTACTTGCTTAATTTTTTGTCAAAAAAAAAGAAAAGAAAAAAAAAAGTGATATCAGCTTACTAACCTGCTGTCCCATTATCAATGTCAGTATTGGCCCTTGAAAAACTGATGTCTGTCAACCACTAGTGCACATCACACTTTAGTTTCTTGTCCGTGAGTGTTGCTAATGATCTTAAACTAAGCTAATATGATCTGATTTTGCCAGGCCAACCTTTGCATGTACAACAGACCCACTCATGGGCCAACATGCATGTGTGTTATACATAACATGAGAGTATGGTATCCAAATTTATCCAGCAATCTGCCAAAGGGGATGTTTTGCTTTCCAAAACAGTGAACTTCTCCTTTATTACACACAGACAGTAAAGAAGTGGAGCCAAGATTTGAGGGATATTACGGACAGATGTACATTTCCCAGAAGCTCTTAATATAATAACGCAATCAGGTCAAATATTAGAGCGTGAATTCCTCTGCTTCATGTCCAACTATATGATCTATAATGGATCCGTTTGGAAAGAGAAGCGGAATCTAGCAGTTTAGACAGTTTATTTAAGAAGAGTGTCACACACATATGGAGTTTTATGAGCCTCCTGTGTGTAAGTATGTGTATGTGTGTGTGTGTGTTTGGCTTGTATGCCCCGTGTTCCTCTGTCTGAGCTGAACTCGACAGAGAGCTTTCAGACAGGCTTCTGGAGCCTTTCCCTCTTAAAGTCCCACAAAGCACATTTTTCAGATGCTTCTGACACAGGGGTGAAATGAGAAAAGTCTGAGAGGGAGAAAGAGGGGTATCCAGATAAATGGAGCGATTGCTAAGAGTGTGTGTAAGTGTGTGAGAAGGAGGCACAGAGGAGCATGTGTTTCTCATGGAGAGGTGCCGCGCTGGAGTGGTAAACATTCTTGGGATAATTAGGAGACTCTTTGAAATCTAATACGGTTTTTACCCGGCATTAACTGTAGCTCATGTCTGCTGCCCTGAAGATATGTGATAGACAACATGTGAACTCAGAGAGTGGAATGGATATGCACGGATCACTTTCCCATCAGGAGTCGGTGAGTGGGACTGTATCATCCACTGAGAGTGAGGTAGTTGTTCCACCTGTGGCTCACACAGTCGTTGATAAAGACAGGAGACGTTGAACAGACCACGTATAAAAACACATGGAGAGAGAAGGAAGTCATAGCAGCAGTGAGACGTCATCTATCACTTGGTTCACTGAGCTCAGAATTCATGCCAAGGAAAAGAAGCAGCAGCTTAAAAAAAGGACGCACAAACTTTCCCAATACAGGGAACGGAGCAGGGACGTCAGGCCTATCGTCTGCCTCTGATCAACTCAGACACAATTCAAACGATTACTCATCAGCCTGGTTAAACTATCTCTGATTACAGTCATCAACCACTGCTTTATATGCACCAAAATGCTGTTTTAATGTAATCCTGTATTCCCAAAACCAAAAACACCACAGCCTGCTTTAAAATGTAACAAAATTCCCAGAACCATGATCATATTTTTGTTCTGTTAATGGAAAAAATATTACATCTAAGTTCATAAAAATGATCAACACACAGGTCACAAAATATAGGAGTATCAAGCTTACAAGTTTTGCTAAATTATAGCTCCTGTGAGGATTTTTAGAAATAGACTAAAACTTATTTTATGTTTTTTTATGGTATGAAAAAGCAAACAAGACTATCAGCATCAAGATTGTTGATTTTTACAAACAGACTAAGAGACGGCTTTGTTTTTACCTTGGCCACACAAAAAAATCTCAATGAATGATATATGTTGTTTTAAAAAGTGAGCAAGATAAAAATTTTTAACATAAGACATGACTCAAGCACGTAGATGATAAGTTGACCAGATAGGTTTTCATCTTAATCACTGTGTTTACTTCCACTAGGTGTGTTGCGTTTATGCTAGATCTCAGCTCTGGCAGTCAGGAGCCACCTGCAGCAGATACACATGACTTCTATTTTGCCAGATGGTGGAGCACAACGCATAATTAACACAGAGCAGATTACGGAAAAATGAGGTCAGACACCAAAACAACAGTAAAACATCTGGTTACTTTTTCAAAATAAAATGTCAGATTGGGGGGTCAGGCATAGGGTCAACAGGTCAGAGTTTTTTAGAGGTAATCATGCAGGTAGAAAACCACTGATTCTGCATTTATCATAGGAAATCCTTGGTCTCATGACTTCAGCTGTTGATGGGTATTGATTAATGAGGAAGCATGGAGCTGAACCAGATTGGACTGAAGGCGGACCAAACACAAATCTGGCGGAACCGGTGCTATACCTGGTAAAAAGCTACAATTTCTGCTCCTTCAGTCAATTCAGTCTCCTTACAGAAATAAGTGTTTCAGATCATGAACATTGTTTTTTACCAGGCTGTAATCATGTTTGATCTGCACATTTTACACAGGCATCCAATGAAAACCTTGACTTGACTTTTGAGACAGCCTCAAGTGGACACTTGAGAAACTGCAGTTTTCGCATTTCCATTTTACCTTCATCATTCATTGTTTTAGTTAGTAATTTGATGATATTTATTCATATATGTATTTATTTCATTATGTTTTATCTCTTTATTTAGCATCTTTAAAAGCAGGGATCTTCGACATTGAAGCAAAAGCTTAAAATCACAGATCTCTGAGAGTACAGATGAGAAACTGAAGGTTAACAAACGAGCTGAAGCTCTTCTTGTTTTTAAACCAGGTTTGCATTCAGCAGCAAAAGGTGTGCTATCCTATAATCTAGAACTATTATGCCATTGAACCTAGTGTGCATGTTTAAACACGTTTTTTTTTCTTCCTTTTGACTCAATAAGGCATTTTCTAAAACACAATGAATAACATAATATAGACAAAAGTAGCAGGGCAGCACTCTGTTGTTCTACTTTTTATCCCAGCTGTATGGAAAAAAAACTCCTCTGAAGTGTGACAACTCCCAGATGGCCTGCTACTGTCACACCTCATCACATCTACTCTTTCTCCACGTCTGTCCCTGTCAACAAGGATTACCTGCTGAGGGTCCCATTGACACAAAGGACACATTATCATTAAAGGGTCAACGGTTGATTTAGCACACAACTTTCATGGATTGTACCCCAAAGTATGTGCAAAAGAATAGTGGAAGTATTTGGTGCACCTTTGAGGTCACACTTGCAATGTTTTGTTTAAGCTAGCAGAGTGCAAAAGTGCAGCACAACAGCACGCTTACTGAGGGTGTAAAATTAGCATTATGCAGTTGGGTGTTGCCTCCAGGCCAATGAAAGGGGAGAGAAAACAGTGAGAGTTTTTGGCAATGTAATCGATTGCAGATGGCAGCCGTCGGGTGGCTTGTTTGGTCCACAGAGGTGCTTTGTGATGGTGAGGGCTGCCATAATCCAACAGGACAAGGCTGTTTTCATGTCTGTTTATGCAAGCACCTCTAATATCAGCGTGGCTGAACTGTGCAGCCCCACAAGAAGCCATTACACAGGAGGGAGCAGGGTAAAGTCACAGAGGGGAGGCTGTGTTTATGTTAGGCAGACAAACTACAATGAAAGAATGGAAGAAAATACTCTGCAGCAAATACTTGAAAAAATGATCAGCAGTTTTAAGAGTTTGCATGATACTGAAAGTGAAACTAAATTGGTGGAATGCTCATAATGACCTTAAAAAATGTTCAGTTTCAGATAAAAGCTGTGATTGTGTGCAGTTTACAGATAATCAAACTCACGTCGTCAGTGTCTCATTAAACAGAGTGACACAGAGGTTGTAAGAGTCAGTGAGAGGCCAGCAACAGCATCAGTCAGGTAACTTGATCCATCCTGCCAAGGCTTGTGGTATCGATGTGATCTGTCTCCCATGACAGCACTTTCTAAGAACGAGGGCATTACATGACACATACCTTAAATCATCCCCCTGTGGTCTCAGCCTCTCGGTTTCATGACCACGTCTGACACTCACAGACAAACAGCTACAACTTCAGCTGCACTGATCAAATGTAGCTCGAAGTCAAAGGTTCTGACATTTTCCAAGAATATTTCCTTGACATGTCCGTCTGGTCTACAAGTTATGTAAACGCTGAAGAGACGGTAAAGACACAAGACCTGGGATCAATCCCTGTAACCAGCCAAAAACTAGAAATCAGAGTTGATAAAACTGTTATTGAAAGAAAAAACAAGGAACAAGTTTTAATCTTATGTTGTGCTTTATATCTGCACACACAGGTCCAGATGTTGTTTCATTTCTTAAATTGCTGACAGGTTTCTTCTATTATCAAACAAACCCCCTTTTTTATTGAGGGTGACTGAGGGTGAGCCCTGTCATTCTTAGTAATCATATTAGAAAAATAGTTAGTTTAAAAACAGCTCTGATGGCCTGTCTTTATTACGCAGCTCCAATATCACAAAAAGGTGAAGCAGGTCACTGGGACACCAATATGACAACTTTTTATGTTTCAGCATGCTAGCTTTCAATAGCGACGGGTTAGAAAGAATTTTTTGATCTGAATAAAATATGCAAAAGTGAAACTGTTTCAGTTTTCAGTCTCAGGTTCTCTTCATTCATACACTTTGATAAGCAAAGCGCCTGAAATCCATCAGCATGTAATGTCTAAAATATGTTTTTAAAATAGCTGAGATTCATTTTTTTTCCATCAAATACATGTGCAAAACATATGACAACTGACACACACCGCAGCTTTCCAGATCATTCCTCAGTGCAGGTTATGTCGGCAGGAAAAGCATCTGCATGAGTTCATGAAGGGAGGAACGTAACCCTAAATCACTGATGATGTACAACCCCAAAACAGAAATATGATTGTATCCTGTATGAACCCCACAGCTGTCTGCCATTCAAGATACATCCTTCCTCGTCTGTGTGTGTGTGTGTGTGTGTGTGTGTGTGTGTGTGTGTGTGTGTGTGTGTGTGTGTGTGTGTGAAGGTCCTCAAAGGGCTGTCTGTACTCTGCAGGTATTGAGAGATGATTTTCAGACAACAGAAGTCTGTTAAAACATCATGTTTGCCTGAGTGTTCTCTCTTACACACACACACACACACACACACACACACACACACACACACACACAGGTCTCTTCTCCCGCTAACCCTCCACACCTGTCTTGTCACTCAGGCCCTGGGTGCGCCCTCCTCTCCAGCCCTCACTGCCCCAACTAGAGGCCTTGTTTCCCCCTGGAAGAGCTCTTTAGCTTCAGCCTCCCTGTCTGCACCCACACACTTAGACACACTCACACACAAACACAGCACCCTGGTCCCAGCCCCCTTCACACTGCACAAAGCCCCCATTGTGAGGCACAATAGTGGCCACCCCCTCTGCCTTTCCCCTGTACCCTCTGCTCCGTTTCCCCCATAACTCTGTCCTGTCTGCCCCCTCTTGCTGCTGACTGACTCCCCCATTCTCCTCTTTTCAGTCATCTTTGCCGTCTTCTCTCTCTCCTCTTTATTCCTAAACCTTCAGTCTCCAGTCCAGTTGGTTGTGTCTGAAGGGGTCTCAACCCTCTTTCATCCCAGCTCAAACCTTTCCCCCCAACTATCTCCTTCAAGTCTCAAGCTTCCCACATTCCCTATTTGCTCCCCCTTAACTTCCCCGGACTGGCCCTCCCTCTGGTTTTCTATTTTCCAAGACTTTTTCCACTTCGCTGACTCCTGGTTGTCTCTTGTTTCTGCTTCTCTGGTTTTGTAAGATGTCATCAGACATTTAAAAACAATCTAAGTGACATTCTGAAATGTACCAGGACTTCCAGGCCCTGAATGATGGTGGTATTTTGACAAACTGTAAGATCTGTAAAATTACAAGTAATAAGCTTCTGTGTAGGATAGTATTAACAGTGAAACTAAGACTCACAGAAAAGAAAGAAAAGGAATTCCCCTGGGGATGCAAAAAAATGATGTTCACCATGTAAAAATATCCTGAGGGTGGAATTCTAAGTGGATTGTAAACAATGAGGTGCATGAAAAATTAGGTTTTCTAGTTAGAGATGGACACAAACCTACATAGAGACGTAACCGATGGGTTCAGAGGTTGCTAACCACTTTTGAAAGGGGTGTTATAGCTAATGTTCTCTAACTTCTAACTTAAATGTCATTAGAGGTCATGTCTATAGTTACTTTTACAAAGCACCAAATACTTAACTGCCTGGGTCAGTGGCTTTGTAACCTGTTGGTCTGAGCTGTAATCCTTCCTCCAGATGCTGTAATACTGGTGTTCATCCCTCCTGGAAGGTTTAACAAAACTTTTCACACAAAGTTTTGGACATTTATTGCCTTTTTGAACCACAGATCTTTCTTTTCTATTTTGTGTGCCCATCACAGCCTACGTCTAGACTACCGAGGCATAGGACACCGAAACCGTCTCAGTTTGTCATCCAAAATTCATGAAACCCTAGCTACCTTTGAGACTCCCTTTTTTTGGAGTCAGATCGATTGCAGTAACTCTACTGTTGCTACCTGAGAGTCAGTCTGCCGTGTGTGTCCTGGAATGGGAGTAAAGAGTGGGAGTAAAGAGTGGTCTGTGGTGGCTGGTGGTTGGTGTACCTACTGAGGTTGTAGGTACACCAAGATGGTAAAAAAAAAAATTAAAAAAAAAAACTGTAAATGTTGGACCCTAGCAGTAACAAGATTTCTGGACAAGAATAAAATAGCGAAAGCTGCTAAACTAACAGGGACACATGAAAAGACATACAGCAGACACAGGGGATCTGGAAATCTGCCAGACACTGACCAAATGGGAGGAGGCCCCACTGCGACCCTCCTGATGTGGAGGATGATGAGAAGGACGACATTCCCCAAACTTGTCCTCCTGTGTTTCCTGATCAAAGCAGGAGGAGGATGGAACAAAGCAAACGGAGCCACCGCTGAGCTTCCAGCAGGGCTGTGGTTTGTATTTTTTCATGTTAAGTGAAAGGCGACCAGAATGTGGGGAATTTTTTCCTCTTTGGTGTCATCCAAACCAGAACTTTCTGGTTTAGAGAAAGGAAAGAAAGAAAGGAAACTGGTTGGTAAAGCAGATGAAAGGTCGGGAATGAGGGATGCAGGCTGCTCTTGTCAATGAGAGAAAAGAGGCAATTATAAAACAGTTGGGGATCTTAAATTATTTAAACGGCTAAAGGACACAGCTTTTCTCAGCCTGAATGACACATTAGTTTTATTAAACAGACCGGAAGAGATTCAGTTAAAACACACACAAAAAAGCCTCTCACAGCTCCTGAGTCAAACACTGTCACTCAACAAGTGACACCTCTATTAGAGATCCCAGGGGAGGGTTTTCACCACACACACTGGTATCCATAGTTACAAGACCCCGTTCAGTACCCCTGAAGAGGGTATAACACGCTGTTGGGACGACTGTGACAACCTGAGGGTGACTCAGCGTGTAGAATTTAGCACAGCATGGTATGGAACGCCAGGGACAGCGATGACCTCATTCCACAGGCTGCTTGGCCCCGCCCCCTTTGTGAGGGACACCAAAGAATGAGCCGAGCCGAGACGGGGAAAACAGGGGGGACCGAAAGAATGGTAGCACAAGAGAGGTGTCCCATATCCAGACAAATACTCTGAATAGTGATGAAGTTTGGGGGTTACGTGAGTGCGTGATTCTGTGCGTTTGAATTCTGAGTGCAGCTATATTTAGTGTGTGTTACATATGGTTCATGCCATAAAAGGATACAATGAGATGGAAATGAGTGACTCAGAAAGCTGAAGTCACTGTGGCCCCGTATAACACCTGACAGACAGTCCCTCCAGATCCCTGTAAGCTTTTCTGTATTTTTTTCATAGGTGTGACATTTATACCACTGTCATGTTTCCCCTTTGGTATGAATGTCACCGATTTCTGATTCAAAATCTAAAAAAAATCACAAAAAATAAGGAATAAAACTAGAGTTAGATTTTAGATAAGATTGACAGCCTTCACCTGTTGTACCTTTTTCTATAAAAGCACAAAATATGATAATTTAAAAAAAAAAAACGAATTCACTTGCAAGATCCCAGTTTTTACTTTGACTCTAACACAATGAGACATATTTTTAATGCTTAAATACTTCATTCAGAACCAGTTACACGATTCTTCCCTTATTTGTTAATTCACCAAAATTTTCAAGCTTGGCGAGTTTAGGATGTCAAAATAAAATGTAAACAGGCTTAACTTTTGAGTTTTTGACTGCTTTGTGAACCAGGTGATCACAGTTTGCAGGGTTTGAAGAGCTTTGCAGCGTCAGTGCAGCCGGTCAGGTTAATAACTGCCTGCAGAGTGACACCGGCTGAACCTGCTCTCGCTCTCTCTCTCCCTTTTTGCCTCTTCTCTCCCACCCTCTCTTTTCCCCCCATCTCTATTAATCCCTTTGTCACACACATCAGCTCCAGCAGGCACCCACCCACACTATTAGGAGCTTAGAGACCTCATCCTCTCCACCCGCTCATGTTACTCTGATGTGAAACACAGGGAGAGGCCGAGTCCATGTCTGCTAGCAGTTAGCGCTAATAAACTGGGAATCAAAAAAGGCAACATAAACTATTAATTCCAAGGCAAAAATACATATTTCGTTGGAGGTCTAAGGTAGAACTTATAATTTCAGCTCCAATACTGTCTTAAATTTAGTGTTGCCTGACTGTCTATGCAGGAATCCATGATTTCTTTGAGTCTCAAAAAGACAACCAAGTAACAACAACATTGCAGCACTGACAGAGATCATCAAGTGAGTCAAAGCAAGGAAAAGGTAAACAATTAACATTTCTCCATCCACTTTTTTGCAATTGTTGTGCAGGAGTCCATAGAATCTGCAGATTCTTTGACATTTAGACTGCTGAGGAACAGGGGAAAGAAATTGTAGGTACTCAAAAACATAGTAAAACCGAAGTTTTGCATAGGTACAAACATTAACCGACCACATGGTGCATAGCTGCCTGAGTATTACCCATCAAATGGAAAATCTTCCTGCATTCTGCATGTGAAGGGTGTCAATTTCAGACCCTACCTGGATCTAAAGCCCTCAACGATTTGTGAAACAGAAAAATCTAGCTTTTGTGAGTTTTTAGTGTTGTTATTTTTCCTGAAAACCTCAAGAGCTGTGACATAACATGAATGTCATAGCTCAAGGACATCAGTTTCAGTGTCCAAATCTGAACTTGAAAATCATGTGGTTTAAAAAGGGGAAATCAGTTCAAGGTTTGTAGAAATCTCTGCAGGAAAAGCCTGGAAATTACATAAGCATAAATACTGCAGCAACAATTGTCTTGAAAACAAGCTGACTGTGACCAACATACTTAAACAGTCCAATCCAAAATCCTATGCACAGTCAGCAAAGCGTTGAAGTCGATTTTTAACGGCCTCTTTTTACCAAGTAGTTCATAAACGACACTTTTGAAGCAGCTAAAAATCAGCCAGGTCTTCTTCTGGACCCTTCTCAGACATTATCAGTGATGTCACATCCTCCCTGACCTTGTGAACTTTCACACACTTTGCACGCTTTCCTCGGACACTAATCTCCTGGAATATGCAGCCGAAACCCCGCGCTGCCTGCAAGTGAGCTAAACTCCTGCCAGAAAAGACTGAAAACACTCGCACAACAACACAACTCAGTTTCCAGCGTTACCACACCTGACAACACAAGAACCTGTAATTTGCTCTTAATCAGTCAACTCTAATGATATGAAGCTGAAAACGAAGACTACAGATGACACTGAAGCTGTTTATGAAATACACATTAAAAACAACAGCTGTGTGTCTTACCTTGTAGCATGCAGCGGTACGCAGATTCAGAGATAGCGTAGATATGCGGAGGCATCTCGTGCCTCTTCTTCCCTCTGTACATTTCTATGATGTTCTCTGAATAAATGGGCAGGTTCTTGTAGGGGTTGATGACCACACAGAACAGGCCGGAGTATGTCTGTAAGCAAGAACACAAAACAAACAAACATGAGAAAATGATTAAGAGAAAGAGACAAAGAAATACTGTAGTAGTGTTGTGATTTTGGGCTGGACCCTACCCTTGAGTTTTGGTCAGTTTTATTAGATTTGGATGTTGATCTCTGCTGGTAATAACACCACTTCTTTTTTTAATTAAGAAAAAGAAAGGCCTCTGTGAATAAATGCGTTCAAATAATGAGCACTAAGAGGGACATTTGGATTTTGTTGGTGCAATTTAAAACCTCCAATGTTTTTTCTCCTGCAGCTCTCTGACCCAGTTAAAGAACAAAAGTGCAGACACACAGAAAGAGAAGGAACTCCAAATCTCAGATTTCAGGGGTCAAACCAATCAGAATCACTTTATTTATAAGTTATTTAAAAGTATTTTAACTTTGCCCAGCTGTATTTCAAATCATGTTGAAAGGGGCCAAACAAAACTCAGAGCAGCAACAACTGGAAATAGATTAAAAGAAAATAACCCATGAATGTGATTTATAATCAAAAGGAGTGCTCTAGATTCAGGCTTTTATTGTTTTCTATTTGGAACAAATAAAAACAAAAGAAAACAGATGGAACAGTTGACAAAGAACCAGCTGAATCGCATTTCTTACATGTATTTCTGTTTTTGGCCAGAGATGTATGAGATTCCTTCACTTTACAATTACACATCATTACCTTCACTAGTTAACACCAGAATGACTAGTCAGTTACAGATGTGTTGATGGTCTATTTATCTTTTTGTTTTTTTTCTGTTTGAGTTATTTGGGGGGAATTTTTGAGACAGAAAATGTGGTAAAAGAAAGTGAGAGGGGACATGCAGCACAGGGTAGCAGCTGAGAGATCCTCCAGAGACTCTCGATGCAGACCTCTATACACAGGGTGCTGTCTTACAAGTCTCATTACTAGGGTAACTGGTGCACTGTTGAAAGAAATGTAAATATTTCTATCAGGGGTGTCCCGGTTCAATATTGATATCACATATCAGTCTGATATATGAAAAAACGACTATTGGATTAAATCGGCCTGCATCTAAAATATCTGCATTCCCATGCAAGCAGTCCATTCCAGACTCCGCTCCAGCACCTCTATCTAGCAGAGCCCGGATCCAGTAGGCAGGGCCTGCTAGATCACAACAACAGTGTGTACTCAAGTACTAACAAAGTGGCAAGAAGTGGAAGTGATGTCAGCTGTGTGGCAGTATTCTTCATTTAAGTCCGAAAAAGACATTTCAGCGAGTGCAAAACTTGTCATGCACAAGTTTGTGCTAATATCTCATCGTTATCGGTATCGACCAATACTGAAGACTACAATATCGGTACCGTATCGGAAGTAAAAAAGTTGTGCTAATATCTGATCAATATTGGTATCTGCCAATACTGAAGGCTAATGTCGGTATTGTATCAGAAGTAAAAAAGTTGTAACGGGACACCCCTTAATTTCTATGTAGGCATCAAATTCTGGTCACTGTCTACGCTGTAGCGCAGTCATCCTCTACTAGCTGGAGCTGTGGCTCCATTTGATATCTGCTGACAAAATGCTTTGACCCTCTACTACCCAGCTGTAATCAAGCACAGATGACTGGTAGGATGATTGGGCAGTATCTTGATCGAGAAAAAGGGGATAAAGATGGATGTAGGCTGTGTCTGGTGTAACTGGCATATAAATCTTCAGAATTCTGGCTTTCAAAATAAACAAAACTGTAGTGACGCCTGCCATTAGCAACTCTTTGGGGAGCTTATCCCATAATAGCTGCCATGCATTACAGTGATAGATCCAGAGTGTTGCACTTGGCTGTGTAATCAGCGTTGAAGATGTCCCCCAAGAGAGTGTGTGTGGTATGAACCCTCCTATCCAGGCAGTCAGGAATGAGTGAGAGGCCCTGCTGGGGCGATGGCTCTCTCTCATTCTGCAGATGTGATAAAGGCTTTACATTCCCCTCTATAGATGACACAGGGAAAGAGCTGCTTACAGGGTCTTTCATCAGTGGCATGTTGGGCCAGTTCTAGCAGGTACTGGCACATGCCCAGGATATTTTAGCCAAACTGACACTCTAATATTGAATTTCCCTTCGGGGGTGAAAAAAGTTCTTCTTATTCTTAATAGCACAGCCTTGGTGAATGCCATTTACACATACGCAAATATTTGGATCTAACATCTTTAGGAGGAGTTCAAGTTTCAAACGTTTGCGGCATTATAAGCATTTGAGTGCACACCAGTCTAAATGCATAGACTCAAACAATGACAAAATATCCCACACATCAGCACCAGAGTCCTGTTGGATGAAGCCTGCAGCACAGTCAGGACTATCTGGCAGGGGGCCTGAGGGATCAGGGAGCTGGCTCCCTGCTGACTCTAAGGACACAGTGACAGACGTGTTTGTTTGTTTTGTCTCCGCCAGGGATCAAATGTTCACTCCGCAGTGACATTGTTTTACAACTAACTCTTCCTTCATAAAGAAAAAAAAAAACAGGAGCCTAAAATTGGAAAGCTAGAAGCAAAATCTGCTAATGATTTATGAAAAAGATGTTGTCACTTCTTTTGGATTTTGTACGCTCTCAAGGGAAGATCATTTAAAAAAACAGTTGCATCATAAAACTGTGATTTTGTAGAGTGTAAGGCAGGAAAAGTAGAAGTGCAAACTTTAAAATTCTAACAAGGACACTTAGATACTTGCAGTAAAACTAAAATAAAATCATGAAGGTTAGGAACACTGAAGACGATGAGCAGAATTGAGCTTAAATACTTAAAATACTATTTTCTTTTTGACTATTGTGCTCTGCATGAAGACTTTCTTTCACAAGGTAAACATGTATTAAAATCAAAACTATAGCTTTCCATTGTTTTTACTTTTTCAAGAGCTTTTTATTACATTACCCTTCTCTGTTATGCTTCTGTCAATAACCTCAGATTTCAATAAAAGCTATGTTCTCTCATCATCCCCCATCCCAGAGCATGAAACACTGTGACACCTACTTCATAATTAAAACCACATCCAAGGCCTAGTGAGGCACCATCATGCCGTGAGTGACTCAGCAGCTATAGGTTCACAAAGGGGCCCCAGAGTGCAGACAGAATACTGTAGATGTTACATAACTGCTCAGCGAGGGCCCAACACAGCAACTCCAGGAAAAAGCTGAGCACGGAGTAAAGAGGAGGTGGTGAATGAGACAGAGAGGTGAAATGAAGAGCAGAGCAGTGATCCAGCTGACAGAGCTCCCTCAGGTCCTGTACAGCTGAGAGGGAAATGAAGCAAACAGAGAACAGTGTTCTCAGCCTTCCTGTAAATTACTCCCAACCTGACGGGGGAGAAAGAGGGAGAGAGAAAAAGGGGGATAGCGAGGCAGATGCTGAAATGCTAACTCTCTATTCTCCTTTTTTACATTCTTATGAAAAATTAATTCACCCTCATCTGAAAACTGGAGCTGCTATAAATAGAGGGTCTGCTCTGCCCTCTCTGGTTCTGCAGTACTGAAGCAGCTGGTGAGGCTGCAGAGGAATACCTGGACTAGAGGTTCAGTGAGGACTTTCCCAGGCAGCTAAAGGGGCTCTGGACTTCTGTGTCCATATGCATGTGATATTTGATTAAAATCAGAGGAGCACTGACCGACTGACTGGCTGAATTGTCTGATTTTGAGTTCCCAGTGACCAGCAAGTCCTTTCTCCTGTGCTGATCCCAGATAAATACACACACAAGCCACGTTTTATACCATTAGCACAGTAACACAAACACTGAGGGAATACATGCATACACACAAGCTAACAAGTTCGCAGTGAGGCAGTGCGATGCCTGTCAGCAGAGGATGTCTGTTTATTGGCCTTGGCTACTTATCGAGTCTGATATTCAGCATTTGGCTGATTATCTGTTATCAGCCTTTTATTTTGCAGATAGGAGATAAAACTAATGAATTAAAAGGTGAACTGCTTTGGCTCCACTCATTGCTGGTATGTCTTTCCCTCTTGGTCTGCTTTCTTGCACCACTTTGCATCACTCAATGCCCACAACTTGCTAAAGACACTTAACCAAAGTTTAGTGTTGGAGTTCTGTTATTGCATATCTGTTTCTAAAACTCAGTTATCAGTTTCATAAACAGAATCAGCTTCCCAGGCCAAGATTGTTGCACATATAAGGAATCTGGATCATTGTCAGTCATTACATATAATGAAAATATCAACAGAAACACTCCATACCTGCTGAGGACTCATTCATGTAATTCATTCATTTGGCAGCTATTATAGATTTAGTCTTTGTTTTAGTCTTCAGGGCCAATACTGGGACCAATTAGTAGTACTTCATGACATTATTTACAGACATTTGGAAATGATACACAATGGTACAATAAAAATCTCTGTTAAAATTAAGAAGTCATGATATCATAAACTTCATCATAAAATCATCTGCTTAAGTGTCTTGCAAATGTTTAGAGTAAACAGTTACGCAGCTGTGCTAACAGTACAGTTATGTGTGCTTATTAATCAATTAATTTTAATAGTGATAAGTAAAATAAAGCAGATTAGACTGACAGATGGTCAGGTAAATGCCAAGTTTCGGCTTTGTAATCATCCAAAGATGATAACTGGTCTACCCCTGTGAAAGAAACGTAAAAGCGAAGCTCTTCCTTGCTGTTTGACCCGACACTTTTCCCCCCTCATCAGTTACAGCCGTTGAAAATAAATATATAAAATAACTAATCATGTCCATGGTGGTCTTATTTGCTTTCAAATATCATAAAAAGGCATCAATGTGGATTCGCATCATACAGGTCAAAATAACGTCACCTAGTAACAGGTTGTCTTTTTTTACTGACAGGCATAAGGACAAAAAAAAAACATCCATCAAAGTCAGTCAGATAGATGAGGTCATTGAGGATTTGTGTCTGCAGCACACTTGTAGCAGATAAGTGACAAAGCTAGCACTGCTCTTCTCGACTGACTCAGCAGGTTGCAGGAATGCATTGCTTGTTTTGTGACAGACTAGATGCCCCGGTGGAAGAAAATATGGATTTTAAATGTCCAACGATCCACCAAAAGGATTTACATCAAGCAGAGTCTGATGACAAACTAAACATGCGTTTGTGGAAGATTTCAGCTTGTCATGGCTTTATCTTCCTCACGAAAAAAAAAATGTGGTTGATGAATATTTCAATCTGATTTTCTTTGACCGTATTGTCATTCAACCTGCCATGTGATTCATCTCTTTACAGGAAGTGCTACAGTATAGATTAATGCTTATCAACGACTAATGGATGCAAATGCTTTATAGGGTTCAAATACTGTTCACTCCGGCCCTTTCACCCTCCCTCCTCTCAGGCTCCACCCTCTCTTCCATGTGGTCGCCTTGGTTCAAAACTACCATGATGGTGAAAATCACACTGCCAAACTCAAGGTTTTAAAACCAGTCTATGAAGTTGATTGGTCAATGGTAACATGTGTTGGCACTTCTATCAGGGTTGAAATATTGCCACAGTTTTCTGCTAAAAGCCTGTGGTCCTCATAACTATGATAAACAGCTTTTGAAAAAATAAAAAGTTTCTTAGTGGATCACTGCAGCACTCAGAACGTTTACTGCTCCTGTTGCCAGCTAGCAAAGCACACTGCTCACTCAACACCGCCTGCCAAACCAGCATGTCTGGCCCAGTCCAGGAAGGAGAAGGTGATATTTCCACTGTGAAACCAGATCCAGGGGAGGGGATCCTGTGGCCTAGTAACAGCTGAGCAACACACAGGCAACAGCAGACACAACAGCCGACCCCATCTGCCACCTCTGATCAGTCAGGCAGCGGCGTGCCTGCCTACGTGGACAGGCGCCCTGCAGGGCTCGGAGGGGGCACTCTGGGTACTGTGGATCCCTGTGGAGTACAGAGGACCTTGACCATACCCTTGACTGTGCTCCACTTAAGTGATTTCATAACAGAGCTATTGATCACTTCAGAGCAGGCTTTTGGGGTATGATCATTGCAGCGTGGTTTTAATTCAGAGCAGCAGAAGCCCTTCTTTTTCCATCTATGACAGCGTCTTTGCTAACTTGATTTTAGAGAATACAAGTGGCTTGAAAATGACACTGCAGTCTGTTAATAATGCACTATGAAATGAGGCCATTCATACCGACAAATCCATCCTTCTGTTTATTAAATCAGGCTCAGCGAAAATGAAATAGACTGTTGAATGAGGAAAATACGCAGCTGTGTGCAATAACAGCGCACAGAATTGAATTGGCAATGTCAAGGTAAATGAATATTGAGCACAGAGTGTATTAAACTTGCTCTCAGTGATGTCACCCTTTGGTTGATGTAAAGCCCAAAAGGTAGAAGTTCTTGTATTGTAATTTCTGACTCCAATTGACTGGCAAAGAGGTGGAGTTAAGGCTGATTCATAGCTAGGCAACCACATGTCGATCAAATTAACCATGCCCCTTATTATGCCAAACTCAGCATCACTCCTCTTCTAAAAAAAACATCAAAATAGATGTCAGAGGGAACAATTTAGCCCTCATACAGTGGTTCAATTTAGATTAAAATCATCTATTTGGTTGTATTCAGCTGTCCAGTTTCTTTAACCATCTTGATCGTCTGTTTCAAAATTTATCTGCAGTCAGTTGCTGCCAATGTCATTTAGAACTATCCCAGTTAGGGATCCTTGTGAAATACAAATAGCACATTAATTACAAGACCTTAAAGATAAAGTAATATCAAGTTAAAAAATGTCTAAATGTGGGATCTCTTACTTGAGCATCTTTGTAAAATGTGCTGCTGGGAAAGATTGTGAAAAAAGATCAGACCCATGCAGAATATCTGGGACATTTGAGAAACATTAGGACACAGTGCTGTGTGTACAAAAAGGGGCACACTGTTTGCGCTTGCATGTGTGTGTGTGTGTGGGGCAAAGTTGGACAGCAAAGCACAACTAATATACAAACCATCCCCATAATAGAATCATAAGTTTGAGGACATCTTTTGTGATGTGTTCATCGTGCATGCTTATAATCTAATTGGAGTGAAATTGCAATTGAATGTGCAGCTTTATATCAAAGGTTACATCAGGGTCTTGCATGAATAGAGGGCACATGTGATTTCAATCAAAACAGCTTCAACTTGCTTTCCACAGGGATTATGAATGCATTTTTGTTCTAATCTGTTGTTCTAAACCACATTAAATATTGCCCTTCAGCAGAGCCAAAATTAGAAACGAGGGAAACTTGGGTAAACTCTGGTGCAAATACATCTAGAGTGTTGATAATGGTTGAATTCAAAAAAGAAGGGAAACAGAAGAGTGTTAAGCTGCTAGAACTATGACTGTCAATCAGCACTGGGTAATAAATCGTATTTCAATTACGATTATGATTCCCCATGATCATGAAAATATAATAATCACAAGTGATCAATGACTGTGCCACCTGCTGTGTAGCAATCATATTGTCCTATAAGGTAAATTAAGCTCACCCTTCTTTTTCTCCTTTACAACAGAGCATGTGGTCTGCCCCTCCTCTACGGCACCTCTCAGTTTCACTTAGTCATGGTCTCACATACATGTGCAATAAAGTTTACTGCAGTATTTTAAACATGTGCTGCAGCAGTGCATACTATGAGGCAGCCACAGGTGGAAAGAGGAGAGAAAGGAGAGGAGCAGGAGGGTGGGAGACTGGGATATGAGTTGGTAGAAATTTTGAAATGCACTGAAATATTCAAAATGCCAACAATGTAAGACACAAGATGATGTCAAGATTGAAGTAAACCTCAAGCTCAAAGTCCAGTTCATTTTTGTCCAGGAGCAGTGAAACAGGACAGAATCAGACTCTGTGGTAAAGTGAGCTGCGGTGGTGCAGACAGGACGGACACTGAGCAGCAGCAGTAGAGCTGAAGTGGGCGGCAGGAGACAGACAGACGGACGATCTTTTTGCCATGGAAGAATGCTGAGGCTTTCTGACAGCTGAGGCTTATCAAACGACACAAAGGCCCGCTTGTAGCCCTGCTGCTGTGGCTAGTGTGTAGCAGTGTGGTTAGCCTGTGCGTCACCGCACCCCTGATAGAAAGCTGCTACATTAAATGAGTTGGCTGAAGTGGCTGACTTCACACAGATGGAGTTGTCAGACAAAGAGACACAGAGAGTGAAAGTATAGAGCTGAATCACTCCTAGATTAAAACGAATATTGTAACTGTAGCCTTTTAGTTTCAGTTGCTTGTGACAGCAAATTGAAAATGTAAATATTGAGGCCTAAACTGACTGCAGTCTGTTTAATATCAGTTTAGCATTCCTGTTGCCCATTCCAACAGCTAAAATTACTTACAGGCTGATACTGAGTCCCCTTGAAAATCTGTGCAATAGGAATTAAGTTCATGTTAAGGAGCAAAAACACTTTCAATTCCCAATTTTTCAGTAGCCTACTACATAGTCTCTACAATCTCAGAGTTTCTTCACGTCTTTTTTATGCTAACCTTTATTATATTTTGTCTATTTTCAGCTTCAATTTAGCAGTGCAAAGGATTTCCTTGTATTCATCCTTTACAATGAGGTCTACACATCTGTTCTGTTTTATTCTATTACTCTATTGTATTCTATTCTGTTGTATTCTAAATAATATATTCTATTCTTCCTATTTTACACTATTCCTCCTAATCTATTCTATTCCATACATTATTCCTTTTCTATTTTATTTAATTCTACTTCATTTTTCCTATTCTATACTATCTATTTCTATTCTATTCTTCCTATTCTGCGCTATTCTATTTGATTCTTTTCTGCTCTACTTTATTCTATTCTATTTTTTATATTCCATACTATTGCATTCTATTCTGAAATGTTGACCTTTGTTTTGTTGACACTCAGCTGGAACACCATTATTACTACTTGGTTATTTCACTCTATCAAGGCATTTTGCCTTTTCAAGATAAGACAGGGAACTTGTGGACTCCAGACTGAGGGATGTCAAGGCCAGGAGCTGACCCTGCAGCCGCAGTACCTGGGGCACACACCCTGCTATTTTGTACCATAAAGCTGGTCATTAATTGAATTTCAATCAAGACTCTGGCTTTCCATGAGCATGAAAACAAGATAATGGAGATTAACTGCTTACTGTGCTGCCTGCTGTGTTGTGCTTGTTTTGTCCTGGGCGGTACACTCTTCCCTCCTTCACAGCAGTGTGTGCAGCACCCAGACTTTTCTAAAAGGTTAGGTTTAGGACACTAAGGGGCCGGCAGGCTTTCATACACAGATGTTCCCAAATGTGTTAAGTGGAGACGGTTGTATCTTTACCATGTGCTACAGTAGTATAAACCACCATATAGCCACAGGTGGAGAGAGGAGAGCAGGGAGAACAGCCAGAAGAGCAGGTGTGTTAGTTGAGCAGAGTCACAGAATGCACACATGGGGACAGAGAGTGATGAGCATTAATGACATTTCAATCGATGGCCCTACTTTGTACTTTTATACTGAACCCTGTAACAGAATGTTAGTGTACCACAGTGTACACAGCATTACACTGCTACGAATACACAAGAGGGGCATGTTATCTAACAGCAAGAGCCTCTCAGAGACACAATCGCAAAGACATGCAAGTACACATGGAGCTGTTCTGTCTTGTTTCCAACTGTGAAGCTATTACACCTCTGTTACAGTCTCTGCTAGCCAAGCAGATAAGACAGGCTCATATTGAACAGGCAGTGTAAAAGGGGCTTTTGGCTCACAGACTTTTGGTGATTTAATTACAGCAATATTTAGAATACCATAGGGCAAAGATGTGAAAATATACCAGAGGTGTTGAAATTATAATTACTGAGTTTTAAGACTACTTAGAAGCCAAGTACATGAACTCATGCTCCAATTATGGTAATACGGGTAAATTAAATGTCTAAAGTTTCAATCCCTGTGACGTGAAGCGCCAAAACAACATTTTTAGGTTGCTGAGAGCAGCAAATGTTAGATTTATATGCTTTCAGAAAGACTAAAATATAGAATATTAAAACAGCAAGACATCATAGTTAGCAAGACATTTTCTCTTCGTGGCTTCATTTGTTGATTTCTGCGGCTCTCACACTCATTTGAGATAGTCCCATCAATCGGCTGGGCAGGTTAATGACATTCTAAAAAATCATTTGGCACTCGCCAGCATATCATCTTTGACATAAATATGCCATATTGTGGAATCCATGGCATTGCCCAGTGTATTTTTCTATTCCATGAATCAATCATAGTATATCTGAAACATCTTTCTGGTTAAAACAACCACATATGTTAGATTGGAATGTGTGGAGTAATGACTGTTTTCATTAAATATTATATATCATAAGATACAAAAAAACCCAACAACCTCAGCCACTAGCCGACCTGCCCTCTAATCATCGGTATTGGTTTCAGCCATTAAAAAACGATGTTGGTTGACCACTAATAGAGTTAATTGAAAAGTGCTTCAGTTATGTATAAAAATGTGCTCTGTATTTATTGATCTGACGGAGAGCAGAAGACGCCCTTCATATATGAGAGGAGAGACAAAGACCAGCACCTGTATATGAAGGTAAAGATCTACATAAAAGAGTGGTCAGGCCTCAGCTTATAACAGACTCCTGCAGATCCAGCCTCAGATATGGAAGTCCTCCCTACAAACCTCAGAAAGAACACAGCCCGGGGGTGGTTTTAAATTATGTCTGCTACAAACGCAGCTGAGCTTTGGGGGGTAAGTCAATACACTGGAAAAAAGAATTTGGGGGGTTTCTTCTTCTAAGAGCAAGCTGAACAGGAAAATTCTCTCCCTGATAGGAAACCAACACAGCCACACATGTTTTCAATTTCTCTGGACCAAGGGCTGATTCAACAAGCGCTAAAGCCAATTCTGAACCACCAAAGACCAGAAACCATGACACTGTGGTATAAGAGGGAAAAAGAAGAGAAACTTTAAGGGGACTGAAGAACTGGTGTGATGAACTGTAACTTCACTGAAACACCAACCCCAAAAGATCTATGCATAGCATGAAGTCCACCTTTGCCAGGTAGTGATTACATTCACAACAAAGGAACATCTGAAAGTTGGTGGTGATGTGTAAATCAGTCCCTAAACTGGAGTCTCTCAGGTGAAAAACCAACCCACATTCTATTTCTGGAAATCATGTCAGTAAATGGGTCAAGGTCACAACCACAGCATCGCAGAGAAGCTCCATCACTGGTTAAAAGGAATACTAGGATACTGGCCAATGCCATGATACACACAACTGCACACTTTGGCTGTAATCAGTTAACAAGTTTTACGTGTTTGTAAGATATTGCAAGAGAAACTAACCACACCACAGTGACACAGTTACATACTGTTTGTTTTGGATCACATTTCCCACCACAGATTCCAGGACTTTTCCAAACTCCAGGTCCAGCTCAAACACCAGAGAAAGAATATCGTTCTAGAGTGAATTTGCAGACCCTTTTCTAGTGCTTTTAAGTACCTAAAAGAGGTACTTCCCAGACTCTGAGACTTATACTTTAGTACTATAAATGCAACAGGAGAAAAATTAACATTACAACTGTAATGCTAACACAAAATAAGAATTTTTTTTTCAAGTTGATCTTTTTCAAGTGCTTTGAAACGGTTCAATCTGTGTGTTTTCTGTATTCAATAGCATGAAAGGCACTTGCACTTGTTTAACAACTGAACTGTCAGTGGTTAGAGGAGAGATTAAGCAGCTGCGATTGACTGACATAGACATAAAGAGATAGCTTGGTGGTGTGCATACAGACACACATAACAGCACACACCTCATCTGGGTTTTGAATGATAACTCAATTTTGACTTTATGTTGTCTTTCATTAGAAAAAATGGATTTGAATATGTAAACATGTTTCTACCTTTAGAAAGTATGCATGTTCAAGTTGAACAGTAAAACTGTTACAAAGGCAATTTTCTCTACATCCAATCTGAATCACATCAAATCTACTGAGAGGTGACCAAAGCTATCCATTATTTTTTTACTATCATAATATAACTACTGTTGGTTTTATTTCTTTAATTCCTCCATCATCCCTTGTATTTTCAAAGACTTTTTGGTTTGTTTTATCCGGTTGATTTTCCCAGTAGCACATGGATAGTTTATCTTATCTTACTTCTTATCTACTAGTTGTAATTACTTTGCACAAACTGACAAATTTTAAACTCTAGTGCTCGTGCCCCCATGTGAAAGCAGATGAAGATAAGTAGACACTATGAATCCATCAGTGTTACTCCACAGTCCGGCCAAATTTGCTGAGTTTTACACAGACTGCTACAACAGAGAGAGAGGGGTAGAGGGAGGGAGGTCAAGCCATCTCAGTGATCAAACAAGGCCCACCAGTAGGAGAGCAGAGCAGGACAAACAAACTGAAACCAGGGATGTTTATGGAGGAGGCCTACATTTGGGCTAAGGTGAGGGAGAAGCCACAGGGGGAAGTAACAATCTGTAACCTCAGGGCACCACAGACGGGAGATATAGAGGGGGTTAAAGTCTGGCAATGGTTAAAAGAGTTGAGAGATCTGTCACTCATACTGTGTGCAAATATGTGAATGTGAGGTCAGGGCTCAATCAGAGAAGCAAAAGGTTCAGTCTGCAAGGGATAAATGTTGATTCTTATTTTCACATAACAGTGTAAAAGTCATACTCCAGCCAGCTGAACCAGAGTGCCCTTAAGTAGAAAACCTGTCTGTTATTTTGCAGTTGAAACAGCAAGAAGTGAAATTTAATATGCAGCAGGGAGAACAGAAGGATCAGTGAGTTTTAAGGTTAATCATTCCCCAGTGAGGGAAGTATAAACAAGCCCAAACTTTGAAGGTTCCAGATCTATTTTACTCACATATATAAGTCCAGAGTAGTACCGGTCCTTCAGGTTGTGCAAGACCGATGCTTCATTCAGGCAGGTCAGCTCAGCCATGTCTTCAACCTTGCTAAACTTGGGCGGGTTCATCTTCTGGATGTCGTCCTTGTTGATAACCACCTTCTTGCCATTCTCCGCCAGCTCCACCAGCACCTCTTCACCCCGCTCCTCCCGCACGCCGGCTGCCTCAAAGCCATGGCGCTCAGAGGGGACCCACACCAGCTTCTTTGCTGTCCAGTCAGCCTGTGCGGCCGGGTTGTAAACGACAGCCCGGTCCACAAACAGGTACCGCTCCGGGTCCTCTTGCCCACTCCGATGAGACATCTTTTCTGGAGTTTACCAGAGCAACGCGGCCACCTGAAACAGACAAGAGGGCAGGGATTTTGGAATTGGCAGTGACAGAGAGTTTAAGCCAGGAAATATCTGCACTGATGTCATGTGTATTTTTTTTGCCATGCTAGTACCATAGTGAGTGTCTGGTAGTTGCAAATTCTCATGCAAAGTAATTGGAATTGCTCAAATTTTGTATCCAATCACCTCGAATGTCTTGACCCAAATGGTTAGCCATATGGTTTCCCATAAATGAGTCTGGTACGCCATGGCCATGCTACAGTGTATCATCCCCTCTAAGGACAGGGTGATAGGCTGCCAAGTGCAATGTCGACCAGACCTCCTAAAGAATGCAGGTAAGATTGTGGCAGAACCCTCACACCCAGCAAACAGACTCTTTCAGACCCCTCCCCTCAGGCAAGAGGCTGCAGTCAACCAGGACTAAACTTTGCCTCAAGAACAGTGTCTCTCCCTCCAAACCTGATAACAGTGCCTGGGCTCAGCCCTGACCTGGATCCCAGCCCTGGCACCTCTTTTTTTACCTTCCAATTGACACACTCCTATGTTGTAACTATGTTGGACATTGTCTGTTACATGGTACTTTGTGTTGTTTATACTTGTAGTTTTGCACTTACATCATCCTGCACCCCCCTAAAAAAATATAGATCCCCATGGTAAATTCTCCCCAGACTTTGTTTTGTTTTATACAGTTTTAATACTTAAATGTCTCTTTATTGGAACAATCCTGATGGTCAGCAGATGGCTGGTTCCAATGTGTCTAGTTCTGTTTAAGGTTTCTACTTTGTTTGAAGGTTCTTTTTTTTCTTGCGTGCTCATAATTTATGGATTCAGACTCTTTACATGATAACTCAGGCTTTGATTTAATATCAAACACAACTTATTGAAGCCTGCAATGCCTCAGTTGTAGACTTTGACTTTGTTTTGTGGACTGTTTAATCCTTAATCGAATGGCTGTGTAAAAAAAATAGGATAACATTCAACTGGGTAATTATCTGAGAAAGAATGTATGAATTAAATCAAATGTCCTGCGCCCACACAGCGAGAAGTGGGTGTCATATGTGACGAGCTCAGAGCATGAAATCTGGTGCCGCATGATAACACAAATTAAAAGTTGGTGAGTGCATGACTTCTCACCAAAAGCATCTGCACATTTAGAAATGCGCATACTGCGTATTTACTCATCTATGCAGATCAAACGGGACAGAGAGAGGTCGTGAGTGGCACATAAGCAGTACTCTTCACAGTTTTCTTCTGTATATCTTTCGGTACGTCCACTTTATCACAGCTACCCGTCCTCCAGATCATGTCTCCAACATGCACTTGTCAAAACACACGGGGCTTCTCCAACAACCGCGATGACTGTGCACTGGCAAACCCCCAGAGACACAGAATGAACGAAAACCAGCAGGAGGGAAACTTGTCACCAAAGTCCTGTTTACAAATAATATTAGGCTAATACCTGCTCTAATGAACCTGCGCAACCTACATGGTAAGCTTTTGAGGCTAAAGTAGGTAACCGGAATGTCCTATGTCATGATATAGAACGTTGTAACTATGGCAACGCTAGCGAAAAGTTATCGGGTAAACGACCGTTAGAAGCAGTAACGTATTTAACGTCAGCGTCATATGCGAGGCTGTCTGTGTGAGTTTTCTTTGACCTTTACCAAATTCAGCTCTTCAAGCTTTCTGAGAATAAGTAGTGCTTTTATATAATGGCCAGATATTGTAGCTCTGTGACAAAGAAGCCTACTAGTGTGGGGATGCGGGGCACACATTACGCCGCAAAAAAACCCGACTGAAATCGAATATTAAATACACTAGAGCGAGTTAGCATTGTCCCTACTGGCATTAAATGAACGTTAACACCTTTATAAATGTCTTCTGCGAGGTAGACTTCAAACAACATTACATAAGGTGTGTTTCTGGACATAAAAAGAGCAGCAACCGTTCAACTATGTCAAGTTATCACCGCCAGCTCCATCATCCACACTAACGGCATACGTCCCACGCGCTCCCTCATCCCCGTCCTCGCGGTGAGAGACCCCCCAGCTTACCTGGTGTAACGGTATTCAACAAAGCAGCAGTCAGATCCTGTTCACCACGCAGTCCGATATCCCCCTTGAAGATTATTCGACCCTGTATGCAACTAGCAGCTACACACAATTGAAATGCAGGCATGTATTTGGGCTTTGGTATGCACCACAGGCACAGTGCTGCCTCCACACTGGGGCCCCTCCTAAAGCGAGCAGACTTGACCGCTTCTGCTCCCGCCTACACCGGACTGCGCTCACATAGAGAGTGACCATGCAGATCAATACACAGCGAACTGTGACACGTTGTGGGAGGATACACCTGAGCAGAAACGTAGCCCGTGCGTGCCAATGCCCTCATAATATTGTCTTCCTCGCAAGTTAACGCGCTGATAGGGAATTTCACAGTATGTTAAACTGTGGGGAGTCTATTCTGAAATCTACCCCCCAAATATCTATGCAGGGCACACACCCACTACAGCAGCTTGGAGACAATTGGGCTACCACTTTGCGGTCTTTCTCTCCCTCTATCAGTCATTGGCTGAAAGGAACCAACCCCTCAATTTTCTGAAAACCAGTAACATGTTGCAAATAGATATTACAACTGTTGCCAAAAAAAGGGGTCCAAAATAACAGTTACTACTGCCCAAGCCCTTTTTATGTAACCTGGCAGAAAATACATAGCAGGAATCTTATTTTGTGCCAATCAAAATAGACACAGTGACTCCAATTTCTCTCTTGTAAACTGCAATGTCACCATCTTACATCTGAAAGAAACAGTTGCATTTTCTGTCAGAAACAAGTCACACAAGCATATTACCTCAGGGCAATTTTTTATGAAATGAACAAAAGTGTTTACTACCTGTGAAGCTGAAATATTTAGAGCTCCCCCAGCTGACTGGTTTCAGAATAAAAACATAAATTCAAAGCACTTAGAATATATTTACCTCAAACATGCTTTTTGGTATTTAGTTCTAATTGTACTGATTCATGTCCAAATGGTCTTTTTTGCACTTTAATTGTTTAATTCCAAGAAGCAGTGATATATCATTATTAACATTTCTATTAAATGTGGGCTTCTGCAGTGATCTGTATCATAAAAGCAAAAGAGGAGAAACAGTGAGAGAAAACCTGACAGACACCTCCCATAGCCACAAGTGTCTGCTTCAGATCAATGAATCAGTCTTGCTGTGGACTGTACCAACCTTGGGGTCTTTGACGTGACATTACATCAGTCCCACGATGCTACCAGCCAGGTCCCCTCTGTGCACGCCTTGGTTGCACCTGTGGGATATGTCAGCACCCAACAAGGCAGATTTTGTCTTCTCGTCTCATAATGGGCAGAAATCAAGTAACATTGTCCCTTCTGTGTGGTCTATACATACCACCTACTACAATGGCAACATTTATTTTTAGGTTTTTTTCTTCTTCTTCTTACAAATGGAAAAATAAAAGAGCAGGAAAAGTATGATTTTTGATACTGAATGAAAATTATATATTTAGATGGCTTCCATTTTTCACTGGTAAAACAGTTTGAATTCAATTAGGTTACACCTTTGTATTTTAAGTTAAATATTTCATAAGAATAATTAGTTTAAAATCATTATGTTTAGTGAAAGTTTAGAGAGACACTGGTTTATATGACATGGCAAGCTAAGGCTTCTGGTCGCTAATAACAACATTGTCTGGGGTATTTTAGGGGTTTCACTATCAAAACTCTAAGGTTAGCAAGAAGTGTAGATGAGTCATACAATTTGTTGTTTATAACTTAAAATACAGCTCCTTTTGCCATAAAACCTTACCAGCTGTTTTCTTACTTGGTTTCTGAACAAACTAGAAGCTGTAAAATTGCGTTTATGTCACTTGAAACATGTACCTCAACAGTACAACATTACTAATGTCTTTCAGCTTTGTACCATTTAGGCATCAGAGGAAACCAAACTCCATGGGATTATGGTGAGCAGTTATGGTCAAATTTTATATGGAAAACACAATAAAGGCAAGTTACTGGTCTGTTGTTTTTATACAAAGTCTGTTCATGTTGAAGGTTTCAACGTCCTCCCCTCCAGGCTCCTCCACCTCTCTTTTTCATCCCTCCTTTCCCTCCTCCTCCTACTCCTCCTCCTCCACCCCCTCCTTTCACTTTCTTCCTCACTCCGCTTGCTTGTTCTGTGTCGTCCTCGTCTCGATCTCCCCCTCTGGGTCTTTTCCTTTTCTCGCCTTGCTCCTTCATTTCCTGAGGAAGACAAGATACTTATTATCTAAAGACGTTTTTTCCGATTAAATGTCTCTCTTTTTTTTTTTACAACCCATAATTAGGACTTACCAGCCGTGCAAATCTCTGTGCTTCACTAACCCTCTCCACCAACATCATCACCTCCTCCTCCTGGGTTGGGAAGGCGGGAAGTTTTTTCCCAATCAAGGTTTCAATTCGCTGGAAAAGCTCCACATCATATCTAAGACAACACAACAGCACCGTTTACTTCCACACATTTTCACTTAAAGCTCAGATATCAACACACACTGGGGGGGAAACAGGCAGCGCTTACTGAGTGACAAAAGTGATGGATTTTCCAGACCGCCCTGCTCTGGCTGTTCGTCCAACTCTGTGGATGTAGTCCTACGAGTGCGGACAGACAAAGATCCATTCATATCAAATAGAGCAAATGAAAACCCCAAAATAAAGCAGAAACAGGAAAAAGAAAAACTGCAGTAATGTACCTTAGAGTGAGTGGGAATATCGTAGTTGATGACGCAGTCTACGTGAGGAATGTCCAGACCTCTGGATGCCACATCTGTTGCCAGCAGCACAGATCGAGACTTTGACTTGAACTTGTTTAAAGCCCCAAGCCTTTTATTCTGAAACACAAAGAGAGCAAGATTAAGAGTGAGTATTTAACATTTCACTGACACAAAACTCTTATAGATTTTCATGCAATTGTATCTTTAAGTTCCCCAAGTTGCTTTTACTCCCAAAAGCAACAAGTTCTTAAGCTTGTTCAAGTACTTTTTTGTAAAGCTGATAATCTGTTTTTAATTCTTGGATCAATTGGTTTGTTCCTCTGCAGCTCTACCTGACTCATCTGGCCATGAAGAGGGATTGCAGTGATTCCGAGATTCCTCAACAACAGCGCCACCCGCTGGGCAGTGTTGCACGTGCTGCAGAAAATGATGAACGAGTTGCCAGCAAGTTCGTTCAGGATTGACACTAGGTAGCAGTCCTGCCACAAAACCAAACACAAAACTGTCAACAAAACCCCAAAACATATGTATCGTTAAGAATTGTGCAACACATGTGCATCAGGGGTTTTAGATGTTCAAAATTACATGAGAAAGTGCAGCTTTACCTTGAATTTGGCTGGTATGAAGATGTAGTACTGCTGCAGTTTGTCTACTGTGGAATATTTGGTGGACACAGCACACTTCACAGGATCTTTCAGAGCTGCTCTCTGAAGTTTCTGGACCTGAAAGCAAGAAAAAGGCAGTTTCCTCTGTCAGATTTGCAGGTAAGCATGCATCACTAAGGATGACTCAAAACACAACAGCACTTAACTGAGTATAGATGAATGTCTGAGTACCTTTTTGGTCATGGTGGCTGAGAATAAGAAGGTTCGTCTGTCTCTGGGAATCACTTTTAGGATTTTATCCACCTGACAAAAAAAGACATTTAAAAGGAAGTTAGTGGTTTTTCCAAGCAAAAAAACAAACAAAAACAAAACAAAACTGTGATGTCTGGACACACAGTAATCCATACTGGATGCAAGATGTTGTTTGGGTTACACTGGAATGGAATAAGAGGGTTTCTAGCTACTCACCTCAGTCTCAAAGTCCATGTTAAGGATTCTGTCTGCTTCATCCATCACCAGAAACTTCAGAGCTCGTAGAGTGAAGCCTTTTGTGTTCTCCAAGTGGTCTATCAATCGACCAGGTGTGGCTGCAAACACACAGGAATCACCACATCATATTCATGCCAAAATTAGCAGTCCTTTTGTTAAAAAGACAATGAAAAAATGTTTATAAGGACTTTGGCACAAGCAAATACACTGACACATTCAGAGCATATTAGCTTGAGAAACTGCTACATATTATCTGTTAAATAAATACAATGATTATTCACTTACCTATAACAATATGAGGTTTTTTAGCCAACACCAGGGACTGAGACATCATATCAATTCCTCCAACGACAACAGCTGCGACAGAAATGATAAAGTTTTTAAGTGATGGTCAACAAAAACTAAAAACACCTCTGCAATCTAACTGGCCCAATGAAAACTTACCGCATTTTACACCAATACTAGAGCCCAGAGCCTCAAACTGCTCTGAGATCTGAAAGGCTAACTCCCTGGTTGGGGTGAGGACGAGGGTGTGGAGCCTCTGAGGTGAGGAGAGTAGAGACTGGAGGATTGGCAGAGCAAAAGCACCCGTCTTTCCTGAACCAGTTTCTGCCAGGCCGATAACATCTTTTCCTGTAGTTAAAAAAAGGGCAAATTCAAATATCTGATGTGAGCAAAGGGCAACAGTGACAGCCCATTTGCCCAATAAGTAAAACTCAGGGAAAGGAAATATAATCATTCATCAATCGTAGTGTCCTGAATTTATGACACTTGCATGACAAGAAGGACAGCTGAGTAAAGCTAAACTATGAGGGAACATGTCAGGCACAGCTTTTCCAGACTTCACAGTTCTGTTTAAGCAGACCATGAAAATTGCTTAAATAAACTAAACTCAAACATACCAGCTAACAGGTGATCAGCATTGGTTTTGCAATTTAACAATTATTTGATTTTTATATTAACTATTTTCACAAGTGGTACAAATGTGTTGCAGCACCAAGAACTCTGTTCTCTATTTTCTTTTTTTGTGTTGCTATCAAAAACAAACATAAATGTGATTCAATAAGAATATTATTAATCAGGCGTCATGCTTGTACTCCTTCTGTTTACTGCAAGCTCCAATCTTAGTCAAATTTCACACCAGGCAGGCAGTTAAGAAGTGTTCATAGGCTGTTTTTTTTTTCTTAGGTTGGATTAGCAGGTATTCAGCACCATTAAAGGGGTATTCTGGCGTAAAATTAAGTTAGGATCAAACACACCGTAACACCGAGTTAGACATCCCGTCGCCGCTTGTTTGTAGCGAGACCTCAGCCGAGTCCATCAACTGCAGCGGGGTGGTGCAGCTCAAGGAAGAACATATATGATAATTTCTTAATGGAAATGCAGTCAGACCAAGACGCTTAGGCAGAAGATCTACCGCGTCTGCAGTGCAAAAATGATTACTATGCTGATTATTACTTCCAAGGAAATGATAAAGTAATGATTGTAGATGTTCTTTCTTGAGCTGCGTCACCCTGCTGCAGTTGACGGAGTCGGCCGGGGTCTCCATACAAACAAGCGGCTGCTGGAAGAGAGTAGGTGAGTTGTATTTGATCTCTTTGATAAAGAAATTAGGCAAAGTTAAAAAGATGTTTGGTGGCTAGTGTTGTGACCAAGACCCTATATGTACTGTTGATGAAGTTAGGTGCTGCATTATTTGTGGCTATAGAGTGGAGTTTTGGTTGAGTGCGTGGCTCTCTGTATTGCTATCATGCAGTCTTTACTAAAGTATGTAGTGGTAAGTATTAAAGACATTTCTAGTAAGCAATGCATCACAAAAAAAGCATCACTCAGTAAAGATGGAAAAGAAAAGAAGTTAAAAAAAAAAAATCACCTAAAGTGAAAAATGTGTTATTATAGGAATAAAGCATGGCCAATACCCCAGCAGTTGACATAAACACTCATACTGTGATGATCATAAAGTTAGAACTTTTTAATGGCATGATGTACTGAATCACTGGACACTAAACTTCTTCCAAACACACTTACAGGTGGAATCATCTTTACTTCAACTACCTGGATACAAATTGTGCTTATTTCTCACTGGGACTGCTATCATTCCCAAATAAAGTAATTATCATAGTGGGACCATGTCATACTAACATATTACATAATATTGACACACGTAAAAGCAGTTCACTCTGCTGCTGATGCAAGGCTAATGCATGAATTAGAGGATTTGAAGGTAGTGTATTGTTAATTTTATGTACGTCAATGTTCCTAAAACTTTATGCCCTATTGGTTTTAATAAAATTAAGAGCAGAAAGGGATCACTCACCTTGAAGAGCCACAGGTATGGCTTCAATCTGAATCTTTGTCGGGCTCTTCCATCCCAGCTGATCACAAGCCTCACAGAGAACCTCAGTTACACCCTGTCACCAGCAGAAAACACTCCGGTGAGAAAAGCTATACATGCTGATCACAGATCCAAATTATACTGAATGTGATGTATACCTACATAACACCTTTTTCAGCTAGCTAAACAGCCATGCTAATGCTTGTTTATACCACATCATGAGCCTCTTATTCCCTCTGTTTTATAAACTCACCAGATCCTTAAAGGTCTTCACCGATTCATCATTTTCACCGCTATTAATGTAACTGTTATCATCATCACTACTCGAATCTTCGAGTGTTTCATCTTTATTCGCTTTCACGCTTTCCTTCTGATCATCCGCCATGCTTGTCGCCCCAACGTGTCGTCAGCTCCCCATTGCGCATGCGCGGAAATGTTTTGGGGTTTTTTTTCCCTCCAAAGCTTTCTTAAAACATAATTGACAGACAACATGTATATGAACACAAACAAAGAAACAATGCAAAATTTAGGAAAGGAAAGAAATACAACAAGAAAAGGGAAAAATGTTGAATCGGCACTGCTGGGTTTTCTCACTGAGCATATGAAACTTGCCTTGTTTGAGGAGAAAATTAATCAAAAAGAAGATTTTTTTTCAATTAATTTCATATAGTCTTAATCGAAACAAAGAATATTTTTGTTGTAATCGATTAAGGTGCATTCTCAAACTCAACAGACTCTTAATTTTAGATTCCTCCAGCTGTCAGAGTAAATGTAAACTATGGATATATATACTCTGTCCAGCAGGGGGCGATTATGTTACATATAAAATACCAGTCACAGTATTAACACCATAGACTGTATATACTATGTACAATACTGTATATACTATATTTACTTTACTTTACTATATACATATTCTATAAACAGTCTATGGTTAACACACAGTATTTACATCGTCAGAACTGGCAACTAACTGGTCGCTACTGTTGCATTCAATACATCTACTTTCCATATGAGTGATAATACTTCTTGTTTTAAGGTTAAAACATCAATGTAACACTGACATCTCCTCTACCATGAATTACTGCACCAGCTGATCAGATTGAGTCACAGCTGAGGTACTACTGAAGCCCTGGTTGCTTTAATAGTGGCCGCCAGCTTGTCTGTATTGATGATTTAAGAGTCAAGTCGGGTGACCAATCAAGTACAGTAATTTCATATTCAACAAACCATGCAGCGATAGTTTTGGTGCGGTTGAAAAGTGCTGTATGAAAGATAAAGTGCACTAGGAATGACAGTTGCAGCTTCTTCCTGAAGAAGCACAAATAGCAACCTCAGTCCACCTGATGCTTATCCTCCTTTTTTATTAAATTTGATTGATTGATATTTATTCTGTGTGGATAGTGATGAAGACTGAAATTCATTAGTCTTTTTCTTACAAAACTAAAAAAAAATATATTTCATAATTTTATTTTAGTTGGTAGCACTTCCATGTTATTCTGTGACGCTGTGTTTCTTTAAGAATTTAATCACACTAAATCATGAGGAAAATTATTGTTTCAAAAGTGTTTATTCAGCTGCAAATATTTTCAGTTCATTTCAGTTTAACACTCGTGTATTTTGTCAATGGTTGACAAGCTCCATTTTGAAGACTAACTTATTGATAAGGTTGACACTGGAGTAAAACAAACAGTCATAAAATCATACAAAAAGATGTCAGGAGGCAAAACACAGAGGGAGCAAATATATATGACAAACTAGCAGAGAAAATTCACTTGTTGGTCAATAGAGTTCTTTGAATGAGGGCCAGTAATCACCTTTTTGAAGGTTTCTAATGAAGTATAAGATCAGATTTTTTGCGCGCATGAAATTCACATTCATTAAGATACAGTAAATACAAGTCCAGATCAAACAAAGATGGGCCAGCTGTTGACTAAAGGAACTGGTCTAGCTGATAGCCTTGATACCTCTATGACTCTGCACAGAAAACACCTAAATCAGGAACACTCTTTTTGTTCAGAGTGCTGCACACAACATTCACCCTAAGACCGTCCAGAGTCTCAGAGGAGTCCCTCCATCTCCCTCATAAAGGCTTCATACACCTGGTCCTTTGTCTTCATGTTGGGCTGAGACACAGCACTAATCTGGGCCGGGTTGACCAGGCCCATGGCACCCGCTGCTGCATGCTGTTTCTGCACCTGTCCCCCTCCCATGCCATCATCCCCCCTTCGTCCTAAACCTATCCCTGCTTTCTCCACAGGCCCTGGAGCTGCCCCTGGCATTGCTCCACTCTTGTCCCTACGCACCCTCAGTGCAGTGGGCACAAAGCGGGTGACCTCCGCCTTTGTATTGATAATCTGAGGTTTGGCAGAAATTGTGGCCCCACCGGAGCCAGCACCCACTGCGAGGCTGCCTCCAGCTGCCACCACAGAGGTGATGTTTGCCCTCTTCTCGATAGTGGCTGCATGGTGAGGGTTGGCGCCTGGGTTGGCGCCTGAAGCTGCAGCAGCTGTACCAGGAGGTGGAGGCATCTGCATGACTCCAGGTCTCATGGGCATGGGCATGGCAGGGGGCGGCATGTTGCTCGGAGGACCATCCTGGCCGCCTCCAGGGCCTTTCTGTCGCTGGACAATGCTGGGAGGAGCGCTGAGCACGTTGGAGTTGAGAGGTGGAGGGAAGAGGGAGAGGGGTGGAGCGAGTGGACGTGGGGGCGCTCCTGCTCTTGGAGGTGGGATACCTTTAAACAAGACATTTGGCAGATGTGTTTGGATGAGAAAGGTACAAGACATGCCTCTCTGCAAATGCAAACATCTGCGACACAAAGTGTGTTATCACAACTTTAAATCTACGAGGTGGTCTATTTTTACTGCAGCAGAGCAGAGAGGACCAAATATACGCTATCTGGATGTCATGTTCAACAAGGAATGATGTCATGTTTGCTCAGCAGAAATCTAGTCTGCTAAAACACACTAGACCCTTTGTAAGAAAGCACCCACACATATCTGCACGTTAACACAGATTACATCCACATATGTGCCTACCTGGTGGTGCTGGAGGTGGGAGTCTGGGAGGGGGTCCTCGAGGTGGGGGGCCTGGCGGCAAGCCAGGAGGGGGGCCTGGTGGGGGGCCAGGGGGCCGACCAGGTGGAGGTCCAGGAGGCAGAAGACGAGGCATTGGACCTCTTAAGCCTCCAGGCATTCCAGGAGGCCTCAGGAATGGAGGAGCCCCTTAAGATAACAGAATGTATTACATTAATGTGAGTCACACAGAGAATTTCTACAGCGGTTGCTCATATTTCAATTTTGTAGTTTATTTACAATATTTCAACACAAAGCAATAACTGAAAAAGTCGCAGACTATTAGGTCACAGTTACAGATATGGGGTCAGATGTTCAAGTGTGCCTCGTTTACTGAACTTGTTCTCTGACGCTGCAGCAAACAAAGAAGAAGAACAACTGTTCACTAGTAGCCCGATGAGGTTTAGATAAATATGTTTTAGTAAGCACACAAGAGATCTCTCATAACTTAAGCACAAAATATTTGTCTCTATGAAACTCATATTTTTTAAGGCTGCCCATGTTATTTCAGATACTGGGTCAGCCTGATATTGACCAGCTACTAATATGCTGACGTTATATATCACATATCGTACAATTAAACAACTCTTTAACCATGGGCTGGCCTGCTACCTTATATGCTAATCTGTTGTGTTTTGAACTCTTTGGAGAGTTCTGGGTGTCTGCTACTTTAGCACTGCTTTAGGTAAACTGGTTCTTTTGGAAGATGTTTCACTGTTGTTGTCAGTAGTGGACATGTTTAGACAGAGGCATTGCTTTTCTCACTCTCAATGGAAGCAGAAGCTCATACTGTATAACTACGAATGACTGACAGGTGCTTGTCTCCGTAAACACTGACAGTCTGACATACGCATTGAACCATTTGGTCTTTATATACAGAATGTCAGGAACTCTAATTAAATTTCATTTAGACTAAAAAAATTTGAAAAAGTTCAATAAACTGGCATACCATGCAAAACTTATTATAATGCACATATCAACAAAATATCGCACACAAAGGGCTACAAAAACAACAGCGTAAGGGATTTTTAAAAGTATTCAGTCTGCAGTTAGAGACGAGTTTATCAGCCAATAAAAGGCTGTAACATACCTGGTGGGGGGCCAGGAGGTGGGCCAGAGGGAGGACCAGGAGGCCTCATTGGAGGAGCTGGGGGTGGACCAAGTGGTGGGGGCCCAGTCATTGGTGGACCTTGCATGTGTGGAGGCACTTGCTGTCCCACTGGTCCGGGGGGAGGGGGTAGACGCTGATTGGCCATGAGGTGGGGCTGGTTGTCCCCCGGTGGTCCCCTGTCCTCAATGTCTGAAGTGTCTGACTCATCTGTATATTCCTCCTCTACCTCTTCTTCCTCCTCCTCTTCAGGTACTGACTGACCTGAGAACAGACACACAATGTTGCAACATGTTAACTGAAATAGAGACAAAGGTAAGCCGGCATGTAAAGAAAACAGCAGACCGAGTCAAACATCAGTACCTGCCATCCTCAACATCATGGCCTGTAGAGGAGTGATGGCCTTAGTCCTCTTCACCATCCTCTTTTTCTTCCTCTTTCCTTCACGAGGAGCCTCTGGTGGCATGTCTGCGAAACGAACACTGCGACCTGGAGAAGCGAGACACAAAAGAAAATAAGTGTTTGAAAGTCTCCTAAAAATGGATCTCTAAACATAAGTTTTGTGTCATGCAACTTTTCTGTGTCCCATTAGATCATTAAAGACTCTTAAAAAAATAGTGTAACTGTGCCCTCTATTATATGCAATGCTATCACTGCATCTTTACTGCACAACAAATATTGATGCACTTTATACCCGATGATTTATAAAAGTAACAAAATTGAAAAACAAAAAAAACAATATACAATGATGCACTGTTGTTGTAAAGGAAAGCACGTGCTAGTTTCCATGTGGTGAGGCAGTAGTGAACAACATACCGAAGCTCTTCTGAGACACTCACCAGCATGTCTGTCGATTCTGTCTCTGTCCTCCTCTCTGATCCTCTGATCCTCCTGCCTGTCCACACTCATCCTCTGTTCTACGTCGTCTCTGTCATCTCTCTCGTCTTCGCTGTCCTCTTCAGAGTCACTGTCATCATCGTCATCATCCCGATCTCTGTCGCTGTCGCTGCCACTGTCCCGATCTCTGCCCAGGTCCATGGCAGAGTCCTTTTCAAGCCCAGGAATGGTGGGCTCTGTACAGTGAGGTGGAGCAGAAAAATGAACATCTGCCACTTTTTAGTGGACATTTTAATTTTGGTTCACTGAAACATTAGTACCAAGAAATATATTCAAGAGAATAGAGAGAACAGTTCTGTGCATTACCCATTTCTGTGCCATAAGGTCGTCTAGAGGGAATGCCATACAGTGCTAGGACCTGTGGAGGTGGGGGTCCAGGTGGGGGACCAGGGGGTTTCTTCCCTGGAGGTAAACGTGGCACACCTGGTACTGTCACCACGGCCGGCCCAGAAGCTGACGTCGCTTTACTGAGAGGAACAGAAAAGAAGAATTCCCTTAATAAAGAGTCATGTCAGTGTAAGGGTAATAAATGCTGAGCTCACCTGTAGAACACACACACACACACACACACACACACACACACACACACACACACACACACACACACACACACACACACACACACACACTCATATTCTAATTGATTAAAACTTAGCTGAAGAGATACTTATCAATGATCATTGTATAAATACTGTTATACAGGTCTCTTTAGCTAGCATGACTTTTTCTATCAGACACAGCAGATCGAATACAGTGCTCAGCGGGTATAGATATACAGTCATGTGCAGAGGGGAATTACATGCCAGAGCCCTGACAAATGACACAAGGTTATGTGTACCTTTTAGTGATAAGTATGTGGTAATGCAGTGCTTTGACAAGAGACTAGCCTGCCCTGTGATGCTTACCCAAAAGTGGCGCTCTTCTTCAGTATGGAGGGAGGCTGAGCCCCTGGTAATGGGATGTCCTGGATGTGGATATTTGAGGGGGCATGCGGCATGTCTGGCAGAGGGATACTGTCGACCTCCACCGACTCTGCATTCTGTGTGTTTGTTTTTTTAAAGGTAAACAGATCACATAAGAGTAAATGTAGAGGCATGACAAAGTCTATGCAGTAAAGATGATAAGGATCACTGGCCATTAAAGTCGAGCATACTAATTAAAGAAAACAAACCAGAGGCATACAGACTAATTCTCCAAATAAACATTTTTCCAGCATTTCATGACCTGTTTCAAGAGCAGTCTAAGTATTGGTTTTAACTTGAATTAAAGATCATCCAATTGTTACATCTCAGCCAAGCAAGAGGTTACAAAGCTATTATAAACCTACAATCTCCAACACACACAGAGGATTATTCTAGTTGTTAGCTTAAAATGCAATTGATTTATGAAGCTCAAATGGATTCCAACAAATACCCGTAGAAACTGTTCACACAAACACACCTTCACTGAGTCAAAATAGAGAGCCAGCTGTCCTCGTTTGGTTTCATAGTCCAGTTCCAGTTTGCGCAGCTCTTTGTAGGTGTCGGGGTTCTCTCTCTCATACAGGCGGACAATCCGTTCAAAGGTTTCACGTAGCTTCTTCCTCTTGTCACGCAGCACTTTCTCATTCAGTAATGGCTGCTGAACAGGGTTGAACTCTGATGGAGAAATGAGATACGAAAAATTAGAGATATTCATCCAAGAGCCAAACAGTTTATATGTTTGGGAAATTAGCCCGTTTGGTGGTAAGACAAATTCAGCCTCACCCATCTCATCCAGCTTCTCCATGTCTCTGATAATCTGTCTGGGATCCTTCATCTTCAGCACCGCTGCTCTCACCATCATCCTCTGCTTCTTGTTCTAAAAGTTGGTTTAACAAATGAAGAAAACTGTTAACAACATGATAAGGTAACTGTTATGAGTGAGCTGATGAGTGAGGATGCATGCTGCATTCACTTAAACAAACAAACAAAAAAGTTTCTCTACATCAAAACATAAAACCTAAAACTATCAGATGAACTCTAGGGGTATTCAGTACTACAGCATTTGCTGAGTGGTCTCTTAAGACACCACTTGTCTGCCTGAACGCAAGTCAGATGCATCATCTTGTGTTAGTGAAGCATGCCTTAATGGCTCAGCTAACCCTGGAGAAACATTTAAAGGGATAATCCGGCATAAAATTAAGGGTCAAACAAACTGTAACACAGAGTTAGACACCCTGTTGAGAGATGAATGTTGCCAACTGCTTGCTTCTCTAGTTAAACCAACTTTAGTAATGACCGTTGGATAGCAATACAGAGAGCTCCTAAGAAATTGATGTTTTGAGCATGTTTTAAAATGGTTGTAACTATCAAATGCAACTCAAGATGTATCAATGAAATGGAAATCCTTCTACAAATTCTATAAAGGGAATCCAACACTGCCAGTTTCTTGTTAATTCAGAAAAACAGCATAACGTTTGTTCTCATCAAATCTTTCCTGACATTTCCATCATAATTCTTTTATTTCAGGGGGAAAAACTGAGGAAAGCAGTGCTCTATATTTAAAGCATTCTTACCTTTTTTAGCTCCCTTTTTCTCGCCTCCTTCCCTATGAAGGAAGTAGAAACACAAGTGTACATCAGTTACCACCATCATAGAAACAAACTCAGTATTTCTAAGGTCTTCTCCAGCAGGTCTGTGTCCTCGGTTACTTACTGGCCTGGTCGGTGGGGTTCATAAACTTCCCACTCTTGGTGGAGGAGGTCGATCGTCGCCCCATCTTGCTGGTGCGTCTCCTTCAGCCTGTCAGATGTTGAAACCCAGCAGATGTTACAAGTTTGACACACAAAAACAACCTCTGTGAGCACGTCTTCATTAGACTGTAATGTTATTCAATCATGAAATGGGAAAAACTAAAAGATGCTTTAGAGCTTCTTAGAGACGGACAGCTCAATGCATTTCATTCTGCACATCAAAGTAAATGTTTTGCATCCATACAAATGTTAACTCAGAGAGAGAAAGACGCTTTTTAGTCACATAATGTCTTCAAACTGGATGGTTAGCTAACATCAGGAGTTACAGTAACACAAAGTCGACAGGACTAAAGCTGCGTTTAGCCATGTAAAGTCTCTCTTTCTTGATGTAGCTTATCAAAACACAGAGAATGTATCTTTAGACTTCAAAGAGAAAAGAATCGGTGCTCTATTTATCAACATTTCATTGAATCTCATTGAGTGATCTGTTAGCTGTTAGCTAAAGTTAGCACGCACTTGTAACCAGGGCCGACTCAGCATTGATAGCCGATCAGGAGATAAAACGTGACTTTACCTTTTATTCAGGAAATACTAGTCGAGCAAAACGCCCGACACCCCTTTGGCAGCCAAAGGCAAACTGAGATAACCCGTTAAAGCTTTCTAAACGGAACCCAAATGCTGTAGTTGTGTCTCAAGGCACAACTTCGTTAGCCGTCCGCCATGGTTACTGCCGCGAGCGAGAGCGGAAAAGGAAATCTGACGTCATCACAACAAGCGATTTTTGTTTTGAAAATAAAAATAATTAAAATTAAAACAAAAATTATATTATAAACTAAATCCCATGACTATTTAATCGTATATTTATTAACTATGTGATTATTGTGTTTCAGGGGTCCGCTTTGTTGCTCATACTATGACACTGCTCCCCTATGGTTAAACTGAGTAACTACAACTCGGCTCTAAAGCGAGTAATTTTAACGTGTAGAAGCTTGACTAAATATTCTATAGTATCTGTAATTTAGATATTCCTCTTCGAAATACGAACTCCAGATGACCAAAAGCTATTATTTATTGGTCAAATGACACTAAATTACATTGTAAATCCTTCAAAATAAAATGCCATACCATAATAAACTATACTACATCATTTTTTAAGACTATTATCTAATCATCAAATGTGATGTGTTTTCTGCTATAATAAGAATGAACATATTCAAAGCAAAATTGTGCTTTGGTATTCAGAACTGATGACAGAGTTGATAACAGCAGGAATTTCCAGTAAATTAGACCATGTTTCCCCATTCAGTCGAGAAGAAGTCAAGCCAGTCTGACTCTGTACATTCAAAGAAATTACATAAGGTAAGAAAAAGATCTGGCTTTTTGCCATGGGTTTTTTTACTTACATAACCCATCTATACCTTTGGGACAATGCAACCATGTGAAATATTTACTGAAGCTGATAGGATAGAAACACAGTGGGGCCGAGATCATTTTTTTTTACAAGAAGAGTAACTATAACCCAGCTCTACCTGCAGCTCAGCAAAAGCAGAGAGTAGAAGCATATGACAAGTGATTTAACATTTATAAGTCTGACTAAATATGCAATAGAATCTGGAAGTTAAGATCTTCCTTGTCAAAAATGGAATTTCAGATGACCAAAAGCCCTTATTCCTTGGTCCACTGACTTAAAATCAAATTTTGAATCATTTTTGCGATTCATGTGTATACGGCTTTTTGATTTAGATATCCAAAATATCTTTGTTTCTTCTTTACACAGTTTTTTTTTAATATCAAAATACAATGCCATACCATAATATTCCATACTTTACCATATTTCAAGACTATTATCTAATCATCAAATGTGATGTATTTTCTGCTATAATAAGAATGAACAAATTCAAAACAATTGTATCAGTGATGTTACTCCCATATTCAACATGCAAAAAAACCCCCAAAAAAACCTACACCTGTGTTATGACTGCCAAATGCACTTTGGTATTCAGTACTGATGATAGAGTTGATAACAGCATGAATTTTCAGTAAATGAGACCATGTTTCCCCATTCCATGGAGGAGAGGTCGAGACAGTCTGACTCTACTGTCAAATAAACTACCTAAGGTAAGAATAAGATCTGGCTTTTTGCCATGTTTTTTTTTCTTACATAACCCATCCATGCCCTTAATATTTCCAAGTACATATTTCACATGCATGCATACATGTGGATTATTTACTCAAGTCGATTGGATAGAAACATAGTGGGGCAGAGATTGGTTTTCACAAGAAGAGTAACTACAACCCAGCTCTACCTGCAGGTCAGCAAAAGCAGAGAGTAGTGGCATAAAGCAAGTGATTTTAACATTCATAAGCTTGACAAAACATGCAATAGGCTATGTGATTTAGATCTTTCTCGTCAAAATGAGAATTTCATCCGACTAAAAGCCATTATTCTATGGACAACTGACTTTAATTCACATTTAAAATCATTTTTGCGATTCATGTACGGCTTTCTGATTGAGATATCCACAATAACTTTGTTTCTTCTTTACACTGTTTTTCATTTCAAAATAAAATGCCATACTATAATATTCTATACTACACCATATTTTAAGATTATCATCTCAACCAAGCTGAGGGATATGTGCTTGGGGAAAAATAATGGTACAGTGAGGTAAAGAAGCCACCTCATCACAATTGTGCTGTGAGCCTCCAAGCATCTGCCAACCTGCTTTCATGAATAACCTTAAAGCGCTTAGGTATCCAGCTGGCAGAGGGAAAACAGAAACTTGAAAAACCTTCTTCTTAAACTATTTATTTACAGTATTGCACTCTTCCTGGCTGTAGAAAAACAGGTAAAGGACCAAAGCAGGTGTTTAAATCAGGTCCAATTATGTAACAGTTTTAAAGCATGAAGTGCTGAGATCCAAGACCTGGATACAGACAGGTGAGGTAACACTGATCCAGGAAACAGTTTTAGGTCAGTGCCTCGATGCATTTGCATAACCTTAATGAGAAACCATCATTACACAAGAGACCAGATGACGTGATCAGGCAGTAGTTATTTCTCTGAGGCTTTTGTTGCGCCTGGCAGAAGATGCTGGAAGTAGTTTAGGGGATGATTTTCAGCATAGCTTTGTGGGTGGGAGACAGGTAGCTGGCAGAGGCTGATATTGGAGGGTTGGGCTGCAATTTTCTGCTGGCAGATGTGGCAGCTACAAGTCTCCTGCCTTGCCATGTGTTTGTCATCTGCAGGTGGTGGAAGATAAAGTCTCCGCACAAAGTTTCCCTTCAGCTAATTGAATATTTGTCTCTGAGTAACTAGTGACTAGTAACTAGAAGTAACTAAAAAGAGTCTTTCATGAGTTACTTTTATTTTCTTGTGAGCATGTCTTTCAAATCTTTATATTTCAGATTTAAAAATAGTCAAAATAGTCATTGCAAAGGGAATTAGTCAGAATCTAACTGATCCACTGAATACTTTGAAAGGGGAAATGATGAACATGCCAAAGAAAAGAAAAGTGGTTGACAAAAAACAAATGATGACTCAGACTCCTTGTGCAACACCTTCGGGAACTCGTTGGATGAAAGTATGCATGTCAGTGTTACATAAAAACGTCAATATTCAGTTGCACAGTTTGCAAGTTGCACATATTCAACATGCAAAAAAACCCTACACCTGCGTCATGACTGCCGAATGTTCAATGGCATTCAGTACTGATGAAAGTCCAAACATTCAGTGTCATTAATGTTACTCCCATGTTCAACAACAATGCTTCGTTGTTAAACTATGAAAGAAAAAAAAACCCTACACCTGTGTCATCACCACTGAATGTGCAGTGGTATTCACAAAGACAATGATCACTGACGTAATGTGTTTTCTGGTATAATAGGGATAATTATATGAACAAATTAAAAGCAATTGTATCACTGATGTTACTCCCATATTCAACATGCAAAAAAGCAACTACACCTGCGTTATGACTGCTAAATGTGCACTGGTATTCAGAACTGATAATAGAATTGATAACAGCAGCAGCATGTTTCCTCATTCATTGTAAGAGAAGCCAAGTCAGTCTGACTCTATACATTCGAAGAAATTACATCCCTTAGGTAAGAAAAAGATCTGGCTTTTTGCCATGGGTTTCAAAACCCGTTTATATCTTTGGGAAAATGCATCCATGTGAAACATTTACTCATGTCGATAAGAACAAAAAGCATCAAGAGAAAATCTTGACTTCCTTCAACCTGAGTCTACAGCTGGGGCGGGTACCTACTCTGTGGAAAACATCCTGCACTGTTCCAGTACCAAAAACGAAATGTCCTGCTGAACTCATTGACTACAGACCAGTGGCCCTCACTTCACACATCATGAAAACCCTGGAGCGGCTGATTCTATGCCTTCTGAGGTCTGAGGTCAAAGACAAACTGGACTCCCTGCAGTTTGCATACAAAGAACACATTGGAGTGGATGATGCTGTCCTCTACATGCTTCACCGTGCCCTGTCTCATTTGGAGGAACCTGGGGTTTATGTGAGGATCATGTTCATCGACTTTTCAAGTGCATTCACATAGGTGTGAGTGGATCCTTCCTGTGTTTCCTGGATCACAGATTACCTGACAGGAAGACCACAGTTTGTCAGGCTGGGAAACTGTGTCTCTGGGACATTAATAAACAGTACAGGGGCTCCACAATTGACAGTGCTGGCGCCATTCCTGTTCACACTGTATACATCAGACTTCAAATACAGTACTGAGTCCTGCCACATCCAGAAATACTCAGATGACACCGCTATTGTGGCATGAATGAGAAATGGACAAGAAGCTGAATACAGAGCTCTGATAAGAGCCTTCAGTGACTGGAGTCACAAAAACTGCCTCCTCCTCAACACCTCAAAGACAAAGGAGATGGTCATAGACTTCTGTAGATCCAAACCCCCTCTTCAGCCAGTGAACACCTGTGGAGTGGACATCGAAGTGGAGACATCATATAAATATCTAGGTGTACATCTGGATAATAAGTTGGACTGGTCTAAGAATATAGACCTCATCTACAGAAAGGGGCAGAGCCGCCTTTTCTGCCTGAGAAGACTCAGATCAATAGACATCTGTAGTAAGATGCTGCAGATGTTTTATCAGTCTGTGGTGTCTACAGTGTTCTGTTCTACACTGCAGTCTGCTGGGAAGGAAGCATCAAACACAAAGATGTAAGACTTTTAACAAACTGGTGAAAAAGGTTGGCTCTGTGGTTGGACTCAAGCTGGACTCAGTGGAGGATGTGGTGGAGAGATCTACACTGAGGAAGGTGGAGACTATTCTAAAGAACATGGATCACCCACTTCACAACACCTTGATGGACCAAAGGGCCAATGGTGGTGGACGGCTCCTCTCTCTTCGCTGCAGAACAGAAAGATTCTGAAGATTTTTTGTACCAACAGCCATCAGACTTAATAACTCTTGTGTGAATAAATTTCTTCTTTTTTTTTCTTCTTCTTCTTCTTCTTCTTCTTCTTCTTGTTACTGATTTCCCCTAACCGAAATCACCTAAATCTCCCTACATCAACCTGCTGACAGATGATAGAAAAACAAAACTCACTTCCTTGTACTGTCACATAAAATAAAAGCCTAAGGTGAGAAAGTAATAATCTTTATCTTACTTTTCGGACAGTTAAGATTTCCCTCATTTATACAGAGAAATATGTCACCCCAACATGTTTTTATTTCATTTAAATATCTCCTGTTAGGAGAATAGGAGGTCTTGAGCCAGCTCTTAAAAACATGAATGTTCTTTGCGGCCCTGAGGTCCTATGGCAGGCTGTTCTGTAGACGAGGGCTGTAATAATTAAAAGAGGCCTTGCTATGAGTGTGTGTCCTGACTTTTGGAATGACTAGGAGACCGCTGCCAGAGGAGCGCAGGGTCCGTAAAGGTTCATAAAAAAAAGCATTGCTGAAAGATAAAAAGGCCCAAGACCATTAAGACATTTAAAAGCAAGTAAAGGAACCCTCTAATCGATCCTAAAACACATGTGGCGCCAATGCAATGACTCTAAAACCGGTGTAATGTTTTAGAAGATGTCCTCTGTGTTTACTCATGCCAGTTTTATTTCATGGTGGCACTTTTCATGATTGTAAGTTGAATATACAGACTTTACTTCACTTTACAAAAGGTTATTAGTAAAGTTTACGTAGATATTTATAGGCAACCCCAATTCCCAAACTGTTGGGAGATTAAATGTAAAATAAATAAATTTTAAAAAACTAATATTATAGTTTTTATACACTTAAACCATATGTTTAATAGAAATAGAGAGCAGAAAACAAACCATGACACAGAAATATGTTATTGTTTAATTGGAAAGTGTTTTAAATTTGCAGCCAGCAATATGTTCCACAAAGTTTGGAAAAGGGTCAACAAAACACAGAAAAGTTGTGTGATGCTAAAAAAAAGATTACCCATCTTCCAGTGAATGAAGTTAATCTGCCTCAGGATATTAACATGGGTGTAAAAAGAGCACTACAGAGAGGCTGAGTTTCTCAGAGGTAAAAATGAGAAGAGTTTCACTACTCTGTGAGAGACTGTTAGCAAATAGTTCATCAGTTTCAGAATAATGTTCACTTGTATAAAATTGCAAAGAACTTGGGTGTTTCATCATCTTTAGTACATACTATTATTGCAAGAAGTAAATTTGACCATAAAATGTAAATAGGCGGACATTTCCACTTGAATATCGCCCATTGGATTGTTTTCTTATAGCCTGGAGTTGAACAGATGTGCAATCACCATTTTGATTGGATAACTTATTCACAGGTGACTGAGCAACTAAACCAACACTCAAAGTTAGAAGCTCTTAATGGTGGTTGTTGATTGAAGTGTTTTAGGGATGTAAGGGATTCATCAGTGGTTCGCCATCTCCTTTACTGGCATTGGAACAGCTTAAACTGGCAAACTTTAAATAGCAACATGCCTTATAGTGATGAAGTAATCATGACAGACACAAATCTGTTATCAGTATAAAAGTTTTTTATTGTTAATGGATAGTTTCAAAGCCAAAAGCAGAAATAAGGTACAAAAACTTCTTTACATATAAACAATAAGTGATGTATATACATTCAAAAAATTACCACCCGATCAGAATAAATTATTATTCTTACATCCTGTAACCTCAAACCAGGTGCAACAATGACAAACACATGTATAAGGCTTATGATGTGCCTCTTCTGTACAAAAAAGTTCCAGCAATATGACATTTAAATCTGTTCTGTTGTGAGACAGTTCAAAACTTCACAACGATGGTTGTTATCAGAGATGTCTTCATGTGTTTCATCAGACTCGTATCGATCTCGGGTAATCGTAGATACTCATCCGTCCCCATCTGCTCACTGCGGGCAGAGGGGTAATCTCTCCTCCCTCCTCTTGATCGCTGATTTCCTCTTCACTGCTCTTCCCTATGCTGTCTCCCCTCTCTCTCTGCTGTGGATTCTCCTCCTCCATGGTTACGTGACAAAGACGGCAGACTCTTAGCTTCTTGGTGGGGTGAATGTTACTGATCCGAGCTCTCTGATCAGAGCACACTTTGCAGACCACAAAGCCACATTTCCGGCAGTGGTGTCTTCGCTTGGTCGTGGTGAAAGTGCCCAAGCAGCGCATACATTTGCAGGCAGCCTTGTCTGGTATCCATGAGCTGGCAAAGACCGAATTTGGCTTGAGGTTCCTCTCCCGCAGGAGGCTTAAACGGCAGTTTTCGATGTGGTCCATCCAGGCCTGCTTCTCCTCTAATGAAGAGGCGGATACAAAGAAGGACTTGCGTGGTGTGCGGATCAGCCATTGGTTAACGAGGTCCAAACCATCCTCCATGTCCTCCAGCTGAATGTCCTCTGAAATGACATTCACATGAACAGACATTAAAGACACTGACTGAAATAATAAACGGTGTGCCTCAGGGCTCTGTTTTTGGGCCTCTGTTGTTTATATCAACAGTATTGGTCAAAGTGCCTCTGATGCAGATTTTCATTTGAATGCAGATGATACTGTTATTTACAGATCCGCCCCAATACAGTATTAGGCTCTCATCTTACAAGATGTTTTGATGCAGTAAAAGAAAGCTTTGATGAGTAGAAATTGATCTTGAATCGTGTTAAAACCAAACTCACAATGTTAAAACCTACAAAATAAAGCTGCTAAATCTGCCCTCCATTACCTTGTCTTAAGGTTTTGTGATTGAGACCTTGTCTTCTTAAAAATGCCCTCTTTCTTTTTTTTGTTACCTTTTTCATTAAAAGTTAGAAAAATCAGAAAAGATTCTCACCTAAGTGAAGGATTTTCTGTTTTTTGTGCCAGCGGCCATTCAAGATGATGCTGCCATACACCAGGATGTCATTGAAGAGGTAGAAGTCTTTAGGCTGAGGTTTAGAGTGACGACGTCCCTGCTTCATCAGACGACCCTCTCCCATCAGAACCCGGCCGGAGTTGTACAAGGGTCGCCCTGCAGTACCAAAGGAGTTGTCCACTGCCTGTATGCGATCCCGGTTCGCCTTCTCAAAGCTTTGCGAGTTCATCTTGCTGAGTTGATCTGTGCTCTCTGCTCTCTGCTTCTGCTCTCTTCTCACCTGTCAGCAGCTGCGGCAGTAGATATAGCAGCCCGGTTCATGATGGCTTGGGGTTTTCCAAGGTGAGAATGAAGACAAACCCGTTTTACAGGAAATCAAAAGAGGGAGGGATGCGGAGCCAATTCAAACATAGTAATTAAGACACAAAGATGAGTATTTCCAGTGTCTTTGATGGACATTTGTAGCGCTAATACAATTCAGAACGTGACTTGGGTAAAAGTAAACAAGAAAGCACTCACTGCGCAGACCAGCTCCTCCTATTATTGATGCACAGACATGCATCTGTTAGACTCAGGGAAATCACAGCTGCGCATTTAGCTGTATGCAAACACGCTCATAGTGAGAATGCTAGTATGTTTTTGTTGCTTATCATGTTTACCACATAGACTGCAACATGGGGCAGCAAAACAGCATCCAAACATGAAGTCAAAACATTTAGAGCTCCCCCCTGGAGACTGGCTGCAGTTTTACTATTAAGCCTACCTCTTCCATGTACACCGATGGGCCATGGGTCAAAATACAAAATCAAAATCCACATCTGTATTGTGCTGTTTTATGTACAAGTGTTCTCCTTCTGACAAGTTTGGTTTGAGTTAGCTATAAAATGACTGATTGATAACTCGGTTGATACACAGGGCTTCTGCGGCACTCTGTACCAAATTATGAAATGAAGCGGGAACATTGAGAGGAAACTTTACATTTACAAATAAGAGACACAGAACTTTCTGGGGGCTATGAGTGTTTTCTGACACAATAAACTGTTCAGCTGCAAACTGCATGCATCCAAACGGTCTTGGTCATTTTCAGTAACTTAAGTGTGGTTTAGTGGGAGGAAGAGAAGCTGTAGCAAAAATTAATGAGTGAAAATAATAAATAAATGAACAACTTAATTAATAAAATTATAGTTTGTTTGATACTGAGTTATATTCCATCATATCATGTTGTGTCATATCACCATTGTATCTTATTGGATTGTACTGTATCTAATTGTACTTTATCCTGTTACATCTTATATCCTATCATGTCCTATTGAATTGTAATATAATGTATCCTAATGTGTCCCAAACTATCATATTGTAACGTCTTGCACTGTATCTATTGTATCATGTCCTAACGTAACATATCATATTGTATCATAACATATTGTGTTGTATCATATTAAATCGTATCATAATCTATCATATTGTATCATAATGTATTGTATCTTATTGTGTCCTATCATGTCCTATTGTATCGTATCCTATCGTAACTTCTACTGTATTATATTGGGACGTGACATATTGCTGTTGAGATATTTCAGTCTTGCAGGCTGGTTATGGGCACTCCAGAGTCAACATTTGAAGTTACATATATATGTGACATGTAACGAACAGTCTTTATACATTCTGGTGTGAAAAATGAAATGAAATGATATGGATAAGCAGAGAAAGAGCAGAGTGGTCAGGTTCACCAGGTTTAGCATCTCAGGGAGCTGGTAGATTAAAACAAACAAACAAACTTAAATCAAACTTTCCATCAGTGCCAAACTCCTGTCACAGACTGCATTTCTCATCTTCTGCAGCATCTGGTCGTGTCAGGTTTCTAATGTTGGCCAAGGTGTGCTGCATTCCTCAACAATGAAAACGAGCAGGAAACTAACCACAAGCTTCCAGTCAGCGACTGAGTAAAACTCAACAAGGAATGTATTGTTCAGTGGTGCGTGGTTGATGTGGGTAGATTAAGGTGTTGTCCGGGAATTTCCAAAAATGACGGGAGGAGATTCTTGCTTGTCCTCTGATCAGGAAAGACATATAATTGTCAGACTAAAGAAGTTAATTTACATTGGGGGAATTACCCCAGTGAAAAAAGATCACCTCCTGCTGATCAGAGCAGGTTTTTCACAGCAAAGCACCTTCACTTGTAAAAACTAACAGAAATAAGGCAGGTACTTTCTTATTTCCTGTTGCTCTTATAATAAATGCATTAATAATAATGCTAGAAATAGAAAACCAAAAAAAATATCCGTTTTTGTCATACCAGGAGTCAGTCCAAACATTACACTTCAAACAAATGGAAGGATAATTTAAACTACCTGTCTATATTTTTAATCAACTACAATCAATTTTTAGACTTATTTTAACGTGTGATTCTTGCCTGTGCACTCATGCTCACCTAAACAGCCTCAAAGACAAATTTAAGCAACCACAATCACATGAAATGACAAAAACAGACACTATACACCCAATTCACAATTCTATGCGTAAACTCAGCATAAAATATTGACAGATTTTTTCATTTACATTTGCACAATAAAAAAGTAACAATTTCACTAGGAAAGTATGTCAGGTTTTGTTTCACTTGCCGTGTTGATAAGCATAGACATTAAAAAGTAAAAAACAAAAACAAACAAATGTGGAAGAGAAAGAAAGAAAAAAAGCAAGTAAGATAGTGTAGAAAGTGGGAAAAAATGAAAAATAATTTCATAAAACCTTTATCTTATTGGGAACAGTGTGATGACAAAGCTTAAGCAAAACAACTCATCTTGTTTACCTCAAATTTATGTTCATTTAAATTCTGCCACCAGCAACAGGTTTCAAACAAGTTGGGTTGGGGATGACAAAAGACTGAAAAAGTCGTATGATGTCTTAAAAAAGACACCTGGAAGGACATCCTCAATGAACAAAGGTAAATTGCAACAGATAATAAGGTGAAAAATGATAATCTCAGAGAGGCTGGAAGTCTCAGAAGTAAAGATGGGAAGAGATTCCTCGCTCTGTGGGGGAATGGATGAGTAAGTAAGTAGTTTAACAGTTTGTGAAATTGCAAGGAATCCATGAATTTATCATCTGTTGTACAAAATATTAAGATTCAGGGAGTCAAAGAAATTTCTGCCCAAAAGGGACCAGGCCTAAAACCAATACTGGATGACTAAGATCTTTTGGCCCTGAGGCAGCACTATATGAAAAACAGACCCAACTCTGCAGTGGAGATCAACCCATGGAGTCAAAATCACCTATAAAAACCATTATCTATACGCACAGTTCATTACGGCATCTATAAGTGCCGGTTAAAATCAAAGACTGTATATACAATGGACACTGTCTGCCTCCTCGCTGGGTGAAGCCACCTTGAGAACAGCACCCTCTGGTGACAGACTGCAGTATAGGTCATAAATCCCGCCTCTTCCAGCAATCCCTATTGAGCTGTGGACAAACTTTAGAAATTTATTACAAGTGAATATAACCGTCATCACAGCAACTCTCCCACAGAATCGTACAACACTACTGCACAAGTGGTGGGTCCAGGAAGCGGAAAAAAACCCAGAAATACAGACAGCAATTTGGCTTCAAATTCGTATAATGATGAAGTACAGTCTATGATTAAAACTGCATCAAGCAGAAGAACAGACTCAAGAGGTGAACAGACTCAACTGTAAAATTGCACAACACTTCTAATGTAATGTTGTCCCCATTCCAACATGTTGTTAACATCAGATTAGAAATGAGCATATGTTTCATATAATAGTAACATTATTAGCTGCGTTTACATGGGTACAAATAATAGGAATAAAGGCCAGATTGGAATAGAAATGCATCATGTGAACATGTGGATTGGAAGATTCTGATCCAATTCAGCTCAATTGGAAAGAAATTGTATTCTGATCGGGAGGGGTGGCCAACGCAGCCCTTATTCATGTTACCCTTTATTATACACACACTGTTATAATTGTGCTTTATTTTTGTTTCAATGGTTAAATTATCTTTAAAGCATTTCTTGTTCTCTAAATCTTCTGTTATATTTGTTGTATTATTCCTCACACCATCCTAGATCAGTTGTCTTTTTACACTTTAAAGAACCCAGAGTGAACAACAAGGATAAGTAGGTTATCAATATACAACAACGAAAACAACTGAGTTTCATCAACATGGCAGACTCGTTTGGCTTGATTCTTCAGCACATGAAACATCAACACTGAGATGGCACAAAGCCCCGCTGGGGCTCTGGCAGGTGCAGAAAAACAGAGATGATTCAACAGGGTGGAGTTTAGGGTGGGAAAAGACTCAACAAACAGTGTCTTAAAGGTTTTAGGTTGTGATGCACAATGAAAATTCTGAAAATTTCCTGTTGCATTACCAGTTAGTGGAATTTTATGAGAACTTTGATAAGCTACCACTTTCCATAATGGGCGGGTTTATGGAAGTGAATTCAAGTAAATAAGCATTAAGTTCAATTTCAAGAGACTGAAGTTACAGTGTACAGGGTTAATTAAAGACAGCTGGTTTCACTGTGTAGATCAGAGGTTAAAGAAAATGATCTATTATAAATATCTCAAGCGTGGAGCTGCACATTATCAAAAAAGGACATTTAGATTTTTTTTCAGTATTGGCTCACAGAATGAGCAAAGATCTACTAATACTCAAATAAGCTGAACAGGATGAATTCAGCATAAATGATCACAGGTGACCTTGTTAAGGGACTGGATCTGGTCAGTTAATGAAAATTAGGGTGATCATACATCCTCTTTTACACTGACATGTCCTCTTTTGGGGGGCTGTCTGGCCTGTCCGAGGGGAGCTTACTAAATCTTTTAAATGTGATTTTTCACAAAGGAAATGGACTTCCAAAGTTTTAAGTTTGTGTAGCGAGTACTTCATCTTCGCATCACAGATCATTGTATTTACCATACACATTCAATGGTTCATTTGGAAACACACTCTATGAGGCAGAGCTCCACGCTGAACCCCGGAACGTGTGTTTATTCGTCGTAAAACAGTGCAGTGCATCGGCACTCTCTGCTGCTGCTCTGCCCCTATGCTCAGTTCGAAGCAAATCCACCGGCGTGACGCACGCATGCACTGTCTGCCAAAAGAAAAGGGAGAAATATTTGTATGTGACTGATAATTTTGTTGAGGTTAAATGCTTTACATAAATGAATATATTGTTTAGAAAGGTAACTTTGTGTGAGGGTTTTTCAGTATCTCCACAAGGCCTGGCTTAGTGTCCTTTTGGTAATTCAGAATATGCGTTTAACTGAGTTAGAAGCACGTAAAAGACACTCAACCCAAACCTAAAAAAACCCTCAAAATTTTGGGCCCATGCGCACAACTCCACCCCTGCAGATACACAACCCTTCAGACCAGCCTTTCTCAAACGCCATTGCACGGTTGTCAGAGATATGGGTTTCGACCTTGTCATGTTGATTTCCTCCCTTGTTATTGGTGCTGTCTTTCGCCGATCTCTCTTACTGGTGACAATGATATGTTAATCCTCTGCTTTTGTAGTAACTCTCTTTCGTCTAGGCCTTTTTCTATCATCACAACTTCCAGGTTCCTCTAGTCTCTTCAAAATGTAGTGGACTGCTTTGTTTGACACCTTTAGATGTTTTGCAATTTCTCTGTGTATCCTTCTTTCCTCAATGTACAAATCTGTACTTTTGTTTCTTTACTCAGTTGCTTCTTTCTAGCCATTTTTGCAGTAGTTTGAACGCAGTTAAGCTTTATTAGGATTTTTGTATGCTGACTCTCAAAAGCCAAAAAGTTGAAGTGAATAATCCAACTGTGATTTGTTTTTTTTGCTTTTGCACTGAAGTTGTGACTCTTGCAAATGTTTTCAACCCCAAAACTAAGCCCGTATTTTCTTTTACTGACATATATTTAGCAATGGTCTGTTAACATCAATGTAAATCTAAAGGTAAATGGAGTAAAATGTTACATTTCCATGAAAGCAACATCTGATCATGGAGTAAATACATCCCAAAATACATAAAACTCATGCTGGATTTAAAAGAAAAAGCATTATGAACAAAAACTTGAAGTAACTCCCAACTGTTCGGCCTGTAATGGCCTTGCTTCCAAACTTTTGGCCTGTTGTGTACATATATGCTGTTAAGAATCAAACATTAATCATTTTCATTGAATGAGAAAATTATAATTCCTTCAGCCAAACAATCCTAAATCAGACTTGTCTGTGCTTTTCTGAGTTCAGTTCTCAGGCACCTGTATGGTTCAAAAGAGAAAACAACAGGATGTAGGTGGGGAAGACTGATACATTTCTTTGTTTACAAGTGGACTTCCGTGTTGCAGATGTATTACTCATCTCAAATTAGATGTTTACTCTGCAAGGCTGCACGTGTGTTGAATGAAAAGCTAAAGTATTGAGCTGGCCATGACTCACACAACACTGGTGTGTGAGAGCAGTGGCTGCACGCTATGAGGAAATGTGGAGTGTCGTGACGCTGAATACTTCAATAAAAATAGAAATGTGCTGAATAAACAGAGATTAAAGTGTGCACGTACGCAACTACTCACACTGACTACGTCTCTGTGCTCTAATTTGCTCAACAAAGCACCTGTTTTTGCAAATAAATCCAAAAATATGGATTTATTTACAAAACAAAATAGTGTTAGAACAAAACAATCATATTCAGGTTTATGTAAAATAGGCAAACCCTTTAAATGCTTTTACATTCAATATTTTTCCTTATTGAGAATAATTTAGACTTGATGTGTGTTTTTCTAGTGCTCATAGTGTGAGAGTGATAAGCATGCAATATATGCTGTATACCATGCAACTGATTTTATTTAGCATGCAATATCCATAATATACCATGAAATGTCTTTTATCTTTATTATTTACTGTACAAATAAAAAACACTGCTGAGTAGCTGTTATCTATAATGCTTTGACATGATCTTATGTGAAATATAAGTATCTACTGTGAAATATACACCTTCTACCATGCATTATCTTATGTGCAATGTGCATTACCTGATATATAACATACATAATTCCAATGGCCATTAAACAATATTTGTTAATATTTAGTATATACTGTTAACTATGCTATAGACCTTATCAGTTATGCTGTATACAATGCAATACATAATCTTCTCCCCAAAAAATACCTTATACGATGTCAAATCTCCTCAGTCTTATGTCAATGTGCATTGCATGACATTCAGTATACACTATTGTCTATATTAAACACATTATTTACTGTACACTATGCATTAGTTATGGTCCAATACATGTTTTTAAATGTATAAATATTTGCAACTGTTGAGTCCTTAAAGTTGTATCTACAGTAGTCTATTCTACTCTATAATGTTTTGTTAACCTGTAGCTATGATAGCTACATAAATCAGAACGCAATTGCTATGATTTCCGTAGACTTATCTCGATATCAGGTTAGGGACATCTAGTGGCCTCACTTTGACATTGCAGCTGCATTGCAGACATTCCAGAGACAGGCAAGACCTTATAAAGGAGTTCACACAGCAGCACAGAGTTTCATCAGATTTTATTATATGAAATCATTCTACTCTACAGGGTAAAAAGAGTTTAAGAGAACTTTCTGAGTCCAGGCTAGTTAGAAAAATTCATGACATGCATGTATTCTCCCTTTTAGTCCACTCTCACAAATGTTTCTGCACAATTTTCCTCACATCTCTCACTTTTCAGTTTGTGTACACACTTTCTGGCTTTACTATAAAAACCATATGTAAGACTAAAGGGTGATAATGATTGTACAAGGAAATGCAGCTGTAAATGGATAGTTAGATGTGAGGGTTAGTAGTCATAGGGGATTGGTCCATAGTAGGCAGTGTAGGCGGCGATGATTCCATGTGTGTCCATCATGTCCTCACAACCCAGGTTGAGCTCACACACTTCTCTCAGACTGCGGAGAGAGGAGAGAAAGACAAAATATGATTAAATATATGATGTTCAGCATAGTGTTGCAAACTTATCAAGGATAACTTTTAGTTCTTAAATCAAACTTTGAATAAATGAAACCCTTTTTATCTAGAATACAGAAACTTTTAGATGCACTTCTATCCAGTGGGGAAGTAAAAGTTCTTGTTGGCCTGTAAAGCTCCTGTGCACAGTTTTTTGGCATTTATGAAAAACACTGAAATTAATCATGGAATTTTCACGAGAATTCACAATGAATTGCACATCTGAAAGTCAGAAAGATGAGAATTTTGTCAAAGAGACACTAGCTAAGCAAGTAAAGATCAAGATAGTAATACATAAAGGAGAATATCATCTGCATATAGTGAGTTTTATTTTTAAACAATTGCTAGGGACAATTTAGGGTTTATTACATTTTCAACAAAGACATATTAAACAGGCACTGTTAAGGTTTCAGATGACCATTTTAGGTGTACATCATCTACATCTATGTACTCTAGGAGGAGTGTAAAATACCTCTCCAGCTGAGACATGGATAGTTGTCCAGTAGCTCTCTTTTGTCTCACCACTTCAGAGGCCTGCACCTTCTCCACAAACAGACCTGCACAACATGCACATTAGATGCGACATTCCCTCCATGCAGAAATACACATTAAGTCAATCAATATCAATTAAAATGATAAAAGATTTACAAGATTTATACTTTGAAAAGAAATTCAGTGGAAATTACAAACTGTTTAGTGCATTACAATGTAAACAGGGCACAATACAGAGCTCTGTGGGAAAGTATCTAATTGCCATTTTTATCATCATAAATCAAGGATCGTGGTGTTTAGACATTAATCACACTGTAAGAAAGGTCTGAAACTACCACATGAATTGTTTTAACCATGTGCTATTTTATTCTCCTTTCTCTAGGATCTGCTGCTAAGTAACTTTCTGTTTGATTAAATCTTTTATTCATAATCTTAAATTTCTATTACAGAAAACTGTAGATGATTTTCTCTCGAGTTCTGCAAAAGTTTAAGTTTCTGAACACTGTAATTATGTGACAGCATGGGTCTCCCTGCCTTATTTGCTGCAGTGATGAAAAATAATAACACCACTGGGGAACTGCATCACAAAAGCCTGCAGAGCATGACTTTGGAACGTGCCAATCACCACAAAGCTGCAGATGAAACTAAATCAAAGAAGTTGCTAAATGGGCGGCAACTGACTGCAGGTTAACAGTGTGAAAGTTTAAGGTGTAATCGAAGTCCTCGGGTTTTTAGCTGTTTTTTTTTTTTTTTTAATTGAGCCTATTTAATTTGGAAAACTAACACTGAGTAACATTTGTAAGAGTAATGTCATTTGTAAGACATGATTTTTTTTACTGCCATAGAGTGCTGTGCCTCATTTCTTTTAATGACACTTTCTAAAGTCAAGAGAAGAAAGTACATTTCATTGCATTTATTTGATTTATAAATCAAGATTAATTCCTAAATCATTGGTAAGAACTGACTCAAATCATGCAATTAATAGCAATTTGAAATGAATTGTTTGACAGCTCCAAAATTTGTGTAACATACCAGCAATAAAGCAAAAATTTTCACAAATAATTGGCACTTAAACCAAAAAAACCTTCCAAATTTTTCAAGCTAAATCGCAGGAATTGTTAAAACCTGTTAAATTTCTAGGTGGATCTGAAAACAACAACAAAAAGAGTATCAATTAAAAAAAAACCTGAAAATACAGACAGAAAAAAGAGGTGAGTTATGTTACCCTCCTGAGCAGGGTTGTCACCAGCAGGCTCAGAGACATCTGTTAAAGGTGAGAGTTCAAATACAGATGAATATGAAAGCGTTTCACATTTTAAGGTACAGCACAAATAAAATGAAATGAAATAAAATCATAATATTCAGTGATTTATTTCAGAGTTGATCTATTTTGAAAGGTTTTGCAGATCTTACCTGAAGTCAGACAGACGACTGCCAGAGACAAAAGAACCAGGACGACCAAAGTCTTCATCTTCAGCTTCTCTCTCGAGCGTCTGCAGAGTCAGGCAGCAGGTACAACTTGAACAGCTTTGTCACTCCTCTCTCCTTTTCTCTTTTACATATATACATAAATAGAATTATAGATTCAGCCCTCACCATGACATGGGTATGTGATTGGTCAGGGATCATGTATCACACACCCACAGTGGCACAGAAACACAAACCTCCACAAAAAGTGTCCAAATACAGATTTTATATGAATTCTTGCTTCAGTGTGCACACACACATCCACATAGGAAGATATATGACATATGTGGAGTCTGCTTCCTGTAGGAGTGTATTTGTTTTACAGTATAGGTGATGAGAAACTAATGTGGGCGACTCACAGCCACAAAAATCATCCTTTGGTCTTTCAAGAAAAAATATTTTACACCTTTTTCAAGTCATATCAGCCAAAATGTGATGGTTTTATTCATGTGTGTTTCTTGTGGTGAAGTTGAGAGAAAGATGCCAAACGAGGGTGGGATTTTACTTCACATTTAACTCTCCAGAATACCCTCGCACAGATTTAGCTTCAATAATAAAAAGTTAAATGACAGTAAATCTCAGGAATGCAGTGCCAGCTGGCAGCCTGAGGAGGTCAGAGTTTCACAGCGCACCCACATATGTATATTCTTTGCTTTATAGGTCATTAAGTGTATACAGCACAGAGAGGAGAAACCACCGCTCCACATCATGTGACATGATTGAAATCTGTGAGTCTCCTCTTAAACGACAAACCACAGTGATTTCCTACATAAAAAGTAACATTTAGAAACAAACCCAGAATGTTTGAAGATTTTAAAGAGGGTAACTTGGTTTGTTGGGGGATATTTTTACTAAAACAAGAGGGTTGTTCCAATAAAGTGCAAAAAAAGGTTAAATGCAGTAGAGTGTAAAATGCCTTTGAGTTCATTTGAAACACATGTAATAGGACCTTGTATCAAATTTAAAGGTTTTATTGTCGTTAGAGTAGATCATTTGTGTCTGAATGCAAAGAGGCTAAACTCTGTTTTTGGATTCACAATACATCAGTTTTTAAAAAGAGCTGAATAATCTCGTTTGCAAGCTCATTTGCAATTTGCTACTTTTTCTTATATCATCTGTAGGGCTGGGCGATAAAACGATAACGATTTATATCGAAAATTAATTTCCCTTAATATCAATGTAAAACATATACAATATCCTTTTCGATAGTGAACATTCTGCCATGTTTTGGTAGACTAAACAAATTGCCAATGAAAAGGGGAGTTGCTCCAGGTACACACTAAATCAATCATGTGCTGAATTAGAACCAAGTGGCAAACAACTGCGTAGTAGCAGGCTGCAGCCACCATATCACTTTAACAGGTGAAAATGAGTGCTACCTCCGGCAGATATGCAGATAAAGGCTCAACAGATGATGACATCGTCGACAACACTGGCACAAAAACGTTGGTGGTGTGGAGGTATTTTATTATTTTTTTTAAGTTGGACATGAAGTAGAGTAATGTGCACTGCAAATTATGATGAGTACACATAATGAAAAGAGCACGCATAATGCAAAAGGTTACAAACCCTGAGCGGAGCAAGGAGCCCATGGCGCCTGTGCAGCTGAAACAGCCGACCAGTCAGTCCTCTTTCTCTAGTGCAACGCCTTATGACAAAACGCCGAACAGAAACAAAGACCTAACAGATGCAGTAGCTTATTGTATTGCAAAAGACATACTAACAATAAGCACTGTTAAATTTCATTTTTTTATATCGTGATATATATTGATATCGACTGATATGAAAACATATATAGTGATAAACTTTTTCCCATATCGCCCAGCCCTAGAGCGGTAAAACTGTAGCCTTAAATTCAATCTGACATCAGTATTTCCTCTTTTTTGAAATAAAGAGGGTTACTATCAATACCAGGATGCTGCAACAGCCATAATGTGGTTAATACTACAAAATACATGATTATATGACTTTTAAAAAACATTTTAAACATATGTGATGTAAAAATGTCTGATCAGCTCTACCTCTGCCCTTCATTTTCTGTCTTTTCTGACTGGATATTTAGAATCTGGACGGGTTCTGGTGGTATTATATGGGCTGTAATTTCACAGTCTGGGTCAGTTCTGCTGCCTTGGCTCATTTCAACGACAGACTTCAAGGATTTGACCTCAGCATAACTTTAATCGTGCACATATGTGTCCTTGTGGCAGCAAGAAAAGCAAACTTTCAACAGGACTATCATTTCAGCACTGTAAGATGTGAGTATCCTCAGTGTGCTGACCTGTGTGTGTGTGTGTGTCTGTGTCTGTGTGTACATGTGTGTGCCTCTGGGAGGATACTGACACACAGATGTTTGGTGCATAACAAAGATTCCTCTGAAGATTACAAGAAACCAGATTTTGACCACAGAGACTGAGATCAGACTTGCGTGTTAGCTTCTACTAAGATGTGTTTAACCCCTTAATGAGTCCAGACCCAATTTTTCCATTAGAACATGTCAGCACATTAGCGGACCACATCCGTGTTGTATACAGTTTATTTTTACGCTCTTTCTAGAGGTTTATCTCCTGCTTTCTTTATCTGATAAATATTGTTTTTCTATAGGCTTTAATCAAATGCATGACAGATTTACGTTGGCTTGTGAGGTTCAGGGCTTCTCATCAGGGTTGTTAGATGTCTGTAGATTTTGCATTTGTGTTTGCATTCATCTTTGCCTTCTCTGATCTTGTTTAGAGCGGCAAGAGGACCCTTTATTTTGTGTCAATTATGGTAACGCATATAGACAAGATGGTATGTCTGGACTCATTCATGGATCGTTTACGTCTGTACGGCAGCCTCTGAAGTTCATGAATGAAATCAGTGCAAAAGACGCTCAAGGCTCCAGCTGAGGCTGTCTCTCAAAGTTCAGGACCTTGAGCCTTTGCCACAAAAATGTTTCTGTATTCTAACCGAGTTACACATTTTTACAGTATGGCACAAAAATAGTTTTAGTCTCTCTAACTACTGTGATTCTTGTCACATAGCTCATTCCTTTTAATTGTGTTATGGTTTATAGTTGTTAGGTCTTCAACACTAACAGGTTGGTATGTCTAATCAGAATAAACCTCTCCAACATGGTAACCCAACACCTTTTGGCTCCAGGGTTTCAAACTGAAAACCGGTAAACATACTGACTGAGCATTTGTGTGAATAATTGTTGTGGTTTGACACTTTTTTTTTCCATTGACCACCAATTGATTAGTAAGGCCTACCAAGAGATGCAGCATTAAGACAAGACTGCTGTGCATTAATAATCAATCACCGGTCTCTAATCCACTGCCCATATAACCAATCAAACATCAGCTTGATATTCTCTACTTTCACTGGACTTGAGTCACTTTTTTCAGTATTTATCACTGTCAAATGACAGAGAGCTCACTGGTATGTTAGAAAATGTAACTCCTGAAGTTGATTATAGATTTTTTCAGTGTTTCCCACACAAGGATGACACCTGGGTGGGCTATCCAGTGTATTTTCCACCCCCCAAAGTATTCTTTACAGCCGCTCAAGTGTACTTGCCAACAGTTTTTGTGTTTTTTATTTTTTGCTCTCCATAAGATCGCCATCTAAGATCAGACAAAGTATCGTATCGTCTCTCTCTCGTCAGATAAGGACTCTTACTGGTGGCTGCCAATATCAGCCTGTCCTATCTTGATTTTTGGATCCTTGCGAAACATTACGTCATTTACAGGCCTTTCTCACAAGCTGATGGGCTGTTGAGATAACATGTTATCAGGGAAAACATTTTGACATACAAGTCATGTTGTTCTGGCAGCCAAAATAAATGTGCTCTAGATGGAAAAAGATACGACTCCGACATGCTGCTGTGCATATTTGGAGAGGGTAAGAGACATGAAACTCAACAAAATGAACAAATCAGAGTCTTTAACATTTAAGTAAGTTTGGAGAGGAGGACCACAAGTGATATACTTACTTATCTTCTAATGGAGTAGTCCCTCTTTCCCTTTCTCCAATCCAGGTTGCAATTCCTTATAACAAGCAGAAAAAACTGTTTTTCAGAAATCTGTCAGCCATCCCTCAGAACACCCCTTGGTACCTCTCATAAAGCATTTATGTTGGACTCTAAAACAAAGAAGTTTAATTGATTGATTTATTCAATTCTTATAGGTTTTGATTTCAATTACAACACTGGGTCCCTACGATCATTAAAGACCTACTGCGATGAAAATCGTGTTTTTCTTGTTATTTATGTGTTCATTTTGCATTTTTCTGATGCTACAGGACATATCATGAGAAAACTAAATGGGAAATTGCTTGTCTGGGTATTTCTGCCAAACGGCAGGTTCAGAAACAGTGAGATTTCATATGCAACCAATCCAAGCTCCGCCCCCAGAGCCCTGCTACACGGGCCACACTCTGCATATAAAGAAGAAATAGAGAGGACAATGGCGGAACAAGTCTGTGTGTTAGTGGATTGAAATGCTCATAAGAAAGCTAATTATGATATTAGCTTTCATCATGCCCCTAAAGACATTAGTGTCCGAGAACTGAATCACTCCTATGTTACCTGTTTCTAACACTGGCAATGTTAGGCTACAAGCTAACTCGAGGAGAAGTGTGCAGAGCAGCGCTGTCTCCGCCTACGACTCAGAGGCGAATTGCTAATGAGTTAATGGAGCTCTGAAGAGGAAAAGCCCTTGAAAATGACACAGGTAACGTGATTTTGGCTTAAAACTTCATAATCACAGTTTAAAGACCACTGAGAACACTTGATAGCCATGATAGAACATGACAAACAAGACTGCTGTTATTGCACATGACTCCTTTTGTCATGTCTAATAAGTGAAGCACAGCCGCTCTTTCTTGCCTGAGGTTCTTGAAGATGTTTCATCTCTCTTCCTAAAGGCTTATTCACTTCTAAAAATACATCCTTTCATCCCTTAAATAGTTTTAGGAAAAAATCAGCTATTACCGTGACTTTAACATCTGCTGCGCATCACAGACACTGACTGTTCTCACAAAGCAGGCATGTGGCAAACAAATGGTATAAACAAGATAAAGATTAAACCCAATGAAGGGATTTTTATTCATTTCAAAGCAAAGGAAACACTCAGATAAATAGGTGGTTAATGTGTGATAGTGGATAGTGAGCAAAAACACATAAAATAAAGCTTGTGACTGCTGTGAAGCGGTGATATAGTGGATAACATTTATCCTGAGAGTACAATACAGATCTGACATGAATTTTTACGATTGTAATGAAAACGCGGTAACGCCTGAGCCACAATGGATGTCTGTGTGTTTACAGAACAATAACATCCAGAGGAGGCCATAAAAACAGCTAGTCATTATGTTTAAGTATTGATATGTGGATAAAAGGAAGCCATCTTGCTTTCCAGACGATAATGATGACTGTGCGTTTGACAGACGGCTGCTGCTTCAGTATCGGCGAGTCATGGCCGGTCTCTGAGTCCGGGTGCCAAAGTATCTCTGGTAGGCTGCCTGGAAACCGTGGCGATAAGCATAGAAGCGGCAGGGGGAGTAGTCCTCACAGGTCTCTGCACGCCTCTCTGCTGGCGACTTTATCGTCCTGTAGAGATAAGACAAAAACACAGACAAAGAAACACAGGCAGAGGAAAGAAAAGAGGAGCAATATAATCAGAAACAGGCTCGGGTCTTCAGCTTCAGGCTCTGTGTGTTTGCAGCAGATGCAAATGTTTATGGTGTAGTTAAATCTTACTAATGACCCTTAATGTGTGTGCATGTGTGCATCTTCTCCTTTGCCGCTGTGGGCATGTGGTTCTACATATTTGCAGGATAAAGACAGAGTTGTGTGCTTTGCATGCATGCGTGTGGTCTCATCTTTTACCTCATCAGGCTGTAATAGTTGAAGTTGTTCCCTCTGGGGGGGTTGTATACGTTGCCTCTCTGCGGCGTGATGAAGGTGTTGGCTTGGTTTGGAGACACGAACAGATCTGGAAGCAGAAACTTTACTGAACAAAAGTCCAAGTCTTAAATCATGCAAGTGATCAGTTGGAGGTTAAAGGTCGGGGAGTGCGTTAGTAAGGGGCCAAACGAGGATTTACAACATGATGTTAGAAGTGCATGCATGTTTTTCCATAAACAAGAGACAACATGTAATCACCTTCAATGGATTCTGTGCTTTCATGAGAGTCTACGGGAAAAACATGGAGTCAGATAAATATAAACGATGAATCCCAGCATAAATCAGATCAGCAACAAGCTATGAATAGACAAAGTGAGGACGTCCGGGTGGATTTGTACCATAGCAGAGGCAGAGAGAGACCGCAGCGCAGAGTGCCAGAAACTGAAGAAGGCTCCTCATCCTGGGGCTTGTTTGCCTGCCTGTCTGCAGGGAGAGAGTAGAGAGGTATTTCAGTGAGAGTGTCAGCACCAAAGTGAGAGTTTGACATGCAAAAAAGGAGCTAAAAAAGAGCAAAAGGAGGTGGATCATATGTAGGACCCGTGGGTAAACAGGAAAAAACCACAAACAGGGATGGACGGCTTAAAGAGGTCGTAAGTGTCTAAATCTGTCTGGGTGGTTTTGTGCATACAACAGCAAAACCAGCCATATAAGCATAAGCTATACCATATATGTAAACACACGTGCATGTGCAGGAGAAGCTGCAGACTCCCTGCAGACATCAGTTAAAAATATTTATGATTTAAGATCCTCACTGTGGTAAACAAATGTCCCGAGGTCTTTTCACTGAACCAGACTGAGCCAATCCACAGCCGCTGCTCAATATCCTAAACCTCAGCGTGAAGACGTCAACCCAAGAGAGAATAGCTGTGGCTGGAGGAGCCGTCCAACTGACCGCCGAGAGTCTGAGATGAGCAAGAAAAAAAGGACCTGCTTCTAGGTGGCCCTGGATGCTCACACTGATTGCAAAAGTATGCAAACACAGACACATGTGAGCTCGGTAGCCATGCACGAGCGACCCACGGTAAGGTGTGTGGCACCTGTGAAAACAGCAAGGCCAGATGTCTGCACACTGACACACTTATACACACCATATTTGCATGCCTGCCCTGCCGAGAACTTTCATCCCGTCTTCTGTTTGTGGGATTTGGATGAGATTCTGTTTCAGCAGCCCTCCTGTTCGCTCCGTCAATGGCAGCTTTCATGACTCATAAACACACACACAGCTTTCTGACACATGCACACACTCAATCCTAACATCAGCCCCTCAGGCGTATCTTGGCTTCGGGGATAACGGAGACATTTATCGGGTACAGAAACAGCAAGCCTCAGGCCCAACTTTCAAACAGCAGCATCCAAAGACAAGACCATTTACACCACTGTGTGTGTGAGAGAGTGAGTGTGTGAGTGAGTGTGTAGGAGTGTGTGAGCTGCTGACAACAGTGTCTACAGAGTTTTAATGTCTGTCTCAGTCTCAATAGGGGTCCTGGTGGGTTCATATTCCCAGCTTGGTGTCAAAAGCCACAGGTATGATGCTTTTCTGCAGAGGCTGCACATTAAACTCTCTTTAAACTCACACTGAAGGCCGTCTGTGCTTTAAGTGTTGCCTGTTACAGCGTCATTATGACAAAAACACAAAAATGCATCTATGTAGAGCGTTTGTTAGTACTTAGAAAAGGCAGTTTGGCTCATTTTAAAAGTTTTAAGCTCTTTTTCTTTCCACCTGCTGTTAGTTGGAAGAAATAATTTGCTTACCGTGAGAGATAATTTTGCAGTGAGATGTTTCAGAACTCTCTGATTGTATTTTCTTCTCTTGAGGAATATTTCCTAATTCTTCATGCGAAGCTTTTTATACTCACCTCTTGTGCCCCCACCCCTTCATTTTAACCCACCGACTCCCTCCTCTCTCTCTCTCTTTCTCTCTCTCTCTCTTTCTTTCTCTCTCTCTCCTCCCTGTTCATTTTAACAGCCCCCTTTTCCAGCACTCAATCAGACCGGGGATTAGCTCACTCTCTCTCCGACTCCCACGCCTTCACCAACCAAAAAAACACAGTGAAGAGGTGAGGAAGAGGGGGAGGAACGGGGAGAAAAACAAGCGGGTGGCAAACACAGAGACAAAGAAGAGGGCAAGGTGAGGTTGGCACAGTGTGGTCTGACAGGTACATAATAATATTCGCTGCAGTTTGTCAGCATGGCAGCAGGAGATGTGAGGACAAACCGCCATACCATACAGGTTCAAACAGTCCTCGGCCTCATTTGACTCTGAGAAACTATAGACTGCAATGAGTCAAGTTTTAAAGGTGATTTTAGGTGGGCTGTTCCTTTAACTCTCACAAATGGAAGCTGTGATCTCATATCGGCCCTGAACTTCAGTGCTGTTGAGCATAATAATAACACAGCTGGTCGTCCAAAAGCAGAACAGAGCACCTTTTTATTGGACTTTTTAACCTCTTGTGGTCCCACTTACAGGAACAGATTTAGGGTTCATTCATTTTTCACAACTCCTTCATTTAAGCTCTTTTAAGGGTGATTTAATACATACATAAACCATAATTGTACAATGTTGACTTTACATGCTAAACTTTTGCAAAATTTCAAAATAAGAGCCACTCAAATATTGGTTCTAGGTCCTCCAAATAGCTGATCACGATAACTTTACTTGGCCAACATTGTACCTTCAAGCATTGTTCCATTTTATGTATGTTCATACCAGGGAATGTCTCTGAGTATCACACAGCTGTGGGAGGTGTATAAAAGGGTGTTTTATTTACACATAAAAACCAGCCCAGTTAAGCCATAAATGGACCAAATGGACTTGAACAGAATAAACAAAAACCTTTTTGTCCACAGGGGGCGCTAAAATGGACACATGTTGAAAGTTCCTCGCAGGAGCTTTAAACAATGGAAATATTAGCATTAGACTAACACCTGATGGGAATCCAAACAGTCTGATGATTGATTTCTAATATATTTCCAGCCATAAACACAAGACCTCAAATTGACCAGGATGAAATGCTGCTCCTCTTTTATGTTTACAATATTACCTCCTGAAACAGCATTCTCCTCCTTTGGCTTATTAAAGAGGTCAAGAAAGCACCGAAATGGTCAGGTAACATATGAAAGCCTTCTCTGCTGGCTCAAGTGACCTCAGATGACCTGATATGCTAATAAACTTGATATTTTGAATTTCAGCTGCTCATTAAAGTTTGAATATGAATGCATCATGCAGCCAACCCACTTCCTGCATGAAGTGCAGTGAAGTAAAGTAACTCTAGCAAAGCAAACTGGACCGCCTAGCAGAAATGCACCGTCACTTACAATGTAAGCACTGGGAGTTGTCTCCTGCGGGGTGTCAGAGAGGGCTTCAAATCTAAAAACCAAAAGTTTCCATCAATTTCTGAAGGTGATGCATAAAAAAAGCATCTAAAAGGCAAAAGCTTTTCAAATATCTTTGAAGAGCCAAGAAAACCTCTAAAAACATCATAAACTTTGGGTTCTATCTTTTCTAATCTCTGTTGGGTCCTGTTTTTGTGGGTTTTGTTCAAAACATTGCTGACTTGTTTTTCTAGAAAAACTTTTAGTACTTCCTTTAGGCAGAAGTTGTGGGTTACTGCAATCAAATTATTTCCGTAATTATGGTAATTTGTTGCACATTGTATTAACACCAGTTGAGTTTGAATTTTGGCACATGTGGCAAAAAGAATAGACAGTTTATTACGGCTTGAAGACATTGAACTGGTCGAGCCCCCCAGTTGCCCCCTCGTCTATGGATACATTTGAGGCTCAAGTTATTGTATCTAAAGACAGTGAAGCGCTTTTGCATGAGATTCCCTCTACTCAGTGCAACTTTTGTGCATCTCTGTTACAGCTGATGCACTCAACGACATCCCCTCGGTGTATATCACAGAGTTATGTAACCTCGCATCACATTTGGCTTGGCCACAACACTCTGTGAATAGCTGTGTGAAGGCAGACGTGGGCCAACAGTAAACAAACCGGGATAGAAGGCCGGGCCTTACCAGGAATCAGCAGGACTCAGACAGACAGATAAACATTAAGACCGACGTAAAGATGGAGATAAACCTGGACGACAGATAAGAGACAGAAGGGGAACTCAGGCTACGGAGCAGAGAGTGAGAGAAAGCACACACTGTTGGCTGTTTTTGGCGCTACGCTGCAGATATTTTCAGTAATGTGGTCATTTTAGGCTGTTAACTCTGGAACAGCTAAGGAGAAGTGTAATTTGTAAACTTGATATTAATCCTCCACTTTCCACAGACAGAAACCAACACAAAAAGGGTGGAGAAAGATGAATGAAAGCTGCTATTCACTTGAAGATTTCAAACGTGTTTACAGCGGAGGAGGAGATTCGTAAATAAAGTTAAGTAGATGGAATTTGTTTTGAGACTCAGGCCTAAGGAGTGGCAGAAAAAGGGTGAGTAAGAAAAGATGGAGAGGGTGATTACATGGAACAAATCTGTCACACAGCCTCTTATTTAAGAGCTCTCTCTGACCGTCCCCGCAGTCATATTTCTGCTGTTCTCCTCATTAGCATCCGCCATCAGTACTTTTCCTTTCTCCCACTCTCTCTCATGCAATACCGGTCTTGTCCCGACCAGACGACTTCCTGGGGAATTTATCCAGCTGTTGAGAAATGTTACCAAAGCACACAAAAACAAACATGTTTATTTTTTTGAGCAGGGCAGGTGGCCAGAGGCGCTGATAAATGATAAATGAAAACAGAAGGAGGCGAAACAGCATGACAAACGCCCTGCAGAGGAGGGGAGCATGAGGGTAGTGACTAACAGAGAGGTAAATGGAGAGGTGAAAGGTCCAAACAACAGGTGGAGGTAATGGAGGTAGTTTAGAGGAAGTGATAGACTCGGCATGAGGAGTGAAGTGGAAGAGAAAGAGTGAAAAACTTAAGAACTGAGCTTTGGAGTTTATGTGAAAGTGACAAAAACTGCAGTTCCTTGAGTGGCCACTTGAGGCTGGCCCGAAAAGCAAGTCAATCCTTATTAGGCCTCATGTTAAAACTCCAAACTTGAGAGAATTCATAACCCTACAATGTTACAGTTCCATTTAGCTGACATTTTTGTCCAAAGTCATGTACACCTGAAAGATCAGATGAGCTGCTGTGTTCTGGAACATCTACAGAGCTTTGACAAACATACTGGGAGGCCAGCCAGTGAGGAGTCAGTGCATCGTATTACAAGAGCCTGCAGGGTATGTGCTCTGTCTGGTAAGGTCTGATCCCCCTGATGTTATAGAGGGCAAATCAGTACGACCAAGTAATGGAGACCACATGAACCTTAGGACTGCATAGTCCTGTAGCCATACGCAGTCGTCTATGAGTGCAACCAATAAGGGTTGAATGAGGACTGTGCAACTGATCAAATTAAAGCTGTCCCTGATATGAAAACAAGGTAACACTTTACCATAACCATAATTTATAAATGACAAATAGATAGTTTATTGATGTAAGTTCATAGTTACTTTACCATTAACAAGCAATGAAATGATGATGAATAATTTTCATTAATTATTACTGGACTATGTATTCAAGGTTTATATAGGGTTTAAATATTGGTTGTAAAATATCTACATTAAAATGTGAGTCAGTAGCACTTTGGAAATGAGTAATATTTGTTTTTTAAACCATCTATAACAATACTTAGATGGTTATTGTAATGTTGCAACTGATGTTTGTTATACTTTGTAAAAGATTAATAAGTGGTTTATAATCCACCCATAAACATTACTTAGATGGTTATTTTAAAGTTAGGGTTAGGTATTTAAAATTGTAAAATTTACAATTTATTAATGGTCTATTTGCTATTTTTAAATGATGATTAAATATTAATAAACTATCTGCTCACCATTTATAAATGGTCTATTTACCATTTATAAGTTATGGTTATTGTAAAGTGTTACCTAAAACAATACTTGATTATATGTTTTTATTTACCTGCATCAATTATAATGAACAGCAGATCAAATACCGTTTTATTATTTCTTGTAAAAAAATTGCTCTGTAGGACTTTAAAAACCTGAGACATTCTAATAATAGGTGGTTTATGGTCTCATTTTGGGAAAAACTTATGGGAAATACAAAGCTGACAACAGCAAGAATATACCAACTAGTAAATCAAAAGTTTTGCCTTCAGGCTCGGCTCTGTCTGATTCAACATTGAAACAAATCTTACACAGCACCTGCATTACTGCTGACACAGCAACCTCAACACTCTTGTGCAAATAAAGTTACCTCCAGCACTAGAAAACCAACATAGTGGTGCTAGAATGCAGAACAAAAATCAGGTGCATCCAAATAAAAAGATAACATGAATGCACCTCAGTTTGTTATCTACACAGCGTGAATGAGACGTTATTAAAGACTGAATGTTTTGATAGCATGAGACATGCTTGTGGGAGGAGTGGAAGGAAAGAACGAGTCTGGAAGTAGTAAAAAACAGAATTAATACAGAGGGGAAAAAAATGAAATTGAGCAATTGGATTTCAAAGTAAGGGCGTGACCCCAAGTGTAAAAACTATCCAAATAATGTCTGTAAAAACACTGGGTCTAACCTGTCTGGGTCAGGTTGAGTTTCTCTCAGTGGTCCAGCAGGTGAACCTCAGGCCGCTGTGTGGTTCAGTCTGTCAGAGCGGACAGAACACAGACAAACACCAATCCAATGACAACTCCCTCAAAACTGGCAAGCTCTCACATTTTTCCTGCTATTTTTGAACCTCATTTTATTAATGGCTGTTGCTTCACTGAGCTGTTCATTTTGTTTTTAAATGTGAAGGAGGAGGTGAGTGACTCAGATAGAAAACATCATGTGATGTCAGCCGCCTCTGTCTGAAGGATGGAGGGAGTTCCGGCCAGACTGGACGGGGGACAGACATTAGTCAGGACTGTCCTCTGATGCTCCTGCTGTCCTGCGGCTGTGATTTTACCATCTGAATGTCAATAAAACTTCATGTGGATTTATGAGTTTTTCATAACACTGACATCCTGCGGGACTCGTGGGTCTTCACATCTGTTTTGGTTTTGTTCTGTTTGGGTTTGTTATTAAATGACTTGAAATCTAAATCAGGGGATTTTGGAGTGCACAAAATAGTTGCGTAATAAAACTTTGCCTCATTGACAGTCAGCTAAAATAGAAGGTAGCTTGAGTTTTTTTTTTCTTTCTGGTCTCATTACCTGATTAAAAAATAAACAAAAGCGTCAAGTATGTGAAGAAAAGTATGGTGGCTGGTTGGGGCAAATAAACTCTGATGGCTTAAAATATGCTACATAAGGGAAATCAGAAGCAACATTACACATAAGGGTTCACATAGAACTTACATTTACACTTAACTTAAAAAAGGGGAGGATACATAAAACGTGTAATAAGTGTAATATTCATGCAAAACAATTTGAAAGTAATATCTAGATTTCAGAAGTATCCTTTTTCAGCAAGTTAAAGCTCCTGTGAATTACATGTTGTATAAATCAATTTGAGTTTCTGTCTACACAGAACATTGTTAAAAAGCCAGCTTCTCTGATGGTATGGTGATGCATAATGCTGCGTTCCAGTTGTACTCAGAAAGTGGAATTTCCGAGCTCTGAGTCAGAAATTCATCTGGAACGCCCCCCCAAATTCGGATTTCTAACTCAGAAAGCCGGACAATCCTCGCCAACCCCGACTTGACGACTACATCATATTCCAAGATGGCAGCACAGTGCATCAACAGTAAAGAGTAACAGTGAAAGCTCTCGTAATGTATTGTTTATTAGCACTTCTGTTTTGTGTTGGCGCAATTATATAAGTGGCATGTGTTGTACTGCCCAGTGCCTAACTGTGAACACGTTGCTATGGTGTTTGTAGAGTAAAATACTGTGTTGTGCATTGTTTATGACTGGTATAGCAAACAACAGCTGACAACCGCTAACAACAGCTGACAATTGTGAGCAATAGCTAACAAGGGCTAAATGTAGGCGTCCATTTTTCCAACCTGTTAACTGGAATGCTGTCAACTTGGGTGTGGCATCATTCCCAACTCCGACAGCCGACCTCTGAGGTAAGTGTCCATGGCATGGGTAGCTTACACATCTGGGAAGGCTCCATTAATGCTGAACCATGAATACATTCCACAAATATTTCCTCTATTTGGACCAGTGTGTTTCCTTTTTTTACCTTGACATGTTTCAACGGAAAAGGTCCATGGCTCTGTAGTAGAAGAGTCCTGCTTCTAAACTGGCCTCTTAAACAGTCCTGTCATGTCGCCTATTAGACAACAAAACATACGACAAAGGAGACACTGAACTGTTCAGCAATGGAAAAACTATCAGGCAAGAATTGGACAAAATTTCAATTTAAAAACTACAGGTGATGCAATACAAAGATAACACACCCCTATCCCAACTCTTTTTGCACATGTTGCTAGCATCAAATTTGAAATTAGCTCATTTATTTTTCATAAGACAAAATAGCTCAGTTTCTACTTTTTATGATACCTTGGCTCTATTTTCTGGGGTGTTGTATTTCTGCAGTCACATTACTTTGCAGAAATAAATTAAGTTTGCTTATTCCTTCAGGGAAGTCTTTGTTGGGAGGTGGATTTTGGAACTTGAGCAGAAACTGACACATTATATTTATTTAAGCTCATCATTCAGGATTTTTCTGACTCCAAACTTTGCAAAGATTGTGTTCCACTCACTTCTTTGCCAAACTTATTCCTTTTTAGATAAACTCTTCAGACAGACGGTGACAAATCTTCAGACTGTGGGGCCGATCAGTGTCAGGGTTAGGAAAGACATTATAGGCCGACAAAGACAAACACTACTCGGTGTCTTTTGCCTCCATTTCAGCTAATCTCTTGCTTCTGCAGCCAACCTGTCATTACAGAGAAATCACAGAAGTACATGTGCGTAAGTCCAATTTAGAAAAAAACTGGCATCGAGCTTCACCCTGCATTATTCTCCTGTTTGCTTTTTAATCTTCTTTGAAACGATAATTCTGCAGCCATCTCTGGGTTTTGTAGATAACACACAAATAAACTCTTGCACAGGTTTCTCTGCCAGTAATTGTGTATTTTGTGTATGTAAAAGCTTTGATATAAAACTGCAACACCAGGTGCTCCACCTCTGTGAGTGACTTGTTAAATGTTTACAACTGGCTGAAAGATTTAATATGTCTTCAATGTGTCAATAGCTGGAGTCAAGTAAGGAGACGCTGAAAATTTATGTGTGAGGGTTGCTGGGTACCTCAGAGTGAGTGTGTATATGTGTTTGTGTACATGTTGTCATTGCAGCACAGCTCAGTTTAATCCGCCACTATTTCTCATCAGAGCTCCATCCAGATTTTTCTCTTTATGTGCTGTTTACTTTGCTCTTCTGTGCTGCCAACTCTAACAAACTGACCTGCAGGGTCTGAAACCAGCACCCACCTACTCCAGACAGGAATCTCACACACACCCACACACACATACACACATTCACACACATCAATGCTTTATATCAAATAGCATTCACCAACAGACAGAGCAAACTCTTGATCACAGACAGCCGCTGTGTTTATGACAGGCAGACAGACAGACAGGTGAATCGTGTGAATGCAGATCAGACTGATCTGCTCCGAACCGTCTGCAGGAGAGGAATTTTCTTCACCAAGATCTTCACCATGATTGTCATGCATGACCACAAACTCTCTAACTGCAACAATCTGCTCTTCAGAAGACAAGAATCAACAGTGAACCTCCTCTTTTCTTTCTCTTTGTTGATCTGCCTCTTACTTCATTGCCTATTTCCTTTTTTCTATCCATTTTGATCTCCTCCCTCCTTCATGATTCCTTGCAAAAACAAAGAAAACCTTTACCATTTTGTTTTTTTATTTTATTTTATTTTTAGTCATATTTTTGCCCTTATGGGTTTGATGAGGTCTGAACCAACAAATATTTTAGTCAGTTGATTCTGTCTTCAAACAAATAGCTCAATTAATCAATCAGAAGTTTGTATCAAGGTTGTTTAACAGTTTAAACCTGCGACGTTTCACTTCATTGACAGTTAAACTTCCTGATTTTTTTTTTACTTAAAGGTGGGGTAGGCAGGATTCCGTTAAAGAAGCATCTTTTTTTGTGGTGTATATAAAAAAAAGCTATGCTAAGTTGTCTGAATCCTCTTTTGGTCACAACTGCCAACACAAGAAAGAAAACGAAGTAAATACCGGAGACTCTGGTGGAATAACGGGCGCTTAAACGAAGTTAGACCACCTGAACAAGAGCTTAAAAGTTGGTTCAACATAAAACGATAAGGGACGCTTTGGGATCTTACGGACCCTGTAAACTTTCTGCTGGACAGGTAAACCGAGTGTAACAGAAGTGTTGCGTGTTGTAGCTCAGCTAAACTGTTTACCTTGGGTCCTGGAGTATGTCACTTTATCCTGGTTGTAGAAGTCCTGCAAACATTGTGTTTGCTGGTCGTCTGTTGGTGTATACAGTAGCACTAATGCTGTTTACTTTCTTGTTGACTGGACCCCATTTGTAATTATCTGAAGCAGAGGTGGGAATTGTGGAGTCAGCAAGTCATCTCCATACCGTGTATTTGTTCTGCTCTGTTACTGAACCAGGTGTCTTCACTAACGAGCTCACCTTCATGGCTGCTCATTGGAAGCAGCTGGTTCAGTGACAGAGCAGAACAAATACATGGCATGGAGATGACTTGCTGACTCCACAATTCCCACCTCTGATCTAAAGTATTTATCTGCATGATATAATTATTGTCTTTGACTTCTTTTTTTTGTGATTTGGGGGACCAGGGGTTAAAGATTACTATGAAACGTCATCCCAAGTATGAATCTCTGAACCAGGGTAAACCAAAGTTTTAGAGCATCACCAGCATTTGCCACCAACATGTATCAGGACCAGTGGCGGCTGCTGGTCTTTCAAGGAGGGGAAGCTCATTTTTCTGGCCTACATCATAATTGTATTTGTTTATTAGTATGTAACAGAACAGAGTCGCCAAACACAACGGCAGTCGTTTTTAACACAGACAAAAGTCGCTGAGGATCGGTAAAGTCTCTGGAGCAGTTAAGAACAACGGAATGAATGACTTGGAAAATGCTCTGGTAGATGTTTTATTCTTCAAGATCGCTGATTCGCTTGTTTAGCTGTCAATCAAAAAAGGATTTCGCCTCAGACAGCTCATCCAATCATGAATGCAGAAGCTTGGAGTCCGGGAGAAAGTCGGGACCGCCCTCTCGCCATAGAACTCCAGTGAAGCTTAGCTTCCATTGGGCGGGACAAAGCCCAGCATTTATCCAATGAGCGTCTAGTTTCGCTGCTGGAACAACCCACTTTAAGCTTCCACATTGAAGTCAACAGAAGCCCAGCGTCCGACTGTTTGAAGCGCTGAGGCGCTGCGAGGATGAATGAGAACGAAGTTATGCCGGTTACCTGTGATTATCAGCTTCTTATCACAGTGTCTGAACAAAAGTTGAAGGCTTTCTAGTGCGTATTTAGTTAATGAAATGTACACACAGCCGTACGTATTTCACCACTTTTTCTTTTTTTGGGGGTGACATTTTAAGGGAAGCCGAGCTTCCCTTGCAGTCTTAGAGCAATCGCCACTGATCAGGACGTGTTTCCTTTTTGAAAACAAGAATGATGCATCGAGGCAGACATTGATGCATGTTTTTGCTGGGATTTTAAGTTTTTTATAGTGAAGTGGGGAAAATATTGTGGATTTGGAAAGACCAATGAACTACTTAAAGCACTTGTGTCTTCTCATTGTCTTCTCATGATATCTAATTTTGATTTTGTGGCATTGTTTTGGTTTTCTGTTATTTCTAATTTTGCTCTCTTCTTGTTTGTTTTCAGTGTTTCTTTACCTCAGCGACCTTTGGTCTTCCACACTCCATGACAGGATCTATTTTTTGCTCTTCCTGTTTTTCTTTAGCTCATCCTCATTTACTCTGTCAATATTGATCTGGTATCTTTGTTTCCTTTGGCTTCTTTTTTTTTCTCTGTTGTTGTCTTTTTTCCCAACCTTCCTTTACCCCTGCCCTCCATCCTTCCTCTCGCTCTGCGGTTGTCAGAAGCAGTCAGTGTAATCACATGTATGCAGCCACTAACACACCCGGCCAAGCAGCGAGCCAACACATCATCTGAAACTGACGAATGACACGCAGGCAGCCAGTGGCACAGAGTGACAGGAGGCCACGGGGCCGCTGGTCGCACCCGACAACCTCTTCAGCTTCTTTCAGACTCCGACTCTCTCAGCTGTCATCTTATTTCAGGGGAGTGCGCTCTCACAGATAAAAGGTACCAACTCCTTAGTGGAGCTGTTTCTCTGTGTGACCTGACAGGACATGCAATCATACATCCACAAAAATGTGAGTGCAAAGAGACAACTTTCCCTCCAGAAACTTACTTTTCCTTCATATTCAGCAGATCTGTTTAGGGCCAACACTGTAAGAACTGGCATCTTAGCAACAGAAGTGACGTTGAACCTCATTCTTCCACAGAAGTTAGCAAACCTTAAACTCTGAGTGAAGACTGGTACCAGCGTGAAAATCACCAGTTGCTGCATGTTTAGTTCTTAGAATCAGACTTCCAGCTGTGGACCGAAATTCTGCAGAAGTCTGATGAAATCGCAACCATTTCATCCACCGGAGTGTGTGGGTACAAGCTTGGAAACGTGTTGACATGTCTGAATGTGTCCAACACACTGACTGTATATTGTAGACAGAAAAAAACAGCTTCAGTTGGTGCCAACATATTGTGCTGGTGTAGTCAGGGGGATAGGTGCCACATCCCGTCCTCTGACCAGAACATATATTTAACTTGTTAAATGTTAGTGTTAACCTCAGAGGTAGTTTTATGACGTTTACTGCAACCAGGCACTAGAGGGAGGTCTAGAAGTTTTGCTTCACTTGTGGTGGCTGTTGTTCTGTCCATAGTTTTACAGTTTCAGATCCAACCTCAGCTCCATCTGGTTTGACTGTAAATGATTACAGTAAATTTTTACATTCAGGAAAAAGTTGGTTTTAAAGCCCTCATTGTGACTCCAAAGCTCCAAAAACACAAAAGCGTCTTTGTCTTGTTAACTTTTTACCTACACACCTCTAGCATAGTAACCATACTTCAGTGGTCCAAGCACAACAATAAGCAAAATACAAAAGTCCCGGGGGAACACATCAGCAGAAAGACACTGCAAATTGACGAAACACAAAACCAGAAAACAAACACACAACATAAAGGCTGCAAATCCAGACATTTCAATGGGAGTGCTTAGGGGCGCTGAGAGCAACAGCTTTAGAGACAGTTGATAAAGTTTTTTCATAAAAACTCCAAACAGGTGATGAGTAAAGAATTTACTCTTGACCTGAACAGAGAAATTCTTCATAAAGTTTGACACTGTCATATTACTAAGCTGTAAACATAAAATAATGCTCTAAAGATTGGCTCTTTAATATGTGACCATATGGGGACAGACTCATTTTTTGGGTGTGCCTCAAGTGGCCACTCAAGGAATTACAGTTATATTTTCCAGATGCAAAACTTACAAAGTCTTACAAAAATAAAAACTCATTAAACTGGTTTTAAAGTTTGTTTACTTCCTTGTGTTTAAAGTTAAGACTAGAGTGGTGTTGATATGGCTGTAACTGGGGCATAAATCACACATGGCCTAAATCAGTTAGTGGTTTGCACACTAGAGTATAAGTGTATAATAATCTGTACTAATGTGTGTTGATATATTATGGCTTCATCAATTATGCATGAGTTCAAACTGTGGCTGGAGCCTCCATCCTCTACATCCAAAGCCCAGATAAATCTACACAGAGGATTTGAAGTCCACACATTTAGAGCTCTACCCACAAAGCTGCATATTTTATTCATAGCCTGTGTTGGTATGCATGAAGTGTGTCTGATGCTGAGATGTGGTCAGACGTACAGCCGTGTGAAACACAAGAGGTCTGTCCTCATTCACCCTCTTTATAACAATGATCCTTCAACAAACCGAGGCAGAGAGTTTCACCTGTGTGCTGCTGAAAGGCTGCAGCTCTGCTGAGTGAGACTCACCTGCCCCCTGCAGGTGTAAACAGTGAGTACCAGTGACAATAGATAAGAATAACTCATTTCAACCAATTCTTCATACTGATCACATGATAAAGGGAATTAAAGTAGATGTTAGTTACTGGGAAAGAAGAGCACTCATTTTTCCTGCATCTTGCACTTTTCCTCACACTGTAATGATGGGCATGCAAATGTGCAAAAGGACAACTATCTATTTTCCAGATAGTTAGAGAAACACTTTCAAAATAAAATGTGAGTTTTTGTGCTTAATATACACACTTAATATATACTTTGCTAATAAATGTGATGAATGGATTAGTATTAAAACTAGTTGTTCTGCAACACCAACAACAAAAGACCCCCGACAAAGGTTTTTAGTGGGTTATACATTGATTCAGTACAATACAAGAACTGTATTGACCTCAAAGAGAAACTTATTAATTATGAACACCTTACGACTGCTCCGTTCATTATTCAGTTAGACTCTCTGCTTTTTTAAGTAAAAAAAAAATGTAAATGTTGTTTAAACTCACAGCAAACAGGACTCTATGCACAGCCAACATAAGGACCCAGGTGACAGTCGCCTGCAGGAAAAAAACACATAGAAAATCATAAATCCACTGATTTTCTCATGAGTGAAGATTGCACTTCATGTAAAGCTCCCTCAGGTTTGACCAGGATAAATAGACATTTACAGCTTGTGTTCAATATAAATCTTCTCATAACACCTTATTTGCCACAGATGACTCTCTGCACTGTCTTAGTTTTTTAGATCATTAAGAAAAGGCTGCATCATTACGGGCGAGCCTCATCCACACATATAAACTTTCAAAAGTTGTGTTCCCACCAAGTGGTCTGGTTCGCTTTAGTACAGAGGCAATAAATTGCGGGTTCATAGTTAAAAGTTGGCAACAGTTCCTATAGAGTCCTTTTTATTTTGTACCCCTTTGTGGGGGCACCGAGTGAACTTATCTGACACTAAACTGCAGGGATGGGGTTGTCCTCAATCACATCTCCTCCAACCTGTTTTTATTTAATCAATGCATAATGAGTCGACTGTTGAAACACGAGTCAGATCAGGGTAAACT